ATGTGAGAAAGCTTAAACGACTGAGCCAATATTGTTAATTAAAATCCCAATATAAACGTCCATCTAGTTGTAGCATAATTATCCTACATATCTGTTTACTGTCTACCTCCCTCCTCCTCCCCTCCCAAAACCTGTACCGTCCAGCACCAACCTCCCACTACACTCCATAATCAGTTTAAGACTTCCATAAAATCCCCAATAGGTATATTTTTAGAAACATATTTGCAGTTGAATCACTGCTTGAGCAGAAACATAAGTCAAAGGTGGCAATAAACAAACAAGGGATGTTGGTTCAAGCATACACCTAGAGATCACCAGACAGAATGACTACTATATTTAAAAAAAAAAGGTTTATGTTTATGTATTTAGCAGACGCTTTTGTCCTAAGCAACTTACAGGTGATAAAGAAGCCAGCAGGTTGCCCTTGAGGCTAACAACAAACACTATTCAGTCCATCCTAGGTTGCAGCGAGGCAGCATGATCAATCATAAAGGGAAGTGAACATTGTAGTGTTAAGGACTGACAACTTATTTGTTAATTTGATCAATAAGATGTGATGTTCCATATAAATAGGAACTATCAATCAGATTGGTCTATGAATATTTCATTTCATATTCCTTTAGGTTCTTTGACTTATTCAGAAAACAGTTGTAACAGAGGAAACTGTTACCAGTGGCTGTTTTTACATTTCACACCATGGTGTTAACTTAAGTCCTCGCAGCAATGATTGATGCAAGTCTTATTTTAAAAACTGTTTATTTCTTTGTCACTTTGTCCTAATGTGTGTCTGGTTGATTGGTTCCAGCTGGGGGAGGAATGTTTGGTTCCACCTAAACAGGACAGAGAATATTCAGTCAGTTTTACCATGGGCAATAACTCTTTGACAGTAATTTGTTCTGTGTGTGGACTGTATTTTAAATAGGTAAATGGACCAAACTTACCTGTCTTGTCTTCTCCAGGGTGCCCTGTTAAGGGTTTCCCCTGAAACATGGGCACCATTTTAAAGGTTCTGGGAAGAGCCGTGAGGCAGAGTGGGAAGGGGTGTTTGGGAATTGCATTTTGGATGTTTATGGTGTTAAAATGTTATTTATAGATATTTGTATTGTTGTGATGGCTTCGTATGGGTTTTTAGGATTTGATTATGTAGAAGGGAGTGTAATTATTTAGGATTTGATTTCTTTAGAAGGGAGTGTAATTATTGAAGATGCACGATTCAGTCCAGAGTACTGATGAGTTCCACAGTATAAATGGTGCCATTGAACATTTGTACTGGTGATGATGATGTGAAGCCTTTTGAACCAACAAAGCTTTACAATCCAATTGTATTGAAAAAAGGTTCAAGGTTTGATGCTTCAAAACTCTGTGAGGACATCTGCTGGTAAATGTTTGTATTTCATTGTATTGTCAGCCAATTCTACTGAAAATGAATGGTGTATTGAACTTTATGGACAAATAAAGCATTAAAAAGCTTCCTCAGGATCATATAATAAAAGTATCTTGAATTTGAACATTACATTAAATATACTAAAATTGCTTTTCTTGGTGTGAATACTTGAAATGAAACAATGTTTATTTTTATGGGATACGTGATGAAATACATCTAATTTACACATATTAACATTCTCTACATATTCAAATATTTAACTTTTCACATTTCTATTGGATTATTAGGCAGGAATAATTAGCTCAATTTATGTATCTTTTTTAGAAATAGAGTAACAAAATGAAGATTAGAAAATTCACATAAGGATAGGACATACTAAATTCCATTACACGTACAACTAAACTGAAAAGCTCATCAACTATTATATTAATTACCAATAAAAGAAGAAAAATCATACCAAACTAGATTTTAATTTAATTAAAGGAAAATGACAGACGGTCTAAAAGATATAGCCCTACAATATGCACCAAGTATTACTACTATAAAGGTTATTTACTAGACTAGACCAAATACATTTTCAAACCTTATTTGGAGAGATTAAATTGAAACATTCCCACATCTCAGAACGTCCTCTTTTTGCTACAGGATCCATTTTTGCGACTCGGTGTTTAATCACTGAATACTGAATCCTGAACCGTCAATCTCAGGTCATACAAAATGTATGGCAAGCCGCCCAATGAGCATTTATTCTGATATCAGGATATCAGCCAGAATTGTCATGAACATGTAAGCCATTTCTGTCCACTAGTTAACTAGTTAGCCATGTTTGTGTCAACTAGTTAAATATTGAAGGTGAAAATGTGCCCACTAGTTAACTAGTGACAGCAGAAATGCGCACTAGTTAACTAGTGAACACATTTAAGCTTCAGTAGTTAACTAGTTGACACAAAAACTGCTCACTAGTTAACTAGTAAAAGCAGAAATGCATACCAGTCAGCTACTTGAAGGTATTTGTCTCACTAGTTAACTAGTGAGGGTCAAAATGTGCACACTAGTTAACTTGTGGTAGACATAAATGTGCACTAGTTAACTAGTGAACACACTGAGCAATACTAGTAACTAGTAAAATATGAAACATTTTAACTAGTTAACTAGAGAGAATTTAGGCCTTACTAGTTAACTAGTGGACATTTTTACTAGTTAACTAGTTGACATTTAGGCTGTCACTATTTAACTAGTTGACACAAACATGGCTAACTAGTTAACTAGTGGACTGAAATGGCTTACATGTTCATGACAATTCTGGCTGATATCCTGATATCAGAATAAATGCTCATTTGGCTTACCATAAACTGCGCCTCTCGGTTTGCGTTGCTATAAATATTTGAAACAATGTGTGAAGCGGTCACGTGGGTGGAAGGGTGAATCGAAGCATCGTCGCTCATTGGTCACGTGACTTTCAGTAAACAAATCAAGCTCCGACACAGTGCTTTGCTCTGCGGTGGTTCGTTTTGGTGATACAAGCTTCGAATCCTGCGTGTCACAGGTAACATCACTAATTTGTACTGTTGTTGCTGGTCACAGGAGCTCTGCAAGCATGTGAGCGCTGGTGTAAATAAAAATGGGAAACTACTCCATCTAAGACTCCTCTGCATCATTTGTGCTGCTCCGCCTCCTACCGCTACCCGGTCCAGTTTACACACACACTTAACATTAATTCAGACAGTCAAGAATATTTAAAAAAAAAAAAATTTCTTCCTAAACTAAATGATTGTACATAAACAAAGTATGAATGAAATGATTGTTGTATAGATAACAGATGATGAATAAAATGATGGAATGTGAGCTAGATGTTTTAGCTAAACCTTAAGTATCTGAGAGAGATTGTGGAGTCTGGGTGGTAAAATCAGTTCGGCTGTATGGTTTGATAAGCTAGAGATTATTATTAAAACCATCTGTTATGACCCCGGTCATAAGGAATGTTATTTCTTTTATTTTTACACTCTTTGTATTTCTAGTGTTGTTTTCAGTGTGCAGGTGCCCTCCTAGGATTGGTGGATGATGGCCAGGGGACGTTTGGATTTGAAGATCAGCTGGGACAAAGCTGTTAAAAGGAGCCTGATGAGATGCAGCTGTGTTCTTCATTCTCCACTCATTCCAATCAACAACCACTTGATGCTCTGTGTTTGTGTGATGCCCTTGTGCCTTTTGTGACTAGTACCTGCCGTTCGAGGATTCTGTAGGGGTGAACCGCCTTTTTTCTTTGCATTCCTGTTTTCTCCTGTTTTGGATAGTCAGGGAGGTAAGTTTGGTTGTCAATTATTTCCTTTAAGTTTGTAGGTCAGTTGTCATTCAGAAGTTAGAGGTGTTTTGTTTATTGTTTTAGGCATTGGTTCACCCTGAGTTATTAATCATGCAGCTGTTTGACCACCTCAGTGACCTCAGCACCAGAGATTGGAGAATCCAACCCAAAGACACCAGACTCTGCTTCCTCACTGGAAGATGTGCCAGTAGGAGTGAGAAGGTCTTTGAAGTATTCCACCCACCGATCCGCAACGAGGTCAGCAGCACACGTCACCAATATAAACAGTGTTGGTAGTGCACTGCTGTCTCCTCCTGAAGCACCGGATGGTGAACCAGAATCTCTCCAAAATCTTGTTCCATGGTCTCACCAAACTCCTCTCACTCTCAGGTTTTTGCCTTTGTGACCACATGAGACATGACTGCATGTAGAGGGAGGTAGAGTGTAAAGTCGGTAAAGACAGCTCTCCCTTGCCCTGCCTCCAACATGCCTCCATCTAAATAGGATAGGTTATCCAGAGTTATCTCTGTAGTTATGCTGCTATAGGCTTAGACTGCTGGAGGACATACTGACTACTTTCCACACTCTACTACTTTCTTCTACAATCTGCTCTTTAACTGTATTACTTTCTGCTATTTCAGCTGTTAACTTTATTTTTTCTCTAAGTGTTTTTCTCCCCAGAAGAAGCTACAACGATGCTCTGCTGAGCTGTGGTGGCCTCATGGAGGGGACCATCGGCTAGCACACTGCTGCTAACCACTTAAACATTCTCCCTCTCCTGATATTATTTCTTAAACATTAACTGCCATTGACGACAAAAGTCGTCATTTCAAATCCAACAGTTCACTGCCAAAGTCGTCATTTGCATCTTTTCATGGTGTAGGTGTCGGAACAAGCCCCCACACTGTGAGAACAAACATCTCAGCTCTAAAGCCGATCTTCATCCGCATACGTCACATGATCAGGAAGCAGAAAATCCATGTGTTAGGTGATCGTTTTGGGCCGCTACTGTAAAAAAACGTGCGGCGCGAACTGGAAAAGTTGCTGCCGATCACAATTCAACAACGGTGTCATGTTTGGAGGAAGATACCTAAGGCATGCAGAATGCAACACAGACCAAGAACGGATGGGGGGGGGGGGGGGGGGGGGAATGATTTATTTATAACGAAGGAACTGAGGATGCACAGAAAAGTCTGTGGTAGGTACTGCTGTGACAGCTCAGCGTCTGGAAGAGGGAGAACATAGGTGAGTATTGATTTTGATTCAGAGGTCCGTTATAGGCAGAGGTGTTCAGCAGAACTTACTGTGGGACGTGAGTTTGCTGGCTGGAGGAGGGAGCAGGTTGTGAGCCGGGGAAGCGCAGGAGAGGGAGCATAGGTGGACGAAAGCGGGGCATCCTGGTGGATGGGGCACTGGGTTGAGATGAGAGAGGAGGGTTATGGAGATAGGTGACATGGTCCGCGTGCTGAGTATCCAAATCCTGGAGCCAGAGGTAGGTATCCAAAAGCAAGCGACCAGAGAACAAGCGGGAATCCTGAAGAGGGAAGTAATCCACAATAAGCTCCAGGAGGTAGCAAAAGCCAAAAATTCCAAAATACCTAGAGCAAAAAATACTAAAACACAAGAATCCTAAAGATACAAGAGGTAACTCAAGTGGCTGGGTACTACCAAGCTGAGGCAATCTTCCGGCCTTGAATTGTGTCCTCCATCCACCTCAAATAGGAAAACACCCTGCTGATTGCTGATCTGGAACAGCTGGGGCACTCCCTCTCCTGGCAAGAGACTCAAAGATGGTTAGGTGAATGAGAGTACTCACCCCGGCTCATGACAAATGGATTATGAAAGAATAGATAACACCCAGGGGGAGCCCAAAACGGTCCTGGTTCTACTTATATTACATTGTCAATGTGGACTTTCCGGGATTATTTAGAGCTGAGAGGCACAGAGCTCTGATTGTTGATGCACTCCAGACAGATGTGTCCTGAGAACGGACACAGTAACATTATTGAAGTGTCGCTAACTCAAAAACAAAGTTAACATGCGATCGTTCGTGCCTGATGTGTTTTGCTGCTGTGGAGCAGAGCGCATCACCAGTTTTGTCTTCCGGTGGCTTCACCGCACCGGTGCGGTCAGCGCGCGGCGCTCACTCCTCTATTTTTGCGGTCAGTAGATCTTTTAGAACTGCAGTTCAAAAGTAATTCATGAGGTGAAAATATATGAAGCCAGGTAGCAGTTTTTCCTTAGGATTGAGAGGAGATGCAGGAAGATAATAAACAGACAGGACAGAAAAATAGTCAAATAAAAACAAGTTAGTTTTTGTACCTGGTGGTTACAACAAACAAACACCACTGAAGGCAATGGCGCAAAAAGTGTGTATGCAGTGTGGCGCCGTGCTGAAGGGGGCGCCTAATCAATGATGGAAGATAAGGGCATTTTGTGTTTCATAGCTATTTGTGCATGTGTAAATTAAATATATATTAACAGATGCAAGTGATTGGACGCCCCCGACACACACACACACACACACAGAACGTGAACACTCTTGACGAGTCCAGTGCGTGCGCCCGCGAATACCCACTGGGGCGAGAGTGTTTTCATTTGAATATTCACTGTCATCTGATCAGCTAGCTAGGTTAGCTAGAGATGTAAAGACCAAAAAAAAAAAAAGCTCTCTGGGGAGAAACGGAAGAGGGAAAAGGAAAATGATTTCGTAGGGATGAAAAAAAAAACTTCAAAGTGGTTGAAAGACAGTAGGTAAGTCATCTTGCAAGAAGGCAGTTATTCCTATTAGCTGAAGCTGCTAGCCTGCCACAAGTAAAATGACAGGTTACGGGTGTCTAAGTCTTCTGTATGGATCACAAGATCAGTGTTTTAATCTCACACAGGCTTCTGGGGGCAGTCGGATATCCGTGAGAGGAGGGGGGGGGGGGGGGTGTTGTTGATTCCGTTAGATCTAAGTGAGGAGGGGTTTCTGTTTGTCGAATATTAATAAAAATATGTAACAGAAATCACAAGAAAAATAAAGGAACCAGGGGTGGTTATTTTGTAATCCAGTAATGACAGTAATCCTTTGTTTAATTGGATGTTGAGTGACAATACTGATAAATTATTGAATTGGGTGATGCACTTCCGATTTGCTCTTAAATTCCTGCAATTTTAAACTAAAATATAATGTTTTTATATGTAGTTTGAGTCTTGTAGTTTTTAAAAATTCTAAATTCAAATTTCTTATTATTCAGATGTGAGGATGGAGACAAAGAGGAAAAGAAGAGAAACAAAGAACAGAGAGAGGAAGGCATCAGGTTGGTCTAATACTAGGTGGAAGGGAACACTCACTTAATACCAAGTGATCAATTTTTAAATAGGATTTATAATGATCAAGTGCATTTTCCAGAGTAGTAATTTATAGCTGTTAAATAATGCTTGAGACCAGTGATGACAGATAGAAATACATATATATTAATATAGGAATTCTAGTATGATTAGAATTTTAATGACCATCCTTTAAGAAAAATAAGTGCAGGCAGACAAGACAAGTCAATGACTACAGAGGAGACTGTGGAGCAGAGAGGTCTACATGATGAAGAAGAGGGACAGAAACAGAGAGATCCACATGATGAAGGAGAGAGAGAACAGAGAGGTCTACACGAAGAAGAGGGAGAGGAACAGAGAGGTCAACATGATGAAGAAGAGGGACAGAAACAGAGAGATCCACATGATGAAGGAGAGAGAGAACAGAGAGATCTACACGAAGAACAGGGAGAAAAACAGAGAGGTCAACATGATGAAGAAAAGGGACATGATGACAATTCCAGCAATGCTCATCATGGAGAATAACCCAAAATGCACTTTAGGTGCATGGTTTTCAATGTCATTGTGGGCACCATCCTGCAAGAGCCATCAGACAGGTTTTCCAATCTTTGGCTTGTGTGTAAGAAATTTAAAATCATCACTATAATGGATCAGATGACACAAACTGAGCTGGAAGAATCAGTTACCACATTTGCCATGACTACCTCTGATGTTTCCATGTAACGTTACTCTTACTGTGATCAAGCGTTTGTTTCCCATGCATTCTGACTCTGACAGTCAGGAGTCTGACTGTGAATTTTCGTATTTGCTGCCCAAGGGGAACGTTAGAACATACCATCTGGCGAGGGGGAGGTTACAAATACCCTCTACTTTTAACCTCCACCGTGGTAGTTGAAACCTCCCCCTCGCGTTGGCTCGGTCCAAACCCGACCAATGACGAGGCGGCTCCCACCGTTCACTTCATAGAGCCGGCTTTCAGAGTGACCGACACATCACTAACGTGTTCGCTAGCAAGATGGTTAAGGTTAGGATAAGGGTGAGGGGAAGGTTAAGAGGATAAGGTTAAGGTGAGGTACAATGAGCTTGTTTGGTGCCCTGGCTGCAGACATCCCATCGCGTCAGTGTAACGCTGCATTGGGATCTGCAGTCAAATAAGGGAAAAAACCCTTTTCGCACATAAGTGACGAAAAAGGGCACTTTTGGCGTCAGGGGTCTGACGTGGAGGTTGGCTGACCAAGCGTTTGTTTTTGACGCGCTGGGAGTGAGAATGTGTTGCGTTAACAAGATGGTGCCTGTGCTTGGCTTAGCCGCAGTCATTGTCCACTTTCTCAAACTTTTCTCCACTAACCTCCTCTTTTCCACCTTGCTCCTGTCTGTGATCCTCTTCAGTAGTGTCCCTGCTACCATCTCCTATGATCGCCAAACTCTTTTGTCCTTCCGTTCGTTCACGATCACCCAAGATGCTCCGAGGACGTACCATCCTGTTTGTTTACCTGAGTGGGCACTGGCCCGGAGCCAAACGAAGATTCCAATCATGGCGTTTCCAGCGATGTTTATCCGGTCCCGGGAAAACGTCGGAGGAAAAGAGGTAAACGAGCAGGAATCTAGGTGAGAATAAGACTTCTCTTAAAGCGTGGTTTATCTAGTAAACATCGGCATGATCTTCTAGCTTCTAGTCCTTTGTTTGGTGACTTGAGCGCCACTTCCGCATTCCCGCCAGGCCGCGTTGCGGCGCGGCTTCTCCGTCCAAATTTTTTAAGGTTGGTTTATCCTCATTCCTCAGTGGTTTCTCCTCCTGTTCCCTCCATAAGTGTTTTTTATAAACACCATGGATCTAACCCCGCTAATTTATGTCCACTAACTCCAGCTGTTTCTGTAGTTTCTGGTTCCTCCACCTCACTCAGCATGGCTCTATTAAATACCCGCTCTGTTAACAATAAGTCCTTCCTGCTCAATGATTTAATTCTCTCTAAAAACCTGGATTTTCTGTTTCTGACTGAAGTTTGGCAGCAAACATCTGATTATTCTGGTCTGGTTGAACTCTGCCCGAGTGGTTATTCTTTTCTTAGCCAGCCCCGGGGTTCTGGTCGTGGTGGAGGCCTAGCTGTTGTTTTCAGAGACCATCTTCCATGTAGCTCTACAACCTCTGGTCACTTTGCTTCCTTTGAACTTCAGCTGATTAAAGTTGGGCGTAAGGACCCGTTCTACTGTGCTGTGGTTTATCGTCCACCTGGTCCAAACAGTCCTTTCCTTCAGGAGTTTAGTGACTTTCTATCCTCCACTGTGAAGCCTTCCAGACTGGTGATTGTTGGTGACTTTAACATCCGTGTTGATGATCCCTCTGATCACTTCGCCACAAATTTCTCCAGCCTTATGGACTCCTTCAGCTTTACCCAGCATGTTTCTGGCCCCACACACACCAGGGGGCACACTCTGGACCTTGTTTTTTTCCTGAGTCTAAATGCTGACAGTGTTTGTCCTGAGGATGTTTATATTTCAGATCACCACTGCATTTTCTTTTAACTTGTCAGTTTCTGCATCCCCACCTCCTGCTCGCCGTATGGTTAGTTCTCGTTTTCTTAATGAGAGCACAGCTAGCAATTTTTCTACTGCTTTTGATCCACCCTGTTCTTCTGATAACGACCCAGATTCCTTAACTTCTCAGTTTAACGAGCACTGCCTCTCCATTCTGGACAACATCTGTCCTGTCAGAACCAGATCAGTTCCTGCAGTGAACCCTACTCTCTGGTTTAATGACAGCCTTCACAACCTGAAGCGCCAATGCAGAAAAATCGAGCGTTTGTGGAAGAAAACCCATCTCCACGTCCATCTGCTGCACCTAAAGGATCTTCTGACATCCTTTAACTCTGCAGTCAGAGACGCTAGGGTTTCCTATTTCTCTAACCTGGTCTCCCAGAGCAAAGGGAACCCCAAAGTGTTGTTTAACACCATCAGCAGCATCATCTCTCCTGTCTCTCCTACAGCCTCCATCCACTCTGTTGCAGACTGTGGGAACTTTCTGTCTTTCTTTGTGGACAAAGTCAATAAGGTCAGATCTAGCATCTCTCCTTCAGCCTTATCACCACCTCTCCCAACTCCAACCAGGCCCATCATCCTAGATAGCTTTGCTCCTGTTTCTTTGCCTGAGTTAACCAAACTAGTTAACTCTATGAAGACCTCTGCATGCCCCCTTGACATCTTACCCTCATCTTTGTTTAAAAGTGCTTTTCAGTCCATCGGTCCCAGCGTGCTCTCTGTAATTAATGCTTCTCTGGTTTCTGGTCAGGTCCCTGCTTACTTTAAGAACGCTGTAATCCACCCACTTCTTAAAAAACCGAGTCTTGACCCCTCTCTCCATAGCAGCTTCAGACCCATCTCTAAACTTCCGTTCATCTCCAAGATCTTGGAAAAGGTTGTGGCTAAACAACTCACAGCTGCTCTTGATGAACATAACATCTATGATAGCTTCCAGTCATGTTTTCGTAGAGCTCATTCTACTGAAACAGCTCTTCTTAGGGTCTCTAATGACCTTCTGACCCACAGTGATGCAGGGGACTGTTCTGTTCTGGTCCTGCTGGACCTGACTGCAGCCTTTGACACTGTTGACCATCACCTGCTCCTGGAGAGGCTGAGAGACTGGGTAGGCCTATCAGGATCTGCTCTGGAGTGGTTTTCCTCTTCTCTCTCTGAGCGCTCCTTTTCTGTGGCCGTCTCCAAGTTTAGGTCCTCCACCACCTCCCTTACCCATGGTGTCCCACAAGGTTCTGTGCTGGGTTCTCTGCTCTTCCTCCTCTATCTGCTTCCTCTTCAGCACATCCTGAGCTCCTTCAAAGGAATCTCCTACCATATTTATGCAGATGACATCCAACTGTACATCTCCTTTAAGCCCGATGAGATGTCTAAGCTGCAGCTGTTACACACCTGCTTAGACTCTATCAAAACCTGGATGATGGGAGCTTTCTTCAGCTGAATGAAGATAAGACTGAGATCCTCATCTGTGCCCCAGACAAGCTGGTTCCCAAAGTCAGAGACTCTCTTGGTCAGCTTGCTTCTCACACCAAACCTTCCGTCAGGAATCTTGGCGTGACCTTTGACCCTGCTCTCACCCTGGATTCTCATGTCAGTTCTCTTGTTCGCTCTTCCTTCTTCCATCTCAGGAACATTGCTAAGCTGAGTCCCATTCTGTCCCGCTCTGAACTTGAGACAGTTCTCCACACCTTCATCTCCTCACGCTTAGACTACTGTAACTCTCTTTTCACGTGTCTGAGCAGAACCTCCCTGAACCGTCTACAGGTGGTTCAGAATGCCTGTGCTCGGCTTCTGACCAAGTCCTCCAAACACACCCACATCACCCCGCTTCTCCTCCAGCTTCACTGGCTGCCAGTCAACTTCAGGGTTCATTTCAAGATCCTGGTTCTGGTCTTTACGACCTTACATGGACAAGCACCATCTTACATTGGTGATCTTCTTAGTCCCTACACCCCCAGCAGGTCCCTGAGGTCCAGTGATCAAAGCCTACTGGTTGTGCAGCACCAGGCTAAAGACCAAAGGTGACAGATCATCTGCTACTGTGGCCCCCAGACTCTGGACCTCTCTCCCCCTGAGCCTGAGATGAGTGGACTCAGTAAGCAGCTGAAGACTCACTTGTTCAAGCTGGCTTTTGTATGACCTTCTTCACCACTCTCTCTTTATTCTGCTCTCCCCACCTATTCCATCTTTCTCAGGATCCACTGATTTCCCTCTTTCCTATTCACTCACTCTCTTTCTTAACATATTTTTAGTCACAATTGCCTATTTTTGCTCACCTAAAATATATTTTTAAACATTTTCTAAATGCTTTTTTACATTTTTTGCTTTTGTGAAGCACAGTGTTTTTTTTTTTATCTTGAGAGATGCTATAGAAATGATATTTTCTTTCTTCTTCTAAATTTCCTCATTCAGGAGAATCTTGATTTGGTGTTCCCAAATTTGACAGTAGTCCTTAGCGTATTCCTCACCATGCCTTTGACAGTTGCATCTGCTGAGAGATCAATTAGTAAGCTGAAGCTTTTGAAAACATACCTTCGTTCGAGTATGAGCAATGATCGCTTGATTCAGTTGGCAGTGATCTCTATTGAAAACAGTGTGGCACGGTCTATCTCATTTGATGCTATTCTTGACAAATGGGCGAGTGTAAAGGCACGGCATGTTACAATTTAGTGTAAACATTCGAACATCGAGTACAAGCTGTTGTTCAGATATGTTATATTTGTACTACAGAGAATGTAGTGAGCATTTTTGTTACACACTTTCTCACTGGATTGTAGGAGCCATTTCCTTAGCCTACAACTTCAAAGGCGCTCTACCTCCTGAGGGTCTTTGTGTCCATTCTACTAGAGGACTTTCTTCCTCATGGGCTAGGGCTGCGGCGAGTTGGACCTCCCCTCACACATTCACTCGGTTCTACAAGCTAGATGTCACAACACCGTCACTAGCTCACTCGGTGCTGAGTATGGCTCCCACTATCTGAGCTGTGCACACGATATGATATTTGGGAGTAGAGTCTGTGGATCATGTTCTGCCTTGCAATCCAGGAGTCAGTATTTTCCCATGGAGAGACACGAAACGAATGCTATGAAAGAGAACTTTAGGTTACTGTCGTAACCCCGGTTCTCTGAGTAGCATGAGTGAGTGTCTCACTATTTCGTAGCAAGGAAGAGGTGGTCATTTTAGAATACTGTCAGTGAGGGGCCGGCCCAATATATGGGTGCTTCCTATACGCTGACAGATTTGGTCCAGCCAATCAGGGCTGGCAGTGTGGAATAAGAGCTTCTGATGAGGTCACGCCTAGGCGTTCCCATAGTGAGACACTCACTCATGCTACTCAGAGAACCGGGGTTATGACATTAACCTAAAGTTTGTAACAAGATGAAAACACAGAGACTGGCAGCTTATAGTGCTGAAATCATGCTTTATTAAATCTGTAATGCATCAAACTCCAGGAGGAAATATAATCCTACATCAGCAAATTAATTCAGAGTGCAAGGCGTTAGCGAAAACTTCTGCTCACAGGAGACTAACTCAGTGAAGTAAGATAACCCTGAAATAACTAAAACTACACACACACAAACAACACATTACTACCATCCTCCAGGAGGTGGCGCTGTTTCTGCATGGGAGAGCCGGCTATGACTTCCTGTTCTTTCATGGCCAGGAGATGTTTCTACAGTGAAGCCAAGCTGACCTGTCCTGTGTTAGAAGCAGCGCTCTGTTTAAATGAATCCAAACGCTGGGAGTGCAGGCCGCTCGCACCCCGGCGGGTCATCCTATCATGGTGGTACGACACAGTTGAGCTGAGCACGAGGCCGGTTCACGCTGCGTACATGAGGGTGGTGCACACAGCGCTCAGGGCCTCACGCTACAGGAAACCGTAAGATCACACGCACAAACGAGTGTCCAAAACAAGAACTTTGTTTTTTTGGTTAGGGTTCAGAACATCAACAGGGAGCCTCTCTACCTGTTGAGGCAATCTTACGTCTTCAACTTCTTGTTGAGGCACAGAGTTTAGTTTCTCAGTTAAACAGGGTATTCGTTCCCGTAGAAACTTTCTCCTGTAAACTACATTTAGTTTCATTAAGTTTCAGTTCATATTGTCATAAATAACAATGCATACATTTCCCATAACCGGTATATTCGGCTATATACATTATGTACATGTCACAGAAAAATGGATCAAGTCAGTGTGATCCAATATGGCACACTTAACACCTTTAGACTTTAGTTTGGCAAAAATAATGTCAAGTTTGGTACAAAAATAGTTCATATTTACAAGAATTTTCCAGATTGTTATCAAATAAAATTACTGTAAATAAGATGTGGGAAACGGGGAACGGGGACCAGGATTAGGTTTTTTTTTCACATGGATCGTATGTGAACGTTGACTGTTGCAGAGTCAGAACCAAACTCGTTTGATAGTCGCAGGGTGTACGCCCCGGCATCGTCCTCCTTCACTGCACATATCCGGAGGGTTGAGAGGTCAGCTCCGTTCTCCACATGGAACCGCTCGTCCCCATTGGGAAGAACCCGTCCTGAGTGGACCCATTGTACCGAGGGGACGGGCTCTCCAGAGAACACACAGGCCAAGGCCAGGGATTTCCCGGGCTCAGCGGTAACGTGCTGAGGGAGGGCTTCGACCTTTGCTGGAGAGCCTGTTAGAGAGGATGAACTTAATTTAATAATGGTTTCCACATCTGGGACTTCAGGAATCATAAATGACAAACAGCTTCCACCACGTCCACAAGCCAACGTCAAAAACTAATAAACAGTTTCTCCTGAAAAAGCTGCTATTTTGGCCAATGAATGTTGACGTTCTACTACACAGTTTAAACATATGACCCCTCAAATAACACTTTAGGTTGCTGAAAGAACTGATCTTTGTTCAGGGAGTGTGGTGTCATAGACTCACCTCTTCTCACGGCAGTGGGGAAGGGATCGACATGCGAGTGCACACACATTTCCGTGGTTTGACTGCTGGATCTCATGGAAACCACCGACTCAGACACCACGGCAGACACATTAGTCGCAGACATGCTCAATAACGAATATCTGGCTGCTGCAGCAGAGCTTGAAGTGCTGCTGGCTTTCGTCTGAACTGAGGAGGCCAAGACACATTTCTGCATGCTTGCAGTACCATCAGTGGCAGCTATATGTTCCACTACAGTCTGTTGTGTTGGTTCCTCAACAAGAGCTGTGAGAATGCATGACAAGCAGGAAGCCCAGGTCACAAAGGACAACATAGACAACACACCTTCTTCAGCTGGAGAGGACCCTGGGGCACCCTATTGTTCATTACAAGCGCCTGGAGCCAAAACCCTACAACAATGTTTGATTGCTTGAACAGAGGTCACTTACTGTAAACGTTGAGTGATGAGGTTGCAGAGCACTGCCCAAAATGATTTCTGGCTTTTACTGTGTATTTTCCAGTGTCTTCAGTGGTGGCTTCACATATCTCGAGAGTGTAGATATTCCTGGACCGGCCGAGTTTGATGTTTGGTGTGACAGGAATCTGCAAAAATGGATTGAAACAGGTTAACAACAGCCATTAATATTCAGTCCCAACAGCAAAACTGGAAAGAAGGAAACTCACATTCATGTTGTCTTTTAACCAGTCCACTTCAGGAAAAGGCTGTCCTGCTACTTCACAGGTAAACTTGACATTTTCTCCCTCATTCACATTCTGGGACTTAGGCTGCACCAGGAAATGGGGTGCATCCATATGGCTTGGTGAGGACACAACCTCCTTTACAGAGGACATGAGTTCCTCATGCACCACCTCTTGACTCAGGACTTCAGAACATTCAGTGAAATCCCTCAGGCCTGCTGGGAAAGATGCCCCCTTTTCAGCAGGTGATGAAATGTCACTCTTTGGCGACTTGAACGGAGGAATCGTTTGTTCCTTTTCAGATGGAGTAGGAGATTTGGGAGTAGGGGACTTAGGAGTTTGAGATTTGGGAGTAGGGGACTTAGGAGTTGGAGATTTGGGAGTAGGGGACTTTGGTGACACTGGAGACTTCACTCTTTGAGGGGACTTGACTGGCTCAGGGGACTTAACTCTCTGAGGGGATTTGATTGGCTCAGGGGACTTGGCGAGTGGGGATTTAGCCTCAGGAGAAGTAACTCTGGAAAAGGCAGCTAGTTTCTCCTTAGACTCAGACTTTTTGATTGTTAAAGTGAAATTTGCTTCTTGTTTTCCTAAAGTATTTTCTACTAGTAGAGTGTAGCTCCCTTCATCTGATGCCTCTACAGCAGAGATCTCAAAGGTGGAGTTGTACTGAGTTGAGACAATGTGGTGACGGGCAGAGGGACCAACAGTTGCTTCTTCATGAAGCCATGTGATAGAAGGTGCTGGTTCACCATCCACATCACACTCAAACCTGGCACTGCCTCCTTCTTCCACAGTCAGGGACTTTGGTTTGGTCAGAATTGTGGCAGGAACACCTGGCTTCTCCTTGTGCTTCTCAACAACTGTGACGGTCTCTTTTGCAGTTTCAGTGACAGCCTCTTCTGCAGTTGTTTTAGAAGATGAAACATGGTACACTTCTGTTCTAGTCATCTCTGGCAGAAGGGCTGAAGGAGGCTCTTCGTCTTTGTGAGGTGATGAGAAAGCTGCATATTCTTCTCCTGCAACATCCAATGTAGCATAATCAGAGGTTTCTCCTTTAGAGTTTCTACAGATGACACGGTAGGTACCAGAGTCCTCTGTCACACAGTTGTTGATATGCAGAGTTAAAACTCCACTGGCATTGGTCATTTGGTATTTGCTGCCCTGGGTAATTTCTGCCCCATTGTGGAACCACGAGATATCAGGTTCAGGTTTTGCCTGGATATTTAGGGTGAAGCTTGTGTTGGAGCCATAAGGGGTGCGATGAGAGCGCATCCTAATGGTAATGCGTGGGGCATGGTCCAGGCTAAAGGGAACCTGAGTCACAGCCTCATGTTTCCTCTGTACAGATGTTCTTTCTGACAGCAAAGCCTGCTTTCGTTCTTCATACCTAGACATGAAGTCCACTTTAGAAAAAGTAACATCTGTTCTCAAGCCTTTATCCTGAGTGAGAGATCTGGTTGACTCTGGTTCAGGTGAAGGAAGCTTTTTGACTGGTTTAGGAATATATTCTGATGTGATAGTTGTCAGATGCTCAGACTCAATAGTTTCAGAAAAGGCTGAAACTGTAACGGTTGCCTCTTTTTTGGAGGTTCGAGTCTTCTCCTCAAACTCTATACGTTTGAGCTGGCTCTTGTAAGAAGATATTCTCTCTGTGGTTGTGTGTGGGCGTAGTAGTTCCAAATCTTCTCTCTCTTCGTATACTTTTTGTTTCTGCCTCGGAGGTTTGTATGTGGTTTTGTCATGACGCTGGCGAAGGTCCATAAAGCTCGGACCAGCCTCGTACTTGGATGGAATTCTGTATGAGTCATATCGTTTAACCTCTTCCACCCCCTCGTCATCACTATAGACTCTCCTGGGTGATGAAGAACGTAATGCTGACAACTCAAAGCGAACTGGGCTGAGACTGGGTGGAGAAGCAGAGTAACCTAGTTCTAGCTCTTCCTCCAAACGAAGCCGCTCCTCCTCTGTTCTTTTCATGGACAGATACTCATTGACAGGCAGCAACAGCTCCTCATCTGACAGATCCCCCAGAGACTTCCTCCTCATCCTGCGATAGGCTTCCATTTCAGGAGAGGGAGTGCGATGTCTTGAAGGCCTCACAGTCTCCAGGTCATCTTGAGTCAGAGATGAGATGTGCCACTTGGGCTTATACTGTTCCTTAATCCTGACAGGCACTTCATAGAACTGTTCCCACCTGGAGAGACGAATACGTTTCATTCTCTTCTGCCGAATCTTCTCCATTGGCTCAGGGAATTCGTACTGATCCCGCACCTTCTTGTACCATTTCATATCAGAAAGTGGTTGGAAGTGTTTTATTTCCACATCTTCCTCAAGAGCAGCAGAGTTAGTGGTACGAGGAGGGGGGACAACATAGGGCATACGCAGCCTCTTCTCCTCTGCCCGCTTTTTCCTCTCTTCCTTTTCTTTCTTTATCTCGGCCTCAGTCTTCTCACCCTTCTTAGTTGTAACAGCAGGTTTGTAGATGGTAGCCGCTTCCCGAACAGCTTCAATGGCTAAAGGTGGCAGAGGTGCAACTACAGTGCCAGCCAAAATTTGGGACAGTCTAACCTTTTTGTCTAACTCCTCTTGCCTAGCTGCTTTTGCTTTCTCTTTTTCACTGGCCTCGTACTCCTTCTTCACGTGAGTTACTCTTTCTACTTTGAGTGTTGCTTGGCAACTGGCAGATCCAGCACTGTTAGTAGCCGTTACTCTGTACACACCAGAGTCTTCTGGAAGAGTGTCTTTCACATGAAGGATGTAGTAATCCAAGCCCTCATGTACAACCTCGATGGATGGTCCAAAAGCTAAAGGTGTGCCATCCTTTTCCCATTTGAGTTTTGGATGACCAGAGACTCTGATCTCAAAACGGATGTTCTGACCCTCCTTGCACTCAACATTTGCCAGCAGTCGTTTAAACATGGGCCGCAGGGTGAGGTCTGCTGGCTTAGGCCTGGGAACAACGGTGAGGCGAGCCTTGCAGCTGTCATCACCATACCTGTTGCGAGCTACAACACTGTATTCAGCATCATCTTCTTTCTCCAGGTTATGGATGATCAGCTGGTACAAACCTTTGTCACTAATGAAGGTGTACTTCTTGTCATCATGTCCAGGGATGAGCTTTTGCCCAGATTTGTGCCAGATGACACGAGGTTCAGGGTGAACTGTGATTGTGACACCAAAACGCACATCCTCACCTAAATAGGCAGTACGGTTGACCAAGGGTAGGGTAAACTCTGGTGGTTTCTGAAGCATTCTAGAAGTGTCAATTCTGCGTTTTGTTCTCCTCACCACACGGGTGGTGAAAAAGTCCTGATAGGACCTGACACCAGTGACAAACAGCTCAGCATAGGTACTGTCTTCACCATATTCATTCACAACCTTGCACCTGTAAGTGCCATCATCTGCTCTTGTGACCTTGTTGATGGTTATTACAGCCAGACCATCTTCATATTCAATTTCATATTTTTCTCCAGCTTCAAGTTGCCTGACACCGCAGTACCATGTGACCTCAGTGGTGCTATCATAGTTTTCAATGTTGCAGATGAACTTCACACTATCTCCATCCTTCACCACTGCATGGCTAATCTGTCCTGCAACAGGACCATTTTCAAAGGGAGCAATCTTCACTTTGGCCACAAAGACGCCACGTTGGGACCTGATTGAACCACCGTTGGCCACCCGGGCTGCAGAGATAACAGTGCTCCATTCTTTTCTGACTATTGTTTGGTAGTATCTCTTGTGCCTGCCAGTTGGCATTGCTCTAGCACTAATCTCTTCAGCAGGTTTTGTAAGCCAAGGATGCAAAAGAGCTTCAGCTGAAGTCATACGGTGCTTACGTTCCTTCGTCATTAGACGGTCTGTGAAGTCTAGGGCTTCTACACTGACTTGCTTGAAGGACTCGTCATCATAGCTGTAGGCTGCATTGGATATGTTATCAATCATCTGTTGGTTGGTCTCAGCTGTGAATGGGTTGAGCCCACTGAGAAGGACATAAGTAAGAACCCCAACTGCCCACATGTCAGTGACTGTGCTGATCATGTCACACTGGTGGATCTCAGGAGCAGCATACTCTGCGGTGGTGTACTGAATCTTGATTTGTTCTCCAGGAGTTAAGTGTCTAGATTGCCCCAACTCAATGATTTTCACAGTAGAGCTGTTCCTAGTAGTGTACACAATATTCTCCGGTCTAATATCTAAATGTCCATAACTCTGAGAATGCAGAAACTCCAGAGCTGAACACACCTGCTTGATGTAGTTAACAATCTCAAGCTCACTGAGCTCAAACTCTGCTGTATTAAGGCGTTCAAAGATATCAAGACCAGAGATGAAGTCATAGATCATTACCAACTCCTCTGGGCTTTCGAAGGACTCACGAAGGAGGAGGAAGTTGGCGTGTCTGGCCAGATTGAGTGTTGCAATTTCCTTCTTAATTATCGCCTGATCCGCTCCTCTGACTTTGACAAATTTAGCCATGTAAGTCTTTTCAGAGCGCACGTCAACACAGCGGTGAACTATGCCAAACTGACCCCTGCCCAGTTCCTCTGCAATTGAATATTTGTTGTGCAGATTCTTAGTATCAGAGTGTTGAGCTTTGCCCTTGGGTACATGCGCAGTGTCATCTACCTCCTGATCATAAAGCAGAACCCTGGATTTGTCTTCTTTGGTCATTACAGGTCCACTGGTCTCTGATGGGGCACTCTGTCCAAACTTGTTCTCAGCAATAACTCTGAATTGGTAGCTCGTTCCTCCAAAAAGATTAATAACTGTATAGTGGGTGTCACGGGACTGAGCGACACGTTGCCACCTCTCAGCAGTTGTAGGACACTTCTCAATGATGTAGCTTATAACTTTGCTGCCCCCATCATTTGCTGGAGCCACCCAGTTTAGTGTTACCGAGTCTCGTGAGACATCATTGGCTTTGATACCACGAGGTGGATCCGGCACATCAGCAACATCAAGTTCAACTGTTTGTTGGTCAATGCCAAATCTGTTCTTGGCACAGACAATGAAGAAACCAGCATCTTTCTTTTCCACCCCATTGGGGAACACCAACGAAGTGAAAGATCTGGTGACAATGACCTGGTAGTGGCCATTGCTGTCAATGAGATCTTGTCCCTTCTGCCATGTGATGACTGGATCTGGTTTTCCACTGAAAGGAATCTTGATGTTGACTACTTCTCCACGTAGGGCAGGGATGGCTTCCTTGTCCTTAAGATTCTTTGGCAGGTGGATCTTGGCAGGGACTGAGAAAGAAGAAAAATGTTTCAATGATATGATTGGTTTCAAGTAGATATAGGTGTGTTTCCACTGTCGGGACTTCAGGCTAATTTTACTGGAACTTCCTGGCATGCACACGTGTCTACTTTACATGGCCGACCGAATGGGTCGTTTTCAGGAACATTTGGAGAACCCGATTAGGGGTCGATACTCTAAATTGCCCAGTGGAGTAGAAGAGTGTAACATTTGGTTAACCCATGCTGATTAGTTGTAACACAGTAGGAAATGACATCAACAGACCTCGTCTAAAACAACCAGCGTTAGTAAAATCAGAAGACTTGCTTGTGAAGCAGAATGGAAGCAAAAGAAATTAAGCACAGTTCACAATACTTTAAGATCACAGTACTTAACTCTTAACATGGAAAAACACGGCGAATTCCCCCACAATGACCTAATTCATGGGGCTTTGTTTTCTCACAGAGCGCCTTAAAAATGAAGCTTCATGGCTACGAATGCATGACAGTTTGCTGCACTTTGACAGAATTAAACCTTTAATGTTGTTAATGTCGCTGTGTACACTTTGGCCACCTCATCTCCTGGTAAATTTTCCCCTCCCAGAATTTACCCTGAAGTTCCGACAATGGAAACCCACCATACGTTATCATTGTTAAGTATTTGTTAACTTACTTTCCACATCTAGAGAAATGGTAGCACATATAGAGCCTCCTTGGTTAGTGGCCCTTATCTGGTAAACAGTGGAGTCCTCCTCATCAGCTTCAGTGATAACCAGCTGGTGGTATCCTCCCTTAAATTCCTGGATCTTGATCTTCTTTCCATCTGAATGGATCTCCTTTCCTCGTCTAAACCATTTTATCACAGGCTTGGGTTGTCCGGTGATCTTGCATACCAGGGTAGCGTTGCTCTTGTATTTGACACTCATGTTCCTCAATTCTTCCTTGAAAGCGGGAGCACGAACTTCCACTGCTGTGGCTGGAATGATAGGAGTTGTTTCCTCACTGTAGTCACTTTCTCCTCCAAGGTTCTCACACTTGACACGGAAAATGTACTCAGTGCCCTCAGTGAGATGCTTGACCGAAAATACTGTTTGTTTGATCTCATCTGTGGTGACCAGAGTCCAATCGGTCCATTCCTTCTTATCCTTCTTGTTCTTCTTCTCAAGGCAGTAGCTCTTGATCTTGGATCCACCATCATTGAGTGGAGGTTTCCAGAAAACAACACACGAGTCCTTGGTGATTCCAGAAACAACTGGGGACAAAGGTGCTGATGGTCTCTCTGGACATGAAATTAAAAAAAAAACATCAGCATCTTTATTTTGTGTTTCTAGGTCTCACTTCTATTCTTTTGAAATTAAACATGAATTTATGAACTAGTTCAAACACATCTTAACACCACAGTTCACATACCCAGTTGGCTCTTAATTAGAATAGGGGAAGTGATCTCCAGCGGCTCACTGTTACCATAGCGATTCTGTGCATACACACGGAAGAAGTATCCAGCACTGTCAATAAGGCTGGGAACTCGACAGGATGTGCTGTTAATGGATGAAGAGACCAGTTCCCATTCACTGCCCTCCTTGTCTTCACGCTTTTCCACAATGTAGTTGGTAATCACACAGCCTCCATCATCCTTGGGAGGCTTCCAGCTGATGATAACAGAGTTCTTAAGGAGTGCATCTAGCACAATAGGGCCCTGCGGTATGTCTGGTTTATCTGGGAACAAAGGTGCATAATCTTATTAGTTACAAATATTATACTTTGATGACCGTAAACATTGATGCAATCAAAGCAGGTACATTTTGCAGCATACCATAGATTTCAACGTTGAATGCAGTGTCAGCCCTGCCAAAGTGGTTGTGCAGTCTTATCCTGTATTTCCCTCCATGCACTCTGCGTTGGACGTTCTTGATGACCAGATGTGTGTAGTGCTCTGTGGTTTCAATGCTAATGTCCTCTGTGTTTTCTAGTGTCTTTGCCCCATGTAGCCACATGATCTTTGGCTGAGGACGACCAATGTACACAGCATGGATGCGGAGGGTGGTTCCCAGTCCGGCATAGTATGTTTCCTTCAGTGGGTAATCAGGGTGGAAGGATGAAGCAGCCTCCAACACCAGAGTTCCTGTGGCCTCAGCTTCACCTGCATCATTAATAGCTTTGCAGGTGTATTCTCCCTCATCTTCTTGCTGGTCAGTCATAATGGTCAGTGAGTGGGTGCGGCCATCAGTGCTCATTTCATACTTGCGGGACTCAACAATCTCCTTGTCTGCATGATACCACTTAATTTCAGGGACAGGTCGGCCAACTATCTGGCACTTCATGACAGCAGGCTGGCCAAGCTTGGCAGTGACCTCATCCATTTCCTTCCTCAGGCTCGGCTTACTTTCAGCTGTGGGTGCAAAAGTAAGGTAGCCATAAAATATTTAAACCATCATCTGTTTAGCAAAAAAGCAGCGTGTTTAACAGCACTCACCAATTAGTTTGGTCTTGATGCATGTAGCAGTCCTACGAGGTCTGCTCATTCCTGTCTCATTTTCAGCAAACACTCTGAACTCGTACTCTGTGGCTTCAGCCAGTCCTGGCATAATGAACTCTTTTTCTTTCAGCCTCTCTTTGTTGCACTTCTTCCAAGTGCTCTCGATGGACTTTCTGTATTCTACCCAGTAGCCCAGGACCTCCTTCCCACCGTCACACTCTGGGGCTTGCCAACAAATGGTAATATAGTTGTTACCCACATTCACTGTGTCAATTTCTCCAGGTTGGCTGGGTTTGTCTGGAGCATAGAAAGAAAGAGTCAAACACTTTAGTTTAATAGTTGTTTATGACTGCTACTCAGTAAAGCCCAAAATGAGACAGTACTTTTGTTTAGGTTGTCTGTTTAACATAAGCATTAGATTGAATTTTAAAAGTAATAAGATTAAAATAATTTATCTAATAGCAGAAAAGAACAGTTACCAAAAGGATCTTTGCATGTGACAGGGTCAGTGGCAGGACCAGCCTCACTCTCGCCTACATTGTTGACGGCAACAATGCGGAACTGATATTCTGTATCAGGGGTAAGTCCATGAAGAGTAAACATGGTTGAGGTGATCTTGTTGTCATGGCGGGACCATGTCTCAGCAGACACCACTTTGTACTCTATAAAGTAACCAGTGATGGCAGAACCACCATCATCCTTTGGTCTGGACCAGGCCAATGCTACTGAGCTCTTGGTGACATCCATGATCTCTGGTGGGGCGCTTGAAGCCTCAGGGGGACCTGGTTTTAAAAGAAGATGTTTTAAACATGAATACATTATCTAATTGTTTTGAAAGACAACTTGCAAAATAAAACGCTTACAGAGAGGAGTCTTGGGTACCAATGGCTGCTCAGATTTCAAAGATGCGCTAATGCCAAAAGAGTTCTCAGCTGTGACTTTGAAGTGGTATTCTGTTCCTTCTTTAAGGCCTTTAACCACAAGCTGAGAGTCGGTCACTCTAGAGTCCACAGTGTACCAGGCATTTCTGGCTGCTTCCCGTCGTTCTACGATGTAACCAAGGATCTCTGAGCCTCCATCATCGGTGGGTACCTTCCAAGACACTTTGACAGAATTGGCTTGGATCTCTCCAAAGACCATTGGACCCTCTGGAGCACTTGGGCGGCCGATCACCTTGACCTTAATCTGGGCCTTCTTCTTCCCAACCTTATTCTCCAGCAGGAGTTCATACAGACCAGAGTCACTCCTCTCAGCTCCTTTTATCACCAGCTCACAGGCATCTTCAGTGGAAGCGATCAAGGCCTTGGCAGAGAAAGCACCACCATCCTTCAACCACTTGCATGTTGGCAAGGGTTTGCCTTTGATTGGTACAGACAGTCTAACCACTCCTCCATGACGGACCGTGTACACATCTTTGTATTTCAACTCCAGGTCGAAATCAGGAGATTCTGGAAAACATAATTTTGCAAAACTCAGTTTTACACTGCAAGGTTGATTCATATCCACTTGACTTTTGCATGGATGTATTTTGGGTTCTTTACCAAGCATCTCTGTTACTTTGACCGTTCCAGGTACTTCAGCAGGTTCTCCAGAGCCTCCGGCGTTGCAAGCCATTACACGGAATTTGAACTCCTCTCCTTGTGGCATGTTGGTCAGGGTGTACTCACAGATCAGTGATGGTGTGGTGTTACACTTGATCCACGCCAGTGTGCCCACTTTTTGCATTTCAATGAGATACCCATCCACTCTGGCATCTCCCTCCTCATCGGGGGGACTCCAAGCCAGTGACACAGAGGACTTAGTAGTATCAGTAATCCTTGGGTTTTGAGGACAACCAGGAGGATCTGCACCGGAAAAAGTTTCAAATTAGACATTCCAGCTGCTACTTGTGCATGCTGAGTGATATATTTTTCTTGTTGAGCTTTTGATTCATTTTATTGTAGTTTCACATTTGTATTCTATATAAACATAAATAGACCATATTGGCTGAAGCCTTTTATGAATGTTTTCTCTCACCAATGGGATCTGTTGCCACGGCTGGTTTGGATGGGAGACTTGGTTTGCTCAGACCTCTTGCATTGATGGCAGTGATTCTGTGCTCATACTCAAGCCCCTCAATCAGTCCAGTCGACCTGTATCTGGTCATTGTGATGGGGTTCTTGTTGGCACGTACCCATCGGTCAGCTCTCACTTCTTTGCGCTCAATTATGTATCCAGACACCTCAAGCCCACCATCTTCATCTGGTGGTTCCCAGGCCACGGTCATTCCATCACGAGACACATCAAAGGTGACTGGACGACCAGGAGGTCCAGGCACATCTGTGGAAGAGGGGAAAATGTGGAACCATTCTGTGGCAAAATACTGAAGTAAAGGGAGACCAAGAGTCTTACTCTTTAAGCTTCTGCAGGTAACAATCTCAGACTGCAGGTACTCTCCAGTGCCGTAACGATTCACCGCTGCTGCACGGAAGACATACTCATCTCCCTCAATCAGGTTCACGAATCTGAACATTGGTCGGCTAACAGAGTCACTGACAGTCACCCAGCCAGGTCTATGAGCATCACGCTGCTCCACTACATAGCCACTGATGGGAGCTCCACCATCTCTAACAGGAGGGTCCCAGCTGCAGGTCACTGTGGTGGCATCAATCTCATCAAACCTGATGGGTCCCTTTGGCTCATCAGGTTTAGCTGGCAAGATGAGAGAAAGGGTAGTTTAGGGTCATCCAGGGTACGGCTGGGTTAAGTCTATCCAACAGTACTGCATCTGATTACTTTGATGGTCAGTAACACTATCACTACAGACACAAGAAACACAAGAGATCCTCTTACAGAGAACGGTGACCTTTATGACCTCAGCGATAACGCCAACAGTATTCTTCACTTCCAGGGTGTAGTCACCACTGTCGTCGATGGTGGTGTCAGACACTGTCAGTTTGGAGAACTTGCCAGTGCTCTTCATCTTGACACGATCTTTGATCTTTAGCTTGTTGTCACCAAAGTACCAGGAGCAGACAGGAGGAGGTCTGCCAAGGATTGGCAGGTCCAGTTCCAGGGTCTTACCAGCAAGAACATTAACAACCTTCTGAGGAATACTGGAGAAATCCACCGCAGGCATCACTAAAAGAACAATAAATAGATAAAATCATATAATTACTGTTTACAGGTCATCAACATAACTGTGGTGTTGTATTAAATGAATCCTTTTAGGAAGGTCTGAACATTTCAGAAACCTTAAAAAGCACAACGTGTGAACTTAGCTGAGTTTGTGTAAAGTAGCACCGTTTGATTTGATCTGTTACCTCTTTGTTCTTGAACAGTGACAGCAGCAACAAGCTCTTTGGGCTGGCTGGCTCCTCGGGTGTTGATGGCTTTAATTCTAAACAAGTACTGCTCCTTTTCATTCAACTTCTCAATGGTGTGCTCAAAGTCTGTCAGTTTCAGTGTGGCCACCTTCATCCACTTATTGGTGCCGAACTTGCAGGCTTCAATCACATAGCCCGTCAGTCTGCTGCCACCATCGTGCTCAGGCTTTTCCCAGCGCAGGGTGACAGTGCTTTTGGTGACATCAATAACCTCTAATTTGAGAGGTGGGAGAGGCACCTCACACACCAGGATGACATCTGGAGTCTCACAAGGCTCGCCAACACCATAAATGTTTTCAGGGACAACTCTGAAGTAATAAAGCATGCCTTCCACCAGACCGTCTATCTTATATGATGTTTTACTGCACTTGGATGTGACCGTTTTGTAGGCTCTCATGGATGCCTCACGCCTCTCAATGATGTAGTTGTTAACAGGGGCACCACCATCAACAGCTGGGGCTTCCCAGGAGATGGTGGCTGAGTCCTTAGTGAGCTCTTTGACCTTAACTGGCCCTGTGGGTCCAGGTGTATCTGAAAGGAAAATACATGCTGATGTCAACTACAAACACTTGAACAAATAGGTTTGGTGTAAAGAAACCCCAGTAAATAATGTAACCAGCTGAGATTTTTCTGCACATATTCTCATCTACTCACCATAGACTTTGACAAGAATGTGGACTTCTTGTTTTCCAGCAGAGTTTTCAGCCAACAGGGTGTATTTGCCAGCGTCATAACGGTGGACCTTGTCAATAATGAGTGTGGTGGAAGAACTTGTGACTTCGATGAAGCCTCTGGCTTGGAGGTCAACATCAGGTTTGGTCCAAGTGATGGTAGGAACTGGACGACCAGTGATGCTGACAAAAAGACGAAGGGAGCCACCAGCACGCAGGCAGATGGTCTTCTTAAGGTCATCGTGGAGCTCAAAATCAGGAGGTTCTGTGAGAGTGAATGAATATGAATGTGGGTGAATATTACAGGTAGAGTAGGAGGTGTTTTGCTGGAGCATTTTGTGCCATATTCTTTGAAATGCTCTTCTCACACTGATGGCAACCAGTAAATTAAATGTTTTGTCAAGATTGAATAGTTTCAATTGCCTCTGAAATGTATTATCCAGGAAAACCTAATCAATCATTCTTAATGACTGGATCCTAATCCATCCATCCATCAAACTACCCGCCGACCATTCCTCCCCCCTCTGCGCGTACCCCTCTCTGTGCTCAAACTGTGCTTTCTTTGCTAGGAACAGTTAAAAGTAAAGAATGCCAGGGTGGGACTAGCTATGTTAGCCAACATACTTAATTGTTATACAATTCTTTAAGTAGAGGAGGGGCTTTCCTGTGTAATAGACCCAGTGCCCCCCACTGGAGAGTGGCTTTTGTCTTCTACACTTTCAGTGGGGACAGTCTGGAGATCTCTTGACTAGCACCGAACTATGCGAAGCTCGTCTGAAACCTTGAGGCTCCTTGGCGGTTTGTAGGTGAAATAGGGCATAAAGATAAATAACATAATGTCTTTATGGTTGTTTGACAAGCGCAGCTGCGTCTGGCCTGCTCCTGTATTCTGGAGGTGTAGCTCAGGGTGGTGGTGGTGGTGGGGGGAATAGAAAATCGGTTTGCACCTTTTAATCGGGATTTTTCGGCTTCTGTCTTGAACATCTACTCCACATTTAAAGTTTAGCTGCCTTATTAGTGACAGTTTGTCAACAAACTTAGGGAGTTACAACGTTGAAGATGACTGCATGTGCTGTTCTGTTTAGGACTTACCAATTCTCTCCAACGGTTCTGTTTCAGCGCACGGCTCACTGAAGTCCCCGGTACCATTGATGTTGACACCAGCCACTCTGAAGCTGTACTTCTTTCCCGCAGAAAGTCCTGCCACCACATACTCTGTGGAACGTAGTGTCTTCTCATGGGTCTTCTTCCATTCTGCTGCTCCAGCTTCCTGCACCTCCAAGATGTAGCCTATGACATCTGAGCCTCCATCGTCCACGGGTCGAGACCAGGCAAGGCTGATGCTGTTAGCGTGGGTGTCTGTGATACGGGGAATGGATGGAGGAGCTGGTGTGCCTGAAGAGAGATAATCATTATATCAGTGTTATTGGATGTCATCCCATCCTGATCATAGATCTGATCACAAGTGTTCATATGGTTCCTGAGGCGTTATTCTGCTTATTAAACACTTACTTGTTGGCACTCTGCAGACAACATACAAGGAGACCTCGCTAGGCTCACTTTCTCCAGCCTTATTGATGGCTGTCACTCTGAACTGGTAGATGTTGCCTTCAGTTAAACCAGCCACCTTCATAGTGGTGTCCAGATAAGCACCATCTCTGTTCACTTTAATCCAGCGGGCACTCTTCTTCTCATGTCTTTCCACCAGGTAATGGGTGACTGGACTGCCACCATCACTCTCTGGCTTCAGCCATTCGATAGTGGCAAAGTCCCTTCCTGAAACCAGGATCTCTGGAGCTCCAGGAGGACTGGGCACAGCTAAAAACAGATAAGAACTCTGAGTCAAATGAAAAAATGTCTCATGCTATAAGAAGGACACTACTCCAAAGGTAAACTTTTCAATAAGAGTGTATGGGAGCCACTTCCCTTCCCACACTTACTGAATGTGTTTCTGGCAGTCATTGGCTCGGACTGCAGGTAAACACCAGCACCGTACTTGTTGACTCCGCGGACTCTGAACAAGTACTCTGTGTTCTTGAACAGGCCAGTGATATTGCATGTCAGCTCCTTGCACTCGGCGTGCATCACCACCCAGTTAAGTCGATTGGTGTCGCGTCTCTCTACGATGTAGTGAGTGACATCATCCCCTCCATCCTCCAGAGGAGGCTTCCAGGTCAATGTGCAGGACTCCTCTGTTATCTTGCTGATCTCAATGCTGCCTTCACACACTCCAGGTGTGTCTGAACAAAGAACAAGATGTAGCCAGGGTAAGCCTCTATGTTCAAATGCATTTTCCGTGATGTCACCTACTCCAGTGGTAAAACAACAAAGCCACTCACCAAGCACTTTCACATTAACTTCTGCAGTCTTGGTTCCACTAACATTCCTGACAGTCAAAATGTATTTTCCGGTATCATCTCTGTCACAGAATTTGATTATGGCCATGGCTCTGTGGGGGGTGTACTGCAAGTGATATTTCTCACACATATCCAATTCCCTTTTGCCCTTGGACCAGAATGACTTGGGATCAGGTCGTCCTCCCACCGCAGCATCCAGAACCAAGTCTGAACCAGCTCTGACCATTACAGTCTCAGAGAGGAGCTTGCTGTCCAGCTGGGCCTTGGGCGGCTCTGTTGAGTGAAAACAGATCAAATGCTGCAAAAACTGTAGACCATATAATAGTAAAATGTTTTACTATGCAGCTCAAACTGATGCGCCAGCATAAGTAAATAACTGTCCAAAGCAATGTCAGAAAGGTGCACAGAAGATATCACGAGGGGTTACCTAAGTCAGTTTTACACTGTACAGATCCCGTGGACTCAGAGGGAGTGCTGAAGACCTGGTTGGTATTCTTGGCAATAACCCTAAACTCATAGGCCTCTCCCTCTCCCAGAGCAGTAACAGTGTAGAAGTTGTCCATCACATTGGTGTAGTTGCACTTCAGCCAGCGACCCTCACCGGTCAAAGTGTATGGCTTACGCTCTATGATGTAGCCCACAATGGGACTCCCACCATCATTGAGTGGAGCTGACCATTTCAGGGAGACAGTGCTTCTAGTAACATTGGTAACCTCAGGTTTACCTGGTGGATCTAAACACAAAAACAAAGATGAATGACTTATTTGACAAATAGTTGGCATTAAAACATTATTTTACCCAAAACTCACCAACTGGGTTTTGAGCAACTGTTCCCATGGAGGCCTCACTAGCTTTGCTAAGGCCAGCACTGTTCATCGCATAAACCCTAAACTGGTATTCTAGACCTTCAACCAGGCCTTCCACCTTGGAGTAGCACTCAAAGCATGGGATCTTGTTCTCTCTGATCCACAATATGTTGTTCCTCTCCTTCTTCTCAATCCAGTAGCCAGTTACCTTGCTTCCACCATCATGATAAGGTTCCTCCCACTTTAGAGTCATTGTGTTTGATGTGACATTAAAGACAGAGGGTCTTGTTGGAGGGCCTGGGGGGGCTGAAATAAAAAAATCACATTTCCTTGTTACAATATAGTCCACTATAAAACATAACATTTAAAATGGTGAATGCATTGAAATGTATTTTTCCAGTTTAGAATTCCTATTTAAAGGGACTGTATCATTCACTTATATTGTTAAAACATCCCAAAGTGGTTTATAGTTTCACACATACATTCTGCTCTGTGAGCCACAGTGTCTCTTCAGCTCTGCTAAGCTATTGCAAACCGGTTTGAGTCGTCGTGTCCCGCTCCTCCTTCCAGGCAGACTCAAATCCAGACCCCTCCTCCCCTGGACTGTTAACACTAACATCTCTCTGAGTAGCCCTGCGATGGGCTGGCTCTCTGTCCAGGGTGTACACCACCCAACCCCACCCCCGTGACCCTGCATGGACAAAGCGGGTTTGGAAAAGGGATGGATGGATGGATCTCTCTTGAGTAGCTGGAGGGTGGATTATTCTCCAAAGTTATGAAGAGCAGATTTCTTTCTTAAATAGTCTGAAATTTTGATTATGCCCAGAAAGTGAAAAAGCATATTTGGCTGTGAGAGGAACAGGGATTTGTTAGTTCTCCTAAAGAAGGGTTTAATCAGCAAAAATGGTTGGACTGTGTCTTCAGGAGCTCTCAAAAACTGAACCAGCCCACATGTTGGATTGTGCCAGGACCACAGTGGGTTTTCAGATGGATCACTTCTTCAAACCGGCACCATTCCAATCTTAAAACCACTCGATTGGTAGGCCAGAGTGGTAAAGACCCTTTTATTTAAAGCTAAATTTACCAAAATCTGTTTTGCTTTCTTCTTTTTCAACTTGAATTTCTAATTATCTTTTATTTGTTTGATGATATTTATGATCATTTAATAATTTCATGACTGTTTTTTCTGATTTTAATGAATGTTATGATATTTGCTGTTTTGCTGTTTAAGATTTTTATGATTTGTTTTGTTTTGTTGATCTCTGTGAAGCTTTAGAAATAAAACGTACTTACTAAATAAACTTTTCACCTTTTCTCTGTGTGTGGGTGTGTGTTTCAGCAGCTCGATTATCTGACAGACGGGATGCGACTGAAACTGAAATGAAATTGATGAGTGGGACTCTTCACTGACCAAGCCGCTGAGAAATCTACCAGTGCTCCTGTTAGCTACTTCAGTGCTGGTATGTGTGTAGCAAAAACTCTTTTACTGGGGATCACTGGCCCCTAGCAGCATTCTGGCTGGCCAGTCACAGCTCTGTATTGGGGTTTCAAACCAATAGAAAAGAACTATCAGCTTTGTTGGCCAATCAAGGCACTCTATTGGTTTGGTGGGCGGGATGATGCGACAGAGTGGAACAAGATGGCGACAGCTCGTTTGAAACGGCTTTTACATCAATTCTGGACTATTTGGACTTGAGCTTTGTTAGAATCAGGAGCAGATGGATGTATTTGAGTCCCTTTTTTTAGAAAAGAGGATGTATTTTCACCTTCTTCAACAGTGGACCGCCTTGTTGATCGACATCCATTGCTGTGAGTACGTCATGTTGTTCGTTGTCTAGTAGCATGCAGAGATCGTTTGAAAGACAACGGTAGAACCCGCCCCATGACCGAGAGCCAGACTGAATAAATATATTATGGCTTGCCGGGCTGATTTTAGATAGCATTATTCTTACTAGTTATCACTGAAATTAAAGGTATCAGCAGCTATTGTGTTACTAATATAAATTATTTTCACATGCTAACTACTGCAGAAGTAGGAATTAAGTTAGAAAAATCTCAGATCCTTAAAAATCTAATAGGAGGCTGTTTTAACATTTATTAGGCAGACTGGATATTCTATCCATCAATCCATTTTCGGCTGCTAATCCGGAGTCAGGCTGTGGGGGCAGCAGCCTAAGCAGAAAGCCCAGACTTCCCTCTTCCCAGCCACTTGAGCCAGCTCCTCCGGGGGAATTCCAAGGAGTTCCCTGGCCAGCCAAGAGACACATTTGTCCAGCATGTCCTGTGTCTTTCTTTAGGTCTCCTTCCTTCCTTTGGGTGTGCCCAAAAAAACCTCACCAGGGAGGCGTCCAGGAGGCATCCTAACTATGGCGCTTAAACATTAACGTCCGTTCGGTCCCTTCCGGACCTGGAATTTGGTTTCACACACAGGTCAGATTTGTGATTTTGGTTCCAAGGCGACTCTTTATTTCAGACCTCCTCCCCAGTGGTCAGACGGGGACCGAGGCGACACTACGGACTGATTGGCCGGCTGAAATTACGCCTACCGCCTCTGATCTGCAAGAAGAATGAGTCAGTGGGGGGTTTCCCGCATGTGTGATTTATTTTCATGCTGTTGAGTGAATTTCTGTCTGTAGCACGGAGCTGCCGATCCAGAGCTGCTGTTAAGTGGGAACGGGAGAAGAGAATAGCTGTGTGTGTGTGTGTGTGTGTGTCCTCTGCATCGCAGCTCTTGTCCCGGCAAGCAGGGGAGAAATCATTAATAAAATAATGTGGTTCAGAATCTCCAAAAGCAACACAGTTCATGCCTGCCTTTGTTTATCTTATAATGGAGGACACCGCGGACTTTCCCCTGCGTATTAAACTCCGCCCACAGGCTTGGGAATTTCCGCATTCCTGAGTTGCTCCGCAGATTTATATGTGAACACTACACTGCCCGTTCGCCATCCAGCCCGACCAAACCCCAACTGTGCTGACGTTAATGTGTAAGCGCCACCAGATGCCCGAGCCAACCCAACTGGCTCCTCTCGATGTGGAGGAGCAGCAGGTCTACTCCGAACCCCTCCCGGATGACCGAGCTTCTCACCCTATTTCTAAGGGAGAGCCCAGCCACCCTGTGGAGAAAACTAATTTCAGCCGCTTGTATCCGCGATCTCGTTATTTCGGTCACTACCCAAAGCTCGTGACCATAGGTGAGGGTAGGAACGTAGATCCACCGGTAGATCGAGAGTCCCATTTTGTCCCGCTCTCCACACCTTCATCTCCTCACGCTTAGACTAAGGCAACTCTCTTTTACGTGTCTGAGCAGAACCTCCCTGAACCATCTACAGGTGGTTCAGAATGCCTGTGCTCAGCTTCTGACCAAGTCCTTCAAACACACCAAATATTTGACTAAATATTCATTTAAAATGAATGAAAATTAAAGGGTATTAAATGTCTATGTATTATTTTAGAAATAAAATTGATGAAAAAAATAAATCATGACCATTTTTTTAGACTCTGTCGATCAAAATGTCTAGAACGACCTCTGGTGCCAACAGTAGTTTTTTCTCATATATGGTGCCTACTGTTGCACTGGAAGATGTAAAATAGGATGATACAGGCCCTTTAAAGCTCAAGTTTAGAAGTGATAACAGTAATCTGGGTTTGGTGGCATAATACTTACAGAAAGGATGCTCTGCAACAATAGTCTCAGACTCCGTTGGCTTGCTGACTCCAAACATGTTCTCAGCAGACACCCTGAATGTGTACTGCATGTATTTGGTAAGGTGACTGACGTGGAGAGATGTACGCTTCACACTGGAGTTGATGAGCTGCCAGGCTGTGGAACCGGACTCCCGCTTCTCCACAATGTAATTTGTGATGTCAGTACCACCATCATCCTCAGGTGGCTGCCAGTTAACAACACAGGACTCGGAGGTGATTGATGAGATTTCAATGGGTCCAGCTGGGGGACTGGGTCTGCCTGTGACGTTAACTTCAATAGCAAATGTCTTGGCTCCGGTGACATTCTCTAGAGTCAAGTAATATTTTCCTCCATCTCCTCTCATGGCCTCCTTGACAGAGATGCTGGCTCTGTCCTTTGTCACTTTGATGGTGACTCTATCTGAGTTTTTAAGCCTCATTTCCTCCAGCTTCCAGCTGACTTTGGGGGTAGGTCTACCACTGATAGGGACATCGATAGTGAAAGTACTGCCAGATCTGCACGTGATGAGCTGGTTGGGTATCTCACTAAGGTCAGCAGCAGGTTCAATGTGAGGCTCTTTGACTAGCACAGAAGCCAGGGTTTCCTTTGGCTTGCTGTAGCCAGATTCATTTTTAGCCTTCACACGGAAGTCATACTCATCACCCTTGTTGAGTTTTTCTGCTACATAGGTAAGGTTCTTGGTGTTTCCAATCACAACCCATTTGTCTCCACCTTTTGGCCTAGCCTCAATAACGTAACACTGAATGCGACTGCCACCATCATGCTCTGGCTTCAGCCAGCCCATTGAAACAGAGTTGTCTGTAGTATCGAGGATGTCCAGTCTTTTAGGGGATGCTGGTTCTGCAGTGGCGATGACAGGCTCGTTAAGCTCAAAGGTCTCGCCCACACCATGCTGGTTTTCAGCCGAGACTCTGAAGAAGTAAGGCACTCCCTCCAGCAGGTCCTGGATCCTGAGGATACACTGTGTGCATTTACCACCAGATTGCTGCCAAGTGCGACGGCTAGCTTCACGCCTCTCAACCACATAGTGATGAATTCGCGCTCCTCCATCACTAACAGGTGGCTCCCAAACAAGTGTAACTGATCCTCTGCAGACTTCTTTGACAGCAACAGCCTGCGGGGGTCCAGGAGTGTCCATTACTTTGACCACAAACGTAACAGCCTGACTACCGCTGGAATTCTCCAGGTTAACAGTGTATTTGCCTGTGTCATATCTTGAGCAGTTTTCAATACTTAAAGAGCTGTAGCCGTCAGTAGTAACAACCTCTGACATTACACCAAGCTCTCCATCCTCCTTCACCCAGGTGGCAGTGGGAATGGGCTTTCCCCTGAAGTGGATGGCCAAGCACACAGAACCACCAGCCTTGACAATGTGAGTCTGTTTAAAGGTGGCATCAATATCCACCTGTGGTGGTGTTAATTTGTCAACAGCCTGTGCTGCTTCTGGAATCTCTTTGTCTTCACCTCTTCCCACATGATTGACAGCTGCAACACGGAACTTGTACTGTGCTCCTGTCTGCAGACCTGTCACCATGTAACGTGTTTCAGTAACAAGCTCCTCATTTATTCTTTTCCACTCAGTTTCTTCTACCTTTACCATCTCAATAATGTAGCCGAGAACCTCCATGCCTCCATCATCCACAGGCTTGGTCCATTCCAAGCTAATGGATGTGTTTGTAGTGTCTGAGACAAGGACCACAGATGGAGCACATGGAATATCTTTAGGCTCAGTAGCCTTGATTGGCAAAGAGATGTTGCTTGGAGCACCAACACCAGCGTCGTTTACACCCATGACACGAAACTCATACTCCATATCTTCTGTGAGACCAGTCACTTTGTGAGCACATTCAATGATGGGCTTTTTGGTAATGACCTTGTAGAAATGAACAGTTTTCTTCTCTCGTTTCTCTACAGTGTAATACTTGATTTGGTTTCCTCCATCAGAAGTTGGAGGAGTCCAGGACAGGGTGATGCTTTCTCCTGTTACCTCAGTGGCGTCAGGAGTTCCTGGAGCATCAGGAGTTGCTGGGGAAAATTTAGACAGTTTACTGTAACTGATAAATGACATAATCAAAATCACAATATTGTTGAAATATCTATTATTTAAATAAAAGAGGTACACTCTTTACACTCACTGTATTGCATCTGTGCAATAATGGGGCTCGATTCGACAGGTCTGCCAACTCCAAACTTGTTAACTGCAGATACCCTGAACTGATACTCATTGGTCGGCATGAGCTTAGTAGCATTAAAAGTGCACTCTTTACATTCATCAGTCACTAAAGCCCATGAGATCTTGGCCGTCTCTCGTTTCTCAATTATGTAGTGTGAAATCTCAGAGCAGCCATCATTCTCTGGTGGGTTCCATGACAGAGTACACTTTCCTTCTGAGATATTACTGAAGGTAATGGGTCCTACTGGTTCCCCAGGTGTATCTGCAACACGTGTGTGAGAATGACAGTGGATTTGTTAGATATATTCTATACAAAATAGTTACCTATAACAGTTATTTTGTGTATACAACCAAACTAAATCAAAAAGACATAAATTTCTAAGTCATGTACCTTGAACTTGGACAAGGATGCTCTCCTTCTTGGATCCAGATCCATTGGTAGCTTCTACAGTGTAGAGGCCACGATGTGTGCGATCAGCATCTCTGACAAACAAAGTGCTGGATCCAGGAACGTTGACAATGTCCATGATCTTTCTGGTAATCTCCATGCCATCTCTAAACCAGACAACCTTTGGAACTGGGCGTCCTGTAATGGCCACCTTCAGCCTGATGTTGTCACCTGCCTTTACCGTCAAACCTTCAAAGTATTCTGGGCCAAACTCAATATGTGGAGGGGCTGTTATAAGAAAAAGAGCATTACAGTAAACAGCACCGCCAGATAAGAACCTTACTACTTATCAGTCAGTTCTGAGGTGTACAATACTTTTTTGTCATTGGTTACTCACCATTTTCACTTCTGACTATGATTAAGCCAGAGGAGTTGGATGGGGGACTAACAACACCAATAGCATTTCTAGCAATGACTCTGAACTCATAGCGTTCATTTGTTGCCAACCCTGTGACAGTGTACTGACAGTCATGTACATCAGTCAGGTTGGCCTTGAACCAGCGACCATGTCCTTGTCTTTTCTCAATGCTGTAGCTGGTAATTTTGCTACCACCATCACGTTTTGGTGCATCCCATTTCAGTGCCACTGAATCACTGGTTACATCAGTGTAGTCGGGTTGGCCAGGGGGATCTGAGAGACATCATATTTTAGTTAGATTTTAAAACAAATGCACTGAACACATGCTTAGAAAATGTGAAATGTTAGTAAGGTTACAAGGGAACAATCAAATGTAGTTATCAGAACTAGCACCCACCAACAGGACTGACAGCCATTGTTGACTTGCTCTCATCACTCATTCGACTGAAGCCAGCATCATTCTGAGCATAGACTCTGAAGGAGTACTCAAGGCCTTCGATGAGTTCCAAAATCCTGTAATCTGTTTCTTTAATCAGTATTGTGTTCACTTTCTGCCACATGATGCTGTTCTTTTCCTTTTTCTCCACATGGTATCCCTGAATGGGGGTTCCTCCATCATAGATGGGTTTCTCCCACTGGATTGTCATGCCATCATTGGTGACATTGTACACAACAGGCTTGCCTGGTGGGCCGGGAGGCCTGAATTGGTGCTTAGCAATAACCATTTGAGAGATCAGAGGTTCACTGACACCATATCTATTTTCAGCACAAACTCTAAATTGATATTGAACACCCTTAATCAAGTTGGGAATCCTGAACTGAGTACCCTCCACACTAGAGCATGCCATCTTCCAGACAGACTGAGAGGTATCTCGTTTCTCCACGGTGTAGCAGGTGATATCTCCACCACCATCGTCATTAGGTTCATCCCAGGAGATCATGATGCTCTCAGCTCTTATCTCATCCAAGCGGATGGGTCCAACTGGCCTTGAGGGTGGTCCAAGGGTGATGACATTTATATGGAAAGATTTTCTGTTTACCTTGTTGTCAAGGGTCAGGGTGTATTTCCCTTCATTATCCTTCTTTGTGTTCTTGATCATTAAAGTGGCTTTCTTTTCAGTTGTCTTAAAGCGCAACTGGTCACTCTCTTTCAGGGGAAGGCTGTCCTTCAACCACAAAACTGAAGGTCTGGGCTTTCCTCTGTAAGGAAGCTCAATGTGGACATTATGACCCAAACGGACACTTATGGTACCATCTGGGTAATCTCCAAGGTCTGCCTCAGGAGTAATAATATAGTCAATGACCTTTATAGGTCCAGCCTCAACAAAGTCACCTTGTCCTTTCTCATTCCTTGCTGCAACTCTAAAAAACACTTCAGTGTGCTCCTTGAGTTTCTTGACCTCAAACTCTAACTGCCTACTAACTCCTCCCAGTGACCACTCCTCACCCTTGAGTTTCTTCTCAATTATGTAATCAGAAATGATGCTGCCACCATCATAATCAGGCTTCAGCCACTGTAGAGTGATAGAGGTCTTAGATGAATCTTTCATTGATACTTCCTTGACTGGTCCTGGAGTCTCTGTGGCCTTCACAGGATCTGCAGTGTCACAAGGATCACCAATTCCATTCTCATTCTCAGCCAAAACACGGAAGAAAAAGGATGTCTTCTCTGAGAGATCTTCAATAGTGTATGTAGTATCAGTGCATTTGTTTGTCACTGCAGAGTATGATCTTTTAGCAGAATCTCTCTTCTCCACAATGTAATTTGTGATCTCAGCACCTCCATCTAGAAGTGGAGGGTCCCAGCAGAGAGTGACTTTTCCTCGAGTCACATTCTTCAGAAGCAGGTTCCTGCACTGGGCTGGGGTATCCTGGACTTTTACTGACAGAGTCAGGATCTTAGGTTCTCCCACACCATTCTCTATCTTGATTGTGTACTTTCCAGTATCAAGCCTAGTTACTTCCCGCAAAACAAGCACTGTGGTTGTCTCTGAATGGTGGAATTCATATTTGGGATTGCCATCGATACATTCTTCTCCTTTGCTCCAGGAAGCAGTGGGAGCAGGTCTGCCCTTCAGAGGAACAGTCAGTTCCACATCTTTGCCAGCCTTCACGATGTAGTGAGTTCTCATGGCAACGTCAGGGTCGATTTGAGCTTCCTCTGTGAACAACACACATATACAATGTGAGGACATTTTATAGTGCTTCATTTAATCTATACAGAGGTTCAGCAGTATACAATCAATACATTTCAGTAAATTACCTAGAATATCTTTGGCCTGAACTGGATCACTCATCTCCAAAGGCTCCCCACGACCAGCACAATTTACAGCAGAGACTCTAAAAAGGTAGTTTGTATCTGGCTTTAGATTGTGAACTGTGTACTCTGTTGTCTTGACTTCTCCCTTGGAAGTAACCATGACCCATTCTTTTTCTCCTTCAGCAAGCTTCTCCACCATATAGCTGTTGACCTCACTACCTCCATTCCATTCTGGCTTGGACCAACCCAAGGTGATGGATGTCCTGGTGGAGTCCACAACCTTCAGCTTACAAGGCTCATCTGGTGGATCTGTGAATATATATAATTAGTTAGAATGTGGTATACAATCAATTGATCAACCAATCTGGATGCAGTGGAGTAAACATCTCCTCTGACAGCAGCTGGGACTCACTGCTCCAGCCGTGACAATATGAGGACAGACTGCTGTGAGAAGCACACAGCAGCCTCAGTGAGAGAGTAGGAAGCTTTGTGCTTCACATCAGTCTCCAAAATCAACACTGCCCTTTACTAACTTAAGGAGGACACCACAAATTTTCCCACTCATCTTTTGCCCTGCCCATGTGCTCGGAGACATCCATGTTATGGAGAAGGTTGTGTGAACAAAACCTGGCAGCACGAGGGCTGGCCTATGCCACCAAGACAGGACTGAGCAAGGCCAAATGAATGTGTAAATGCCATTATTCAAGCAGTCAAAAGCACCCACAATGGATGAACAGGATGCTAGGTAAGCTTTGATTTTCACTGCACAGAACAGCTCAAAGCAAGTTGGTCACATTGCCGCATTTGTTAGGCAATCATAACCATGGTCTGACAACACATTGTGAACAATTACAAAGATAAGCAGAGCAGTCATCAATAAATCCAGCAGACAGGGATAGTGTGCCAAACACAACTGCCCCATCTTGTCTTAGTATTAATTCATTTTTGGATGTTGGTTGACTTACCAACTGGGTCAGCAGCTCTATAGAAGTCTGATGCGTCAGAGAATGGCCCCTCACCAGCTTTGTTAATTGCACAGACCCGATATTGGTACTCATTTCCTTCTGTCAGGTGATATACCATCTGTTTGGTGTGGCTAACAGGGTCTTTATACACTCGGATCCAACGCAAGCTCTTTTTATCTCGTCTTTCCATGTAGTAGCCAGTCACTGGGCTACCACCATCTACTCCTGGCTTATCCCATTCTACCAACATGGTGGACTTGGTGATGGTATTAACTTCTGGAGTATGAGGCTGACCAGGCGTTACTTATGAAAAAGACAACAGATTTGGAAAGTAAATTATTCTGATAATGGCAATCAGTCCACATTAAACTTTGAGTAATGAAAAAACAGAATTATAAATAACAAGTTACTCTACAGAGCAAAACTTACCAAAGGCATTCTTAGCAATGACTGGCTCAGACTCTAGTGGCTCTCCAATTCCAAACTTGTTAACACCCCTGACTCGAAACACATACTCGTTTCCACGCACCAGCTTTCCAACTGAGATTTGTGTTTGCTCGTGCCTATCTGAAATAGTTGACCACACAACTCTACTGGTTTCACGCCTCTCAACAATATAGTGGGTTACTTTAGAACCTCCCTGGTCCTTCTCAGGTACAGGTTCCCAGCTGAAGACAATCTTGTCTGCTGTAATGGAGTTAAAATTAATGAGGCCCACTGGGGGTCCAGGTTTATCTAAGAGAAGAACAGAAAACAAAGAGAGCATAAACATCAAAAATACCTTTGAATCCAATTCTGATGAAAGTAATAATTTAATAAATTATCCAAATTAAGATGGGTTAAATTTTTGAAGTACCAAGTATTTCCATCCTGATAGTGGCAGATGCTGATCCCAGAACATTTTTTATCTTGATTTCATATGATCCTGTGTCAAAACGAGTTGCATCCTTGACAAGAACAGCAGAAGAGTCAGTTGTGCTTTCAACAGACACTGTGGAAGATGTTATGAGCTCTAATCCATCCTTGAGCCACTCAATAGTTGGAAGGGGCTTGGCAGTTAGTCCCACTTTGAGTTTGACTGAAGCTCCAGCCTTGTACTGAACCACATCAAGATACTCAGGAGGAAGATCAATGGCTGGGGCTCCTGTGGGACACAATCATTTAATGTACAAAATGCAACAACGAATACAGTACAGGGAACACTCAAAAACTGAGAATCCGGAGCAAAATTCAATTTATGTCAGTAACTCAACTTAAAAGGGGAATCTAATCTATGCCAGACTCATTAACATGCTAAGCCATATATTTATTATAATAGTGATGATTGTGGCTTACAGCTGAGGAATACCCCACATTCAAAATCTCAGACAATCAGAATATTTTGAAAAGGTTCCTTATCCTAGACTCAAAGTGCCACACTCTAATCAGCTGTTTAACGCAGAACACCTGCAGAGGACTCCCGAGCTATTAGTGGTCTCTAAGTCTGAGCTGGATTACTGACATTATTGGACCTTTGCACCATATCCTCATTTTTTTAGCTTCACCAGTACAAGTAAAGCTGACATGAATCTATGGATAGAACCTAGCAACTCACCACATGCATCAGCGCAGGTGACTGGGCCAGCAATGAGAGATGGACCACTGACAGACCCAACTGCGTTCTTGGTGTACACTCTGAACTCATAGGATTCATCTTGGCTTAGTCCTGAAACTGTAAAACCCAACTCAATGATGTTTGAAAAGTTGGCCTTCACCCATCTGCCATTGGGAGCTTCTCTCCTCTCCACGCTGTAGCCAGTTATCTTACTGCCTCCATCATATGGAGGTCGCTGCCAGACCAGACTGACAGAGTTCTTGGTGACTTCAGTAATACGAACATTCGCTGGAGGTTCTGTGAGATTGAGGGAAAAATTCAATTAAAAAAGACTTAGTTTTAAAAGTGCCTCTTAAAATGTATATTTCTTTTGAAATTCTTTTTTTTGTTACTGAGAAACAAGCAAATGGAAATGAACCTGTTCAATGTTAAAACCTTTGACTTTACCGAGTGTGTTTACTAAAGTTTAAAAACTTTTTAAGACCCAGATGTCTTGCGTCAGACACCAAGTCAAATATTCACACAATGTCTGGAAAACTGAAGCTGAAAAACAAAAACTTACCACAGGCATCAATAGCAAGCACCTCTTCGGAGGTCTTGCTCAATTTTCCAATACCAGCTGCATTCTCTGCTGCCACCTTAAATTCATAAATGAGGCCAGGGCAGATGTTTGTGACACGCCGCTGGTTTCCAGGGATGGCTGTTTTGTTGACCTTCTGCCAGAGGATGCTGCTCCTCTCTTTCATTTGGAGGTGATATCCAATGACAGCACTTCCACCGTCACTTACTGGCTCATTCCAGCAAACTGTCAGACTCTCCCTTGAAATGAAGCTGATCCATGGTGTGGATGGAGGACCTGGGATAGCTATGAAACACAATTTTCATATAGGTGTAGTTAGGAATAATCAGTTACAACTAAAGTTGGAATGAGGAAATAAGTTAAGTAACGAAATGAGACATGACTTACTGTATGGAAGCTTAATCATGACTGGCTTGCTGTCAATGTGGTTGCTAACTCCATAACGATTCACAGCTTTAATTCTGAATTGATACTCTTCACCCTTGGTAAGCTTATTAACCTTAATAGCACTTCTAGCAATGTTAGTTGACACGTCTGCCCAGGCTGGAGTACTTGTTTCTCGTTTTTGGACAATGTAATTGGTAACAGGACTGCCACCATCATATTCAGGAGGATCCCATTTTAGACACACTGTGGTCTCTCCAACATCTCCAATCTCAACTGGCCCAACTGGAGGTCCAGGTCTGTCCATCACAATGAAGATAATGAAGATCTTGGTGGTACCTCCGGCATTTGAGGCAGTTATTTCATATTTTCCAGCATCACTTGCAATGCTTTCATTTAGGGTGATGATTAAGCTGTCTGGAGTAACTTCTGACAGAAACCTTTTGGATCCTTTGATGGCAACATTGTTTTTGGATATAGTCACTTTTGGTGTAGGTTTGCCAGTGAGAGGAATCTCAAAGGTCAGATCAGATCCTGCTTTCACAAAAACTGTATTCTTGGGATAGTTCCTCAAGTCAAACTCAGGGGCCTCTGTAGAAAAATTAAAACGTGAACGTGATGAACAAAACAATACATTCAAAAACTAGTTCCACTGTCAACAATGACAACAAACATGTCTTATTAAATAATAATTGAAATCCATTCAAACCATACATCTTATTTAAACAACATTCCAAATGAATACAAAAAAAGATGATAAGCATTTTGTTTAAAAACTAGAAACAGTACCTTGTATTTCCTTGACAAGAACCGGAACAATCATTTCTTTGGGTTCACCAAGTCCAGCGTGGTTCTCAGCACGGACCCTGAAGAAGTACTCAGCTCCTTCTCTTAGGCTCTTGATAGTGTGTGTCATGGTCCTCACAGTTGTACACTTTACCCATTTGGTCTGTCCTTTCTCCAGGGCATCAATGAGGTAACCAGTGACTCTGCTTCCACCATCATATTCTGGTCTTGTCCAGGCAATGGTAACACTGTCTTTGGTAACATTTGCTACTCCAAGTTTCATAGGTGAACTTGGTACCTCTGTAAGATACAGGGACACACTTTATGTATTACTTTTATGAAACAAGGCATGTTTAAAATCAGATTTACATAGATTTTTATATACCTGTAATTTTTGTTCCAGCCTTTGCCTCCTGAGGGACACCGACTCCATGCTCATTTTCTGCAATTACTCTGAAATAATAGACTGCTCCCTCCTGCAAGTCTTCCACCTTGTAAGTCAGTGCATGACAATTGCTGGTCACAGATATCCAGGCCTTCTTACTTGCCTCACGTTTTTCAACATGATAGGCTTTTACCGCATCACCACCATCGTTCTCTGGAACCTCCCATGTAAGAGTTGCAGAATCTTTGGTTACAGATGAAACTTTAACATTGACTGGAGGTCCTGGAGTATCTAGCACTTTCACCACCATGAGCATTGTTGCTTTTCCTAAAGGTGATTCAATCGTGACAAAGTACTCTCCAGAGTCATTTCTGGAGGAGTTCTCAATAGTTAGTGAAGTGCTTGAATCTCCTGACTCAATGGTTCCTCTTACTCTTAGATCAACACCCTCCTTAGTCCATTCAGCAATTGGCACAGGTTTTCCTTTGAATGGCACTTTAAGTGTAAAGGATGTGCCATGTTTTACAATGAGAAGCTTACGAATCTCAATGTCTGCATCAAATGATGGCTCTGCACTTCTGTCCTTTGCTGCAGCTGGATCTGAATGTGGACTGCGTATACTGCTTCCAACTTTGTTTACTGCCTTTACACAGAATTCATATTCTGCATTTGCTTTGAGTCCAGTGATTGTGAATTCCAAGCTCTTTGTAAGCGATATGGCCTCAATCCATCTTGCAAGTTCTTCAGGTGACTCTGGTTCCTCTTCCTCCTCATATTCCTCTTCTTCAACTTCTGGTTCTGGCTTAGGGATGAATTCCCTGTATTCCACACAATAGCCTAAAATGGGTGCACCACCATCAACTGTAGGTGGTTTCCATACAATAGACACACTTTCATTTGTGGAATTTACAACCTTCGGTTTTGTTGGGCGAGAAGGAACAACACGAGGATCTAGTGCTCTGAATGTTGCAGATGGTTCACTGGGAGGACTTAAGCCAACTGCATTTTCAGCAAAGACTCTGAAGTCATACTCATACCCCTTGCGAAGTTTTGTCACTACAGTGTTACACTCAACAACTAAATCTCTGTTCACTCTCACCCAGCGCATACCTGTCTTTTCACGACGTTCAATCACATATCCAATTATGGGACTGCCTCCATCATTTGCTGGCTTACACCAGGTGAGGGTCATTGAATCTCCAGTAATAAAAGTCACATCCACACCAGCTGGAGCCGTTGGTTGTATGTATGGATCAGTAACTTTTATGGTGTCACTTTCCAGGACTTCACCATGTCCATACTTGTTGACGGCCAGAACCCTGAATATATATTCATTGCCCTTGAGCAGACCTGTGACTTTGAAGTCGGTTTTTGTGACATCTCCTTTAACTAATGTCCATGCCAAACGACTGGTCTCACGCTTCTCAACAATATAATGGGTAATATTAGCTCCACCGATTTCCTGAGGAGGACCCCACGACAGGGTGCATTCTTCAGCTGTGAGACCTGTAACTTGAAGCGGGCCAGCTGAAGGTCCTGGTCTATCAAGAACCACACAGTTTATTGGCATGGCTACGGTTCCAGCAATGTTCTGCAGAGTTAGGACATACTGTCCAGAATCTCTTCTAATGCAGTCTTTTATAATGACACTAGTGCTTGTATCGGTTGAAACAATCTGGATTCTGGCTCTCAGCTCAATATCTTTGCCATCCTTGGTCCAGCAGATGACAGGAGCAGGACGTCCTGCTAAGTCTGCATACATTTTTATAGTTTCTCCAGCTTTAACAAAAACAGTCTCTCTAAATTTGACATCCATCATGACACGTGGAGGATCCACATCGTCTTTCACAGTGATAGGGCCTGTGTTGTCTGACGGTATACTGAACTGTCCTGCTGCATTCTTTGCAATGACACGGAAATCATACTGACTGTTTTCTGTAAGGCCTGTCACATCATAGAAGGTCTCAGGCACATTGGTGAAGTTACATCTTGTCCATCGTCCTTCTGGAAGGTCTTTGCATTCAATGGTGTAGCCAGAAATCTTGGCTCCACCATCATATGCAGGTTTATCCCAAGATAAGGAAACAGATGTTCTTGTAACAGCAGTGACCACAGGTGTTCCTGGAGGATCACACGGATCTCTGGCTGCAACGGGTTCACAGGCCTTGCTGCATTTACCAATACCAGCAAGGTTTTCTGCATAGATGCGGTATTCATACAGCATTCCAGCTTCAACACCAGTGACTTTGTATTCTGTATCTTTAATCATCCCTCTGTTCATCTTTGTCCAAAGAATGCTAGAGCGCTCCTTCCACTCCAAATGATAGCCCAAAACTGGACTACCGCCATCACTGACTGGCTCATTCCAAGTCACCAACATGTATGATTTGGTGGCCAGTTTAATGATCGGTGTAGATGGAGGTCCGGGTTGTTTGATGTTATACTGTGCCGTAATTCCAGGTGAATCAAGGGAAGTGCTCTTTCCATAACGGTTTACTGCATAAATACGGAACTGGTACTCTGAACCATGTGTCAGGCGACCAGCTTTGAAAGATGTTCTAGGGACTTTACTTGCTACCATCTGCCACTCCTGTGTATTTGTGTCTCTCTTCTCTATAACATAATTACTGATGGAGCATCCACCATCAAATTCAGGTTGGGACCAGGACAGTGTAATGCTGTCTGAGGTCACAGCATCCACTTTAATTCCTTTTGGTGGACCAGGTTTGTCCAGGACAACAACTCCGACTTCAGTTGTTACCGTTCCTGCTGTGTTGGCCAAAGTGATTTCATACTTGCCAACATGTTCCCTATTAGCTTCTTTAATAATAATTTTGGATGAGATAGCAGTATTTATAATAGTCACTGATGTTGTTTGTTTCAAAGGAAGGCCATCCTTCTTCCAGGATACAACAGGCTTTGGCCTACCTCTTACAGGAATTTCAATAGTGAGGTCATCCTTGGCCTTCACACTATATGTGTTAAACAGTAAACTTACTGATGGTTCTATTTCAACATCTTTAGCAACAACAGGCAGCCCAAGATCCTTTGGCTCACTCTTTCCCTTCTCATTGATTGCAACAACTCTGAATAAATATGCTTCGTTAGGAGTCAGATTAGGAACAGTTGCTTCTGGCACTTTCACTGTGCATGCTGTGCCCCATTTGTCACCACTCTTAGGCTTGAATTCTACATTGTAGCACATCACTTTGCTTCCACCATCATGAGTAGGCTTCTCCCAGGACAGTGACACGCTTGTCTTTGTCACATCCACAACAGTTACTTTGTTTGGTGGAAGAGGTACCTCAGCCACTTTGATTTCTTTGGTTTCAGCCAACTGTCCCTGGCCATATGCATTGACAGCAGAAACTCTGAAAAAGAAAATTCCACCCTCAGGTAGCTCTTCAATTTTGAGTGAGTTGGCTGTACAGTTGCTAGTGACAGTAGTGTAAGCCTTTCTGACAGACTCTCTCTTTTCTACTATGTAATTAGTGATTTTTACCCCACCATCATTAACTGGAGTATCCCAAGCAAGAGTTATCGAATCCTTCTTGAGTTCCTTCACTGTAAAGTTTTGTGGTGCACTTGGTGTGTCCAAAATTCTTACTGAAATAACTACAGATTTTGTACCACTGCTGTTCTGAAGTGTTAATTGGTATTTTCCACTGTCAAAACGGTTAACATTGTCGATGACGAGCATGGTGTATGAACTAGTAGTGTCAACTGCAGCACGTTCTGTGAGAGCACCATCAACCTTCTCCCATTTCACAGAAGGTTCAGGTCTTCCTCTAATTGTGACAAACAAACGCAGAGTTCCACCAGCACGAACAGATACAACTTTTCTGAGGTCAGCGTCCAGCTCCATCTCTGGTGCCTCTGCTCTGTCAGAAGTAACTACTGTGCCAGGGACATTAGCAGCCTCTCCAACTCCCTCTGAGTTGATAGCACAGACACGGAACTGGTACTCTCCACCCTCTTTTAGATCTTTAATGATAAGTTTAGTGGCTTGAATACCAGTAGGAGGAGTACACATGTTCCATTCTTTTTCAGCAGCTGCTTCTGCTGCAGGTGCTACTTCCATTTCCTCTTTTAACTCCGGGACTGGTGTATATTCCCTCATTTCAACAATGTAGCCCTTGATGTAGGCTCCACCATCGACAATGGGTTTTCCCCAGGACAGAGCCACAGACGACTTTGTGTAGTCTGTCACCTTAGGATGGTGAGGGGGTCCAGGGGTTTTCGTTGAATCACATGCTCTGTAGAAAAGTGATAGTTCACTCAGGTCTCCCATTCCAGCCTCATTTTCAGCAGTAACACGGAACTCATAGAAGTGATCTGTTATTAGACCTGTGACCTTGAAGTTAGTCGCAGTCAGCTTTTCTCTGTTGCATTTCGTCCACCTTATACCATCTTTGTCACGCTTTTCAAGGTGGTAACCTTGAATATCGGCTCCACCTGTGTGTTCTGGAGCTGTCCATGACAGAACCATAGAATCTTTTGTAATATGACTTGCATCTGGAGTTCCTGGAGCACTAGGTGGCTTGTAAGGATTGCGTGCAACGATAGGTTCACTCTCGAGATAATCACCAGCACCGTATTTGTTGACCGCCCTCACTCTGAAAATGTATTCATTTCCTGTAAGCAAGTTTGTTACTTTGTGGTACAGACCCTGGACATTCGGCGCAGCTACTGTCCAGGACAACCTACTAGTCTCTCGCTTCTCCAAAATATAGTGAGTGATATTAGCTCCACCATCTAGGGATGGCTCGGTCCAGGCAAGAACACATCTGTCAGCCATGACTCCAGTCACCTTAAAAGGTCCGTTTGGTGGACCTGGTTTATCAAGGACTTTAACAGTGATGGGAAAGGTTTTTGTCCCACCAAGATTTTTCAAAACAAGGTCATAGTGGCCACCATCAAGTTTGGTAACATCCTTAATGGTCATAGCAGCACGTTTCTGTGTAGATTTTACTTCAATGCGCAAAGCTTTCTCCAGTTCCTTGCCCTCTTTAAGCCAGACAACATCAGGAATAGGTTTTCCATAAACATCTGCATCAAAGGTCAAACTCTCTCCAGCATTGACAACAATAAGATCCTTGTATTTTGGATCCATCGAGGCTCTCGGTGCTTCAATTTCATCAGTGGCTGTAACTACTCCAGAGCTCTCAGATGGCTCGCTGAAAACTCCGGCCACATTTCTAGCAGTAACTCTGAATTCATACTGCTCATTCTCTGTCAGACCAGTAACTGTGTAATATGTCTCAATTATGTTGGTAAAGTTTGCTCTTACCCAGCGCCGATCAGGGGAGGCAAGATCCTTTCTTTCTACAATATATCCATTAACTTTACTGCCACCATCATACTGAGGCTTGGTCCACTGAATCTTTATTTGATTCTTTGAAATAGATACAGCTTCCGGAGCCCCAGGGGGATCACAAGGATCACGAGCAACAAAGGACTCAGATACTTTACTGCATCGTCCAATTCCTACAATATTTTCTGCATAAACTCTGAATTCATAACCAACACCCTCCTCAAGATTGCAAATCTTAAACTGAGTATCTGTAATCAGGGTCTTGTTCAGTTTGTTCCAGAGGATGCTGCTTCTCTCTTTACTCTCCAGGTGGTAACCAGTGATTGCACTTCCACCATCATTGACTGGCTCATTCCATTCAATGATCATCATGTCCTTTGTTGCTGATTTTACATATGGTGTTCCTGGAGGCCCAGGTGGTTTGTATGGATATTGTACCAAGATGGCCTTGGAATCAAGGGGCACACTCTTTCCATACCTGTTTTCAGCTATGATTCTGAACTGGTATTCTGCGCCAGTCTTAAGCTTTGTTATTTTGAAAGCTGTTCTAGCCAGTTGTGTAACAACTGGCTGCCATGTTGTGGTTGTGGTATCTCTCTTTTCCACTATGTAGTTCTTTACTTGACATCCACCAGTGTATTCTGGGGGCTCCCAGGAGAGATGGACAAAGGTGTTGCTCACTTCAACAACTTTAACTGGACCTTTTGGTGAACCAGGCTTGTCAAGAATAATAACTGTCACATCCTCAGTAATAGAACTAACAGTGTTGGTTGCTGTAATAGAGTATTTTCCAAAGTCATCTTTGCAGGCCTCTGTAATTTGAATACCAGTTGTTGATGGAGTGTTGAAAACATTAACTCTGGATGTAACTTTCAAAGCCTGACCATCCCTAATCCAGGAAACTTTGGGTTTGGGTCTTCCAAAAACAAGGAATTCCAGCTTAAGGTCTTTTCCAGCTAACACACTGTAAGTGTTAAATTGCGTCCTTATGCTTGGCTCCAAGGTCATGTCACTAGCAATCACAGGTGCAGCAAGTGCCTTTGGCTCACTCTTTCCCTTCTCGTTGTAAGCAATAATTCGAAACAGGTATTCTGTTCCTGCTGTAAGACCAGTGACAGTTCCCTCACATGTTTTTGTGTTTGTGGCAACACCCCATTTATCTGTGCCCTTTGGTTGCATCTCAATCAGATATCCACCAATCCTGCTGCCCCCATCATGCTCAGGTTTCTCCCAGGACAGTGAGGCACTGGACTTGGTGACATCAGTGAGAAAAACCTTTCCAACAGGCAGTGGTACCTCGGATGCTTTGGACGCCGTTTTTGTTTCTACAGCTTGGCCAATTCCATATTCATTCTCAGCCATGACTCTGAAGTAGTACATTGCTCCTTCAATCAGATTTTCAACTTTGAATGCAGTCTTGGAACATTTGGTGGACACATTTGCATATGCTTTCCTGGTTGATTCACGCTTATCAATGACATAGTTCTTGATTTTTGAACCTCCATCAATTAGTGGGGCACTCCATTCAAGAGTGGCAGAGTTCCTGTTGATATTCTTGACCACAAGGCTCTGTGGTGGCCCTGGTGTGTCAAGAACTTTCACTGAAACAAACTCTGACACAGAGCCACTGCTATTAGTCAGATTCAGGGAGTATTTCCCGGAGTCACTTCTGTCACATGAGTCAATAGACAGCTGTGTGAAATTCATTGCTTTCTCCACCACAGCCTTTTCAGAAAGATTTCCTTCATCCTTTGTCCATTTAATCTCAGGCATCGGCCTGCCCTTAAAAGGAATATACATTTTTACAGATGCACCAGCTTTCACTGTAATACCTTTTCTCAGCTCTGAGTCAAGATGGATATGTGGTGGATCTATTCTTTCCTCTGGCTTAGCTGTTCCAGATAGAACTGCTGGCTCTCCAACTCCAATTTTGTTCAAAGCACACACTTGTACTTTGTATTCCTGGCCCTCTGCAAGTTTGGGAATTTCATATTTGTTGACACGCAGGCCAGTAGGGGGAGTAACCATGGTCCATTCCTCTTCTTCAGCCTTACACATTTCAACAATATATCCTTGTATTGCGCTACCCCCATCAGACAAAGGTTTACCCCATGATACTGTAATAGAGGTTTTTGTGGAGTCAATGACATTCACATATGCTGGGGCACCTGGTTTGTATTTGGGATCGCAGGCCTTGTAATATGAAGTGGGAAGACTTGGCTCTCCTACTCCAACTATGTTCTCAGCTGTTACTCTGAACTCATACTCATGGTCAGTGGTGAGGCCTACTACTCTGTATGATAAGTCAGTGACTTTTTGTCTATTGCATCTTGTCCATTTGATTCCAGCTCTGTCCTTCTTTTCAACTATGTAGTTAGTGATCTTGCTGCCACCGTCAGTCTCAGGGGCAGACCAAGTGATAGTCATGCCATCATGGGCAACGTTGGATACATCTTCAATGTGAGGTGAACCAGGAGGAACACATGGATTCCTCATAATCACAGCAGCAGATTCTAATGGATCACTGATCCCATTACTGTTAACTGCCATCACTCGGAACATATACTCATTGCCCTCCATTAATTTGGTTACTTTGTACCATGTAGTGGTACTGCTGCTGGAAATAACAGTCCATGCTAGACGACTGGTCTCTCTTCTTTCAATGATATAATGTGCAATAGGACTGCCTCCATCATGTAGTGGTTCACGCCAAGACAGTGTGCATTTGTCTTCAGCCACTCCTGTGATAAGTAGGGGTCCTTCACATGGGCTAGGTCTATCCAAGACCACAACGTTGAATGGAACGGTTTCACTACCAGCCTCATTTGTCAGAAGGAGAATGTAAGTTCCACCATCAATTCTAACAGAGTCCTTAATGACAATCATTGCATGATTCTCTGTGTTTCTGATCTCTAGTCTTAGTGTATTCTCAATTGGTTTTTCATCCTTGAACCACTGTATTGAAGGAAGTGGTTTGCCATGGACATCTGCGTCTAATTTAAATGCATCTCCAGCACGGAGTATAATAGTCTTAGTAAATGCAGGGTCAATGGAGAATCTGGGTGCCTCCACTTTGTCACTTGCAATGATAGGTCCACTGTTGAATGATGGCTTGCTGACTGTGCCAACAGCATTTTTAGCCAAGACTCTAAAGTCGTACTGTGCATTTTCAGTCAGTCCAGTAACAGTAAACTGGGTTTCAATCACATTGGTGAAATTTGCCCTTCCCCACCTGCCTTCTGGCAGATCACGCTTTTCTATAATATAGCCAGTGATGTTGCTGCCCCCATCATATTCAGGTTTAGTCCACTGAATAACAATGCTATCTTTTGTCACGTGGATGGCTTCTGGAGTGCCAGGTGGATCACATGGATCTCGTGCAACACAACCTTCTGAAACCTTGCTGCCTCTGCCAATGCCGACAATATTTTCAGCATAAACTCTATATTCATACTCAATGCCTTCCTCCAATGGGTAACTCTTGAAACTTGTTCCATGAATAAGTGTCTTGTTGATCTTGACCCAAAGAATACTGTTTCTTTCTTTCCTTTCAAGATGGTAGCCAAGAACAGGACTTCCTCCATCTGTGATAGGCTCATGCCACTCAATAATTTGGTGGTCCCTGGAGAGAGAAGAGATGAAGGGAGTGCCTGGTGGTCCTGGCTCCCTATAGGGATATTGAGCAGTTACAGTTGATGAATCCAGGCCTTGACTCTTTCCATAGTAGTTCTGGGCAATGATCCTAAACTGGTATTCAGCTCCAGTCTTCAGTCTAATAACTTTGATCGTTGTCCTTGCACAGTTGCTGCTCACATTTTCCCATGTTGTTGAGGTTGCATCTCTCTTTTGAATAATATAGTTAGAAATTGGGCACCCACCAGTGTGTTTTGGGGGGTCCCATGAAATAGTGACACTCTGTGTTGTTATTTCATCAAATCTAACAGGACCAGATGGAGGGCCTGGTTTGTCAAGTACAATGATTTCAATTGTTGATTCCTTCTTTCCAACGGAGTTTGTGGCATTTATACTATACATACCACCATCGTCAACAGCTGCCTCCTTAATGCTTAGTATTGTGTGTGTTGTTGTGTTGTGAATATTGACTCTAGTGGTGAACTTCAAGGGTGCTCCATTTTTAGTCCATGCTATTGTTGGTTTAGGGCGTCCGAAAATGGGAATGTCAATGCTCATGTCTTTGCCCACATGGACACTGTAACTGCTGAATGCTGGACGAATATCTGGCTCAAATACCAAGTCCTTAGTCATAACTGGACCAGAAAGAACTTTGGGGTCACTCTTTCCTTTATCATTGATAGCTGTAACTCTGAACAGATATTCCTGTCCTGGGTTCAGATTGGTTACTGTAGTCTCCATGGTCTTAAATGTGTTTACACCAGACCATTTCTCTTGGCCTTTCAACTGCACTTCAAGCAGATACTGCATGACTCTGCTACCACCATCATATTCTGGTCTTTCCCATGCCAGAGAAATGCTTGTTTTGGTCTGATCTGTAACAATCAAATTTTGGGGGGACTGGGGCACCTCTGACACCTTAAGTGGGTCCACTGTTACAGCAGGCAGACCAACACCATAAGCATTCTCAGCTAGGACTCTGAAGTAATAACTACAACCTTCCTGAAGTGATTCAATTGTAAATGAAAGATCATGACAATTTGTTACAACAGCAGCATATGTTTTACGTGTACTTTCCCTTTTTTCAACAATGTAGTTCTTGATCTTGGAACCACCATCTAACAGAGGCGGCTCCCATTCCAGTGTTACTGACTGATTTGTAATTTCTTTCACCTTAAGATTGACAGGTGTACTAGGTGTATCAAGTACACGAACAACAACAAGAGCAGATTTGGTTCCACTTGAGTTCTCTGCAGTAACTGTGTATTTTCCACTGTCGTTTCTGCTCATTTTATCAATAACAAGAGATGTATAACTGCTGGTTATCTCAACCTGAGCAGTCTCCTTAAGAGCAGCTTCATCTTTGTTCCACTTGATAGCAGGAGTTGGTCTTCCTTTAATGGGAATAAATAGTCTAAGGGAGGCACCAGCTTTAATGGTCACAATATTTCGAAGTTCTGGGTCAATGTCAAGATCTGGCTCTTCCTTCCTGTCCTCCACCACAACTGCTCCAGAAACATCAGCATGCTCACCAACTCCCACCTTGTTGATAGCACATACTCTAAACTTGTATGCCTGATGTTCCTTCAGATTTCCAGCTTCAAACTTGGTTGTCTTTACACCAGTTGGAGGTGTGCACATTTTCCATTCCTCAGCAGGCGCATCCACAGCTTCAGCTTGTACTCCTGGCTCTGTGGAAGTGCAGCACTCCACAATATATCCCTGAATCTCAGAGCCTCCATCCTTTGTTGGTTTTCCCCATGAGAGGAATACTGATGATTTAGATGTGTCTGTGACTCTTGGATTGCGTGGAGGGCCAGGTTGGAAGACAGGATCAATAGCTTTGTAGAATACACTTGGTGTACTTGGTTCACCAACACCCACAGCATTCTCAGCTGCAACCCTGAACTCATAAATGTGACTTTCTAGGAGTCCAGTAACTTTGAATGTCAAATGAGTGACTGTTTGCCTGTTGCATCTTATCCATCTTACTCCCTCTTTGTCATGTTTTTCAATTATGTATCCAGTTATGAGACTGCCACCATCTTCAGAAGGTGCTTCCCAGCTGAGCACCATTGAATCTTTTTTGACATCAGAAACTTCTAAGTTCTTGGGTGACCCTGGTTGGACATATGGATCTTTGATCAAAACAGGAGCAGATTCAAGTGGTGCACCCACTCCAAACTGATTGACGGCATAAACTCTAAAGATATACTCATCTCCTTCCAGGAGCTTAGTAACTTTTAGACAAATATTCTCTACTTTGGAGTCAATGACAGTCCAGACAAGTCTGCTTGTTTCTCTTCTCTGAACAATGTAATGAGAGATTTTACTGCCACCATCTTGGCATGGAGGTTTCCATGCAAGGCAGCAGCAATCTTTGGCTATCCCTGTTACAACAAGTGGGCCTAGTGGTTCCCCAGGTTTATCTAAGACAACCACAGTGATATGAACAGCCTTCTCTCCTCCTGGATTTTTTAACACAAGAATGTATTCACCGCCATCTGACAGTTTGGCTTCTTTCACAGATATAAAGGCTTTGTTGGATGTGTTCTTAATTTCCCTGTGAATAGTGCTTCCCAGTTCCTGCTCCCCCTTCATCCAATGGATAGAGGGCAATGGCTTACCATGAACATCTGCATCGATTTTGAAACAATCTCCAGCATTAACTACAACAGTCTTTGTGTACTCTGGATCAATGCTGATGCGTGGTGGTTCAATTTCATCTCTGGCAGTTATTGGACCAGTGCTGTATGAGGGGAGACTGAAAACACCAGCAGCATTTCTGGCAATAACACGAAACTCATACTGATTATCCTGCACAAGTCCAGTTGCAACATATTCTGTTTCAATGACATTAGTGAAATTGGATTTCATCCAACGACCCTCTGGAAGTTCCTTCTTTTCCACAACGTAGCCTGTAACCTTTGCGCCACCATCATACTCGGGCTTGGTCCAAACAATGGTCATGGAGTCTTTAGTTATTTTTGTTGCCTCTGGAGTGCCAGGAGGATCGCAAGGGTCTCTTGCAATTTGCCCCTCAGATACTTTGCTCACTTTTCCAATTCCAACGATGTTTTCTGCATAAACTCTGAATTCATACTCCATTCCTGGTTCCAGACCTGTGGTTTTGAAGGTTTGATCAGTAATGATTGACTTGTTTAGTTTGACCCATAAGATGCTGTTTCTCTCTTTGCGTTCGAGATGGTAGCCCAATATTGAACTTCCACCATCATTAACTGGCTCATTCCAGGCTAAAACCATGCTGTCCCTAGTGCAGACTGCAACATACGGTGTTCCTGGTGGTCCTGGGAGCTTGTATGGGTATTGCGCAACAATACACTCTGAGAGAAGAAATGGACCTTTTCCATATCTATTTTCAGCTGTAATCCTAAACTGATATTCAGAGCCAGTCTTCAACCTGCCTGCCTTAATTTTGGTCCTTGCTAGGTTGGGAGACACAACCATCCAATTCGTTGTGGATGTGTCTCTTTTTTCCACAATGTAGTTCTTGATTGTGCAACCACCATTATACTCTGGTGGATTCCAGGAGACTATTACACTATTAGAAGTCACCTCTTCTACTTTGACAGGACCTCTGGGCTGGCCAGGTTTATCTAAAACAACAATACTAATATTTACTGTTGTTTCTCCTGCTGTATTGCCAAGAATGACAAGATATTGCCCAACATCATCTTTGGTTGCCTCTTTAATGTTGAGGTTCAACATTGTCTCTGTTGAATCAAAGTTGACTCTGGTAGTTCTCTTCAGAGGCTGACCGTCTTTTACCCAGGTGGCAGCTGCTTTAGGACGGGCTAAAAATGGAACTTCCACTGTCAAATCTTCTCCTGCCAACACACTGAATGTGCTGAACAACATTTTAGCAACTGGTGCAATTACAAGATCCTTTACTATGACAGGCACACCTATTTGACGAGGGTCACTTGTTCCTTTCTCATTTCTTGCTGCTACACGGAACATATACTCTTCTCCTACATTTAGTCCACTGATGGTGGCTTCTGTGTTCTTTGCAATCAGAGCCTGGGTCCACTTATCAACACCCTTAGGTTGAATCTCAACAACATAACAGCCAACTCTGCTGCCACCATCATGCTCTGGCTTCTCCCAGGAGAGAGTTACGCTGTTTTTAGTGACGTCCTTTAGAATGATCTTGCCAGGTGGTTGTGGTTTCTCGGACACTTTAACTGCTTCAACAGTCTCAATGGGTAAGCCAATGCCATATTCATTTTCAGCCAAAACTCTAAAGTAATAGTTGCATCCCTCTAGGAGGTGGTCAACAGTGAAAGTGGTGCTATGGCAGTTAGCATTAACTGTGGCATAAGCTTTCCTTGTTGACTCACGTTTTTCAACTATATAGTTCTTGACTTTTACACCTCCATCATTTACTGGTGGATCCCATGTGAGAGTTACAGCTTTATTTGTGACTAAAGTAATTTTTAGATTTTGTGGAGCACTTGGTGTATCAAGAACTTTAACTTGAACTGTAACAGTTTTGAAGCCAGAGCTGTTTTCAACAGTAAGAGTATATTTTCCACTGTCAAATCTGTTGACATTTTCAATTACAAGTGATGTGTATGATGTTGTGCTGTCAATGGTTGCTCTCTCAATAGGCTCCCCGTCACCTTTAGTCCATTTAATCTGAGGAGCTGGTCGTCCTCTAATGGGCACAAACAACCTAAGAGAGCAACAAGCTCTAAGACTAACCACTTTGCGGAGCTCAGCATCCAAGTCAATCTCAGGCGGGAGGAGTCTGTCCTCTGCCTTAGGGTTTCCAGGTACAGGTGCTGGCTCTCCAATTCCTTCACTGTTCAAGGCAGATATGTTAATCTTATAATCTTGATTTTCTTTTAAATTAATGATAGTAAATGAGGTTGCAAGAAGACCGTCCTTGGGTGTAACAATGGTCCATTCCTCCTCTTCCTCTTTTTCCTGTGGAATGCACGTCTCAACAATGTACCCCTTGATTTCAGAGCCACCATTATATACTGGTTTGTTCCAAGCAACAGTAATGGAGGACCTGGTTGTGTCTATGACCCTTGGGTTGCATGGAGCCCCAGGCTTGTACAGTGCATCTGTGGCCTTGTAAAAGAGAGTGGGAACACTTGGTACACTCACTCCAGCAGCATTCTCAGCAGAAATTCTAAATTCATATTCATGTCCAGGAACAAGGCCTGTTGCCTTGAACTGTAGATCTTTCACTTTTCTTATGTTACATTTTATCCAGCGGAGGGCACTTTTGTCTTTTCTTTCAATAACGTAGTTGATGATGGGAGTTCCACCGTCATACTTGGGTGCTTGCCACATGACAACCATTGAATCTTTCGAAATAGCTGTCACCTCTGGGTTTTCTGGAGGATCTGGAATCACATACGGGTTGTCTACAACAGTGGGTTCTGATTCGAGAGAATCACCAAGTCCATATTTGTTCACAGCCATTACTCTGAAGATGTATTCATTTCCTTTGAGAAGTTTGGTAACTTTGTGTTGCGTAACTTGCAAGCCTGAAACTACATTTGTCCACACCAATCTACTTGATTCACGTTTTTCAATCACATATCCTTCAATCTTGGCACCACCATCATCGGCTGGTGGAGTCCAAGTAAGTACACAGTTGTCAGAAGTTATATCAGAAACCTTTAGAGGTCCAACTGGTCGTCCAGGTCTGTCAAGCACTTTGACATTAAAGACGTGCTTTGCAAATCCACCAACATTAGTAGCAGTCAGAACAAATTTACCACCATCTGTTCTGATAGATTCCTTGTTGGTCAGAGTAGTTGTCAGCTCAGTGAATCTGACCTCAAGCTTCATTGTGTTTTCAACCTCTTTCCCATCCTTTGTCCAAACCATGGAAGGGATTGGCTGTCCAGCAATATCTGCCTCAAGCTTGAAGGACTCCCCTGCCTTCAGTAGGACTATATCCCTAAATATGGCGTCAACCATAATGCGCGGTTCAATAATGTCATCTTTGCAGGTAATTGGATCAGAGGGCTCAGATGGCGTGCTCACCGCACCTGCAGAGTTTCTGGCAGTAACACGAAACTCGTAGGAGTTGTCCTGTGTTAGTCCACTGATAGTAAATACGGTTTCTATGATGTTGGTAAAATTAGCTCTGGTCCAGCGACCAGCAGGCAATTCTCTCTTTTCCACTGTATAGCCAGTAATCTTAAAGCCACCGTCATACTCAGGCTTTGTCCACTGAATAGTAATGGCATTCTTATTAACAACAATTGGTACGGGATGACCAGGTGGATCAACAGGGTCCAAGGCCAGTATTGGTTCTGAGGCTTTGCTGGGCTTACCAATTCCAGCCATGTTTTCTGCCATGACACGGAACTCATAAGCAACACCATCTTCAAGTCCAGTGGACTTAAAGGTATTTCCTTTCACAAGTCCCTTACTAATTCTATGCCATACAATACTACTTCTTTCCTTCCTCTCAACATGATAACCAATTACTTCATTTCCACCATCAGATACTGGCTCATTCCACCCAATGGTAATCGAATCTTTTGTGAAGGCAGCCACACTAGGAGTACCAGGTGGCCCGGGTACTTTGAATGGATAGGCAGCAACTACTGCCTCTGAAGTGATTGGAGGTCCAACGCCATATCTGTTTTTAGCTTTAATTCTGAATTGGTACTCTGACCCAGTAGTCAACCGTGTAGCTTTGAAAATTGTACGTATCACTGAGGAAGACAACTCAGTCCATGTTTGGGACGTTGTATCTCTAATCTCAACTGCATAGTTGTTTATTGGAACACCCCCATCGTTTTCTGGAGTTTCCCAAGAAAAGATGCAATAGGTCCGAGATATTTCAACAATCTTAACTGGTCCTTTAGGTGCCCCGGGTATATCATGTACTTTGACAGTTATGTTGTCTGTGACAGATCCAACAATGTTCTTTGCTGTCATGCTGTAAACACCACTATCAGTTCTATTACATTCATTGATAGTAATAATGGTTGTGGCAGGACTCAGTTCTACATTGGTTCTTTGTGTGAGTTTCAGGGGTGCTCCATCCTTCTGCCAAGAGACTGTTGGTCTGGGACGTCCCATAACTGGAATTTCAACCTTGATGTTATCTCCTGCTTTGGCAATAACAGTTTTCTGGCAAACACCACGTAGGTCAAACTCGGGGAGAAATGTAGAATCTTTGACAACAATAGGTTTGCTCTCACGTGGATGACTTCTGCCAGACTGGTTGACAGCCATGACATGGAAAACATACTCCTCATTCTCATTGAGATTTTTTACTGTGAATTCCATTGCCTTGACTGTTGTAACATGGGCCCATTGATCAGTTCCTTTCTTCTTGGCTTCCAAAACATACCCTGTAATTCTGCTTCCACCATCATGTTTGGGTTTGGTCCAAATAAGGCTTACAGAATTCTTTGTGATATCAATTGGAATAATGCCCTCTGGAGGAGTTGGGGCTTGGGATGCACGAATTGGATCAGCAGTTTCAACTGCTTCCCCTATGCCATACTCATTCTCAGCAGACACTCTGAAGTAGTACTCACAACCTTCACCCAGCTCGCCAATTCTTACCGAAGTGTTGGGGCACTTTGTAATCACAGTAGCAAAAGCCTTACGTGTTGATTCCCTCTTCTCAATAATGTAGTTTGTGATCTTGGCTCCCCCATCAATTAGAGGAATATCCCATTGAAGTGTAATGCTTTCTTTGTCAATCGTGATTGGTTTTAGGTTAAGAGGAGGTCCAGGTGAATCCAAAACTCTTACATGAATATCTGCACACTTCTTTCCAGCTGAGTTTTCAAGGACAAGTTCATATTTGCCAGCATCAATCCTTGAGCTTTCAGTAATAAGTAACATTGTGAATGATTCAGTGTTGTCAATTACCGCACGGGAAACGAGGCAACCCTCTTTGGTCCAACCGACTTTGGGAGAAGGACGGCCTTTGATTGGCACAAAGAGACGGATAGAACAACCAGCTCGGACAACAAGGGTTCTTCTCAACTCAACATCCAATTCCAAGTCAGGTTCAGTGGCACATTCCACTACTTCAACCAATTCCTGAGTTTCAGCAGGTTTCCCCGGCCCCTTGGCATTTACAGCACTAATTCTAAAGTGGTACTTTGCACCAGTTTCCAGGCCAGGAACCACAAATTCTGTGATCCTCAGTGGAGATGAAGGGGTGTCCTTAATCCACTCTTCCGTTCCTTCCTTCTTGTGCTCAATCACATATCCAGTGACTTCAAGTCCACCATTATCCAGAGGTTTTCCCCAGTTCAGAGTAGCAGTGGTCTTTGTAGTGTCTGTAATTCTTGGATTGACCGGAGGCCCTGGCACATCTAACAAAAATAAAATAAATGGTTAACACATTTTAAACTAAAAGTTGAATTATGAAAAACAAGCAATAACTTAATTAAAGTAAAAAAAAGGGTTTTGATAGGCTACAAATGAAAGATTCTTAATTATTGTTACTTACAGGTAGCTACTATTGTTTTTACAACCATAGAGGGTTCACTTGGCTCTCCAAAACCAGCTTTGTTCTCTGCAAGTACACGGAACTCATAGTCAACGCCCTCTGTGAGACCTGTGACTTCAAAGCCGAGTTCAGGAATCGATTTCTTAGATGCCCTAAACCATCCCATTGCCTTCTTTTCCTTTTTCTCAATACAATAACCTATTATGTCACTTCCTCCATCTTCAGCTGGTCTTCTCCAGGTCAAAGTGGCTGAATGTCCGTCAACTTTCTCAACTTCTGGTTTAGATGGTGGACCTGGGGGACCTACGGCCAAAAGAAACGTTTCATTTATTTAAAAAAAAAACGTATCGCCTTGAAAACATATTCAAGAAGATACAGATTGCAGACAGGTGTTTTATTGCTGAAAATTTTAAATTATATAAACAAACTGCTCATACATACCAAACCTATCAATAATCTTGACAGCCTCAGAATGGGATGGTTCACTGCCACCATACTGGTTCACAGCAGACACTCTAAAGAAGTACTCGTTGCCCTGAATGAGTTTGTTGGCCACATAGTGGCAGTTTATTGCCTTTTCTTCAAGGATTGTCCAGAGAAGTCGGCTAGTCTCTCTTTTTTCCAGAGTGTAATATTTGATAGGAGAACCGCCATCTTCGGTAGGGGCTGTCCAGGTAAGAGTCACTTTTTCAGAGGAGACACCACTGCATTCAATTGGTCCAGGAGCACTAGGAACATCCAGAACTTTGACCTTAACGGTTTCTTCCTTTACACCAAAGGGGTTGCTGGCAGTAATGGTGTATTCTCCAGAATCTTTCCGGCCCGCATATTTTACAGACAGAGTAGATGATGTTGCAGTAGTTTCGATCTGAACAAGGTCAGATGGCTTAAAATACTTTCCTCCCTTAGACCAGCATGAGGTCGGGGCAGGTTTGCCTAAAATGCTTGTGGCAGTGATAACAATAGTGTCACCAGCTCGGACAGTAAGACCTTCCATCACCTGGGCATCAATGCTAATGGATGGTGCAGCTGTCCAGGTGAAAAAATGGAAAACATTAGCCCATCATACCATATCGGAGTCTCATCACTGTGTTTCTCACTAAAAGTGCTTCTCATGCTTTAACTCACCATACTCGTCTCTACAGATAATGGTATCTGTCTGCTCAGAGGGTGGGCTGAGGGCACCAGCAGCATTCTTTGCTCTGATTCTGAACTCATATTTGCAGCCTTCTTGAAGATCGAGAATAGTAAATGCAGGTTCCACAACATTCATGTTATTGGCTTTCACCCAGATCTTAGAAGGCAAGTCTCGCTTCTCCACAATGTATCCAGTCAGCCTGTGTCCACCATCAAATTGAGGTTCAGTCCATTGGAGTGTCACACTACTTCTGGTGATGCTGATTACATCAGGTTTACCAGGTGCATCTGTTGACACAAGTAAAATAAGAAATTGTAGTGCTGAGTTGAAAGAAAGGGGTAATATTCCTGCTCTTTAAAGTCTTAAAATCTTACCGATGGGGTCCAGTGCTACCTGTGGATCAGTTGGAGCACTTGGCCTGCCAATTCCAGCCAAGTTAATAGCCATTACTCTAAACTCATACTCCAAACCTTCAGTCAGACCAGTTACTTTGTGATCCTTCATCTTCAAGGCAGCTGGACTGGCCCTTTTCCACAACATACTGTTCCTCTCCTTAAACTCAATGTGATAGCCTAAGATCAAATTGGGGAAAATGCAGTGTAAACTCATCTGGCATTTATACATAAACAGGTATCAGATACCATGTTTGAAAATCATGCCTGAACTACATAGGGTTTACTGTACCTGTGATTGGAGATCCTCCAGTCTTTCTGGGGTCAGACCAGGCAAGGTAAGCAGAGTCATGATGCATGCTCATGATCTGTGGAGGTGCAGGTGCATCTGGTACATCTATGAAAAAACAGTGACGTGCAAATGTTTTCAGTTAGCAAAAGTAGAATCTTATGTTCAGCAGTAACCAGGACTGTAGAATGTCTAAAAGTAGCACTTACTAAATGGATGTTTTGCTACAACAGGCTCAGACTTGAGTCCCTCTCCAACACCATACTTGTTCTCAGCGCTAACTCTGAATATGTATTCTGTGCCTTCATGGAGCCCAGTCACCCTCATGGAGTTAGTCTCTACAGCGGAGGACACAGTGACCCACATGTTGGTGATGGAATCCCTTTTTTCCAAGATGTAGTTTGTAATCTCTGAGCCACCGTCATCTTTGGGAATGGCCCATTTCAGTGTAGCACCATCAGCAGTAACATCCTTGAATTTTAATGGCCCCCCTGGAATACCAGGTTTGCCCACCACCCTGATGATGCAAAGGAATGTTAACCTTTAATACTTAAATTTGAGCTGTTTTTTTTTATTGAAACAACAACTCTAACCCTTCATCTCAAAGATACCCACCTGATGAAGATGACAGACTCTTTGCTTGCTGCACTGTTCCTCAAGGTGATGGTGTACTTAGAAGCATCAGTCCTTTGACAGTCCCTGATTAGAAGGGTGGTGTTAACTGCAGATGACTCTGCACAGACCCTGCCAGTACTTGTCAGATCCTCATCATCTCCCTTCTTCCAGGAAACCTTTGGAGTAGGTTTTCCAATAATAGGGATCTTCAGACGAACTGTGCTTCCCTCTTTGGCAATGTAGCACATGTTGGGCAAGTCTCTTAAATCACAGCTTGGATAAACTTGAGAGGAAAAAGAAACTACATTCAGAAAACAACTTTTTCTATACTTCCCCAGATGGAAGTTTTATAAACATGGACACTTACTAATCTGATCCTCTGCAATCACTTTCAGTTCCTTGGCTGAGCTCTCTCCTGAGTCATTTACAGCTTTGACCCGGTAGGTGTACTCTCTGCCCGCTACCAGGTCCTTGGCACTGTACTGCATATTTTTGGACCTCATGAGTTCCTTGTATTTGTCATCACCATTGAGAACTTCAAGGAGATAGCAGATAATGCGACTACCACCATCCGTCAGGGGTTTCTTCCAGCTTAAAGTGCAAGAGTCTTTGGTCACCAGCAAGGTTTTAAAGTCCATGACTGGCCCAGGCTCCTCTGAAATGTAAAAAGTAAATGTGACTTTTCCAAAAGACAACAAGGAAAATGAAATGTTCTTATTATTCAACCAACCTGTTGCTCTAACAGCATCAGCTGTCTCACAAGACTCTCCAGTACCAAGCTGGTTTACTGCTGACACTCGAAAGCAGTAGGATCGTCCAGCATCCAGGTCTGGAACCTTAAATGATGTCTTTTTTAAGTTATTTGAGACAACAGACCAGGCTTTTCTTTCAGTGTCACGCTTCTCTACTATGTAATGGGTGACTTCATAGCCACCATCAATAAGAGGGGCATCCCAGTAGATTTCAGCACTGTCCTTGGTTGTCTCTTTCACCACTAGGTTTGCTGGTGGTCCCGGAGTGTCTGAAACAGAAACATGGACCTTAAACCAAAGAAGTTTGTTTTATTTTAACTCTAGAGAATGAACATTTTAGCATGGGTATGGTGTCAGATAACATGTTTATCTGGAGATGTTGTTTGTACTAACCATAAACTTTGACAACGATGGTGTACATCTTCATGCCAGCTGAACTCTCCAGATTCAAAATGTATTTGCCCGCATCATATCTGTTGACCTTCTCCACCATCACCAAAGTGTCATTGTTGCTGGATTTGATGACGATGCCCTGGCGGTCCTTGATGTTGGTGTTCATTTTTGCCCAGGTGATTCTGGGAATAGGCCGACCCTTTATGGTAGCATACAACTTCATGGTGGCACCAGCGTGAAGCTCCAGGACTTCTTTCAACTCAGCACTCAGTTCTGCCTCTGGAGAAACTGAAGACAGATGAGGCATCCATTAATCACAGCATAAGCAACAACTTTCAAGACTAATTTAAAGGGTACGTTTAAAGTAAATCTGACTTTTTTAATCTTTTTGTGCTGGCACGTGGCTCTCTACTGCCTCTATGAACACTCCAAACATTGAAAAAAAAGTCCCATTTTCTTTTTGGCAGTGCTTGGTTTAGAATTTATTTAAATAGTTTTATTAAGTCCCTTTTTGAGATGTCACAATCAGGGAAATTTGCATTCTTGTGTACAAGACAGAGAGAGGACAAACTGGGGGGTGTATGACTCTTGGCTGGCCAGCCAGCATCTTACGACTCCTCCAGAGGAGCTGGCTGGCTGAGGAGACAGATGTTTGTCTCTTATTTGCTTAAACTGCTACACCTGCAACCTGACGGACTACACCGGAGCTCCCAGCAAACAAAATACAAAAATCTTTTATGTTTGAGGCCCAGTGGTACATTTTGTACTGACCAGCAAACATCTTCTGTTGGAAGGAGCTGTCCCTGTTCCATGTCAAGTCGGCAGATGAGCGGTGTTAAACTTTTAAACAATACACTTTTTGTTCCTATCAAAGTTCAGCATGAACTAACTCTGCTAATAATCCTAACCCTAACCCACATCATACTGCTCCTCTTCCAGCTTCAAGATCCTGGTTCTGGTCTTTAGGGCCTTACATGAACAAGCACCATCATACATTGGTGATCTTCTCAGTCCCTAGAGCCCCAGCAGGTCCCCGAGGTCCAGTGACCAAAGCCACCAGGCTAAAGTTCAAAGGTGACAGATCATTTGCTGTTGTGGCCCCCAGACTGTGGACCTCTTTCCCCCTGAGCCTGAGATCAGTGGACTCAGTGGTCTCTTTTAAACTCACCTGTTCAGGCTTTGGTGGGACCTTCATCACCTCCCTCTCCTTGTTCTGCTCTTTCTACCTATTCCACTTTTCCTGGAAACAACTGATAACCTCTTTATTACTCATTTTCTTTTTCCTTTCCTCGCATTTTCTAATCAAAAATAATTTTATCATTTTTATATGTGAAATAATTGTTTTAATCTTTTAACTGTCATTTATGTATTATTTTTGTTCTTGTGAAGTGCCTCATGGTTTTTATCGTGAGAGGTGCTCTGTAAAAAATTGTTTCTTCAAGGGTTTAGTTTGGGTTAAGCTGGGCGGACACTGTGTGACTTTTTCACTCGTTAGCACTCAGCTTCAGCTCAAACTGTACGACTTCCTCGCAGGGCAGATCTCACAAGTCATGCGCTCACACTGTACGACCCAGTTCTCGGATGCGACCTGGCTGCTCACACTGTACGTCTGGTAACAACACGTCGGCCCTAAAAATATGCTAAAAATTGCAGTTTTTATACAACACGTCAGACTTTTTTGTCTTGTTTTGCCTGTTGTCCTTCGGGAGTGCTGCAGGAGGACACACAGGGATTTATGGGGGTTGGATGAGGAAAACGAAATAAAGAAAGTAAATCTGTGTTTTGTGATCAGTTTCATTTGACATGAACACGACAAACATGCTTTCTTGACAATCTTTGTGAGTAAAAAAAACGTGCAGATTAAAACGAACAACGTGTGTTATTAGGGAAATAGCAGGCGAGCGGTGTTGATGCAGGATTGCACATGCGCCATGAGCGGTTCTGATACTTTTTGGGTCGCAGCCGCTCGCAGCGCCGCTTCAACAGTGTGATACCCTCACGAGGGACGAGCAAAATTTCAAACACGCCAGAAGTTTGTGCGAGCTCACGATTGCTGATCGGCAGCTGGTCGCGTGGTGTTAATCGCCTCTCGTAACCCCCTGTACACTACACGACGCTCGGCGCAAAACTCGCCCCGATGTCGTGGATTCTCGCACGACTGGAAAATTGACTCAAAAAAGTGAAAAAGTCGCACAGTGTACGCCCGGCTTTAGGGTTAGGGTTAGGGTTGGGCTGATATTTGCATGCTTTAAATTAGCATTTGAATGCATGTGTGCAGATAGGACACAACCTAAGTAGTTTCTAGATTAAAATCATTTGGATGAGGCACTAAGCTTTAACTAAGACGCTGTAAGAAGAGAAAGCAAGAATGTGAGTTGTAATTTCTACTGTGATAAACGTCCAGCCAATCAGGGAATGGGTGAGCATGGCCAGCTACAGCATGGCTCCATTAAAGTGAACAAGCTCTGAAACTGGAGAATGGAGCTGGTAAGATTGCTTTGTGTGAGATATTTTGTGCACAGATCTTTATTATTCAACATGTTACCAACTATCTAGAAGCTGATTTACTATTTTAAATATGGTAAATGGCCTGTAAATGTGTAGCACATTCTAGGGTTCAACCCCCCCCCCCCCCCACCAACCCACACCCACCCCCCACCCCCACCCCCACCCAAGGTGCTTTACAACACAATCAGCTATTCACCCATTTACACACTGATGGTGATGAGCTACATTGTTGCCACAGCTGCCCTGGGGTGCACTGACTTCTGTAACTCCCTCATGTCCTTCTTTGTTTCAAAAATCACCGACATCCATCAACATCTAGCTTCTCAAAGCACTTCTGTCTTCAGAGTGGACATCACTCTCCCCTCCCCACTTCCCTCAGTCTATGACATCACTGAACTTATCCTCAAATCCAAACCTTCCACCTGTCAGCTCGATCCACTCCCTACAGTTCTTGTTAAAACCTGCCTGTCTTCTTTTTCTCCTCTCATAACCAACATTATTCACCACTCCCTAAACTCTGGAATTGTCCATCCAACCTTCGAAACTGCAATAGTTACACCTCTTCTGAAGAAACCTGGCCTGGACCCCACAAACTTCAATAACCTATGCCCTATTTCCAATCTACCCTTCATCTCCAAAGTTCTTGAAAAACCTGTTGCCTCTCAACTTCATGACCACCTCATCACCAATGACATCTACGAACAGTTTCAATCTGGCTCCTGTCTTCTTCACAGCACTGAAACAGCACTTCTCTAAATCACCAACGACCTTCTCACTGCTTCTGACTCTTGTTTATTGTCTATTCTCCTCCTTCTCGATCTCACTGCAGCATTTGACACCATCTCCCATAGCACTCTCCTCAGCAGACTGTCATCCATAGGCATCACCCACACTCCCCTTGCCTGGTTCACCTCCTACCTCCCTGGCCGTACACATTTAATTCAACTGAAGTCATATAAATCCAATCGATTCCCTGTTTCTGCTGGTGTGCCCCGGGGCTCTGTCCTGGGGCCCCCTTCTTTTCATCATTTACCTTCTCCCGCTAGGTCACATTTTCCGTAAACACAACATTCATTTTCATTGTTACGCGGATGACACCCAGCTCTACCTCTCAACCAAACCCTAAACTTCACTTCCACCCTCCTCCCTTACCCTCTGTCTCCAAGACATCCATTCTTGGTTCACCTCCAACTTCCTCAGACTGAACAGTTCTAAAACTGAAGTCCTCCATCATCTCATCGCATCATCCTCATCCTTCAACAACTTCATTGGCTGCTCCTTAAACAGAGAATCAGCTTCAACATTCTGCTCATCGCATTCAAAGCTCTCCATAACCTGGCTCCATTCTACATATCTGATCTCATTCACATCACCACTCCTGTCTGCGCTCTTCGTTCCTCTTCTACTCCTCAACTCTCGGCTCCCCCACTCGCCTTGTCACCATGGGGAGTAGAGCATTCAGCCGCTCTGCTCCCCACCTCTGGAATTCTCTTCCCCCTGATCTATGCACCACTCTCTCTCTCCCACTTTTTAAATCAAAACTCAAGTGTTTTTTCCCCCCATTGTTGTAAAGTGTCCTTGGGTGTCCTGAAAAGTGCTTTTTAAACGTATTGCTGAACACAGGCACCACCGGTCCCTCCGACCACCACCAGCTTCTCTGCTGTGAGCAGGGATTGAACCTACAACCCTCCGATTACTGGACATGTGTGTTTTTATCTAAACTTTTATACTGGTTTTGGTGTAACATTAATTAACATTAAGGCATTCCAGAAAACCACAATCATACACACCAATGATATCCTTGGCAGTGTGTGTGCCAGGCACTTCAGCCGGCTCACTGAAACCAGCTTTGTTGACAGCAGTGATGCGACACTGGTATTCCGACTTATCAATAAGATTCTGAATGATGTAGCTGGTGTCCTGCAGGTTCCTGGGCACGTTGCAGCGGATCCAGTCAGTGGTGTTGGTTCTCTTGCATTCCACTAAATATCCAATGATTGGGCTTCCACCATTGTTAGCAGGAGCAGTCCATGTAAGGCTGATGGTGCTATGGGTGGTGTCGGTCACACTGGGGTTTAGAACAGGTCCCGGAGGTGCTGAATAGGAGCACAAAGAGGAATTTTACCAGATATATTTGGTGTTTCAAATTAGTGAATGTAAACGCAAATTGATCATTAATAACTGAGACTTACTGATGGGATTCTGTGCAGCTGTACTGGCAGAGGGGTCGCTGGGTTTGCCAAGACCAGCTGCATTCACAGCAATGACTCTGAAGTCATACTCAACTCCTTCTGCTAGATCAGTTACTTCAAATGTCCTTTCTGTCACGGGCTTCCTATTCAACTTAACCCAGTACATCTCCTTGGTCTCCTTCTTTTCTAGTATGTATCCCAGAATTGTGGACTTTCCATCATCAGCAGGCTCCTTCCAGCTTACCGTCATATGGTCTTTGGTAACATTAGTGATTACCGGGGCCTCACAAGGTCCAGGAACAGCTGGGAGTAATATCAGAGCAAAGGTCTTTGTTAAGAAATGACAAATGTGTTTAAAGCAGAACTCACTTCACACTCATTGTGACATAATATATACTGGTTATAACTGGTATAACTGACTGGGACTTTCCTCACACTACAAGTTTGAGTCAGATTTTAACAGAAGCACCAACTCATTCATTTCAACTCAAAGCTGGTGATGACTCACTGAATGGATTCTTGGCATTGACTGGGTGGGTGATAAAGGGGTCTCCAACTCCCCACGTGTTTTCAGCTCGAATTCTGAACTGGTACTCATGATCTTCAATTAACTTGTCCACAGTAAACTCAAGCTTGTCACTCTTGATCTTAGTTGAGACCTGGGCCCAGTTGGTTCTGCTGGTCTCCCGCTTGTCCACAATGTAGTTACTTATAGGGGCCCCGCCATCTTTCAAAGGAGGCTCCCAGGACAGTTTCACACTGGTGGCAAAGACCTCAACATATTTGGCACTGGCAGGGGGGCCAGGCACATCTGAGGAAACACAACACTCAACATTTAATGTGACGCCAACTTTGGCAGGCTAGTATACCTTTGTCAAATCCATGTGTGAATCTACTTACCCAGAACATTGACCTCAATTTCTGCAGTTTTGGAGCCACTGGCATTCTCAGCCACCACTGTATAGATTCCTGAGTGTTCTTTGGTCACAGCTGTCATCTCAAGCTGGAAGTGATGTCTTTCCTGGGTAATGACCTGACCTTCACCTGACTTCAAAGTTTCCTCACCTTTCTTCCAGGTGACTCTGGGCATAGGCTTACCAAACACATCAGCTTCCAGAAGCACTGTGGCTTGAGCCTTCACTTTCAGAACCTTTCGCATCTTCGTGTTAAGCTCAATCCTCGGAGGAACTGTAATTTAGAGCAACACAGTAACAGCTCAACATTTTAAACCCATTAAATGAATTTGTATTTGAATAATATCTTAAAGTGATGTTATCTCACCATTCTCAGCACAAACTAGAATTGGGTCTGTGGCCTCTGAGGGTTTGCTCATGTTGACAGCTGTTTTGGCGATGACTCTGAACTGATACTGAAGATCTCGTTCCAGGCCGGTTACGGTGTATTCCTCCCTAGGGACATTCTGACTGCTGGTGTTGCAGCGTATCCACACGTCTCCTGGAACTTGCAAGGCTTCAACATAGTAGCCTATGATCTTGCTTCCACCATCGTTTTTGGGACGGGTCCAAACCAGAGTGACAGAGTTTTTGGTTACATCTAAAACCTCAGGTTTGCCTGGGGTGTCTAACACAAAAGAGATAAAGGTAAGAGTATGGTTGAATGAAAAAGAACTTAGTGAACAGGTGTGAGTGGAAAACTTACCAACAGGTGTTCTGGCAGTTACAAAATCTGTCTTCTTACTTGGTTTACCCTGGCCAGCACGATTAATGGCAGATACTCTGAAGGTATACTCCAGACCCTCGATCAGGCCGGCACACGGGTACTCAGTGTTTCGGACTACAGTGTCATTGGCCTTCACCCACAGAAGGCTGTTCCTCTCTTTTCGCTCAATGTAGTAACCTGTAATGGGACTGCCACCATCGCTGTCTGGCTTGTCCCAGGCTACAAACATACAGTCCTTGTTGGTCTTGCTGATGCGACAGTTTAGAGGCTCACTTGGAACATCTGAAGAAAACATAAATATACTTCAAATACTATTCATAAAGTCAGAATTCTCAGCTGATCAACTTCACAAATAAATCCAGTCTCAGGGCATATCTCACCCACACTCACCAAAGGGAAACTTGGCGACCATCCTATCAGACTGAATAGGGTCTGACACACCAAAGCGATTCTCAGCACGGATGCGGAAAATATACTCTTTTCCAGGAATTAGTTTTCCCAATCTGCAAAGGGTCTTTGAGCAGGAAGAGAGGGCTGTTACCCAGTCACCTCGACTCACATCGCATTTCTCAATTACATAGTTGGTGATGTTGCTGCCTCCATCTTCCAGTGGTTGGTTCCAAGACAAGGAGCAAGAATCAGCATCAATGTCACTGATTTCTACAGGGCCTTCAGGAGGACCAGGAATATCTGTAATATAGATAATTGGAAGTTGAGTCATGTTTATTAATTCTCTGTTGGAGCTGACCAACATCTAGACTTCTTGTTATCCTAATTTTAGACGTTGGACGCACCTCTAATTATGATCTTGAGCAATTGGGAAACCTTTGCAGTGGTGTTTTCTGCCAAAAGACTGTATTCTCCACTGTCAGTCCTTGTCACATCTTTGATGATCAGGACACAAAGGTTTCCAGACTGGTGCACTGCCAAACGGCTGGATGGGATCACTGCTTTCTCACCACGCATCCACTTGCAGGTTGGGGAGGGTTTTCCTGAGACCAAGGCCTCAACTCTAAGTTTGGCTCCAGCTCTAGCACTTGCTGACTCTGGCATAACAATCTTTGGTTCCACTGTAGATCCAGCAGCAAAGATTGACTCATTATTTTGAAAGAAATAGTTTGGTTAGACAGAAATAACACATGTTCCTCCAAGTTTCAATCCTTTTGATGTTTGAAATATTAAAGGAGCCAGATCATGCTATTTAAAAGCTTTAAGAGCAAAGATTTCATTTAATTACACTTTAGTTTTACTGATTATTTTCGGCAAAATATTTTTTTTGTCTAAAGATCTTGAATTTGGTCGTTTCCCAGCAGCATTTTAGTTGATTTACTCTGCTCACCTCACATGGACTCTCGCTAGCTATATAAACAAAGAGTAAAAAAACTGATTAGTACTGATATTTTAAACGGTTTACCAATAAAGGGTTGAAAACATCAAACTGGCAAGTGCAGCTAAAAAGAAGAAAAAAGTTACTGCAGAGATTTGGAGGCAAAGTGGTGTAAAACATCATGCCAGCCAGTCAATCTAACCACTAGACTACAGTCTGTTACAAAACAACAGTCCCCTACCACACATGTCCTGAGCACCATTACGCGTGCCTGTGTGGACAGGACTCATGCATTTTATGGTGGTGTTTTATCCCTGATGCAGAAGCATTTAGTCACAATCTCCACTCTGGTACCAGTGGAGGGTTAAAGCAGTCATCTGTGACATGAAGGTCACATTCTCACCTGCAGCATGAAATCAACCTACTTCTTGGAGAGGTGGTTTCCAGATCAGAGACTAGCTTCAAGGGAAGGAGAAGGGCCTGATGATGCACTTGGACTACTTTCTCCAGGATGCAGTCAAGAACTTTAATTCAGAAAAATTGGAGCCGAGACAGGAAACTGCATGAATGTAGCCAACCACAGGATTGGGGCATTTTTCATGAGGGAACAACATCACATGGTAAAAAGCTCCAAAAAGTGGATTTTCCATGATATGGCCCCTTTAATTTTAATAGAATGCTGTTTCTGAGACAAGCAAATGTACAATGGTTCTTGGTCAAACAGCAAACACACCCATCTGTTCCTTGATCTCCACCGGCTCTCTGGTTTCTGTGAAGGAGCTCAAGCCCATGATGTTCTTGGCAGCCACTCTAAACTTGAACCTCTTTCCCTCCTTTAGGCCACTGACACCAACTGTTAAACCTTTAACTGTTGTGTAGGCATTCCACACTTCCTTCGCAGGTTCCTCTTCTTCTTCTACTGCTGGTGGTGGTGGTGGAGGAGGAGCTTCCTCTCCTTCAGCAACCTGTAATGAGCAGTAAATGGCCTGTATTTATATTGCACTTTCCAGAGTCCTGCAACCCCCAAGGAGCTCTTGTACCGGGATGCTGGTTCAGTGACAAATGAAGACATTCTCTACAACACAAAAACATCATCCTCTGTCTATTCTACACAGAGGATGAGTCTGGATACTCAGAAGCAGAGAGCACCATGAGGGGCGAGACTAGCCAGCTCGAAAATAACCAGTCAGAAAAAAGGCAGAAATGATGACAGTATCGTGCAATGCTGTAGTTTATTTTTCAGCTGTAGTTAAAGATGGCGTCTGGTGATGGCGCCAAATCTTTCATTAGAAGAAAGGCTTTTATCGTTTCTTTGTGTTGCGGCGTGTGACGTATGCTGCTCAGCACTGATTGGCTCAGTTAGAGTTCTCAGGGGGCAGGGTTATTTGAATGGGAGTGTTACCAGGCCCTTTGCTTCCTATAAGGAAACATTGGCATGGCTTTCCAGGTTAAAAAGTCATTCACCCATTTCCTCCCTCTCTCTCTCACACACACACACACACACACACACACGTGTGTGAGAGATGCATGCTTGCTTAGTATGAGGATTGCTGTAAAGACTCTGATTCTAGTCAGTGACTCGATGCAACCTGCTGGGTTCCTTATATAGGAAACTTTTTCTGACTGGCTTAATGTCCTGACCTGTATTGGGATGTTTACTGTGTGAAGGTCCTTGAGACGACTCTGTTCCTGATTTGGAGCTTTATAAATAAACTTGGATTGAAGAAAAAAAAACTTGAACCAGTTAAAAGTATGCAAGTACAAAACCATCTCAGAAAGTGAATATTTACCAAGTGTAAGTGAGGTTTCTTTGGTACATTCTGTGAACCAGGAGTACTTGTCTTAATAGAAAATCGTGTTTGATGTTTTTCAATTTTGTAATTTCAAATTAAACAATTGGCTGATGAAATCAGAACAGGTGACAAACCTCCACAGGTGCTGGTGGCTCTGGAGGAGGTTTGATCTCGATGTATTCAATCACATAACCATCAATCTTAGCACCACCATCTCTCTCAGGCTTTACCCAGCCAATCAGAGCACTGTTCTTTGTTATCTCCAGAACTTCAATTTTTTGACAAGGGTCTGGTTTGCCTAAAAAAATAGATGTGTTGAAATCATTTAATACCTGGTTAACTAACAGTAGATCAAACTTTCCTCCAGTGTTTAATGAATACTTACTGACAGGATCAGAAGCCAGGTAGGAAGTAGGTGAGACTCTGGGAACCCCGGACCCATACTCATTAACAGCTGTGACTCTGAAGTAGTATTCAGTGCCAGGCAACAGACCAGAAACTTTGAAGGGAATCTTATCTGGCTGAACTTCAGTCTTGACAGTGCCCCACGTCTTATGATCTATCTCACGCTTTTCAACCATGTAGTGTGTAACCTCGCTGCCACCATTGTTCTCTGGAGGACTCCAAGCCAGCATAGCTGATGTCTGTTTGATGTCTGTAGCTTCAAGATTCATTACAGGTCCAGGAGTATCTGTTAAAAAAACCCTCACCTTAAGTTCTTCTAAGAGTAACTTTGTAAACCTGCAGTTTTCACAGACATTTTACCAGCAGTGAAATAACCAATAATAGACCTACCTAGGACTCTGACATTGACGAACACGGCCTTCTCTCCTGCAGGGCTCTGCAGGGTCAGGCAGTACTTGCCAGAGTCGTCGCGGGTGGTGTCAGCAATGATCAAGAAGGTCATTGTGTCAATTATGTCAACTTTCCCCTTCCTGATCACGTTATCGATACCCATCCTCCTCCAAGTGACAGTGGGAGGTGGTCTGCCTCTGATGGTGGCACACAGTCTAATGGGGCAACCAGCCCGAACTGTCAGGCCCTGCTTCAGGTTGGCATCCAGGTCCACTTCTGGTGCCTCTGCAGGATGAAACAATGCTTCTGTTAACATCACACAGATTTAAATATCTATTGAAAAAAGCATGTAAACTGATGTTTGTATTCACCTTAAAGCAGACTAACAGACTTACCTAGAATGTCATGTGGTATCACAGCACCCTCTAGGTTACAAGGCAGGCTCATGCCCACCTGGTTCTGAGCGGACACTCTGAATTCATAAATAAGCTTCTCATCCAGACTTGTGACCGTGAATTCACAAATGACCAGCTGAGCTGCCACATTGCATCTTTTCCAGCCATCATCTCCTTTCTTTGCACTTCCCTGTACCCTCATCTCCACCACATAGCCAATGAGAGGAGCTCCTCCATCAGATACAGGCTTGATCCAGCCAAGGGTGACTGAGGATTTGGTGCTGTCTGTAACCCTCAGTTTGGTCGGAGGTGCAGGAGGTTCTGTGAGTGAACCGTAGAGTTGATCAGTTTTATCATATATTAAACAAATGCAGAAAAATGACTGATTACATACCAACAGCATCCTTTGCAGTGATCGCACGAGAAGCCTTGCTTGGACCACCAATACCAATTTCATTCACAGCCTTAACTCTGTACTGGTAATCATGGAGTGCCAGTAACCCAGTAACAGTCAAACGAGTTCCAGGGATTGGATCTTTATTGACAGGAGACCACCTGACTGCATGCTCCTCTTTCTTCTCCAGTAAATATCCTATGATAGGCTTTCCTCCATCTTTCTCAGGCTCATACCATTGCACAGTCATATCCTCCTTGCTGATCTTGATGACTTCTGGTGCTTCAGGGATATCGGGTACAGTGAACTGGGTGCCAGCAACCATAGCCTCACTCTGAACGGCAGGGCCAGGACCCATCTTATTCTCAGCTCTAACTCTGAAGATGTACTCATTACCCTCAATAAGTCGGGTTATTTTAGCCTTGTTGGTGATGACAGCATTAGAATGGACAGACCAAACTCCTCTTTTCGTCTCACATTTCTCAATGATGTAGTTGTAAATATCACAGCCACCATCATCATCTGGGATTTCCCAAGCAAGGTGGCACCTATCAGTGGTGATACCAGACACCTTGAGATCCCTGATAGGCCCAGGCCTGTCCAGTACAACCACTTTAGCAGTAGCAGAGCAGGATCCTGCACTATTGGAGGCAGTAACAACATACTTGCCACTGTCAGTGCGTCTAGCACCAGTAAGCAACAACTTAGAGAAGTCTGAACCAGTTTCAATCTGAAGCTTTGGGCCTTTCCTAATCTCATCGGTGCTCTCGTCCTTTGACCATTTGACATCTGGCTGGGGTTTCCCCTTCATTGTTGCTTCTATGGGTATGGAGTCTCCAGCTTTCACAACAAGTGTTCCATCCAGTTTAATCTTGACCTCAGGCTCTACCAGCTGTTCTTTCACCAACACTTCTCCTGTGGTCACCCAGTTGCTCTCACCTCCCTCGTTTTTAGTCTGAACTCTGAATTGGTAGATTTGATTTTCAACGCACCGGTCTGCCATGAAGTAAGTCTCCTTGATGGCACCCTTGTGTATCCTCTCCCACTCCTCTGCCTCTTTTGGTTTCTTTTCAATATGATATCCAAGGTTACGACTGCCACCATCATAATCTGGTTTCTTCCATTTCAAGAAGCAGAAGGTCTTGCCAATCTCTGATATTTGGAAATCAATGGGTTCACCAGGTTTCTCAATAGGATCAATTGCCAGAATAGGCAACTTAGTCTCAGTAGCTGGACCACTGCCAATTTTATTCTCAGCACTAACACGGAAGAAATACTCACAACCCTCAGTAAGAGGAGCCTTGATTAGGCGCTTGGTCCAGTCATTGGAGACCACTGTCCATCCTCTTTGGCTTGGCTGACGGCATTCAATGATGTACTGAGTGATCTCAGTGCCACCATTGTCTTCTGGGTTTTCCCAAGAGACCATGCAGGATTTCTTGGTGACATAGGCTACTTTCAGATTCTGGCAAGCTCCTGGTGTATCCAGAACATTGACCAAAATTGTAGCCTGAGCCTGCCCACTGCTGTTCTTTGCAGAAATGGCATATTTTCCATAATCTGATCTGACCACATCATTGATGATCAGTTCACAAAGAGGATAATTGTTGTTTATCTCAGTGCGCTTATCCCGGGATAAGGCTCTGGCATCCTTAGTCCAAGTGATCTCTGGATCGGGTCTGCCTTTCACTCTAGTGATCAAACTGATTATCTGACCTGCTCTGACTGTCACAGAGTCACGACAGGACACATCAACCACAATTTCAGGGGGCACCAGGATATCCTTTGCCAAAATTGTCTCAGGCAGCTCCCTGGGCTCACTGTCTCCAACTTTGTTGGTAGCTCTAATGCGTATTCTGTACTCCAGCCCTTCAATAAGCCCTGGCACTCTGTAAGCACATATCTTGATAAGGTCCTTGTTGATTCTGTCCCACTGAGCAGTACCTGACTTCTGAGCTTCAACCACATAGCCCAAAATGGGACTGCCTCCATCTCTTGTCGGCTTGGTCCAGCAGATGTCAGCATATGATTTACTCCAGTCCTTCAATTTAAGGTTACCAGGAGGCCCAGGTTTAGTGATGGCCCGAGTAGCTTTAATGGGGTCAGAGGTCAGTGAAGGCTCACTAATTCCAGCAATGTTCTCAGCAAACACTCTAAATTCATAGCTGTTGCCTTCAAAGAGACCAGATACCCTGTATCTTAGGTCTAGCACTGGGGTTTTATTGACACGAATCCACTTTCCTGTCATTTCTCTGCGTTCAATCACATATCCACTGATGGGGCTACCTCCATCATAGTCAGGCAGGGCCCATTCAATGGTCACAGCATTCTCTGTAATATCAGAGCATTCAGGGAAGCCTGGGGGTCCAGGAGGGTTGAACATGTGTTTGGCAATAGTAGGAGGACTCTCAAGACCTGCACCAATGCCAATTTTGTTTTCTGCACGGACTCGAACAATATACTCACGACCCTTCTCTAACCTTGACACCTTGGCCTTTGTACTAGTACCACTGGAGCTAACAACTGACCAAGGTTCCCATGGCTTCTTCACATCCTTCTTTTCCACCACATAGTTGGTGATAGGTGTGCCACCATCATCTTTGGGTGCCCTCCACTGTACCATCATGTGATCAGGTGTGACCTCTAAAATATTGATTGGTCCAATGGGTGGTCCCGGTAGATCCAAGACTGTGACGTGTAGAGCAGCCGTCTTACTGCCAGCAGGATTGGACACTGTAAGGATGTATTCGCCACTGTCTCCTCTCTGGCACTCAGGGATACTGAGGATAGTTGAGAATCCAGCAGTTTCTATATGATATCGACCCTCAGATGCAAGCTCCTTGCCATCACTCATCCACTTAGCTGTGGGAGGTGGGATACCTGTCATCTTAGCTGGTAAAGTAATAGCACCACCAGCTTTGACAACAAGGCCCTCGATGAGTTTCATATCTACTTCAATAGTGGGCGCCACTGAAAGAGAGCAAACAGCAATTGTTTTGCAAGGTTTTCAAGATTCATAGCTTTCATTGTGAGAAACACCCCCAAAATGTCTTACAGGTCTTCTCCTGGCAGGTGACTGGGACACTGGTGTCAGGACGGCTTACACCAATAGTATTCTGAGCCTTGACCCTGAAGCGATAGGTCTTGCCTTCTTCCAGACCTGTCACGTGGCTGTGATTGTTGCTCACAGTCTTAAAGGTCACCCAGTCAGTCTGACCCTCTTCCTGGTGCTCCACAATGAAGCCGGTGATTTCACTTCCACCAGTGCGATCTGGCCACTCCCAAGCCAACCACACTTCTGTCTTTTCTGCATCCGTGTGGTGTAGATTTTTGGGTGGACCAGGAGGATCTTAAAGGTGTGACAGGAGAACAAACCAATTATGATAAATCATGGAATAAAGTATTTCACTTAACATGCATACACTAGACCAGTGGACCGCAACAGGCGGCCCGCGGGCCCCCTCTTTGTGGCCCCCAAATCCCGCATGCACCCTCCCCGGGACGACGGCGGAACGGGAAGAGAGCTGTCACATAGAGGGCTGGTTTAATGAACAGCCAGCAGCGCTAAGCAAAGCACCCCCTCTGGTCTGGACCTCTTGCTTCTGGGACTTTTTTTTGAGTGGCCCTCGAACCATTGTAATTGAGGACCCCTGCACTAGACATTTTATGGAAGTGGCATAATGGAGCACAGTAACAAACATTACGAAGTTTTATAATTTGTACTCACAAAGAGGATCAATGGCTTTAATGGGCGTCTTGGTCACAATAAAGTCACTTCTGCCAAACTGGTTCTCAGCAGCCACTCTGAACAGGTACTGGATTCCTTCCATCAGGTACATGGCCATCAGACTCAGCTTCTTATTGGCTGGAGCCACAGGTACCCACTGCTCTGCAGCCACGTCTTTCTTTTGAACAACATAATGAGAGATGATGGCACCTCCGTTGTCCTCTGGAGCCTTCCAGGTCAGGTAAGCAGACTCACTGGTCACTTCGGACACCACCAGATCCCTTGGTGGAGTTGGTTTGTCTAATGAGAGATGAACATTAGTCAGATGAAAATTTTAAGATTGTAATTTAAAGATTCACTGATTTGTGTTGGTAGATGTTTACATACTTAGCACAAGCACAGAGACAGTTGCTGATTTCTTTCCAGCTGCATTCTCAACTGCAATGGTGTAGTTTCCAGAGTCTGCACGGATGCACTTGGGGATGAAAACTTTGCTGCCAGTGGAAGTAATGGCAACAGTGATGTGAGAAGGAACGTCGCCATCATTCTTCTTCCAGGTGACTGTTGGTGTAGGTATTCCTTTAATAGTAGCACTCAGGGTGATATCAGTGCCCTGCATGGCCAGGTGGTCACGTGCCATGTTGGCATCCAAGAGTAACTCTGGCTCCTCTGGTGAAAAGTAAAAGAAAAGGTAAGTAACTTAGAACAAATGAATAAAAACAAAATTATATAAACATCTATTTGGTCAATTTGTTGATAAATGTGTGAAAAGGTTAGGTTATCCAGGTTCTCTCTGTAGTTATGCTGCTATAGGCTTAGACTGCTGGAGGACACACTGACCACTTTCACTCTCGACTACTTTCTTCTACAATCTGCTCTTTAACTGTATTATTTCCTGCTATTTCAGCTGTTAACTTAATTTTTTCTCTAAGTGTTTTTCTCCCCAGAAGAAGCTACAATGATGTTCTGCTGAGCTGTGGTGGCCTCATGGAGGGGGCCATCGGCTAGCACACTGCTGCTAACCACTTAAACATTCTCCCTCTCCTGATAATAACATTTTACTCTATTTGACGTTGAATGTGCTACTACTAGTTTACCCGTTTAATTATAGATTCACTAGGATAAATACAATAAAGTTGATATCTCACCAAATAGAATATTTACTAAGAAATCACAATGTAACCATAGAAACACTACTTGGTATATATATATATATATATATATATATATATATATATATATATATATATATATATATATATATATATATATATTGTGTGTGTGTGTGTGTGTGTGTGTGTGTGCGTGCGTGAGTGTGTGTGTGTGTGTTTGTGTCTGCTCTTTCGTCTCCATCCCCAGTGAGTCGTGGAGGATGGCTGCTTATACTGAACCAGGATCCTCTGGAGGTTTCTTCCCGTTAAAGGGGAGTTTTCCTCTCCACTGTCACTGCATGCTTGCTTAGTATGAGGATTGCTGTAAAGACTCTGACACTAGTCAGTGACTCGAAGCAACCTGCTGAGTTCCTTATATAGGAAACTTGTCACTGATTGGTTTAATGACCTGACCTGTATTAGAATGTTTACTGTGTGAAGGTCCTTGAGACGACTGGTCATGGTTTGGGGCTTTATAAATAAACTGAATTGAATGGAATTGAATTAACAGAATGTATAGAGAATAATAACGATGGTCAGGTAAGTCCTGTTCAGGTTTGGGATGCTGTTAAAATTAAAACGAGAAAATACTTTGCCTTATGATATTAAACTCATTCATGAAATCTTTGAAAACTATTATCAAACACTTTGCCAGTCCCCAAAGCCAGTGAATGAACGTGTTATCACACAGTGTTTGGTAGGTTTAGCCCTGCACCATTTAGGACTGATGGATGGAGGACATTTGGGTGAAATAGTCTGGTCAGGTTTTTCATCACCTCATATTAATAAACAAAGCGGTGTGCAACAACAATGTTGGAGATAGTGCAGTCATGGGAACGCCAACCACTCATGTTTCTTGGAATTGATGAAGTTAGAACATTTTTGGGACAGTATCTTTGAATTATTGGACGGATAATGGTTGTCCCCAGAGATTTTCTTGTTAGGTTTATCACTTTTCAAGAGACGATATGTACTGTATCTCTGCAAGGTACCGATGATTGCATGTAAAAAGGCTATCACACGGTCTTGCCGTAAGTGTGACCGACCTCGAGCCAACCAATGGAAAGGAATTGTGGAGGAGATACACTCAATGGAGAAGGTGACATATTCTTTACTTATCAAAGGACGTTTACACAACAAGCGCTGGACAGCATGGGTTGCATATATTAATAAAGAAGCAGAACCACTGTATTATTTCATTTTATCGTGCTACAAAGATGTACAACACATGTGATGCAATGACCCCTGGTCTTTGTTGTGTTGTAATAAAAAACAAAGAAATAAAGAGTTGGAAAAAAACAGCAAAGTTGTGGAAAGTGCAGTATTACTTATCTTAGTGTTTTGTGTAACCATGGCAACAATACTAGCAAAAATCTGCAGACACCCCATTGGAAAACAATGGAGAATCTCCTAAATCCAAGAACGACCTTGTGGTCTTTGAGTGCTTAAAGCAGGTTTTCCCAACCCTGGTCCTCGGGGCACACTGTCCTGCTGCCACACACCTGACCTAAATAAACGAGTGATTAACAGGCTAATGCAGCACTTGATGTCCTCCTGAGGAGGTCATGTAAATCAGGTGTGCTGAGCAGAGACGTAGAAAACTTGCAGATCAGTAGACCCTGAGGACCAGGGTTCAGAAACCCTGGCTTAGGGTATGAAAACGATTGGGCCTGGAACATCACTCAAAGTTTAAATACGTGTCAAGGGTTGGGGCCGTATCATACCAAAATCTTTGTGATAACTTCTAAAGTATCTGAGTTTAGGTTAGGGTTATGCTCCCTTTCAGATGGAGTCCTGAGCAGAATGAGACTTTCAGTGGATGAAAGCTGATGGATATACCTCCATTCTGAGCCATCATTTATAAATGTGCTGTCACTGCTTAATTGATCCAGTAATGTTTAATTACCCCCCACCTCCAAAGTGACTGAGTCTTTGCAAGAATACTCAAGCAGATGGGAACCGTTTCATTCAGGACTTTGTAGACGTGGATCTGATGTGGACGGCTATGGGTAGCTATACTGAAGCTCCATGAACTAAGGGGAGACATCTGCTCTTTTAGGCTGACCCAAGACCACTCACACTGATGCATTTTGGAGCATTTGCAGAGGTTACACAGCACAATTTCTCTTAAAGTTTAAAAACTCTAGGAGGTTTTTAAAGATTAAAAACTGAGTGGTTTAGCGGAGCTGAAATGAGCCAAGTTGGAAACGATCCTCTCACCCAGTCTGTCGTGGACTTTGATGGTCTCTTTGACGTAGGCAGGGTCAGATTTCCCAGCAGCGTTGACTGTAAAGATCCTGAAGGTGTACTCTTGCCCATCAGTCAGGCCAGTTACTACATAGTGGAGGTCTGGACACTGTTCTGGAGTCTCATTGGCCTGAATCCACTCTATGGCACCAGGCTTCTGATACTCCACAAGGTAGCCAAAAATGCGTCCCTTTCCATCATGACGTGGCATTTGCCACTTCAGACTGACAGAGTCCTTTGTCTTATCATAGATCTCGGGTGTTACTGGAGGACTTGGGAGCACTGTGGGAGGACACAGGTTAGTCAGCTTGAAATGCAACTAAAATCAAACTCATCCTAACCCTAACCAAAATGACCCAATATTCCACAGAATCCTTAGAAACAATCCTAAGTTCTACCTCTGAAAACATGAGAAAATAAGAAACACTTGACTTCTGTGACTGAAAAACATTCCCTCTGATTCCAGTGCAAACCAGCTGAATAAAGGTGTGTTCCACTGACCTATGGGATCTTTGGCCAGGATGGGTTTGGATGGGGGGCTTGGATCTCCAGTTCCTAACTCATTCTCAGCCATCACCCTGAATTCGTACTGGAAACCTTCCACCAAGTCCTGGACCCGGTACTGAGTTGCAGGGTAAAGTGGATCTCTAGTGACCCTGGACCACCTCTTGGCTCCAGGCTCCTTCTTTTCCAGGATGTAGTTGGTGATGGGCCTACCGCCATCCCGAGGACGGTTCCAAATGACCAGAGCGTTGGCAGCATACACCTCTCTGACTGTTGGCATCTCAGGAGCTTCAGGGACTCCTTATATTGAAATTATAAATAATCAAATATTTTTTTGTAAAACCAGAGGAAAGCAGACATTTGAAAACTGAAACTCTTGCTGCGATATAGTGGAAAAAGACGTACTTAACAGATCTTTAGCTTTCATCTCATCAGACTCCAGAGGGTCGCTGATGCCGTACATGTTCTCAGCAGATATCCTCATGATGTACTCCCTGCCCTCCGTCAGCTTGGGGATCTGACAAAAAGACACATTAGAACCTTTGAACTTCCTCCGGATGCCCGGGGATTAGTAGCAACATCACCAAAGCCCAGCCAGAATACCTTGCATGTAGTCTTGGTTGTGGCAGATGTTACTGTGGTCCAGATCTCCCTGTTAACATCTCTCTTCTCAATGATGTAATTGGAGACCTCAACACCTCCACTATCCAATGGAGGCTTCCAGGAGATCACCATGTACTCTCTGTGCACCTCCTCAAACACTACAGGACCAATGGGAGGAGTGGGGCGGTCTGCAGAAAAGAAAAACAGAAAATGAGGTGCAGCACTTCTTGAACTGGTCAGAGTCAATTTTATCTTCCAACTACTCACCAACGACTGTAACGTTGGAGACTCCCTTCCTGGATCCGGCGCTGTTTTCCACCACCACCACGTACCGGCCACTGTGCTCACGCTTAGCCTTCATCAGGCACAGCGACATGGTGTTGGGCGTGCTCTTGAACACAACATGCTGGTCAGCCTTCAGCTCCTTGTCGTCTCTGTACCAGGTAATAGATGGATGGGGTTTGCCAGTGTAGCGGCCCTGAAGCAGGCAGCTCTCTCCCACACGGACGATGATCTTATCACGGAAGTCCAGCTCAATGGTTGGTGGCTCTGAAACCAGAAAGACCAGTAACTGTCAGGCCTCCTCTACTGCTTCTTTGTTCTCATGATAAAATATTTAATGTCCCCTGAATCTGCTTTGTGGAATCACTACGAACATGAACATATCTGTGACTTCACATGTTCAGTTCCACAGCAACAAGATGTGGGAATGGGCTCACCCAGTTCATCCTTGCAGGTGATTGGTTTGGTGCAGAATGATGGTTTGCTCTGCCCAACTTCATTTACAGCGATCACTCTGAATTCGTAGGTGTCGCCCTCCCTCAGACCATCGTAGGTGAACTTCCTGTCTAGCAACTTCTCCTTTGTCAGTCTGGTGAACTTGTCTTTGCCGATCATTCGAGCCTCCAGGATGTACATGGTGAGGTCAGAGCCTCCGTCAAATTTGGGCGCCTTCCAGGTGACGCTGATCAAATCCTTGGTAACCTTGGTAACTTCTAGTTCCTCTGGGCGGTCTGGCACACCTGTAGGAGAGATACAAACGTTCCTCATATGAGATGATGAGAAGATGCCCAAAGATGTCTTTAATTTCAGTGTGTGTCATCCAGCAGATGGTTTATTAGAAGAGACTGTCTCCCCCTGAGTCTGAGATCCCTAGCCCTGAGTCAAGGTCACCTAGAATCTGTGGTCCACGTCTTCATTACCTCTCGGCTTGACCATTCCAGCTCCTGCCTTCATGGCATTAGCTGCTGTCCACCAAAACTCTGGAACCTCAACCTCTACAGATTAGGCAAGTGCAGATAATCGTGGCTTTCCTTGGCTTTAATCTCTAAAACCTGGTGGAGAACCTACAGGTTATTTCATGGTTCTAGTAGCCTGTTTGGTTTTATCCCTTTGTTCTTTCACCCGTGTTACCTATGTGATTACTTATGTTTGTTTCTAATGTGCAGCGCTTTGGTCAGTTGGAATACTGTGTTAAAAGTGCTCCACATAGAAAATGATATGGAAGCATTCATTTCTTCACCTTAAAGTGGTTTATTTTTACAATCTTGGTCTGGGCTTTAGATAATAGTTACTAAGCTGCTTTTGTAGGTTTTATTTTGGGTCCTGGTCAGCTCTTTGGTGCATCATTGTGACTGTTAAAAGTGCTTCATAAATACAGTTCAATGATGATCTTTTGAAATTATTCTTAGATGTTTTTATTGTGCTCGTGATTTTCATCTAGAAAGGTGCTATATTTAAAAACCCTTTCTTCTCCTGGAACCTCTCAACGTGAGACCACAAAGTTCTCCTCCACACAGAATCAGATACTTTAGAAAACAGGTGTTTTGTAACAAGGACTTCTCATCATCACACAGACTGTCGATCTAGCCACGCTCCATTGGAACCTCTGCAGCCCTGGCTGGTTTGGTGGCTGTCCAATCACAGCGAGCTATAGACAAGTGGCGGCTCGTCCATAGAGGGCGCTAGGGCGCTGCCCCACCAGTCTCACAGGAAGGAGAAGAAAACGATCTGTACATCATACAGACTATAAGTGCTGTTTTTAACCTTGTTCTCTCACACTTTTACCTTCACCGAATCACCTTGTAACGTATTTCCTGTTACTTTTGGGCGCAGCAATCGCTACCATAGACCTACGCTACCATTGGAACCCCTCCAATACAAAGAATAGGAGAGCCTTTGGCTACAGAGGTTTGTGACTGAACCTGGGTGGAGTCTCAGCTCAGGATGTGCACCTGGAGCCAGGAGCTCTCCACAGTTCACCTTTTAGTTTGTTTGTTGTAGAGCAGCTGAGTACACCTCGAGGAGTTTTTTTTTTACTATGAATAACCCGGAAATGAAGGAATGTGGTGCCAGAGACTTGTAAACACTCTTCAGCAGGTAAAAAAAAAAAGACCAAAACGGCCAAATTACACAGTTTTTTTTTTACTATAACACAGATTATTATGACCAAAACCAACTGAATTTATGCTTTTGACTTCATGAAATGAGGTTTGTTTGTTTTGCTGCTGAGTTCCTTGAGTTTTGCTGGAAGAGTAATGGTACGGGGCCTGGGTTAGACCCTGAGAGCCTGGACTTTAATTTAAATGGCTGCTCCTGCTAATAGGATTGTGTTGCTCCTGTGTGTTAGTTGCTTTTCTCAGCCTTTTTACTTAGCATCATTGTTGAGGTAGATAACTTATCCTAGTGGTGATATGTGGTTAGCGCATGTAAAATCTACAGACGGCATAAATGCGCCCCACCAAAAAAAGATTCACCAGCTGCCACTGACTACAGGTTTGGTGGGCAATCACAGAGCAGGGTGTGATTGTGACTGAGTTTGGCTAAGATGGCAATGGCTTGTTTTAAATGGCTTTGGTATCCACTTTGGACTATTTAGACTTGGACTTTTCTTTGAGTTGAGAGCAGGTGGAGGAACTTAATTCCACGAGGAGAACGTTGAATCCCGCTCAACGAGGCAAGGCCAGACTATATATTCGTATACAGAGGACGGTTGCAGGCTAACAAACAGCATTTTGAGAGAAAAATGCTTTTCAAAGAGATCTGAAACAGTTGAGTTTTTAGTTGATGCAGGTGTCTCCTAGTCTCTCCTAGTAATAGACGAGTGCTGGCTAACAACAGAACCTTTTCCTACGGCTCACTTTCTTCTCTCATCCTAAACTTTGGGGTTTAGAGATTTTTAGAGGAAAGGTTAAAAGATGCCACGGTGCAGAAAACTCAGGATATTCTTTCCTTCGGTAGGTACATGACTACATCATTGTTTTTGCTGACTGTGCTACTACTTCTCCTGACAGATTCTTTATTTTCCAAATGGAGAAAAAGAAAACCAGACTAAAGAGTTGTTGAGTCTGAAGCCACCTTAGATGTCATGGCTGTGATTTGTCTAGTCACACTCACTGATGGGCTCTTTGATGATGAGCTCAGCGGCCGTTTCCACAAAAGGCCCGATGCCAATGACGTTTTCTGCAGCTACCCTGAAGAAGTAGGCCTTCCCAGGGGTGAGACCATGAGCCACAGCATTCTGCCTGCTGGCGGTGTAGGACAGCGAGGTCCAAGCTTTACGCTCAGCTTCACGTTTCTCTATGATGTAGTTGCTAATGGGAGAACCACCATCATTCTCAGGGAAGAACCAGTTGAGCTTGCAGGAGTCTACCGTCAGGTTCTCAGCAATGAAGGGAATTCCAACAGGTCCAGGAACATCTGACAGAGGAGAATGGATTAAACCTTTGTAATGGTTATAGAACGTCTGCTTTAAGTAACTCTTCTCTCACCAAGGACCTCCACAGTGATGTTCTTGGTCTTCTCTCCTCCAGCGTTCTTGGCAGTCAGGGTGTAAACACCAAGGTGTCTCCTGGAGCATGGTTTGATGACCAATGATGAGCTTATGGCTGTGGTCTCCACTTTGGCCTCTGGAGGCAGCGCACCTTCATTTCTGCTCCATGTGACATCTGGTGCCGGCTGGCCAGACACATAGGCGATGATACGGATCACACCGCCAGCATGGACCACCATCCTCTCCTTCACAGAGGCATCCAGGTCGACCTCAGGAGCAACTAAAAGACACCTATTAGTCTGCTTGCTCCGCAGAATTCAGCCGTTCATCACCTGAGTGTTAAACTCACTAGTTCTGTCATTGACCTCCAGCACCTCTGGGACTTCACCTGGCTCACCGGTGCCAGCAGCATTGAAGGCTGTCACCCTGAACTTGTACTGACCGCCCGTCTTCAGACCGGTGACCACAAAGCGTGTGCCTCGGATTTCGGTTTCCTTAGCCTAAAGGAGAAGCAGATTACTTCTAACTCACCAGAGTCAGGATGGATGAACAAATGCATCAGTCTTTGATTGTAATAAGAAACTTTTATTCTGTAAGGCTGTTTCACCTTGACCCAGGCCTCAGTGCCCTCCTCCCTGTACTCCACCCAGTATCCGATGATCTTGGAGCCTCCGTCCTTCAGTGGTGGGATCCAGTCCAGGTCCACGGTAGATTTCGTCCAATCAGAGACTTTGGGTGTTGGAGGAGATGGGGGGGCTTCAGGAGGAAACAGGAAAGTGGTTAGCATCCTGCTCTGAGTTCTGACAGACAATCACAAGTCCTGGTACTCACAGATCGGGTCTCTGGCAAACACGGGGTCAGTAGGGGGGCTGGCAAGGCCAGGCCCAGCAGCATTGATGGCAGAAACTCGGAATAAATACTGGGAACCCTCAACAAGTCCACTCACTACAAAAGACTCGCCCAGGCCCATGGGGCGAATGGGGTCTCGAGTAGCCCGGGTCCAGCGTTTCCCTGTTGTCTCTTTGCGCTCCAGCCAGTAGCCGGTAATCTGGGTGCCCCCGTCGTCCTCAGGCTCCTCCCAGTTAACTGTCATTGAGTCCATGGTGACGTTAGTTACAGTCGGCTTTTCACACTGACCCGGGACAGCTGGAAGAGACAGAAATAGGGCTGAACGATTTTAGGAAAGGACTGAATCATGATTTTTCTTGCAGAAATTACGATTTCAGTTCAATTCACGATTTTCTTCAAACAAAGGTCCAACCCTAGCCTGCCACCCATCCTGTGTGTTAGTGAAAAGATGGTCTCTAGTACAACAAATCACTCAAATTAATATTTGCAATCTAATACAATAAACACAGTTAAAGTTATTCATATTTTCCTCCCATGATTATATGTTTCTCTTTATTTGTTCTACTCCAACGATACCCTAACCCTCTCTAACACCACTATAAAGTCCCGTTTATGCTGGTCAGCTCCGTGAGAGACCCACGCAGTAAAGAGACACACTGACACATTAGCTTGTTTGAACTAACGCGTCAGAAACATTCAAACCAATTTTAATTAACAGAGAAGCTGAACTTTCGAGTCAACTAAAGTGTTCCACTCCTCGCTCGCCCTGATGAAGCACAAACCAAGCTTTAGAGATCAGCCTTAACCTGCTGATGTAGGAGGAGCGTCTCTCTCTCTCTCTCTCTCTCTCTCTCTCTCTCTCTCTCTCTCTCTCTCTCTCTCTCTCTCTCTCTCTCTCTCTCTCTCTCTCTCTCTCTCTCTCTCTCTCTCTCTCTCTCTCTCTCTCTCTCTCTCTCTCTCTCTCTCTCTCTCTCTCTCTCTCTCTCTCTCTCTCTCTCTCTCTCTCTCTCTCTCTCTCTCTCTCTCTCTCTCTCTCTCTCTCTCTCTCTCTCTCTCACCTAGTCTCCCTCACTCACTCACTCACTACCTGCCTGCCTGCCTGCTCACTTAAGCTGGTTATGGAAGGGCACTCAGAGTAACTCAGACCGGTGCAGCTTAGCCTGACCACCTCTTCCAAGAGCACGGTTTGGTATTTTCCCTCTACTTTTTCCCAATTTTTAGTCCCTGCTCCGCTGAGGTTCCTGAGGTTTACTGAGGTGATCAGTAAACAGTGTAAGGTAACCTGTACGATCCACAGAAACACAACTCAGCTGAAAAATGGGGTCGCTGACATTTAGCTCAGTTTTATGGCTTTTTGTCAAACTCAGAACCAGGAAATGGCTGCAGGCAGTGAAACAGAAAGCAAAAGACTCCGGAGCAACCAGTGACTCCGCCCCCTAGCCAATCAGTGGTCAGAATCCCGATACCGAGTCAGCCCTGCCAGATACCTCAACGGAGCAGGGACTACAAATAGGAGAGAAAGTAGAGGGAAAACACCGAACCGTGCCCTTGGGAACAGCGGTCAGTCCGAGTTGCTCTGAGTAGTGCTCCTGGAAAACCAGCTTTAGTCACAGATTGGAAAGGGGAGGAGTCAATGGTTCCTCCAGAGCTTTCTGCATGCTGGTTTTTCCAGGTTCAGAATCTGAGAAAAAGTCAGAGACTAAAGAAAAGGTTCAACATCACCATTATCATGCTGTTTGTGTGACACACGGGTCACCTCACACTCAAGGTTGGTTTATGCTTGACGTGTCCGCGAGGTCCGCACGGCTCCTTGCGGAAAAGTTGCGTCATTTAAACAACCACGCCCCTCCACCGCGCCTCCGCACGGCCCAAACTTTCCGCACCGCGCACCTAGGAAATTTTCTAACCACGCGGACGGTCGGACACGGAAAAACATGGCGGACCGGCAAGAACTAGTATGGCAGAGGTTCGTAAACACAGACATTTGTATGATTCAGCTCTCAGAGATCACCGTGATCAACATGTTGTTAATAATTCTTGGAGAGAAATAGCTCGCACTGTCGGAAAAGACGAGGACGCTGTTAAAAATGCTGGAATGCCATGTTGTAAACAGCAGTAATTTTTACTTCTACTATGGTGTAGTGTTGGATGCATGCCGTAGAGCTCCATGCTGCCCCGTTCAGTTTGGGAGAATATTGGCTCACCGCAGAGACAAGCCACATGAACCATAAACGCTGCAAGTTGTGAAGCGTGTTCCATCCGCGAGCCGCATCACCAAGCGGAAAGTGAATGTGTCAAGCATAAACCAAGCTTCACGAGTCCTACCCCAACCCCGCCATGATGAGCCCATCCGCCAGAGTGGAAAAACAACCCACACTGAGTCAAGCTAAGCTGAAAGCGGTGCTGATTGGTTTCAGACAGCTTACACATGAAGCTGGAGCGGTACCAGAGGAATGTGGTTCTGGATAAGATCTGTCACTTACTGTAACGGTTACGGGCCACCTCAGGCTCACTGTCAAGAGGCTCTCCAGTCCCATACTTGTTCTGGGCCATGATGCGGAACACATACTCGTGCCCCTCCATAAGGTTTTCTACGGTCCAGATCCGGTCTTTGGGCTCACTGGTCACCGGTACCCAGGTCTTCCTGTTGGCCACCCGCCTCCAGATGACATAGTTTGTGACTTTTGAGCCACCGTCGTCTTTTGGTGGCAGCCAGGACAGCGTGATCTTCTCAGCTTTGACCTCCTCAAACTTAATAGGAGCAGAGGGGGGTCCAGGACGACCTGTAGGACAGCAAGAAACCAAAAGAGTAACCAGAAGCGTTTACATGCAAGTAACATTCAAGAGAACATCTCAGTAGTACCTTTGGGGTGAAACTAAGGCTGGACGACTTTAGGAAAAGACTGAACTGTGATTTTCTAGGAGAAATTGTCATTTCTTTTGGATTCACGATTTTCTTCAAATACAAAGTATTTCCAATACAGTCATATAAATTATAAATATGAAAAAACCTATTAATTTGCCCCATTATCATCTTTCTTATGGTTTTTATATTTTTTAATGTGCTTGTGAGGAAACTTAAAATCTCTTATCTAGGGAGCTTCCTGGGCTTCAGATGTGTATCTGTTCTACAGAAGGATTTTAGTGACCTCTGACCTTCACATATTATACATATGCTATGCTACAGGGATAGCATACGGTATACTTTGGTGCAATAACCTCTTCCAACAGGGATAATTAAAACACTTTTCTCACTACCTAGGTCACTACAAGTCCACCAGATTCTTTATCATCTTAATGCCTCTCTAATGAATTTTGCAATTCCTGTCATTCTTCAATGAAAAAATCTGGCAAATTCATCATAATCTAGGTTCTGACACTGCTGTTTGCGATCCTGATGAATTTCCACCTCCAACTCATCTATTTTCCATGTCTGAGCTTCCACCCACTACTGAAATCCTGGATCTTGTTTTTAGCTCAAAGCCTTCCACCTTTAAATTAGATCCCATCCCTACTGCTCTGGTCAAAACCTGCCTTCCCTCTCTGGCTCTTCTCATTTTTCAATTATTCACTCTTCACTTTCCACTGGAACCGCTCATCCATCTACGAAAACAGCAGTTATCCACCCTATACTGAAAAAACCTGGAGCTGACCCTAGGAACTTCAATAATTTCTAACCTTCCATTCGTCTCAAAAATTCTAGAAAAACTGTAGCCTCACAACTTCATCAACATTTACCTGTTAACAATTTATACAAATCATTCCAGTCTGGTTTCCGCCGTCTACACAGCACTGAAACAGCACTAATTAAGATCACTAATGACCTCGTAATGGAGGCTGATACTGGCTTAATCTCTTAGTTCTCCTCAACCTCAGTGTGCCATTCCACCCTCCTGAAAAGATTATCTGCCGTAGGCATCTCTCACAATCCATACAACTGGTTCAAGTCATATCTTACAAATCAAACTCAATTCATTCAGTTCAGCCTATTTACCTCCACCACTACTGAAGTAGAATCTAGCGTTCCCCAGGGACCAGTTCTCGGCCCACTTCTACTCATAATCTATCTGCTCCCTTTGGGTTCAATCTTCCGCAAATTCAACATCACTTTTCACTGTTACGTTGAAGACAATCAGCTATATATTTCAACTGCACCATCAACAATGCTGCCACCATCCTCACTCACTGAATGCCTTACGGAAATTAAGTCATGGTTTTCATTAAACTTCCTGAAACTGAACCCTGATAAAACGGAAGTGCTTCTCATGGGCACAAAAACAGCATTAGAGAAGTTAAAAGTTCACCATAGCAATAGGAAACTCTACTGTCACCTGCACCGCGTCTTACCAGTCTCATGTCAGTTCTGTTACTTGCTCAGCTTACTACCACCTGCGTAACATCAACCGCCTTCGTCCATCTCTGTCTAATCACTCAACAATTTTAGTAAATAGTCTGGTCACTTCACGTCTTGATTACTGTAACTCACTCCTTTTTGGCTCGTCACAGAAATCTCTACATAAACTTCAGCTGGTCCAAAACTCTGCTGCTCGCATCATCACCAGAACACCCTCATTTGATCAAATCACCCCCATTATCCTACAGTTTCATTGGCTACCAATAAAATTCAGGATTAAATACAAAATTTTACTCCTCACATTCAAGGCCATTCACAACCTTGCTCCCTTATATCTCTAAGAGCTTCTACAAGTATCTACACCCTCCCACTTGCTCAGATCATCAGCTTCCATCAGTCTGCACAATCCCCCTGCTCGTCTTGTCACCATGGGAAGTCGCACATTCAGCAGATCTGCCCCCTCCCTCCCTGAAGAATTCATTACCAGCTGACCTTAGAAATACCACTACCCTGCACCTCAAGGTCAAACCCAAAACTCACCTGTTTAAGATTGCATATTCCCTATAACTGTATTTTATGTGTTTTATCGTGGTTTTAAATGTACTAGTTTTTATTGTCCTTGTTAGAATGTTTTATTCTCTTTTATTGTACCTTGAGTTTTTAGAAAGGTGCTTCAAATAAAAAACATTATTATTATTATTATTATTATTATTATTATTATTATTATTATATTAGAGTTCCACTAAAAGATGTTGAGATGTAAGTTCTGATCCACATCATCCAGCCCTACCTAGCTTACATCACAGTACCGGATAAGACTTCCACTGTTAGGATAAAAAACCTTACATAACCCCTGAAAGGGGGAAAACTCTGGATTGGAGCTTTAGGGAGTGAGTAAAACCAGACTGCTTCTTCAAGGTAACAGGTTAGCTTAGTGACAACGAGCAGCTTCAGCGGGTGGTCCATCTTACCGAGTACGTTGAGCCTCATCTCCTTGTGCGCCTTGCCAAGGCTGTTGGAGGCCACCAGCGTGTACAGACCAGTGTCGGGCCGTTTGCCCTGCTGGATGAGCAGTGTGCAGCTGTCGTCTGAGACAATTTTGTTGATATGTTCGTCATACTGAACCTCCACCCTGTCTTCAGACTTGTGGGGTGGAGCCTTGAACCAGGTGAGTTTAGGAAATGGACAGCCGCGGAGCTTAGCCACAATGCTGATGTCAGAGCCCTGCTCAACCTCCATAAACTCCTCCAGTTCGATGGACGGAGGACCTGCAAGCACAGAAAGCTTTAGCTGAGAAAAACAACTGGATCATCTAGTGATTCAAAGAGCTTAGAGCAAACATGGCGGTGCTTGGTCTGAGTTCTGATCTTACAGGTTTGGTCTTGGAGCAGGATGGGACCAGCTGTGGATGATGGGCGGCTCGGACCAACTTCATTGAATGCTGTCACTCTGAACTCATACTCATCTCCTTCTGTAAGGTCCTCCACCTTGAAGGTTGTGGTGTCCACGTCTCTCCTGTTGCACCTGAATACACAACCAAAGCGGGTCATTGCAAGAGACAACACCCCAACAAACCTCCACAAGAACCTAAAGGTTGACTATAACTGCAGTAAAGGGCTGATTCAGAAGAGCTTCACCTCCTCCAGGACTCCTTTTGCGTGCCGCTGGAGTCCCAGCAGAGCAGATCCACGCTATAGTGGGTCACAGGTGAACCACCGTCGTTCTTCGGAGCCTTCCAAGTCAGAGTCACTGTACCCTTTCTGATGTTCTGGATCTTCAGCCTGGTTGGAGGATCTGGAGGATCTGCCGGTTCAGGTAATAAAGATAATTTACCATCTTTAATAATAAAGACTTGACTTTGGTGAACAGACCAGAACATCATCTGCAAACCCTGATGACCAAACAGAAACCAGGTTCTGGACAAACTCAGAAGCTTACTTCAGATAAAGTTTGTGCTGAAGGTGGAAGAGGTCCAAAAAGAACTCAGGACTTACAGATGGGATCTCTGGCTTTGGTCCCTTCAGTAGTCTCCACAAACGGGCTGAAGCCAAAGCGGTTCTCGGCTCGAATGCGGAAAAGGTACTCCTCTCCATTGATCAGGTCTGGAACCACCAGAGACTGAGCAGCACAGGCCGGGTTCACCTGGACGAACAAGATCAGCATCAAGGTTTACCCATGAGGGACAAGCAAGTGGTGGTTGTGTTGAGCAGGTGCAGCAGGTCGGTACCTTAGTCCAGGCTTTGCCCTCCACTGTTTTCTTCTCAATGAAGTAGCTCTTCACCCTCTCACCACCGTCGCTTTCTGGAGGCTTCCAAGTGAGTCTGCAGGTTCCTCGGGTCACATCGCTCACCTTGAGGTTTCTTGGAGGTCCGGGAAGGTCTGCAGATAAACCAAAGCATAGGTTGGTAAACTCAGCAGGTCTCAGAAAGGTTTGACGATAATGTGATGCGAGTTTGCGGATACCAAGCACGTTAACCCGGACTTTGACCACTTTGTGACCAGCTGGGCTCTCAGCATTGATGATGTACCGACCACTGTGACCCAGTTTGCTGTCTGGGATCAGAACCACTGAAGTGGTGTCAGTAGAGTGAATCTGAAATGGAAGGGACCGATTAGAGTATTAACACATGACACTGAATAAGAACCGATCCTCAGAGAGTCCAAAAGACGTTCACGCCTACTTTCCACCAGACGCAAAACGGCAGCGAAACATACTTCAGGGTCATTAGCCACCATTTTGATGGACGGGTTCCTTTCCACTGATCATGAAGTGTAACGGTTAAGATGCGTCCCAGAAGCAAAGGGAGGATTTGATTACCTTTCAAGTCTTTTTACGCACTACATTTCCAAAACATGTCAAAGTTGGTCTTTCAGATAGAGTCAGACAGGAAGTCAGACATGAAAGCAGTGTAAAACATCTGGAAACTCAGATAAACGTGCGTTAGTTCCTGTGAAACCCTCTTAGCCTGGCTGAACAGAGCAGAAGATGAGCCACAGACCTTTCTCGTTGCTTGTCCTTGTGTGGACTTCTGTTGCTACCACCACCAACCCGATTTGTGACCTCACTGGACTAGCTGTGTGAAACGCTTTCGCACCCGTTTTGCGTCAGAATCGGTTCTGGCTGAAAGGGAGCTTGCGGGTAAAAACTACTCTATTACGTTACACGCTGCTTTCGCGTCCGGTGGAGAGGAGGGGCTAGAGGCTTAGACTCTAGAAAATCATGTAGAAACTCAAATCTGTCAGAAAATACCTCTGAGTCAATAGGCAGCGTGTGAAGGTCGTTCTTTTTCTCCGTCTCAGCGGTACCGTCCACGAAGGTCCAGCTGACTTTGGGAATGGGTCTTCCTGTGATGGTGGCAGGGATCCTGATGCTGGTTCCGGCTCTGCAGTTCAGCAGGTCATTGGCACTCACGTCTAGAGTAACGGTGGGTTCGACTGCAGAACACAGGCACAGAAGTGAGACCCGGTTCAGATGAGGCATTAGTTCTGGTTCCTAACCTCAACAGGATGGAACCAGCACATAGCGAAATCATCTACGGACTGATGTTAAGGTTCTGAGCAGCTGGAGTAGATGCCGTCATGAGAAGGTGTGATAGTTTCTTACTCAGGATGTCTTGAACCAGGATGTCTCCGCTTCTGGCGGGCTCAGAGTTTCCAGCAGCATTCACAGCATAGATCCTAAACTTGCACTTCTTGCCCTCCTTCAGGTCTGGGATGGTGATTTCAGTGGACGGGTGCAGCTTGTCAGCAGGATTGACCCTCCTCCAATCAGGAGAGCCTTCCTCATGGACGTCAACGATGTAACCTTTGATGGGACTTCCTCCATCTCTATCGGGGGGTGTCCAGGTGAGCGTGATGCTGCTCTTGGTCTTGTCCTTCACCTCAAGGGCTCCAGGGGGGCTGGGTGGATCTGAGAAGAAACACAGACTTGTTCTGCTGCAAGTTCTCCAGAGTCTAATGTCCTCACAGACTAGGTAAGATACTGATGTGCTGGCAGACTGGTTTAACTGGTTCAAGGGCCAGTTCAGTTCATTTAATTGTAAAGCACCTTCCACAACCTTATCAGCAGACCAGGGTGCTGAACACAGTGAAAACAGATATAGTGCCATTAAAAGAAAGATAAAAAATAAAACATTAAGAGAAAGTTGAAAGAAAAAACAGGTTAAAGGAGACGAAAAACAATAAGATCCAAGCAATGATGTGATCCCTAATGCTGAAACGCCATCACATCAAAACGATTCTGTCTAACACTCAAAGGTGACTCGTCCCAGAGCGTTGGACCACCAGCAGCTCCCGCTCGGCTGTCTGTGCAGCAGTGCTGACATGTAGGATGGAGCAATGCTACAACACTTACTGCAAGGATCCACGGCGAAGCGGCACTCTGTGGCTTCGCTGGGCGGCCCGACCCCTGCAGCGTTGCAGGCTGAGATCCTGAACTGGTACTCCGTTCCTTCGATAAGCCTCAGCACAGTGTACTGCAGACCCTTCACAGCCGGCTTGGTGACCGGGGCTCGGTTAACACGGCCCCAGTACACGGCACCACGCTCCCTCTTCTCCAACCAATAGCCCTGGATGGTAGAGCCACCGTTGTCCAGCGGGGGGTCCCAGGTCACGGTCATGGAAGACGTCGTGGCGGCTATGATTTTAGAGTTACGTGGAGGTCCGGGGAGGCCGAACGGATCTCGGAGCTGGACTTTCTCCGAGTCGCAGCCATCACTGGTGCCATATTTGTTCTCAGCTTTGATCCTAAATTGGTAGCAACCATTCAGGGCCAGTTTGCAGACCTAAAGAAACAGAAGACCAAATGAAAGGATGAAATTGGCTTGATGAGGTTTTCTAATAAAACAATCATCTGGTAGTACCCCCTCTAGGGTGCTACAAACCCCCAAGGCGCTTCACAACCCATTCACCCATTCACACCCTGGTGGTGATGAGCTAATGCTGGCTCTGACACAGAGGAAACTAAATGTTTACAATTATGCTCATGATGGACCAAAACCATAAAGTTATGAGTTTGCTGCACGTCCCAGAGGGCAGAGACAAACCAGAGGGAGAAACGATCAGCCAAAGCAAAGAGATTAAGGAGGAGAAGCAGCGAGGGAGCAGCAGGTGTCTGGTGAGTTAACCATGTTAGCTTAAACTCGTGTGCTAACATCACAAAATTGTACAGATTACTATCATGTACCAAACAATTAAAATAGTATTGGTCAGTTAATATAATATTAATACTAATGAGCATCTGTAGTGTAGGAGATGGGTCTGGTAGCTCCGAAGGTCTTCCCACCATCGTGGGGACGATGGGAGTGTCTGTGAGGTTGGGCTAAACCATGCTACAGAGGAGGGACAATACCACACTGCAGTGGACAGTCACATGCAGCCGGTTGAGATGTAGGAGAACAATGATTCACTAAAATTCACAACATTTAGTGTCATGATCCTCAATCGATGTTTAAAAGCAGAATTTATCATTTATTTAATATGTAGCCCATTTACTTTATTTTTGGTGTAGTGTGACTGCAGTTGGCAGCACCTCCACTCCCACAGAACAACAGGCACTGGATGTGGTTGGAAGGGTCTGGCCTCACCACCCAATACAGCCAGTCTTAGGCCTTGCACACATCATATGGTTGTTATCGCACCGTCTCTCCCGTATGGTTGACGTGTGTTGTATCAGCAGAGTCTAGGCACACCCCTGATTAGAACAGCAGACATGGCTGTTGGTGAGGCTACAGGGCTGTCTGGGTGAAGTGGCTTGCTTTAGAAACACACACTGGTTAGGGCCAAGGAGGTTGTTGTGTGAGAGGTAACCCGTCACATGCCTGAAGGACCTTTCAGTGGTCAGGCAGACATGTAAGAGGACAGCTATGAGAAGGGAGACCATGATGCAGTTGGACTTCTGCATGCTGAGCTAGTAACTGTGAAGACTGACCCCATATCTCCTGTCAATCAGGTTGATGGTCAAAACTTCAAAGTCAGACTTCTTCTTGCTGGCGTCTCGGCGCTCCACGATGTAGTTGGTGATCTCACTTCCTCCATTGTCCTCAGGAGAGTCCCACGTCAGGTAGCAAGAATCCGCCTTGATGTCCGACACCACTATGTTCCTCGGAGGAAGGGGACGGTCTAAAAACAATGAGTAGGACTGATTAGCATGCTCAGAGAACAAACACAGCTTCCACCGGCAGCATGAGCTGCATTCCCTCTACACCAGCTCAGGGACATTTCTGGGAGGGGGAAGTTGACAGGGAAAATACGAAAGCTCGCACGGGAGCCAGTCTGCAGTGTGAGTAGGATACTCCGATTTAAGGAGCGCTTCTTAGCTTCTTGGGTTAGCCAAGTTAGCTAGCAGCTACATTGGTCATTTTTTCCAACCCTGTTCCAGACGTAACAGCCCCACCCCCAGCTCCACCTCTTTTCCCATTTTAGGGTTGTCTGGGTGTGACGAGACCTGTGACACGATCAAAATGGCGGTGGTGGGAACTTCCTATTTGAGCACCAAAAGCTATAATTCGAGCCTATGGACACAAACTGTCCAGTATATGTGTCGATGGTAGGGACTAATGTAGTCGTTGTGTGGTGATCATCACGTTGTACCTGTGTGTGGAAATGTTCCTGAACATCAGAAAACTTCAGAGCATGCGGAGGAACAGCATCTAGAGGTAGAACGGGGAACCGCACCACTGAAGGCCTCAGTCAAGACTAGCCTGGCCTGTTTAACTCTACAGAGAACTATGGCTAGGCTAACATAAGATAGCACATTTACAACTGACCTCTAACCCACAGAGACCCAGCCTGATCGGGTTATGCAGCTCTTGTTTTTCTATTTGTATGGATTTATTTACTCGGCTGGAACATTTGCCCTCTGACCCTTTGCACGATGTCACGCTACTCACGGGAATGCCTCTTTCACCATTATGGTCGCCAAAGGAACATCCATTAAAAGTCCAAAACAAGCTAGGTTGTAGCATTTTATCTGGTTGGTTTCACCATGAAGAGCTAACAGCTTTGCTGTGGCATTGACGGAGACTGTGAAGCCAACATGTCTTTAGACAGGGATGGACAGCAGCTGTCAATCAGACTAGCAGCCCTCAAAGTACTTGTGGCTCTTTACTGGGTCATTGATGAGCTTCACAATTATAAATAAGCCCCCCCCCCCCCAACCACCCCCACCCACCCAGTGTAAGAGCAGCAGCCGAACCCAGTGACCCAGCCAGCGACAAAAAAGTCGGAAACGTGATCAATTCGATCAAAACAACAGCAGGAGGAAAGTAAGCTAACATTCATAAGCTAGCTAACACTTGTGATCCCAATGAGCCCCACCTTGTGCTAAATCTTCCAAGAAGTGAACCGGCTTGAACCAGTAGAAGCCAGGATTAAATGTAGCTCAAGTCGCCACTTTAGCCGTCTGTTCAACACTCCTGTGATGTCCACCACAGTGGACCAGTGTGATCAGTATCTGGTGTAGCATCAGGGCAGTTTTTATGAGTACAAGTACAAAGAAACGCACCGTATCGGGCCAGTACCTAAACTAGTTACCCACAAGCCCCACCCAGTGAACCAATCAGCCCCTCATCGCCCAGTTACGGCCTGACACACAGCAGCTCCCCTTCTGGGTCCTGTGGACAATGCTAACAGGGTGAGCCAGTCCCTCGTTATTAATGTTGTTTGATCCATCTCATTGTTCTCACAAAACAAAAAAAGGCTCTGGTTCCTACCCAGGATCTCCACTCTGACCACTTGCTGAGCTTGGCCATAACTGTTCTCGGCGACCAGCTTGTAGTTTCCTTTGTCCTGTCTGATGGTTTGTGGTATAGCAATCTTGGTCTTCAGGGTGGTCCGGTTCACCTGAGGACAGAGCATTAACATGAGGACATCAGGCTGAAGATAGAATCAACAGCTTCTCCCGTTGCAGTAGTCAGACGGTCTCCTTAGATGTACGTTTTTCCAAACTCTGAGCCTTTTGTTCTCACCTCCTCTGTTTCCATTGTCATCTTCTCATCTTCAGGCTTCTCCATCACCACATCATCCTTCATCCACTGAAGCACAGGCAGAGGAAGTCCGGTCACCTCTGCTGGGATGTCGATGGCGGCTCCTTTCCTCACAACAATCGTGTTGCTCTTGAAAAACTTCAAGATGGTGATGGATGGAGGAACTGCGACAGAACAATGCTTCTGTTTATGAAAACTTTACATCAACACTGGACCTTCAGTAGGACTGAGATCTGAACATACGTTGATCATCCTGGATCCTGGCTGTGATTGGTTTGGATGGTTCCCCATCCCCAACTTCATTTACAGCTTTGACACGGAACTGGTACTCCTGGTTCTCAGAAAGGTTTTCAATAGTTCCACTGCACTCTGTGAAGATCTTGCGATTGGCCACATCGAACTCGGTGTCATCAGACCTCATCTTTTCTACGTAGTAGCCTCTGATGGGGCTGCCACCATCGGTGCGTGGTGGCAGCCAGGCCAGAGTGATGGTGGTCTTACTTCTGTCAGTGTAGTGCAGCTTCTCAGGGGCAGACGGAGTACCTGAAACATCATGGAGGGACTCAGGAATGTTTCTAGAATGTTTCAGTAGTAAAGGCTGTAGGTTCAATATCAGCATGGTTACCTTTAGGATCTTCAGCCAAGATGGGTCCCAGGTCTGCTGGAGCTCCATCACCATACTTGTTTCTGGCAATGACCCTGAAGTCGTACTCCTCATTGGCCAGAAGGTCCTGAATGTCACATTTACAGGAGGCCGTTTCAATGGGTTGACGGAAAAGCTTCATCTTGGCATCCTTCCTCAGGACCTCGTAGCCAATGATGTCACTGCCTCCATTGTCCAGAGGATCCGACCAGGTGAGGACAATCTTCTTCTTTGTCACCAAAACAGTCTTCAGGTCAACCACGGGTCCAGGAACATCTACAGAAACAAGTTTCGGCTGGTTAGAAAGACTTCCTACACCTAAAGATGCAGACCAGGTGCACCTGATCAGTGAAAGCCCAGTAAACCCAGTCTGCATGTCTGTGATGGAGCACTGACCCATAATGTCCACTCTGGTTTCTGCGCTCTTGGTGCCGCTGCTGTTGGTACCGGTGATCTGGTACTTCCCGTGGTCTGCTCTGATGGACTTCTTAATGAACAGAGTGCTGTTCTTGCCCTCGGTCTCCACCATCATCCTCTCTTTGTCAATTTCAGCTTCATCTTTGAGCCATTTGACCTCTGGCTGGGGTCGGCCTGTCACCACAGCAGGAAGCCTCAGAGGATCTCCGGCTTTGATCATGACTCCATTTTTAACAGAGCTGTTGAAGGCCACGGCAGGAGACTCTAAAGGACACAGAGAGAGGTTCAAAGCGTTACTCACCAGCTCAACCCCGTGAGTTACTACAACCTGGCAGCACCGGTACTGTGGGCGGTGTTGTGCCTGAACTCGTTCACAGTTTTAGTCAATGTGAACTGAACTTATTCATATTTTGTCCGACACGTTCATTCTGACATTTGTGAGCGTGTTGTGTATGTGTATTGTTGGAGAGCTCCAGATCTCCACGGAGGTAAAGCGTCCTGTTGCCATTGACGTTATAAAGAGTAGACCTCGCCCTGTGCTGTTAACGGGCATCGTGGTACGTATCAAACACAACTGGAACGCAGCAAAAAAGTCAAATTTTACTATTTGGCAGTCCTAATCTTTTAAACAATGTTGTTAGTCCTCTTGGTCATTGTTCTGGTTTTCTAAAACCCTGTGTTAAAAACCTTGGTGTGTTTTTAGACGGATCTTTTAATCTTCACAGACAGGTGAGTGCAGTGGTCCAATCTGGTTTTTATCATTTAAGGCAGATAGCAAAGGTGAAGCCATACATTCCTGCTAATGTCCTCGAACATGTCATCCACCTGTTCGTGTCCTGCCGACTGGACTACTGCAACTCCCTGTATTCTGGCCTGGAGCAGTCCTCCCCACACTGACTTCAGCTGGTCCAAAATGCAGCGGCCCGATCACATTACCCCAGTTCTGACCTCTCTCCATTGGCTTCCTGTCTCTTACAGGATCCATTTTAAAATTTTACTTTTTGTTTTTAAATCCCTTCATGGCCTGGCCCCAGTTTACATCTCTGAGCTGCTGTCTGCTTACGTCCCTGCCAGAACCATGAGGTCCAGCTCTCAAACTCTTTTAACAGTTCCAAAAACCCGCCACAAGACTCGCGGCGACAGAGCTTTCTCTGTGGTTGGTCCCAAATTGTGGAACAAGCTACCTCTCAACATCAGGACCACACAGAATCTAGAGCATTTAAATCCCTTCTTAAGACGCAATTTTTTGATCTGGCTTTTAATGCAGGTTGACTTGAGCATCTTAATAGTTTTTAACAGTTTTTATTATGAATTGTGACTGTTGTGTCCTCATCTTATTTTTAGGTTTTTATTGTTGATTTGTTGTACCTTGTACAGCGCTTTGGTGTAGCTTTGCTGCTGTAAATGCGCTCTATAAATAAAATGGACCTTGACCTCGACCAATAATATGGGAGAAGCATCAGATCTAGTCACAGAGTCGGACCTGTAATTCACTCGTTCATCCGGACTTTGTGACCCGAGTTCTACAACTTTTCTGTCTCTTCGGACAAACAGGTCAGAAAATGAGAAAAGTGACATAATTAAAAGATAATGAACGTTTAGATGATTTGCAGGTGCATCCTTGTTTCCTCCTCAGAACGCTGAGCAATTGTTTTTCCAAACTTCGAACAGCAGCTTTGTCCTCCTGCGGGTGAGAACGTGCTGCAGCTGGGTACCGGTGTGGACTGAACGGGGGGAAACAAGAACCCCGAGGGGAATCGCTCGTTACAACACACTGAAAACAAAAACTACGAACTAGTTCAAAGATGTAATTATGAACTGAACTAGTTCGTTTTTGAATGTGTGAACTGAACTTTAAACTAGTTCATATTTAAAAAGAACTTCCCGACACTGACCTTGGGGTTCTTTGACTGTGACGGGGTCAGTAACACCAGGAGCTCCAGGACCAGCATCATTAACCGCTACAACCCGGAAGTAGTAATCTGCTCCTTCAGTGAGGCCCACAGCGGTGTAGGTCAGCTCCTTACACCTGAACTCAGTGCAGCGGCTCCACTCCTTTTCTCCCATCAGGACCTGGTGAACCAGAACGCAGGACTGAAGGGTTCTGTAGAAGCTTCAAACATCTGAATGAACAGGCTTTATACCTTCTCAATGTGGTATCCCAGAATGTCTCCTCCACCGTTGTAGAGGGGAGGCTTCCAGGCTAGGATGACGCAATCCTTCCCAGTGTCCACCACCCATGGAGTGGGGGGTCCAGGAGGAACTGGGATAGAAAAACATGGTAAATGTTGTCCAGCGGACATGGAACAACTAGAGATACACAGATAATAGTAGTTTCTGGATCTGGTCTACATTTCTACAGTCTAAGGTCACCACTTGTCCCTCCCAGGTGTCCAACAGTCTCCTCCTGCCTAGCCGGATGGATGAACTACTCCTGAGAACTGATTTAGACATGAAGGCAAAGATCTGAGTGTACAGGAATAAATTCTGGAATAATATTTCTCCAAACTGCGGTTGTCCTGCTCTTCTTCATGTGGATCATCAGAATAAAATCATCTCTCTCAGGAGGAACCTTGTATTTACAGACAGCAGCTGTTGGCCTACTAGAGCTGACAATAAGAAGTATATCTGTATACTTTGTGCATCTGTGGAAAGCTGCAGCGGCTCCGTCTGAGGGGAGTATGAAGAGTAGGAAACCGAAAGAAACCATCAGTGGAAACTTACGGATGGCGTCCATTGCTACGACGCGTTCTGTGGGCTCGCTGAAGGGCCCGGGCCCGGCCAGGTTCTCTGCACACACCCTGAAGATGTAGGTGAGTCCCTCCATCAGACCAGCCACCTTCACATCCAAAGAGTTGAGCAGGGCCCGGTTCACTCGGGTCCAGTGTTTGCTGTTCACCTCCTTCCTCTCAATCCAGTAGCCCAGGATTGGGCTGCCGTTGTCCTTCGGCTCATGCCAGGAGATGTGGGCGGAGCTTGCTGTCACCTCATGTACTCTGGGGGTGTTGGGGGCATCTGGAGGGTCTGGGTGAGTGGAGAAGATAAAGGTGGTGTTTTGTTAGAACCTCCTGGTGAACTCTGTAAGGGTTAGGGCCATGCTACTCACTAAATTGATTCTTGGCCACGAGCGGCTCTGAGATGCACCCAGGACCACAGCCAAACTTGTTCTCAGCAGTAACTCTGAAGATGTACTCCTTCCCCTCGATCAGCTTGGTGACGGGGAAACGGTTGCCCTTCAGCGTGGAGGTGATGGTAATCCAGCCAATCTCATGATTCTTGTTGTCCTTCTTCTCCAGGATGTAATTCAGAATCTCACTGCCGCCATCGTCCTCGGGAGGCTCCCAGTTACAGACCACCGAGGTGTTCCTGATGTCATCGAAGGTGAAGTTGATTGGAGGGCCGGGTTTGTCTAGTGGACAGAGGCAGAATCAGCATTTCACCTCCAGACAGACTTGTGTTACACTAAACCCTTCTCACCCAGGACGTTGACAAAGCAGGAGGCAGAAGCAGCACCGTGTGTGTTCTCCACCTTGATGGTGAAAGTGCCGTGGTCAGCTCGGACAGCATCACGGATCATCAGAGCGGACTGGCCTTTGGTGGTCTTATCCAGACCCAGTCTCTCACGCAGAGGAGTCACAAACTCCTCCTCCGGTTCTGGAACCTGCACCAAACAGAGTCAGACATAAGAAGGGAACACCAGGACCCAGTCCACATTCTGTGAGATGTCTCCTTAAGGGGACAAACCAGAGTTTTGGTTCTCTTCTTCTTAACTACAGGGACAATCTTTTTGGTTGGCTCCTTGGTAACGTCCTCTTCGTTTTTCAGCCAGGTGACTTTAGGGTACGGGGACCCAGAGATAAAGGCGTCGATGTGAATCTCCTCTCCCTTCTTAACGCAGACGCCTGACTGCACACGGGCATGCAGGGTGACTTTTGGTTTTTCTGGGAATCACAGAACAAAAGTTTTAAAGATCTAGAGGAACGTGATGAAGAACACCTCTGACAGAAGCTGACGTACCAACGGGATCAGCAGCCTTTATGAGCGGCGTGCTGCGTGACGGCTCACTGACTCCAGCAGCATTCTCCGCACGGACCCTGAACTGATACTCCATGTCTTCCTTCAGGCCAGTCACCACATAGGAGAAGCCAGGGACCAGGCTTGGTGTGACCGTCTCGTAGCGGTCACCATCCTTCTCTATCTTCTCCACAGTGTAGCCCTGAATGGGACAGCCCCCGTCGTAATCTGGAGCCTTCCAAGTGACTGTGACGGATGAGGAGGTGGGATCGCGAGCCTCCACCTGGATGGGTGGGTCGGGTTTTTCTGTGTAACGACAGCAAACACCAGAGAGTGATCCTGTGGGCCAGGCACCAGCTCAACATTCAAAAGCCATTATTGCCATCTGCACAGTAAAGAAACGCATTTCCCCATCTTACTTTTCCACCTGCCCTGAATGCCGAATGGAAAAGTATAACAATGAAAAATAAGATAAATGAGCATGCAAACATTTATAACCCTAACCTGTAAACATCTTAAAAAGCATTCTAACAGAACTCACGTTTGATCTCCTCAGTGATGACCGGGCTCCGTAGATCCAGGTACTCTCCAGCTCCAACCTTGTTCACAGCCTTCACCCTGAAGTAGTACTCACAGTTGATGTAAAGGTCTTGGACCTCAAAGGTCAGAACATTTTCCCCTGACATGATGGGGATGTAGGTCTTCTTGGATGCCTCACGGCGCTCCAGACAGTAGCTGACAATCGGTGAGTCACCGTCATCTTCTGGAGCCACCCAGCTGATCTTACAGGAGTTCTTCGTCACGTCACTGGAGGAGATGTCTTTGCACTGACCAGGGCGTCCTGCAGAGTTCAGGAGGACAGGAGAGTCAGTCCTAAAGCAGCCACCTTAAAACCTGTAACTATCATTTTATAAAAGGCAGTAATTATGTCTGGGGAAGTAGTTCACCTGTACTGAACAGAATCACCTGTGCAGACCCTGATCACATGTGGAGACCCTGATCACCTGTGCAGACACTGATCACCTGTGCAGACCCTGATCACCTGTGCAGACCCTGATCACCTGTGCAGACATTGATCACCTGTGCAGACCCTGACCACCTGTGGAGACCCTGATCACCTGTGCAGACACTGATCACCTGTGCAGACCCTGATCACCTGTGCAGACACTGATCACCTGTGCAGACCCTGACCACCTGTGGAGACCCTGACCACCTTTGGAGACCCTGATCACCTGTGCAGACCCTGATCACCTGTGCAGACACTGATCACCTGTGGAGACCCTGACCACCTGTGGAGACCCTGACCACCTGTGGAGACCCTGACCACCTTTGGAGACCCTGATCACCTGTGCAGACCCTGATCACCTGTGCAGACACTGATCACCTGTGGAGACCCTGACCACCTGTGGAGACCCTGACCACCTGTGGAGACCCTGACCACCTTTGGAGACCCTGATCACCTGTGCAGACCCTGATCACCTGTGCAGACACTGATCACCTGTGGAGACCCTGATCACCTGTGCAGACACTGATCACCTGTGGAGACCCTGATCACCTGTGCAGACCCTGACCACCTGTGGAGACCCTGATCACCTGTGCAGACACTGATCACCTGTGGAGACCCTGATCACCTGTGCAGACCCTGACCACCTGTGGAGACCCTGATCACCTGTGCAGACCCTGATCACCTGTGCAGACCCTGACCACCTGTGGAGACCCTGACCACCTTTGGAGACCCTGATCACCTGTGCAGACCCTGATCACCTGTGCAGACACTGATCACCTGTGGAGACACTGATCACCTGTGCAGACCCTGACCACCTGTGGAGACCCTGATCACCTGTGCAGACACTGATCACCTGTGGAGACCCTGATCACCTGTGCAGACACTGATCACCTGTGCAGACACTGATCACCTGTGCAGACTGTTAGGTAATTTTAATCTATGTTGGGTATTTTAATTTAGCATTATTCACTATTATGTTGCGTATTTAATTTATACTATTGTTCTTATAATACCTTAAACTTATATTACCTTAAAGGAAGTCAGAACACACACACAGAGGGATTAGATTCTTAATTTGGTAAACTGTAACAAACCTATTAAACAGACAGACAAACTCTGCAAAGTGATAGAACTCTGCAGAGGGTGAGAGTGAATCAGACCATCACACACGGAAGCCATTTTCCTCTCACAAAGGAGCCGGGAGCTCATGGAGGGATTTATTCACAAAATGTTCACACCCACAAATTCCACAATCACAAGAGAAGTTTCTAGAGTTGAGCTAATTTTCCTACCTGACCAGTTTGCTTTTAACTAATGGAAAACACTTTGGTCTTAGAATGCACAGGACTAAAGAAAACTTCAGATACTGGATCAAAATGCCTAAAGCAGAAAGGAGTTTCTGAAAACACCCAAACGTAAAAACAAGTAAGGTCAGGTTTTCCCCCAACACATTTAACAAAAGATTTCACAACAAAGATGAATAAAATAAAAATACCTAACACAGACCCTGATCACCTGTGCAGACCCTGATCACATGTGGAGACCCTGACCACCTTTGGAGACCCTGATCACCTGTGCAGACACTGATCACCTGTGCAGACCCTGACCACCTTTGGAGACCCTGATCACCTTTGGAGACCCTGACCACCTTTGGAGACCCTGACCACCTGTGAAGACCCTGACCGCCTGTAGAGACCCTGACCACCTTTACTGAACAGAATCACCTGTGCAGCACATATCGGTGTGATTATGAGTGTAGTAAGGTTGAAGAACCCACCAATAACTTTGACATTGATGGTCCCGGTAGCTGTTCCTAGGCTGTTCTCCAGCGTGATGTTGTAGGTTCCAGCATCAGAGCGTTGGCACTTCAGCAGCTCCAGGTGTGCGCTGCTCATCTCCACAGTCATGGAGAGCCTGTCGCCAGCTTTGCACTCCACCGTGTCCTTCTGCCAAACCATCTTTGGTGTTGGGATGGCCCTGTAGGGGCAGTTTAAGTGCAGCTTCTCACCTTCAACCACAATCACATCCTGGGCCTCTAGATCCATGCTTGGAGCACCTGCAGACCAGGAGACACACTCATTACTCAAAGCTGACTCTGATGAGCTGCATTACCCCTGCTGGGCTGGACCGATGCTGCGTCTGAGCTTACAATCAGGATCCTTGGTGAAGACTTTGTCAGAGATCTCGGAAGGATCACTGACTCCAATCGAGTTGATGGCTCGAACCCTGATAACATACTTCTTCTCTGGTTTGATTCCATCATCGATCCTAAACTTGAGGTCTTTGATGGGCCTGCTGTTGACCCGGAGCCACTTCAGCTCAGGACGAGCCTCTGCCACCTCCACATGGTATCCTGATACTGGACAGCCGCCGTCCTTGGCTGGAGGCTTCCAGGTGAGGTTGATGTGTTGCCTACTGGCGTCCACAACGGTCACTTCCAGAGGAGGAGATGGAGGACCTGCAGTTCCAAAGCACAAGCAGAGTTAATGTCTGGAATGCTGGTTGTTGAGTTTTCACTATCTGGTCACTTACTGGTCGGGTCCTCAATGGTGAGGATCACAGTGGGTTCACTTGGATCTCCAACTCCAGCCTCGTTCTCAGCTCTGACCTGGAACTGCACCTCTGATCCTTCGTCCACATCCGTCACCTTGAACTGGGTCTGTTTGTCTGGAGTCTTGCAGCACTTCAGCCAACGAGTTCCCACCTTTTCTTTCTTCTCAATCACATACCTGAAAACAAAAAAGGTGTTTGTCTTCTCTGACTATGCTGTGGCATGTTTCCTGTTTCATGGTGGGAAACCCAGGTCTCATTCCCACTAGTTCCTAAGTCTGAATCACTGATGGGACTTACTTGGTTATGGGTCTTCCACCATCACTCTTAGGAGGTTCCCACTTCAGCTCCACGTGTCTCTTAGTGACCTCCATCACTGTCAGGGCATATGGAGGACCAGGAGTTGCTGTGAAGACACAAAACACACATGAATCCTTTTTCCTGACAGTCTAGTTGGTGCAGCCGCTCCTTGACAGACTGATGATCTAGACATAAGTGACAGAAGCAAACAGTTGTTGTTCTCCATAAACAAGTCTAGTAGAGTGAGCTTGATGGAAGGTTTTGATTGGGTGTTTGTGTAGACTCACTGAACGTGTCCTTAGCAAGCACTGCGTCCTCCAGCTCACAGAAGTCACCGGTTCCCACGGCATTCTCAGCAGCAACGCGGAACACATACAGAGAACCTTCATTCAGAGGAGTCACCAAGTACTTCAGCTCCTTAACGGTGGTGTCCACGGTCTGCCAGGCCTTCCGCCTTACATCCCTCTTCTCCACAACATAGTTGGTGATGGGGGAACCTCCATCACTGCTTGGAGCCTGCCACTTCAGGTCAGCGTTGACTTTGGTGATGTTGGTCACTTCCAGCCACTGAGGGGCAGATGGAGGGTCTGGAACACAGAGCAAAGACTGATACGTCTAAACGTTAACCTAAAGCAAGTGGCAGGCCACCCCGGACCCTTCACCCACTAGACCGCTCCAAGGCAACCAGCTATACTTACTTTTCATACACAGAAGCAATCCAACGTGCTTTCAGGTGCAAGAGAACGGAGAAAACAAAACGGTCTTCGACTTCTAAAATCTATGTGACAGCGCGATACTGCAAACTTAAAATGATGAAGCACACAAAGGCCTGGTGTTCTGGAGGGGAGGGCTGTAATGGCCTGATGGAGGGGGCCATCAGCTGGCACACCGCAGTCAACCACCAGACCTCTCCCTCCCCAGGATTCAGTCATATAGAGAATAAAGTTGTGTGTGTGTGTGTGTGTGTGTGTGTGTGTGTGTGTGTGTGTGTGTGTGTGTGTGTGTGTGTTGTGTGTGTGTTGTGTGTGTGTGTGTGTGTGTGTGTCTTCTCCATCCCCAGTGAGGATTGCTGTAAAGACTCTGACTCTAGTCAGTGACTGGATGAAACCTGCTGGGTCTCTTATAAAGGAAACTTGTTACTGATTGGCTGAATGACCTGACCTGTACTGGGATGTTTACTGACTCTCACCCTTGGGACGACTTTTATAAATAAAGTAAACAGAAAAATGAAAGTGATGATAATCCATCACAACAGGCTTTTTTTACCCTGTCGGTCAAAATAACAGACACCAGACCTGTGACACGAGGACCTAGTCTCAGTGTTGTGGCGTTTCTAAAGCCTGACTGAAATCCATCCAGGAGGCTCAGCTGGATCATAACTGCTTGTTCAATCCAGGGAGACGAGAGGTTGGTCTGTAGTTCTTCACCACTAAGGGATCTAGTTTGCTTTTCTCTAGAAGAGGCTTAACAGCAGCGGTTTTCAGTGATGTAGGGAACAACACCCGACATGAGTAAGCACAAAGATAAACACACATCTGTGTTTCCGAGCTGAACTTACAAAGTCTCTCCTTGCAGACCACAGGCTCGCTGGGCTCACTGGGCTCGCTTTCCCCTGCCTTGTTGACAGCTTTGACCCTGAAGGAATACTCCTGCTTCTCCATCAGACCCTGCAGCTGGTGCTCGGTCTGAGGAACATCCTCTGCTATTCTGATCCATTCTTCATTTCCACTCTTCTGGAACTCGATGATGTAGCCTTCAATCTTTGCTCCACCATCGTGCTCTGGACGTGTCCAAGCTAAGACGGCAGAAGTCTTGGCCACCTCCTTGATGACTGGTTTCCCTGGTGCCCATGGAGGATCTGGCAAAGATGTTCATGTTATCATTAGCCTAAAGCAAACCCACCCAACCGTGTGCTGGTTGAAACCTGACCACATCCAGCTGAAACGCTGTAAAGTCCTGATGGACTTACCTATCGGGTCTTTAATGAGGACAGGATCTGTCTCTGCACTTGGATTTCCAGGTCCAGCCAGATTCTCTGCCAGAACACGAAAGCGGTACTTCTTCTTGGTGGGAAGTCCCTTTACCCTACAGGCAGAGGGACATGATGATCCCTAACTCTGGTTGGCTTCCTCTGAAGGGGACGGAGGATTGTCCTGACTTACCTGAAGGTTGTGTCTTTTACAGGCAATTTGTTGCACCGGATCCACTTATCGCTGTCTGGATCAAACTTCTCAATCCAGTATCCAGTGATGGGGCTACCTCCATCCTCGTCAGGCTCAAACCAGGTCAGAGTCACAGCATCCTTGGCGATGTCTGAGGGTGTGACTCTGGTTGGAGGACCAGGAGGTTCTGAAACACATTGTTAGATCATTTGTGTATCGTCAGACTGCGGGGTCGTATCCACACCTCTCCATACAGGACCATACATGTCCATAGAATGAACCATGTCACCAGGTAGGTGGGTCCACGTTAAGATCACAGACTAATGTATGAGAAGATAGAGGCTCGTTTGACTGAAGAAGACGTACAGGTATGTCTACAGGTAACTGGACTTCACACATCTGAAGCTACGCAGGTGTAACCGGAGCTCTCCTGTATGGAGCGGGTTAATGCTGAAGGATAGCCGTGACGCGGTTCGTCTTTGGACATGCACAGGTGCTCCGTTTGTTCTAACGAGCTCAGACATTAGAGGCTGAGCAGATGTCAGGAGGGACAAACAGTTTGTAAATACATAACTGTTATATATTTGACATCTCTGACGAGATCAGTAAACACAAACCAACAACATTAAAGGCTGCCGCTCCACTTACAGAACACGTTTCATGTAATTATGTAAAAAGAAACTAAGTGAACTCGGTAACGAAGGTGTTCACGTGGTTAGAGGGCTCCAACGTGTGGAGCAGATCTTTGGCTTTCTTATTGTGTCAGGAGACTTTGGCTCCAACAAACTCTCTTCATGGCTACTAGCCGTAGCATCATAGCGGCAGCAGTTCAGGAGGTACTGCGGCTTGTCCAGTGTTCAGAAGGTTGCAGGTTCGATCCCGGCTCCAGACAGAGAATGCTGCTGTTGTGTCCTTGGGCAAGACTCTTAACCCCATTACCTGCTGCTGGTGATGGGTGGGACCGGAGGTGCCTGTGTACAGCCCCAGGGCAGCTGAGGCTACGTGGTAGCTCACCACCACCAGGGTGCGACTGTGTGAGTGGCGGACTGCAGCGCAGAGCGCTTTGGAGTCCTGAGTCTGAAAGGTGCTGCACAGACGGCTCGTTTAAACCCGGCTGTCGTCTACAGCGCTGCGTGTGTCGACCACGCTGACAGATTTGATCTTGTTGAGAACGTCAGAAGCTGGGGGCGGGGCTTAAAGGAATGACATCACTACATCTCTAAAAAGTCTGATTGCATTTCCATGGGTGGACTTTCATGGGGCGAGGGGTTATTGAGCACTCTCTGTTAAGGTCTGAACTCAGAAATAATGAGGCTTCCTGTAGCCTTAAAGGAGTGCTGCTGGTGTGAAAGCCCCCCAGCAGCTCAGCTACATCTATGAGCTGTAAACCAGTCTTCCATTAAACCTCCAAGCCTCTCATGCCAGGATCACCAGAATCCACACAAACACAATGAGACTCACCTTTTGGCCACTAAAAGTAACTCCAACTAAAAAGCTGTTCCAACTAAAACTAAGATGGTGGCCCAAGCCAGCAGTGTCAAACGTACCGAAGGAGTACTTGGCGATGATCGGGGTGTGCTCCGCCGGTACGCCGATGCCATACTGGTTTTCTGCACTGATCCTGAAGACATACTCCTTCATTGCGATGAGCTTGCAGGCCTTGAAGGTGGTGAGCTTCACTGTGGCCGACAGTTTAACCCACTCCTCATTGTCTGTTTGACGGCACTCCACAATGTAGTTTGTGATGGGGGAGCCGCCATCATCCCTGGGCGGGTTCCAGGCCATGACGCAGGACTCGTTGGTGATCTCAGAGATGTCGAAGGCAGCTGGAGGTCCTGGTTTGTCTGAGGAGGAGGAAACACATAAAGATCATACTTTAGCTCATATTCCAACCCCAACCCTAAACACGATGTTCACCAGGAGGACAGTCTAGGTGGTACCCAGGATGTTGACGTCGATGGTAGCAGTGGCACGGCCACACAGGTTGACGGCCTCGATGATGTAGGTGGCGGTGTCGCCTCTAGAGGTGTTGCTGATGGACAGCTTGGAGTGTCCTGGCTGGGTGTCAATGGCAATGCGGTCATCAGCCCGTAGGACCAAATCAGCCTTGGTCCATTTAACCCGTGGGTCGGGCTGTCCTTTGACATCAGCAGGAAGCTCGATCTTGCTACCAGCTCTGGTTGTGAGACCAGCAAGGAGTTTGACATCCAGCTGAATCTCTGGAGGTTCTGTTAGAATATTGAGAAGAAAAAAGGTGGTGAGGAGCTCCATGGAGGAGAGTTGGGTTAGCCTGGAACAGTTTAACCTACCTCTGGCATCCACAGCCTGGATCTCATCAGTGGCCCTACAGGGCCTGCTGGCTCCGAGCTTGTTCAGGGCCCTGACTCTGTAGGCGTACCACTGGCCCTCAATCAGCCCGGTTACCTGGAACCTGAAACCACCGACGGTTATTCCACCTGACCCAGACCTCCTTAACTACTAACAAACTCTTGAATCTTACTTGAGTTCTGTAACGGGGTCACTGCAGGGCTCCCACTTGTCTGTGCCACGCTGACACTTGTCCACCACATAGCCTTTGATGGTAGCACCACCATCATACCTCGGAGGTTCCCAAGAGAGGAAGATGGCTTTTGCACTCTTATCTCTCCACTTCAGGTTTTCAGGTGGATCAGGAACAGCTTAAAGACCAGATCCAGGCAGTTAAAAGTCAGTCTGTGAACTGGTTCTTCACTGAGAGAGCTACGTGAATCTCAGGCTATAGAGGGAGCTCACTATGAATGTCAAAACAACTTAGTTATTCACAGTTAACCACAACTAACAAGCTTGACTAGCTGACTGGATACAGTGGTCTATGAAGGGTGGTCTAATGAGTAGAACCGTGATGATAAACTGGGTAAGGGATGATGTGATCTCTAGCAGGTGGGTCAAGACTCACTGGCAGGTGAGGAGACGTTGACAGGCTCGTCGATGTACGCTGGTTCTCCAGGTCCACACTTGTTGCAGGCAATAACACTGAACAGGTATTCTTTCCCCTCAATCACGTCGGTGACGGTGTGCTCCAGGTCCATGATGCCGGCCGCCACCTGAAGAAACATCAAAGCACATCCCTCAGAAGGCATCTCGAGGTGTAACCGTCCTGCTGTGGACTCAGACTAACCCTAACCCTGAGACTGGGTGAACTTCCATGCCTACCTTGGCCCAGGTCTTTCTAGAAGCTTCTCTCTTTTCAATCTGATAGTGGGTGACGGGACTTCCTCCATCGTGCTCCGGAGGCTCCCACATCAAGTGCACATGGTGTCGGGTCACCTCAGCCACCTTGAAGTCTTTAGGAGCACTGGGGCATGCTGGGAAAGTCAGACCAGAGGGTTGAGTGAAGATCTTGTAGATGCTTCCTGTGGGTTGAACTAGTTTTAGTGCAGCCACTCTCACCAATGACGTTGACCTCAATCTCTCCAGAGACGGAGGCGACGTCATTCTCCAGCTGCAGGCCATAGGTGCCTTTGTCTGGACGAACGCTCGGTGAGATGGTCAGCTCTGCATATGTCGACTTGGTTGCCACGGAGACACGCTCCTCTGCATCACTCAGCTCCTTCTCTCCAAAAGTCCACCTGGCAGCAGGAGTTGGGTATCCGGTGATGGGGACTCTGATGGTGAGAGGCTGAGGAGCGATCACCTCCAGGCCCTTCCTGAAGCCGCTCAGGTCAAAGGTCGGACCGACTGCAGGGAGAACAACGTTTCCTCATCATGGTCACTGACTAAACTGTTTATAAAGGTAGGAAATCAGTAACACTTTAGTTTAGGGAACACAAATTAACCATTAATTAGCTGCCAATTAATATGCTTAGTGGACTACTAAGTCTGCTTTAGCCATTATTAAGATATTATTAGGTGCTTATTACCAATGATGTAATTCTAATATTAACAGGCCATAAATGAAGAGTTTTATCAAAATAAGTCATTCATAATGGTTTGTTAACTGAAAGTAAATGTTTTGGTGCTGATTAACGCACACACTAGTTATCTCAAATCAATATGTGGCTTTAAAGAAGTAATTCAGGGGGGATAGTTATTCTGCATTAATAACCAAAAATATTATGTTCTGGTATTATGTAAAATAAACACCAAACTCTACATGTCAATAGAGCCTAAACAGCAATCAATTAACCACTTATAAGCAATAATATGTTCTCCATTCTAAAGTCAGATTTTGTTCATGCCTAATTACTAGTAGTTTAGTATTAATTAACCACTTAAAGGCAAGAATGTGTTCCCCTTGAATGAAAAGCCACATATTGATTTGAGCTAATTAGTGTGTGCGTTAATCAGCAACAAACCATTTACTTTCAGTTAACAAACCATTATGAACGGCTTATTTTGATAAAACTCTTAATTTAGGCCTGTTAATGTTAGAATTATGACATTATTAATACGCTGTTTATTAGTGCTTAATAATGACTAATTCAGACTTAGTAGTCCACTAATATGCATATTATTTGGCAGCTAATTAATGGTTAATTTGTGTTCCCCAAACTATTGCATTTGTCCTCCAATGGGCCAAATTATTAGAATTTATTTAAATATATTTACTTAGGGTAAGAAACTTTTACGACTTCATCCTGTAGAAGGAGCTTAGCACAGTTCCTCTGGGAGGCACTTACCATGCGGGTCATCAGCCAGCAGAGGTCCAAGCTGCTCGGCTGGATCTGAAACACCAGCTGCGTTTTCAGCACTAACTCTGTACAGGTACTTCTGACCCTGCTTCAGCCCAGACACCTAGAGAAGAGAAACACTGTAGTGTCAGAGCAGAAGACTCGTGAGAGAAGGGACCTGATGTGATGGCGGAGTACCCGGTAGAACAGGTCTGGACACAGCCTGGCGTTGCAGCGCAGCCACTTGTCAGAACCCTCATCACATTTCTGAATGATGTAGCCGGTTATCATGCTGCCTCCATTGCTGGCCGGTGTCTCCCAGGTCAGCGTGACAGCCGTGTTGATCTGGTCACTGTAGTTGAGGTTCAGAGGTGGGCTGGGCCTCTCTGCAGCAACAATCAGACGTTTTACAGGAAGTGGAAGAAGATCCCCCTCTTTCTGAGCATGCCCACATGGGCTACAAATGGATCGTTGGGTTCCTGAATCCCTGAGTTGAACTCCCTCCCTGTTGGCACCCGTTACTCACCGATGGGATCCATGATCTTCACAGGATTGGTGGCGGCACTGGGCCTGCCAATGCCAGCCTTGTTCTCAGCCCGGACTCTGAAGATGTACTCCTTGTGCTCCACCACGTCGTTGAGGGTGGCCGAGCGCTCGCTGGCCCTGCACACCAGCGCCGCCTCCCACTTCACAGAAGTCCTGTCGCGAAGCTCGATCACATAGGCCGTTATATCTGAACCACCATCAAAGTTGGGAGGCTCCCAGGAGATCGTGGCTCCAAACCTGTTCACCACACTTACTGCAACATTTTCTGGAGCATCTGGAACATCTGAATGCAGACAACAAGCATCATCAGAGTTAAAGTCTGAGCTAGTTTCTAAAAGCAGTCGGTAAGTGTCCGCTCACCAAACTTGTTCTTGGCCTGAACGGCGTCGTCCGTGGCAACTGCAGGTCCGTTGCCAACCCTGTTTCGAGCACAGACTCTGAACAGGTACAGGGAGTCCTTCTGAAGGCCACTGACACAGTACTCTGGAATATCAGCCCGATCTGTGGCCAGGGTCCAGGTCTTACGCTTCACATCACGCCGCTCCACAATGTAAGCAACAATTTTGCTGCCGCCATCGCTCTCGGGCTCTTCCCAGGCCAAGCTCACCTCACCATCAGAGGTGTCAACTACTCTCAGGTTCTTGATGGGTCCGGGCACATCTGAAACCAAAACCAAGACACTGAGACTTTCTCCTCATCCATCAGAGATGTGCTCACCTGTGACCTTCAGACTGACCGATCACATCTAGATTGATGAAAGCTTCTCCTTCCCCGTGCTTGTTTTTGATCACTACTCTGTACCGACCCTGGTCTTCTTTGATGGGGCTCTTCAAACGATACTCGGTCTTGTCCACCGAGGTGTCAATGTTCTGCACAGGAAGACTCTGGTCTCTGTAGAACCACTCAGCGTCAGCCCGAGGGTAGGCATCGTAGGGCACGATCATCACGAAAGGTTTTCCAGCATCGGTCACCAGGTTCTGGTCAGTGGTTTTGATCTTTGGAACAGCTGCAGAGGGACATGTTCTTCACTTTATTCATCCAACCGTACTTCATCAGCCTTCATGTCTCTGTTTCTTTACAGAGATGTAAAGGTGTGTGTAAGGACGTTTCCACATCATATATGTGTCTGATAAGGGGTGCTCCTGGCCACTGAACCTCAGTAGAAAGCTTCTGCTGTCCAGCAGTTCCCTCTTCTGTTAAGCTAGTACTGAATGCTGCTAAGAAAATGTGGTTTTCTAACGAGAAAGCACCCAAAGCGACTCTACCAGTAAACCCTAAATCAGCCCACAGCCTGCTGGTGTTCAAATAAACATCCAGTATGTCTGCTTCGGACTTTTATTTCAGATCATTTAGTTCCTTTTTCGGTTATTAGTTCAAAAACATGATTATACATGAGGACCTAGAACTGACCCTCCCACCCCCCCACCCCCACCCCAACTACCACCACCAGGCGCCTCTGCAAGGCCAACCTCGCACTATTTCTCCTCCTATTGTTCACACAGAGAACAGCTGATCAGCTGCTTTGCTGAAGAAAGACTTTAAAAGGTATCTGCCTGTTATTTATGACTTTAACATTTTGTTTAGCTTTGACGCGACTACCTGCTTAAATAAGGTGAATAACAACTAAAGTAGACCCACCTGCCAGCTCCAGCTTGGCCCGGGCATCCTTGTCTTTGGCCACAATCCGGTACTCCCCCTGGTCTCTGGGCCTGATCTCACACACCTGCAGCCGGTGAAGCTTCCCCTCACTGATCATCTGGTACTTGTCTCCCTGGACGATGATCATGTTGTTCCTCATCCACTTCACCTCCACCCGGTCCTTGTTGAGCTCCACCTCGAACACGACGTCGGAGCCTGGAGGTTCAAAGACGTCCTGAGGGGGTCGGATGATCTCCACCGGCGTCTCTGCAGGACACAAAGACACAGTGAGAATGACTTGTACAGAACGGCTGGACAGTTTCCCTCGAAGGTCTGAGCTGAGCTGACCTTCAACGAAAAGCCTGGCTCTGGTCCTCCTCTCATCTACGCCACAGGCATATTCACATTCATCATCAGGTCTGCACACCTTGATGGTCAGTCTGCATGTCCTGCCGTCTCTCTCCATATGATATCTGCAGGAACAGCACAAGGTGTTTCACACGCTGGAGCGGTCAGGCTTCAGCAGAGGTTGGGTTAGGGTTAGGGAAACATCCTACCTGGGACCTTCTCTGATCTCACGCCCGTTCCTGTACCACTTGACAGCAGCCTTCTCCTTGCTCAGTTTACAGCTGAACTCAGCGTCCTCAAACTCGGTGATGGTTTGGTCTTTGAGCTGTGCCGTGAAGTCGGTCGGTGCCTCGCTGATGATCAGCTCAGCAGCACACTTGTCATCTCCGAGCACAGCCGTGTACTCACCCTCATCTTCCATGACACAGTCCTTGATAGTCAGCGTGTGTTTGAGGCCATCGGCTCGGTAAACGACGCGTTTGCTGAGCGTTATTTCCTGGCCGGCCTTCATCCAGCGGATGGTCACCTCCGGCCGGTTCACCTTACAGACAAAGCTGATGGTTTTCTTCTCCTGAGTCTCAATGTCCTCAATGGGTTCCAGGAATTTCAGCCTCTCCTCTGTGAATCACATGAGGGTTACAGACTCGGTCCTCCATAAACCAGGAGGCAGGACGCACCACAGGAACTTTACCTACCTGCAACTCTAGCGCTGGCACTGCATTTGGCACTTTCTCCTCTGTGATTGGTTAAAGAGATGGTGTAGGTGGCCTCATCTACCTTCTGAGCATCTCTGATCCTCAGAGAGAAGACATTGTCTCTCTGAGCCATCATGTACTTGCTGCTGTCAAAGATGGTCTCCTCGTTCTTCAGCCACTTGGCCTTGCCTCCCTCTGTGTTGGTCTCACAGTTGAACACAATCTCACTTCCCTCCTTCACTTCTGTGTCTTTAATCGGGGTGATGATCCTCAGTTTCTCTGCAGTGAAACACAAACCCATCAGCAGCAGTGCAGACGTCTGCAGAACTAGCCTCTGAGAAGAAGTGAAGTATCTCACCTAGCACAAAGAGGTCAGCGGAGGCCTTGACGTTGCCGATGTGGGCGACGTAGCCGCCCTCGTCCTTCAGCTCACATCGTTTTACAATAAGAGCTCTTCTCTTTCCTTCACTGATGATGGTGTATTTGTCTCCATCCTGGATCTCCTGCTCACCTCTGAACCATTTCACCTCATAGGTGTCTTTGGAGACAGAGCAAGTAAACTCAGCCTTGTCCCCCTCCACCACCTCCTGGCTTTGGGGACGTGAGATGAACTCAGCAGCTAGTTCTGAAAGGAAGAGGAAGAAGGGTTAGTCTGAGGTCCATCTGAAGTCAGCAAGCTCCTCCTGATCTCGTTACCATTAAGTTTCAGAGCTGCAGATGTCTGGACTGTGGGGCTCAGCCTGCACGTGTACTCTGCAGCATCCTCCATCCTCAGGTCCTGGATGATCAGGATCCTCTTACGTCCATCTGAGATCTGTTCATAGCGACCGCCCTCTGGCAGCTCCTCTTCTCCCCGGTACCAGATGACCTCTGCGTTGATCTTTGAGACTTCACAGACCATCTTCACACTGTCCGTTTCTGTTCCCTCCACATTGGACAGGTTCTTGGTGAAGGTAGCAGCTTCCTCTGAGAACAAAGCAGCAGCATTATGGCTAACAGTTAGTGACCAGGAAGACACGGTAAACAGAACATGATACTGATCTAAGGGGCTGCAGGACTATGTCCAGTAACAGAAGATGTGACACTAAACGAGTCAGTAACATCCTCACCAATGACCGTCAGCATCCCGGACGTCTTGGAGGTTCTGGCATCACATTCGTACTCGGCTTCATCATCAAACATCGACTTGTGGACGATCAGGATCCTCTGCACCCCTTTAGCAATGATCTCGTACTTCTTCCCTTTCCTGATTTCGCTCCCATCTTTGAACCAACGAACCTTCAAACAACATCAGAGAGGAACCGCATTTAAAGGTGTGGGTGTCTTATTTAATCAGTACATCAGCGATGGTCTGCAGGAATAAATGCCTTGAAAGTTGTTCTCGGAGGGATACTGATGCACCATAACCAGGAGCTGAAGCGACCCACCGCACAGCTGAGCTTCAGATGGCAGGTTTGGGAGTCTTACTTCCTGATATGTGGACATCTCTCCTCTGATTGGCTAACAGCAACACAACTCTACCACTGCCTCTGTTTGCTCAGCAACGTTAATGTTTTATCGCCACAAATAACACAAGCCTGGAGGAGTTCTGCTGTGTGGTGACGTTTTTAATGCTAACAGTTAGCTTCTACTAACCGAGGCATTTCCCGGATGTTAAAAAGAAAACAGTCTTCCCTGTCATGAGTCCAGATGGGTGAGTCCATAGCCAGCCCACCCCCCGCCCAGGTATGATATAGGGTGTTCACTTCTGGGTGGCCTGGTTTTTCTCTGTGCTCAACTGGTCCTTCTTTCAGCCCTCTTCCCAAGTTGGACAGCTTCAGGTTAATCTGGCCCACCACACCCACTGCTCACTGATTGGCCGGCTCAAGGCCCTGAGGTCCTCCAGCAGCCGGTTACAGAGGCGAGGACTGTAATAATGAAGAGACGCCTCACCTCGGGTGTGTGTCCTGACTTTAGGAATAAAAAGGAGACGGCTGCCAGAGGAGCGCAGAGACCGCGCGAGTTGGTATGGTAAAAGCAGTTCTGAGAGAGAAGACCATTAAGACACTTAAAAACCATTAAAAGTATTTTAAAATGGATCCTGAAACATACAGGGAGCCAATGCAGTGATTCTTAAACTGGAGCAATGTGCTCCCGCCTCCTGGTCTTCATCAGGACACGTGCTGCTGAGTTTGTAAAAGTTGTAGACCTGAAATCCTGTTTTTGGGAAGACCAGAAAGCAGGGCGTTGCAGTAGTCTATCCTACTGGTGATAGAAGCATGCATCAGCGTCTCCGTATTGGCCTGAGAGAGAATGGGGCAGACTCTGACGATGTTCTTTAGATGATGAAAACCTATTTTTGTGATTTTTTAATGTGGGGCATAAAAGTCAGATCAGATTCAAAAATCACACCCAGGTTCTTCACTTGTTCAGAAGGATTAAAAGACAGAGATGGTAGTTGTGGTAAAAGTTTCTCTCTCTGGGCCTCAGGAACGATGACTAAAACTCAGTTTTGCCCTGGGTGAGCTGGAGAAAGTTCTCTGCCATCCAGGATTTAATGTCTAAAATGCAGTTAAAAAGTGCATCCATTGGCTGTGTGTCATCAGGAGACACAGAGATGTGCAGCTGTGTATCATCAGCATAACTGTGGAAATTCACTCCATGTCTCTTGATGATCCCGCCAAGAGGGAGCATATAGAGGTTAAAAGTACTGGGCCTAAAACTGAACCCTGGGGCACACCACATGTGATGCTGTGGACCCTAGATGCTGGTGATGTTAAAAACATGCAGTAATGATCGGACACTGTATGTATTATTACTATTAATCTGACTGGTCTAGCTCTAATCTGCTGTAATTTGGGTATGTTCAGGTGGTTCTGGGCTCACCTTGGCGGATTCACGAGACACTTCACATTCGAACCTGGCTGATTCCTTCTCTCGGACCTCCACGTCCTGCAGAGGCTTGCCAAATTCCACATATGGAGCTGCAGACACAAAGTTTGTCTTTGTTGAAGATCAAAGACTTCTTTGGTCTCAGCGGGAAGGGCACGCCGTGAGTGGTGAAGGTTCTGACTGGACTTACGTGTGACCTCCAAGAAGCAGGAAGTCTTGAACTCCTTGGCGTCACATGTGTACATCTTGGCATCTTCTGGAGAGCAGTCATGGATGAGCAGCGCCCTCTTGCGCCCATCAGCAACTGTGTCATACTTCTTGGTTTTTCTGATCTCCTGTCCTTCTCTGAACCAGCGAACCTCTGCATTCTCTCTGGAAACTTCACACTCCAGGGTGGCAATGGCCTCTTCCTCCACCGTCTGGTCCTCCAGAAGCTTTGTGAACTCCACCGGCGGTTCTGAACACCAACACACACCGTCAGGTGATGCTTGAACACAACTACTGCCCTGGGCTCAGGTTTGTTTACCTCTGACAATGAGCTGAGCCTGAGTTTGGAAGTCTTTAGCACACAGCTTGACCTCGCCGGCCTCCACCAACTTCACGTCTCTGACGGTGAGAGTGTGGACCCTGCCTGCAACACGGGTCTTCACCTGCAGAGACAAAGGTGAGCTGTCAGCAGGGCTGGATCCTACCTGCTGCTTTATCTTAAGATGAAATTATGATAAATAACTGAATCAGCTCTAAAATGTGTAACGTTATTTTAATCTAAACTAAAATGATCACAATCAGCCGTTTTAAAACGTTTTCTTTGCTGGGTGAGCCCGGATGTTTAAGGCAGATGAACAGAAGAACACGTTGTTTTTAACTCTAGAGGAACATTGTCAGAGGACAAACTGGTCCCGCCCTCCCGCCAAAGCCAGCTGCATCGTTCCATTAAAGGTCCCACCCTAAAGAATTCAGCTTTTTACCGGATAAGATTGTTATTTCCTCATGAGAAATTCCCAAACCCCTTATTGGCAGCATGCAGGCATTTTCCAGCCTGCAGACGGGACAAAGTCCCAAGTGAATCATCAGGCCTTTCTCCTCCCCATGAAGCAGGTCTCTGACCTGGAACCCACCTCCCCTGGAAGCAGGTCACTAACGCCCACTTTCTCCTGGCTGCAGGCATCTTGGAAACGACCAAACTCAAACATCTTTAGAGATGCAAACTATTTACAGAAAGTATTCAACAAAACTAAAATATGAATTAACGACTGCCGACACCAGCATCAGCACTGGACCAGCCCAAGGCCAGTACAGCAGCAGGCGACTCGCCTAAGACGCGGACGTAGGCGCGTTTTGTCAGAGCGGGCGTGGGCGGAGCTTGACTGAAACAGACGTTTTATTTGTAGGTATAAATTCACGCTGACAAAAATAAGTGGTATTTACATCAGTAGTGCTTCATCATTATGCCTTCCCTTGCTCCTATTGCTCTGTGGTCTCACTGCTTCGTACTCCCCTGTTTAGGCTTGTATGTGATGTGTTTTATGTGTCCTTTCCTTATGTGCAGCACCCCGGGCTCCACGGCTGGGACAGGAGGAGGACTCAATAATAATGATGATGGATTAGAGCTATACAGGGCACTAAGGGCTGGTGATGCTCAGTTACCGTGTAGCCACCGCTGCTGACAGAGGCATGCTGCCATTTGCACCATCAGCCCTGCTGACCACCCACAACAAAGGCAAAGTGGGTCAGGTGTCTTGCTCAAGGACACAACAGCAGAGCACCCTGGAGGGAGCTGGGGTTGATCCCACACTACACCAGCTCGCTCCACCTCCTGAGCTACTGCGATAAACAATTCAACTCAGTGGAGGACATGGACCAGTCCCTGAGACAAGGTCCAACCAGGAGATCGCCTCAGGGACACAACCTTAGTAAAAGACGTTTCCTGAGACTCCAGGACTTACCCGATCGCTGGCCTCCATCCGCTCTCCGCCCAGCAGCCACTCTACCTCGATGCCGTCGTAGGACAGCTCACACTCGAAGGTGGCTGTTTCTCCAGCTGTCACGGTCACGTCCTTCAGAGGACGTGTCAGTATGATGGAGCGGGCTGCAGGACAGGAGGAACTTCAGTCTCAAGCACAAATAAGGTCTGAGAAAAACCCTAAGAGTGGGAACAGGTCTGACCTTTGACCCTGAGCTGAGCGCTGGACTTGGCATTAGCAGCTGAGAAGTCCACAGGTCCAGCCATGTCCATCCGGACGTTGTAGAGAATCAGCATGTGTTTGGTCCCCTCTTCTTTAATCTCTATGTCCTGCAGAGAGAAGAACAGTTAGGTCTCCAGAGACGGGAAGAGACAGCAAAGAGGAGAGAGGAACTCACAGCTGACTGGTGCAGAGCTTCTCCCTTGAGCTTCCAGTTTCCATGAACGTCCTCCTCTGAGATCTCAGTCTCAAACTTAGCCGTCTCTGTCTCCGTCACCTCCACACTGTACAGGGGACGGGCCACTTTGATGTCCCGTTCTGCAGAAAGACCAGGAACATTCACAACTCTTGTCTCTTCTGTCCATCTTAAACTGGTCCTCACCCAGCTAGTCCCAGTTAGACCCGACAGACCCAGCTAGTCCCAGTTAAACCCGACAGACCCAGCTAGTCCCAGTTAGACCCGGCAGACCCAGCAAGAACTAGTTAGACCCGATGGACCCAGCTAGTCCCAGTTAGACCCGACGGACCCAGCTAGTCCCAGTTAGACCCGACGGACCCAGCTAGTCCCAGTTAGACCCGACAGACCCAGCTAGTCCCAGTTAGACCCGACGGACCCAGCTAGTCCCAGTTAGACCCGACAAACCCAGCTAGTCCCAGTTAGACCCGACAAACCCAGCTAGTCCCTGTTAGACCTGACAGACCCAGCTAGTCCCAGTTAGACCCGACGGACCCAACTAGTCCCAGTTAGACCCAACGGACCCAGCTAGTCCCAGTTAGACCCGACAGACCCAGCTAGTCCCAGTTAGACCCGACAGACCCAGCTAGTCCCAGTTAGACCCGACAGACCCAGCTAGTCCCAGTTAGACCCGACAGACCCAGCAAGAACTAGTTAGACCCGATGGACCCAGCTAGTCCCAGTTAGACCCAACAGACCCAGCTAGTCCCAGTTAGACCCGAAAGACCCAGCTAGTCCCAGTTAGACCCGACAGACCCAGCAAGAACTAGTTAGACCCGACGGACCCAGCTAGTCCCAGTTAGACCCGACAAACCCAGCTAGTCCCTGTTAGACCCGACAGACCCAGCTAGTCCCAGTTAGAGCCGACAGACCCAGCTAGCCCCAGTTAGACCCGACAGACCCAGCAAGAACTAGTTAGACCCGACAGACCCAGCTAGTCCCAGTTAGACCCGACAGACCCAGCTAGTCCCAGTTAGACCCGACAGACCCAGCAAGAACTAGTTAGACCCGACGGACCCAGCTAGTCCCAGTTAGACCCGACAAACCCAGCTAGTCCCTGTTAGACCTGACGGACCCATCTAGTCCCAGTTAGACCCGACAGACCCAGCTAGTCCCAGTTAGACCCGACAGACCCAGCTAGTCTGAGTTAGACCCGACGGACCCAACTAGTCCCAGTTAGACCCGACGGACCCAGCTAGTCCCAGTTAGACCCGACAGACCCAGCTTGTCCCAGTTAGCCCCGACAGACCCAGCAAGAACTAGTTAGACCCGACATACCCAGCTAGTCCCAGGTAGACCCGACAGACCCAGCAAGAACTAGTTAGACCCGACTGACCCAGCTAGTCCCAGTTAGACCCGACAGACCCAGCAAGAACTAGTTAGACCCGATGGACCTAGCTAGTCCCAGTTAGACCCGACAGACCCAGCAAGAACTAGTTAGACCCGATGGACCCAGCTAGTCCCAGTTAGACCCGACAGACCCAGCTAGTCCCAGTTAGACCCGACATACCCAGCTAGTCCCAGGTAGACCCGACAGACCCAGCAAGAACTAGTTAGACCCGACTGACCCAGCTAGTCCCAGTTAGACCCGACAGACCCAGCAAGAACTAGTTAGACCCGATGGACCTAGCTAGTCCCAGTTAGACCCAACAGACCCAGCTAGTCCCATTTAGACCCGACAAACCCAGCTAGTCCCAGTTAGACCCGACAGACCCAGCAAGAACTAGTTAGACCCGACAGACCCAGCTAGTCCTGGTTAGACCCACGTAACCCTTACTATACCAGATAGAACATGTCAGACCAAGCAAGACCTACCCAGTCCCACATAAGCTTAATTAGTCCCAGCTGGATCCAGCTTGACCCAACTAGGCCTAGAGTATCAGACAGCCCTACCTTCAATGTTCAAGTCAGCCGTGGTCTTGTCTGAGCCACAGTCACAGGTGTACGCTCCGATGTTGGCCTTCTCTGCCTTACGGACTGTCAGGATTCTCTTCTTCCCATCAGAGCTGATGGTGATGTTCTTGGATGGAGTGATCTCATTCCCATCCTTAAACCATTTGACATCGGCAACAGCTTTGCTCAACTCACAGACCAGCTTCACTTCATCTTTCTCCACAGCGGTGTAGTTCTGCAGCTTGCTAGTGAAGTACAGATCACCTTCTGTAGAAGTAGAAACCTGGTTTGAGTCAGAACATTTTCAAATTTCTGGGTATCTAACGGGAGCTCAAAGGGACACTGACCTATGACGGTAAGCATGGCTGTTAGGTTCTTGTCCATGGCCTCCACTTTGATCATGGATGTGTCATCAATGGTGACCTCTTTAAAGGCCAGTGTGTGGACCTTTCCTTGATCCGACATGTGCACCACCTTACTAGGATGCAGACGGACGTCATTCTTGTACCATACCACTGAGATGTTGTCGTGAGACAGTTCCACGCTGAACTCAGCAGTTTCACGCTCCTTCACCGTCACGTCTTTAATGGGCTTGATGAACTCCAGACGAATACCTGGTATGGGAACAACAAGTTAACCACAGAGCTTTAGCAGTAAACCTACCGAGTTTGAAATCAAACCAAACATGTTCTTAAATAAAACACCTTGAATAACAAGTTTGCCCATTGTCCTCTTGTCCTCGGCCTCAAACATGTACTTGGCCTCATCTTCATAAGCAGCTGCCTGGATCACCAGAGCGTACATTTTTCCCTCTTGGATCATCTCGTACTTGTCGTCACTCGTCAGCTCCTGCGAGCCTTTCAGCCAGCGGAAACCTTTGGGGGTTCTGGACACCTCCAGCTCAAATCGGGCCTCATCCTTCTCATAGACCTGAACGTCACTGAGTGGTGTCAGGAAGCTCAGAGGAAGTTCTGCAAAAAGAAGTAGTAAAACACATGGTCAGGGATAGAGACTAAACCAGGGCTATTCCTGGAGGGCCAGTCTCCAGCAGGTTTTACTTTTAACTGCTTCAACTCACCTGATTTCAATCAGTAGGTGATTAACAGGCTTCTGCAGAGCCTGATGAGCTGCTGCACAGGTGATTCAACACTGAATCAGGTGTGTTGGAGCAGAGAAACCACTAAGACATGCTGGATGCCGGCCCTCCAGGAATAGAATTGAAAAGCCCTGCTCTAAATGGATCTGGGACTGTTCTGTAGGCAGGTGTCTCATTGCCTCCATTGTCCTCTTGTGATGCTTTCCATTGTTTAGCATGCAAAAGATCACGCCTTGGCAAACACTGAAGGCGGTTAACAGCCACATAGCCCCCTTCAGACAGGCCATGAAAAACGGAAATGTTCCGGAATCTGTCCGTAAGACCTTTCTGTCTGAATACAAACATCCGGATAACGTGTTCCAGAATTTATCCGGACGAAGCCCCTAGTAACAGGTCCGGACTTGTTACGGACAGGGTGGCTGCTTCAGACTGGTGAGGTAAAGTTCCGGACAAGAGGGAGGGGGAGGAGGAGGGAACCGGGGGACGCTGTGCGCACCTATATAGCCCGCTGCTGTAGAATGCGGCGAACCATGGCAGCTCGCCTCCTACGGTACCGCCTAGACGCGCGACGGAGCGCTTCACACCGCTTCAGTGATTCCTTTAACCATTGAGCTTCATCATCCAGGTCTCTTATGCATCTTCGTGTGCGCAGAATTATGCTTAAGAGCCTCGTGATTTTTATCTTGAGAGGCGCTATAGAAATGATATTTTCTTCTTCTTCTTCTTAACATAAGTCCGATTCCCCCCCCACCCCCCACCCCACCCCACCCCGCCGCCGTCAGACATCTGGAACTTTTCCCTTTTGCCCTCCAGCGTTGTGTGTGTGTGTGTGCTATTACCCCAGTCTAAGCAATAACATTCACGGGGCCTATTCCACACAACTTGGTTACTCAGGTGTGTGTGTGTGTGTGTGTGTGTGTGTGTGTGTGTGTGTGTGTGTGTGTGTGTGTGTGTGTGTGTGTGTGTGTGTGTGTGTGTGTGGCCTACAGCCTAGATAAGCTCTTCGAGGAGCATCTCGTACCCTTTTCCTCTGACTGGACATCTTCCTTCTAACTGAAGGTGAAGTCCCACTAGTTACACTGGTGTTTGTCTCACCCATCCCCGTGTGAGCGCAGCGAGCTTCAGCTGTGGCCACTCAGGGACCTTTTGGTGGTTTAACCCAGATCCAACCTCTTTAATGCCGAGTAACAACCAGGGAGGCATTGTTAAAGTCTTTGGTGTGACCCGACCGGGATTTGAACCCCGACCTCCCAGTCCCAGGGCGGATGCCCTACCACTAGGCCACTGAGCTGGTTCTACTAGATAATCTTTAAACTCAAGGCTAACTGTTTTGTTACTTCCTCATGTGTACTCTGCTTCATACGAATAGCTTTACCTTTGACCTTTAGGTTGGCAGAACACTTGGCATTGGCAGCAGCATATGCCACCTCTCCAGTCATGGACACCCTGCAGTTGTAGAGGATCAGTGTATGTTTGCCTCCCTCCTCAATGATGTCCACATCCTGTCACATGAATACAGTGAGTGTCACATGTCACATTATGACATAACAAAGGAAATGTTTGAAAAAAACAGCTGAACTCACAGAAGAAGGACTGAGCACATTTCCATTCAGCCTCCACTGGCCGTGCATATCATCCTCATTGATCTCCACCTCAAAACGAGCAGTCTCTCCATCAAACAGCTCCACGCCGTAGATTGGACGCACAACCTTCACATCCCGTGCTGGAAGGTCAGACACTTAGATTTACTCAAAGAGCTAACGAGGTGACGACAGGGTAATGGTGTATTATTTATTCCAAAACCTAGACAGCAGTTTTCTGATTTATAGGGAAATAAATACAAAGACGTCAGCATGACTCAGGATAAAATGGTTTCATTATTAATCAGCAAGAGGCTCTGGCTGGTAGCATTTGTTTGGGTATGAGAAAGAAATCATCTCATACTTTCTATTTTCCCTCTGAACTCCTCACATCAGACGTTTGCAGAAATATTCCTATAATCCAGCCTATGAACAAAATGTAAAACATTCATCAAAAACCTGATTGATAAAACATGCAGTGGATGGTGCGTACCCAGGTTCGTACCTAGCTACGTACCCAGGTGTGTATCCAGCTACGTACCCAGGTTTGTTACCAGGTGCGTACCCAGCTGGGTACCCAGGTTGGTACCCAGCTACGTACCCAGGTGTGTATCCAGCTACGAAACCAGGTTCGTACCCACTTGCGTACCCAGGTTCGTACCCAGGTGCATACCCAGCTGCGTATCCAGGTGCATACTGAGGTTCGTACCCAGCTGCGTATCCAGGTGTGTATCCAGCTACAAACCCAGCTGCGTACCCAGTTGAGTATCCAGCTGCGTACCCAGGTACGTACCCAGCTACCTACCCAGCTGCGTACCCAGGTTCATACCCAGCTGCGTACCCAGGTTCGTACCCAGCTGCGTACCCAGGTTTGTACCAAGTTACCTACCCAGGTGAGTACCCAGCTGCATACCCAGGTGAGTACCCAGCTGCATACCCAGGTGCTTACCCAGCTGCATACCCAGGTTCGTACCCAGGTGTGTACCCAGCTACGTACCCAGATGAGTGCCCAGGTACGTATCCAGCTGCGTACTCAGTTGAGTACCCAGCTACGTACCTAGGTACGTACCCAGATAAGTACCCAGGTACATATCCAGCTGCATTTTCAGTTGAGTACCCAGCTATGTACCTAGGTACGTACCCAGGTGTGTACCCAGCTTCGTACTCAGCTGCATACCCAGGTGAATACCCAGATGCGTACCTGGGTTTCAACTATTTATTACTTGTTACCCTCATTTTAAAGTAATTAATTACATTACAATATTAATGAATTTAAAATGTAAGGCATTACACTACTTGTGCATTACTTGAAGTAACTTTCACCAAAACAACTTCAATATGAGTTTGGTAATGTGACGTTCAGTGAACTCATGACACATCCAGAGGAAGGTGATGTGGTGTCTGAGCTAGGACTGCTGTTAAAACAGATTTAATAACAGTTATTTATTTAATAAAAGCAACAACAAACTGTACTCTCAGCACGCTGCCATCTTAGATTAACTGAGCAGGGAGTAAGGTGGTGGGGGCTCCAAGCCTATTTTGCTTGATACGGCCCTGGATGTGGGAGTGGCTTTTGAGGGTGATCTGATTCTATCACATGTATAAATATTAAATGCTTTTATATTATTTCTTTTCACTGGTAAAAATGTGTGTTGGGGATAAATCTACCAACCTTTTTTTCTTTTCAAACACTTTCTTTTGTTTTCTTGATTTTATTTGAATAATTTCCTGCCCTTTCTCTCTCTAACCTTCCTGCATGCTGCATCTTTTCTCTGTCTTCCATAAAAACTGTTTCCTACATTTCCTACTTTCTAACTAATCAGCCAAAGGGATCTACCGAATGCAACAGAAGCCTAATATGAGCGGCGCTCCAGCAGCAATGAGTTGAAATCACCGGGGCACAGATTATGAACTCAGCTGAGGCAAAGCACGTCAGAAAAGTACAGAAAGTACCAGAGAATATGGGCTGATTTGAACGATCGCATGTGAATTCTTTTGTTTTGGTAGAGCAATTTTGTGAATGTTACAGCGGCGGTGCGCAGGACGCAGCTGGACTATTTGAGCCATTACCGCTGCACCCGCTCTGCTCGTAGAATAACCACAAAGCTGAGCCCATAAATGACATCATATATGTGGATACTGGATCTTTTTTCAGGCTTCCCGCAGTTTGAATTTTTAAGAGACCTACATCTTGATTCTGGGTTTTAAAAAGCATTGTAATTACTGTTACTGACAACTGTACCGAGTAACCCATTATCTTTCCCTGTTATGCCTTAAATTACTAGCCTAGTGAACTAGACCAAATTCTTGCTTTGCAAAGTTTGGTCTAGGCACGCTCCATTGGAACCTCCGCAGCTCCTACCAGGACTCTGGCTGGCCAATCACAGCTCTCTAGAGGGGTTTCAAACACATAAAGAGCTGTGATTGGTCCATAATGGTGGGCCAATCATAGTGCTCTATCTGCTTAGTGAACAAATCACAGAGCTTTGTCCGCTTTGTGGGCCAATCAGGGCACTCTACATGCCTGGTGGGTGGGATGATGCAACAGAGTGAAACAAGAGTATGTCCCAGTCATTGTCCAGTGGAATGCAGACGGTAGAACCCGCCCCACAACCGAGAGCCGTCAATGGAGCATGGCCAGACTAAATAATACATTTATTTAGTCTGGCTTGCCAGGCTATTACATTACCACATTACAGCAAAAAGCAATGCATTACTAGCCTGGCGCGCACGCGCTTGTGTGTGCGCGCGTGTGTGTGTTAAGCCCCGGATCTTCTTCAGTCCTTAATCCACCCCTGGCTACAATGTCCAATTCCGGTGGTTCACAGGTGTCTTTTAAAAGTTTTAGCACCAGTTGTTTGATAAATAACTATTTAATGGGTAAAATGGTTAGTGGACAACTGAGACCTTCGGTGTAGCGGTTCCCCCATTCTACCACTAGATGCTGTTCCTATGCATGGTTTGAAGTTTTCTAATGTGTTAGGAACATTTCCACACACAGGTACAACATGATGAATACCACACAACGACTACATTAGTTCCTACACACAGACCTGTCTGTAAGTACAGCTGATAAACGAGGCCCCTGGTGTGTAACGCTGTACTGTGGAAGCAGGTTTGGTTAGGAATCTGAAGAACTGGGTCTCAACATTGTTTTATTCTCTAATACGAGGTAAATATGAATATCTTCTGGATTTGTTATAAATAATTAATGGTTACAGAACTTTAGGTGTTGCCTTGTTTATTTGCCATCCTTTTGTTTTAGTGGTTTGACCGCAGTGGGTTAGGTTGGTAAGAACCTTTTAGAGGTTTGCTGTTATAAATTTCAGCGATACAACTAGAGAGAGAAAAATAAAGTTGACCAGGTCTGACTTCAGAGGACAGACCATACTCAAATACGTACAGTAACGTATGGAAGACGTTGTTGGAGGACATCCTGCGTGTTAAAGTAAGATCTAAAGGTGTGGTGTTTGGTGAGTGGCTGGGGAAGTAGTGAGTGTACTAGAGTTGTTAACCATGGTTACCTTCGATGATGATGTTGGCTGAAGTTTTGTCCGTCCCACAGTCACATACATACTGGCCTTGATCGCCCTGGGCCACCTTCTTCAGGACCAGAGACCTGCGTGTGCCCTCTGACCTCATGACCACCAACTTGGAGGCAGTGATCTCTTTCTCACTGTGGTACCAAACAACGGGCACATCTTTGCTCAGCTCGCAGTCTAGCGTCACCTCATCTTTCTCAGTGGCGGTGTAATCCTGTAGCTTCACCACGAAGATGGCGTCGCCCTCTGCAGCAAGAGCAGGGTTAGAGGTCACGTGACAAATTTTCTCACCTGTAGGTGGACTTCATAGCCACACCCACCCATCAGCTGATACAGCAGGATGTTTAGTAATACAATCCTATGTGAGAAGGATCTCAGCCGTTACCTATGACTGTCAGTTTGGCCGTGGAGCAAACGCCTTTGGCCTCTGCCTTAATCTGGCAGGTATCATCTAGACTCAGCGTCCTCATTTCTAGAGAGTGTTTCTTTCCCTCCACATGTATGAGCACGGTTCTGCTCACGTGCAACTTCACTTCATTCCGGTACCAAACCACAGGCACGTTGTCGTGAGTCAGCTCAATATCAAAGCGCACAGCGTTACCTTCTTTAACGGTTTGGTCCTGAAGTGGCTGCAGGAACCTGAGCCTCATGCCTGGAACAAAGCGGGTCAGCACACACAGACAGCAGCATTTCAAGCCACAGACGGGGGAAACACCAAGTGTGGAGCATCTAAGTCACACCTACCTTCCACCATCAGCTGGGCGCTGGATCTCTGGCCTAGAACCTCTATGGTGTACTGAGACTCATCATCAAACTCACAGCTGTTAATGATCAGCATGTGTTTCCCTCCATCTTGGATTAGTTCATATTTGGGGCTAGACGTGATGATGTCCGCCCCTCTGAACCACATGACCTTTGTCACTTCCTTAGTGATGGTGCATTCAAACTTAGCCTGCTTCTTCTCAGGCACAGAAACATCCTTCAGAACCTCCACAAAGCCCATTTCGATTTCTGGGAGGTGTGGACAGTCCAACAGTTACTCAGAAAGCAACACAAAGCCAACACGTTTCTTACCATGTTTCTCCAGCATTGCTCCATGCCACCAGACAGATGGACCAACAAAATCCTCATGAGCTCTTAGACGGAACAAGTCCTACCTTTAACAGTGAGCATGGCGCTGGTCACTGCATTCAGAGCCTGATAGGACACTTCTCCAGCCTGGTCCAGCTGCACATTCTTCAGCGTCAGGAATCGCTTCCCGCCCTCAGCCTTGATGTCACAGGTCTGGAAGACCAAACAGAGGCTAGTTTTCACTGGGTCAGACTCCAGAGACTAGATCTGGGTCCAGAGATCTAAGCCTCTCATCAGGGAGGTAAACAAAGGTCTACATATGACTCCATCTCATCCCACCAAGACTACAGAACATCCTTCTCTACACCCCAAATCTGTTCCAACCCCCCACCCCCACTCCCATCAAGTGTGAACCAGGTCCAGCCCCCCCAAGCACTTTAACTGCATCCCTGGTTGCCGGTGTACTACACAGGTCGTGGTTAGTTAAACACACCGGAGTTCTGGCCAACACCTGGCCTCTCAGTTTCCACTCGCCCATCACATCTTCTTCAGAGATTTCAGTTTCAAAGTTGGCTTCCTCCTTCTCAACCACCTCCACACTGGTGAGGGGTTTCAGGACCTCCGCCTCTCGCTCTAGAACAAACACAAAGGGTCAGACTGCAAGACCTCCTGAGGTTGACTCCTTTCACCAGAGAGTTTCCATCCTCCCACCTCCCAGTGTGAGTTTGGCCGTGTATCTCCGATCCTCCACCTCTATGGTGTAGTCTGACACATCATCGGGTTGGCAGTTATTGATGGTGAGCATCACGTCCTTCCCGTCCTTGTTGATCTGGACCTTGTCAGACGGTGTCAGCTCGTTGTCTCCTTTCAGCCATTTCCAGTTGGGAGTGTCTTTGAACAGCTCACACTTGAACGTGGCTTTGGCCTTTGGTTTCACATGCTGGTCCCTCAGAGGTTTCACCAGCCAGTCCTTGATGACCTCTGGAGGGAGGGGACAACAACAGCGTTACATTCTGGGCCTTAGGGAGCTGCCAGTGAGAAAAGCCCCATTAATTATGTTTGTGGGGGAATTTCCCCGTTTTCCCGGTGTCCGGAGTTAGATTTTAAATGTGATTGGTGCTTCTTTTCCTTTTCTTCTATTCTGCTTCACCAGCAACTCTTCTCATTTTTTTAATGACGGTTGTTTTGGACGACACCTGCTGATGTAGTTTCCTACTGAGTTACAACCAATCAGCGTGAGTCAACCAAAAGCTTTGCTCAGCTGCTCCACCGGGCCGTTCGGACTACCTACCCCTGAACAGGTACACAGAAGGTTCCTGAAAACGGCCCGGTCAGCTGGAGACATTTGGTGAGGTTCCTGCAAATCTACCCTGAAGTTCTGGTAATGCAAAGGCAGCTACTGTGACCAAAGCTTTGTTCTGTAAGTGTTGGTATCTTTCCTTCTAAACACCCTATTTTTTAGTTCCAGGGATCAGAAAACAGGACTGAAAACAGATGTCAAGGTCTGTTTACCCGTAAGAGGATCAGCATTATACATTTAACCCATGAATAATGATTAAATCCAACGATTTAAATGTGAGGTAGAATACTACCCAATGTTGATTCTGGGGACGAAAGAAATTTCACATTTCTTACGTGAAATCTACTGAATGATGCTCAGATCCAGTGTTGCCAACTGTTTTTGACTGAAAGTAGCTGAAGTTCCCCCCAAAAGTCACTAGATGTCGCCAGATGACGTCACGTGCTAATTTACATATTGATGACGTCATCACACCACATTAGCGTTCGTTTTCCCCATAGCATCTAATATATATATATATATATATATATATATATATATATATATATATATATATATATAATAGGACCAAAAGGGAGGAAAATAAAAACTGTTACATGTTAAAGTTATTAATTAGTATGATTAAAATGGCCCAAATTGCTTTGATATGTACAATAAATTCCAAAACTAGCAATAAAGTGGCATTAAGACAGATATGGTGTGGTGATCCAAACAGTTCTGTTGTAGGATATAACTCAGACCTCCTGCTCTCCTCATTCTCACATTTTCCTAAAAAGCTGTTTTTTTTACACCTCATAGTTTCTCAACTTCTCTGTTGTGTATTCTCTCCATCGTGATAATAACGGCGCACCGAGCAAAAGGGAGCGGCTGTCTCATGGTATAACCATCCCTGTGTCACTGAAGGAAATTCAGATGAGCCACAGAGCTGCGTGTGTAAACGGGACGGTAGTTGAAACTCCCGATGACTGTATTTGCCAAATGCAGGAAAAACCAAAGTGTCTGACGGCTGCAGAACCAGAGATGGCAGGTTGACGCCCGCGCCGTCTCTAGTAGAAGCGTGAGCCTGCAGCAATATGAAAGCAGCAGACGTAAATCGGCGGTCTCCAGCTCTGCAGCTGTACTCTGTCTTCAGCGAATCAGACCGGCCGAAAACGGTTTATGATTGGTCAGTCCTCGTGCACATGCGCAGATTATCGTTCTCTTTCCTTACTCCCGGAAGAACGGTTCAGAGTGCAAACGGTTTCTTTGTTGCTAATCTGTGTGGAATATCTACAAGAAAGTTCTACAGAAAGTAGCACCGGGTCCTGAGAAATGTCGCTAAGTTTGTCGCTAGGCGCTTTTTGGGAAAAAAGTCGTTGAGGGGGGTCAAAAAATCGTTAGGAACAGTGACAAAGTCGCTGAGTTGGCAACACTGCTCAGATCTGCATGAATACTGTAAAAAACTATCTGGGGCAGCTAAGATTGTGCCCTATCTCCTTTAAGCCCAAAATAAAAGCTGTTGGTATGAAACTCACTCCAGTAGGTCAGAGTGCACGTGTGATATCTAAATGCATTTGTTGATGACTATGTCATTTTTTATAAAACCAAAATCTTTGTAGACTAAGATGCATTTTGTCCAAAAGACTAAAACTAAGATGGCTGCCAAAAACAACACTGGACCAGTCCAGGTGTAGCCCCACCTATGGTCTGAGGACTACTGAAGATAGGCCCAAACACAGCCACTGTCCTAACCCTAACCCTGGCCAACGGGACTTTAAATGCATGCTTAACTCGCTTTAGGCCCTGGCACCTCTAACGTGCGCAGACCCTGTCCTGAGCCTCGTCTTCAGGAGAACGGCCTGCAGACATCTCACCGAGCACTTTGATAGTGGTTGCAGTCCTGACATCCTCCTGGCCTTCCACCTCACAGCTGTAGACACCAGCGTCCTCTTCTGTGGCATTTTGAATGGTCACTGCCTGTTGCATCCCGATGATGTTAATGGCCACTTTTCCTGCCTTCTTCTTCAGAACTTCTCCGTTCCGCTTCCAGACCACGTCTCTCTCTTTGTTCAGCTCACAGGTCAGGTACATGGGCTGACCCTTCATACATGTCGTCTCCGGTTCCAGCTCCTTCAGCCACTTAACAGGCAGCTCTGTGTTCAACAGAAACAGTTTCAAAAATGACTCATGGACCCTAAATTAGAGCATTTTTAGCAACTACCCACTTTTTACCAAATGTAAGAAATTCCTCTTTACCTTCCACGATCAGCTTGGCGGTGCATGTAATCTCCTTGCCAGCATTCTTAGCCACACAGGTGTATTCACCCGTGTCAGACAGCTGGACATCAATGATGTGCAGCTTACGGTCTTTACCATCAGAGGTGAACTTGTGTTTGGGACCTTCACGCAGATTACCACCATCTTTCATCCAGGAAGTGATGGCGGTGGAGGGTGACACCTCACACTCAAACACAGCAGAGGATCCAATGGACTCGGCCTCCTGTAGAACAATGTCCTGAATCTTCTTGGTGAACTTCAGAGGGACAGCTTTGAGTTTGAATCCTCCAAATGGTTCCTCAGGTGGTGATGGTCCTTTACCACCAGGCCTCTGGCCCCGCCCTTTACCACCATCACCTGGAGAAGGTGTCTGCCTCGCTGCAAAATTAGACCAACAACTATCTAGTTAGTTTCAGATGAGTGCTGGGTCACACACTCACAATTAAAGACAAAACAAAGCTTCATATCCATCCTAGAAAGATTCTAAAACTTAAAGATGCTAAAAATGTTTTCATAAAGAGAAAAAAACTATAACAACACATGAAAAACAATGGAGAGCATCTGGAGTTCGTGGGACAGAAACCAACAAGGTTAAGGTCTTCTACCCCTGCGTCCTCACCTCCAAACCCTCGGCCTCGGCCTTTTGCTGGCTCTTCTGCTGGTTTTCCATCTGAACAAGAAACAGAAAACCTGTTTTAAACTTCCATGGAAGACAGCTCAGTGAACACCAACCAAACCAAAGATTTTCTAGCAAACAGTAGAATAACATAATCTACAGCACCAAGGACAGACAGACAGTGCATGAAGAAGATGAAAGATGAAACAAGATGACTGAAAGGACATCTGAACACAACAACGAGTCTAAAGATGTTGGAAAATCTCCACTCAGACATTCAAGACTGATGAAATGTTCATGAGAAGGTCTAATATGAAGGCAACAGCAAATAGGTAAATGAAAGATAGGTGGATGGACGGATGGGCTGATGATGGACAGTTGTATAGATGGAGGAACCAATGGATGAAATAATGAAAGAAGTGATGAGGATTAGATCATCCAACTGAGATGGAATGAGAGGATTTCACACTCATTGGTTTGGAGATATTGCTGGTCTTCAGCTCACCTCGTCTGGCACCAGGCATACCCGGAGTTTCCATTGCCCCCATCACTTCTTCACTTTCCCAGTCCTCTGGGGGAATGAGTTCCCAGCCCCAGGCCTCGTCTTCAGTTTCCTCAGTCTCCTCTTCAAAAACTTCCTCCTCAGGCTGAGTTGTCACCCTTTTAATCAGTGCAGCACCAGGGGGGATCTCCTTCACCAGAAAGATCCCATCTACTTCAGATTCCTGCTGGACTGTATGCTTTTGAGTTACCATTCTGGGCATAATACTCTCTGGGGAGTCTTTGGGGGAAACAACTTTGGGAGACCCTTTGATCTCTTCACCACATGGCTTCTTCTCAGTCTCCTCAACACTTGGCTTATCAACCTTTGATGAAAAGGTCTCTTTGGACAATGGGGTCTCTTTGGGTGATGGGGTCTCTTTGGGCGACAGGATCACTTTGGGGGATGGGGTCAGTTTGGGCGACGGGGTCTCTTTGGGCGACAGGGTCACTTTGGGCGATGGGGTCAGTTTGGGTGATGGGGTCTCTTTGGGCAACGGGGTCTCTTTGGGAGACAGGGTCACTTTGGGCGATTGGGTCTGTTTGGGCGACGGGGTCTGTTTGGGCGACAGGGTCTCTTTGGGCGACAGGGTCTCTTTGGGTGATGAGGTCACTTTGGGCGATGGGGTCTGTTTGGGCGATGGTGTCTGTTTGGGTGATGTGTCTGCTTCATTTGCTGGGATTACCCTTTGTTGTCCTGGAGAACTTAGACTGTTGTCTGGACTTGCTGGCTTCTCCAGCCCTTTAGGTTTATCTGTTTCATATGTGATCATCTTCTCAACTTTCTGACAGCTCTTTAGGTCTTTGGTTATCTCCTCTCTTAGGGATTGTCTTGGCACTAAAGGTTTTATTTTCACTTCCTGCGGTGCATCTTCTGGCATGGTGGTTTTGGTGAGAGTCTTCAACACACTCTGGTCCTTCTTTTTATGTCCTGAGGGTTCAGCTTTAGGCCATCCTTTCAGCTTGTCAGCTGCAGAAGATTTAGCCTCTGATACCGTCTGTTGTGGAAATGTTTCCTGTGGAGTTCTGCTGACATCTGGAGATGTAACGGCACTCGTAAGAGCCACATCTTTAGGTTTCCCAGTCTTCCTGTCGACTGTAGGTTGCTCTTTGATCATTTGACCAATTATGAAGGGATGATGATCCATCTCTGCCTTTGGTTGGACTTTGTCTTTAGCCTTCGGTGGTTCAGCTGGTTCTTGCTTTGGAGGCTTTTCAAACGGTTTCAGTGTCACTACTTCTTGTCCTCCTTTTTTTAGCAGTTGTTTTATTTTCCTTGTAGTAAAATCTGGTTCAGGTTCTTTATCCTTGTTTGTTTTAATTGTTCTGATCCATTTGGACTTCTCCTCAGGCTCTAGCCCTTTGGACTCCTCCATAATGTCCAGTTCAGATGCCCCCTCAGGTGCAGTAGAGACTTTTTCAGGTCTTCTGGTTGTGGTTATATCTGGAGCCTCTTTACGCTCCAGCATCTGAACTGTTGGTTTAGCTTCGGTTTGCTTTTTCCTTTCAGCTTCAATCACTGATACGTTATTTTCAGGGACTTTTGGATTGCTCGGAACGTGTTTCAGTTGGACCATCTGAGGCTCTGGTTCTGATCTGTCAGATTTGTCGATCGGTTTCAGTCTAACAGATTCTTTTTGCTCACATTCATTCAGTAGTTTAGTGATTTTGTTCTTATCAACATCTGAAGCTTCTTCGGTCCGTGGTTTCAGGGTTCTCGTCCACCCTTCACTCTCTGTTTTCTGTGACACTTTAAATACTCTTGTCTCCTGGGACTGGGACAGCTGAAAGGTTTCCTGCTCTGCAGTGAAGATCTGTTCAGTTCTTTTGAGGGCCGTGATCTCTCGGTCATCTCTATCATGAAGTGTGTGGACCCAATGTTCTGGAACATGATGTCTTGTTACCTCAGCTTTGTGTGTTACCACTTGTTTCTCAGGTTCTGGAGGAGTCACTGGAACCTTCTTCAGCTTGATGACCTCTGGTTCTGGTTCTTTGTGGATTTTAGTGAATTTACTCTTTAGTTTAGGCAACTCTGTTTCACCATTTTGTTTAAACATTGCCACTGTGGTTAAAGGAGTAGAGAAGTCTTTAGAAACAACCAGAAACAAATGTGTTGGAAACAATGATTTGAGGTTTTTTACACCAAAGAAGACAGAAGAGGAGATCCCACAGGTTAGGAATCACTGTTTACAACAAAACTTTGGTGGCTGAACTATTGAAAAATAAAAGTCTGCGATACCTTTAGTTGGTCCAGGAGCTGAAACTGGTTCCTTGTCTGTAAGAATTTAAATCAGACCATCGTCAGTAAAAACTGAGACTTCAATCAGGCGTGGAATAACTTTAATCAAGAATCCTTTCCTCTGGTTGTGCCCTATGTTGAATAAAGACACTAAGGAGTTGTTAAATTAACTAGTCCTTGTTGTTAGTGCAATAGCTCCAGACAGAACTAGGAAACAAACACTGAAGATTAAAACAGACAGAAAAATCTCCCAAAACATGAAATAGACAGAAAAGAAAAAGGAAAGGCAGTACCTTCAGGCTGAGGGGTTTGCTCTGACATGGTGGGAGGTTCAGTCTTTACATGAAGTTCCTTCTCCTCCTCTGTAGCTGGAGCTACAAGAATGCCAATAAGATTAATACACTGGCATAGATCTGGACAACAAGCCACTGTACAACACATCACTGCTGCTGCAAACCAACAGATGGGACAGAAACACAAGAAACTACCTGTGGGTGGGACTACTTTCTCTGCTGGAGGCTTTGTTGGTGGTAGAAATGGTTTCTTCTCCTCTGGAGGAGACACTTTGGAGTAAAAGATGGCAAAAATGAAGAACCAGGCAAAAGTTGAGCAAGTGACAACACATTATAGGACAGAAAAACATCTCAACTGAAGAAAAAACAGAAACAAGCCCAGAGGACTTAGACTGAAACACTACCTGCAGGGGGAGTAACTCTGGCTGCAGGAGCTGCATGCTTTAGAGATGGTTTCTTCTCCTCTGCAGGAAATAAATAATAATAATAATAATAATAATAATAATAATAAGAAGAAGAAGAAGAAGAAGAAGATCACACACAGCAGCAAGGTCACATTTAAGCTGAAGAGACTGCAGGAGAACACCTCCCACAGACACAAACAAACTAGAGGTTTATAAGAATATCAACAAACAAGAGAAGAAAACTACCTGCTGGAGGAGAAACTTCCTTTGTGGGAGCTGCAGGAGCAGCAAGTGCTGCAGGAGCAGCAAGAGCTACAGGAGCAGCAGGAGCAGTAGGAGCAGCAGGAGCTACAGGAGCTGCAGGAGCAGCAGGAGCTGCAGGAGCTACAGGAGCAGCAGGAGCTACAGGAGCTGCAGGAGCAGTAGGAGCTGCAGGAGCTACAGGAGCTGCAGGAGCTGCATGAGTATCAGTGGGTGAGGGCTTTGGTACGGGTGCAGATGGTTTCTTCTCTGGAGGTGATACATTGGGGATATAACACACTGAGTAATGAAGAAGACACACTAAGACTGGTCATCAGAAATCAACAAACATTAGAACAACACCACAGAAGTTTCTGGACACAAAGACCAACAGACCAGTACAGATCACCAAAGACAAAAAAAACTATTACTACCTGCAGGAGGAGAGACCTTCATTTTGGCAGGGGGAGGAGGTGGTGAAGGCTTTAATATTGACGCTGGTTTCTTCTCCTCTGGAGGAGACACTTTGGAGATAAAAGATGCCAAGATCACCACTAAGAAAACATGGCTAGGGTTTACCCCTAACCCTAGGTAAGAACAAACAGGAGAACCAGATAAAGACTCCAAACAGAACCAACAAGCAAGCAACAGTAAGGACGTGACCCAGTAAAAGATGGATGACTGTCTCTTGGGACAGCATGAAGATGAAAGCAACAGACTAAAAAACATCCAGTTAAAAGAACGTCTCAGGACAACCCTGAAGAATATGTTTGCTAGGTGTCAGGGCCTTTGCTGCCTCTTTCAAGTTGTGGTCTTCTCCTGTTGGAGGATCTGCTATAGCTTCTTGGAGATTTGGATGATCAGGATTTTTTTCATTTAGTGAGTGAAACACACTCAAGGGTTGGAGCAGTCTTCTGTTAGACGTCTTCTAACAGGAACGGATGTAGCTTTAGAAACCGGCTCCCTGGTGACGACTGCTCTGTGTGAAGTTAAAGCTGTTGGATCTGTCTCTGATGGTGGTGGTTCTTTCAAACCAACACATTTTCAGGTGAAGAACCACAGCCTTCCTGCATCTGAACTATTCCTTCTTCCATTTGTTGGGGGTGAACTGGGACAAACCATCCAGGAAGTTGTCTTTGCTTTGTGAAAGATAGATAAAAACCAGCACCTCAGTTTTCTTGGAGTCTTCTTTTTTGGTCTTGATCTTGTTCTTCAGAGGACTTTTTTCAGGTTGCGTTGAAGGAAGATCAGCCTTGTGCAGAGGTGGAAAACCATTGCTGCCAGTCAAGCCCAACTCTTCCTCAACAGCTTTTTGTCCATTTGTTTACTGGAGTTGTATTCTAGCGGAGTTGGTTCAATGAGCTTTAAAAGTTCAGATAAACTAGTTTGATGGTCTTAATGAACCATCTGAAAACATCATCTACCGTTGGTATTGGCTATGTTTGGCCCTCTGTACACAGCTCTTTTTGACAGCCAGCCCCTTCGGTCCCTGATTGTCCTCTTGTTCGAGTCCAGCATCAGCATTAAGAAAAGACTTCCTTCCTTCAGCCATAACTCTTCTTGTCTGAACTACAGCCTCCAAAGGAACTGGACTATGTTGGAAGACATCTTCAAATGCTGAAGAATCACACGAAGAGGTGACCAAGAGTAAGACACCACATGCAGAAAGACACCAACAGATTTAAGTGTGACTCAAACTATTAATATTATCAAACTTCATCTCTCTGCTGCAGATCTCCCTGGATCACACAGATCTGGTTCAGCTAAAAGGAAACTGGAAAACTGGGCCAACCCTTCAAGAAGAAGTTAGTGAATAACAAAGACATTGAACTCTAGACAGCTGACGGCAGGTGTCTCTTACATTTAATAATGTAACACATAACAGCCAAAAGACGTGACAAGACACAGATCTGCTAAGTCTCACGACTAATCAGAAGATCAACACCAGCAAAGATTACTCAAGAGGAAGTCAGGGTATCTACCTTGTTGCTGAGGATGTCGTTGCAAGTCCGGTGGAGGTGTTGATGCCCTGCCAGCTGGTTTCTTTCTGACTAATATTGAAGCTTCTTGCTCTTTCTTCAGCTTCACTGGTGGGTCAGCTGAAGTCTTTTCTGGATCTTCCGTAATCCTAGCTGTTTCTTCTGCAATCTTCTTTGGAATATTGGAAGCCACCATTGGTGTTTCAATAACCAACTTTTGGATCTCTGAATCCCCTTTTGGGATTTCTTGGACCATATTTTGGGCTTCTGAAACTTTAGTTGGAGTCTCAGGAATCACCTTAGGTGCTTCAGAAGCTTTCATTACTGTTTCAGAAACCACCATTTGAGTTTCAGGAACCACCTTCGGTGTTTCAGTAACTTTCTTTGGAGATTCTGGTACCACCTTTGGTATCTCAGGAAGCACCACTGAGGTTTCAGGAATCACCTTTAGTGTTTCTGGCACCACTTCAGGTGTTTCACATACTTTCACTGGTGTTTCAAGAACTTTCTTTGGAGTTTCTGGTACCACCTTCGGTGTTTCAGGAACCACCTTTGGTGCCTTTGGTGTTTCAGGAACCACCTTTGGTGTTTCTGGTACCACCTTTGGAGTTTCTGGTACCACCTTTGGTGTTTTAGGAACCACCTTTGGTGCCTTCAGTGTTTCAGGAGCCACCTTTGGTGCCGTTGGTGTTTTAGGAACCACCTTTGGTGTTTCAAGAACCACCTCTGGTGCCTTTGGTGTTTCAGGAACCACCTTTGGTATTTCTGGTACCACCTTTGGAGTTTCTGGTACCACCTTTGGTGTTTCAGGAACCACCTTTGGTGCCTTTGGTGTTTCAGGAACCACCTTTGGTGTTTCTGGTACCACCTTTGGTGTTTCAGGAACCACCTTTGGTGCCTTTGGTGTTTCAGGAACCACCTTTGGAGTTTCTGGTACCACCTTTGGTGTTTCAGTAACCACTTTTGGTGCCTTTAGAGTTTCAGGAAACACCCTTGGTGTTTCAGGAACCACCTTTGGTGTTTCTGGTACCACCTTTGGTGTTACAGGAACTACCTTTGGTGTTTCTGGTACCACCTTTGGTGCTTCTGGTACCACCTTTGGTGTTTCAAGAACCACCTCTGGTGCCTTTGGCGTTTCAGAAACCACCTTTGGTGCCTTTGGTGTTTCAGGAACCAACTTTGGTGTTTCTGGTACCACCTTTGGTGTTTCAGGAACCACCTTTGGTGCCTTTAGAGTTTCAGGAAACACCCTTGGTGTTTCAGGAACCACCTTTGGTGTTTCTGGTACCACCTTTGGTGTTTCTGGTACCACCTTTGGTGCTTCTGGTACCACCTTTGGTGTTTCTGGTACCACCTTTGGTGTTTCAGGAACCACTTTTGGTGTTTCTGATACTACCTTTGGTGTTTCTGGTACCACCTTTGGTGTTTCAGGAACCACCTTTGGTGCCTTTAGAGTTTCAGGAAACACCCTTGGTGTTTCAGGAACCAACTTTGGTGTTTCTGGTACCACCTTTGGTGTTTCAGGAACTACCGTTGGTGTTTCAGGAACCACTTTTGGTGTTTCAGGAACCACCTTTGGAGTTTCAGGAGCCTTCTTTGGTGTTTCAGTAACCTCCTTCCATGAATGTGGAACCGTCTTTGTCTTTCTCGATATGTTTTTAAGATCTTGAACATTTCCAGGCGACTCAGTAATCTGACTAGCTGCTTCAATAAAATCCTTTAATGTTTCTTGAAACGTTGGTTCTTCTAGTTCTGTTATAGTAGTGTTCCATAGAACGTCTTGGTCATGTTTAGCAACCACCAGGTCCAGTTTTCCAGAAAGCTGTGGTGTCTTTGCTTCTGGGAAGAATATGTATAAGATAATTATCTTGTCTGAAAGAAGTGAAGCCACACTCTAGCGAGTGCTCACAGGCAGTAAGGTTACAGCAAAACGCATAAGAACAAGCATGTTACTAGAAGAACATCTTCAGTACCTTCAATAAGAGAAGCTCCGCTGGTTGGTGCAGTACCTTTGGCAGATGATTGGACTACAGGCCTCTCAGGTCTGGGGACCTCTTGGACTTAGGAGAAAAAGACGATTTGTTTAATCCAAAAGCAACAACCAATAAATAAAAGATGAGCTCCTAAGCAGTGAATTCATGCAGGAAAAAAAAGTGGAGTTTGAAAGACAGCGATCAGAGTTTTCAGATAATCTGGGTTCTGATTCTGATGACTGAAGTATAGGGCCTTCTGTCTGTTCTGGTTCTGGTGGAACATCTACCAGCTTAGAACCAAATCAGACATTAAACACTCTGCCAAGTGAGTAAACCAGGAAACTTGATCACCAGATCACAGGAAACAGGATTTGGTGGTCCAGAACCTGTAGATAAGATCTAATGTGTTGAAGAGGACTCAGAGACAAGATGGGTGGTGGCTTCTTGCACTTTGGAGAACACATACAAGATGTTCATCTTTCCACCATGCTAATCACACATTTTTAGTGTCATTAGTTTTTGGTAAATGAAATGGGGCCAAGTTAGTAGTAGGACACTTGAGGACAACACTTGCAATGTAAACGATCTCAGCAAGAGTTGGTTTTCAGAGTTAATCATGTTGGTCACTGATGTGAAGCACATCCTTTACCTCTTGCTTCAGCAGCTACTGGGCTGGTCTGGGTAGGTTCTGCTTCTAGTCCTTTGGGTACTTTGGGTTCAAGTACCACAGGTTTTACTTTGACTGTTGGTGTAGGAAGATGAGGTTCAGGAAGAACCTTTTTCACAACTTCCTGAGCCTCAGGTGCTGGTTTGGTGAAAATGTTAAAGAGAAACACTAAAGTCACAATAAGGAGACCATAAGAGCTTAAGAGTTTCAGAGGAAAAGATCAGTCAGCCGACTGACAGGTAAGAAGCCATTAAACAGGTAACCAGTCAGCTGACTCAGTGTCGAGACAGGTAAGCAGGACCACGCAGGTGTTTCAGCACTGTAACAGTTCAACACTGAGTTTACAGTCAAGGCTAAACCTAACAGGGAAACCAGGTTCATCAGTTTTATTTAGAAGCTAAAGTACAAAAGTTCAAGACTGATTTTCTGTTTCTAAACTAAATTTTTCTTTCCGAAGACTAAATAACCTGTAAATATCAACAGAGCACAACTGGTCTATTAGCAACCATGTTTCTACGCAGGCTCCTGTGACCTGCTGGTACTTCTGGTTCCACCAAAGAGCCTCAGAACAGGTCAGGGGTAAGGTTGTCTACGTTACCTTGTGGAGCTGCAGGTGGTTCCTGCTGCGGAGGAGCCGTGACGCTGACGCCCAGTGTTGTCTGCTTTGCATCAGCTTCTTCAAGACATATTAATGAAGTAGAGTTCTCTCATCACACACAATCATTTGATTTGGGACACAAACATTTAGACAAGACACAAAAACAAATGGTAATGATGGAAAAAGTCTGGGATTTAGATACCTGAAACTGCAGGTGGGGGCAGAGCCTCACGTTTAGAGGGTTTCTCCTCGGCTCGCCTGTTAACCTCAGGAACTTAAAAAGATGAAGAAAGTTTGAGTTAAACGCTTTTGGCCACGCTCTACTCTACTGCGCAGGATGCTCTGGTCTGGGTTAATAAGAGCAGAAGAGGTGAAGCAGGTGAAGAACAGGAACTTAGAGATTTACCACAGACACACGTAGAGAGCCTAATTCAAAAAGTAAAAGCTGTTAACACACTGGGACACACAGAAGAGTCCAGAACAAACACAAACTAGGCGTTAGAGTGAAATCAAAGCTTGTAAAAGCAGCAGGTGTCAGTTAGTAGGTTGGTGGCTTGGATACCTGATGGGATCTCCTCTCTGACTTCAGTCCTCTCAATCCTTTCTTCTACAGCTTTTCTCTCCTCTGGAGGAAAAAAATGTAGAGAAAAGCCTCAGACACTAGCAGCAAGTCTCCAACAACAGGAAGTCTCCATTAACCTGGGAAGTCTTCTAATCACAGGAAGTCTCCAACAACAGGAAGGCCTATCTCAATACTCACACTGCTCCCTGCAGTCTTCAGCAAAGGGCACTTGGAGAAAGTGTGCAGTAGGGTTCGAGTGCGTAGTACACAAGTGTGCAAATAATTGCCGAATTGAGACAGGTAGCATCGAGCCATCAATAGCAATGCATACCGTGATGCTGTGATACGTTTTAAAAACCTTTACGAACAACTTTAAAACTAACAACAAAGCAATTATTTGAAATAACTACAGATGTAGTCGTGACAAAGTTAACACTTTTGCTGCCAAAGAGCTGCTAAAACAGTGCAGCAGGACTGGCAAATGTTTGCACTATTACTGGCTGAAAGACTCCGCCTGGCGAGTGGAAACGGCCCTCTTACAGGCATTTTGTTGCATTTGTACAACCGTCAAACTATCCACGAGGGGGCGCAGCAGCACAAAAGCTGGCGTAACACTGTACCTGTGAATGACATCACAGGCAATCTGCGGAGGGGCAAACGAAACATTGTTCTCCTGCTTTTGTTGTGCAAACACACCAATTACCAGTGCTCTTTGGCACATTTACATTTATTTACTCAGCCTTTTGGCTAAATTCCATGAGATCCCAGATCTATGTGACTCAAACTTTATGCTATAAAAAACAGCATTCCATCAATTCAGCATTCAGTTGCTGAGAACCACACCACTGAAACATTTTAACACTCACTTATTTCTAGATTACTAAAACCAGTCATTTGGGGCGTGCCCTGGACATGTCGCTAGTCTATCAGCACTGTTATAACTTTCTGTTATTTTCATTTTTATTTTCATCTTCGAGGGGATCATGGACAAGACGTACTTCCAGAATGAAATTATCGCAAAATGTGCCGCGCCATTTATAAGTGCACGTTTTGGTTCGAACCACCGCTTTTTTCAGGGCAATGACGCAAAACAGACAGCATCTGCAGCTTTCATTGCCTCCAAAGGGATTAACTGGGTTAAAACCCCACTAGAGTCCCCAGACTTAAACCCAATCGAGCTCGTCTGGCATCTAATGAAGGACTTCATTCGCAAAGAGGCTAAACCGGGCACAAAGCAAGAGCTTATTCAAGCTATTACGACATTCTGGACAAGCAAACTGACCCAGGAAACGTGCAACAATCTCATCACAGGTCTCCACAAAGTCCTTCGACTCGTCGTAAGCAACAGAGGTGGGCATACCGGAAAATGACCTGTTCCTCAGCTTCTCTTTGGAATGTAAAAACCACAAAGAAATGGAAAAGTGACTCCTTAAAAAAATGGCATTTTAGGCCTATTATTATGTACATTCAAGCAGCTTTTTCCTATTTTTGTTTTTCCTGTTGAGGAATAAAATTTTTTTTTTAATCTGAACCGAAATAGAGCATTATTTGTTTTACTGTAATCCACCAAGTATGAGCGAAGCTCATCGTGTTCCCTGTTGTTGACGAATGTTAGCAGTAAGTGCTGAGCAATAAACTTTGAATACTTTCCTCAGTTGAGAGCCGTTGTTGTCCTTTGTTAGAAAACAACTGATTAGCAATGTGAATAATGCAAAATTACTAAACCTTTTGTATAGCATGCTCTGCAGAGCTACATGCTACAGCTACATGCTAAAGTATACTAGCCTAGTGAACTAGACCAAATTCTTGCTTTGCAAAGTTTGGTCTAGTCATGCTCCATTGAAAACTCTGCAGCCCCTACCAGGACTCTGGCTAGCCAATCACAACTCTCTAGAGGGTTTTCAAACACATAAAGAGTTGTGATTGGTCCATAATGGTGGGCCAATCATAGTGCTCTATCTGCTTAGTGAACAAATCACAGAGCTTTATCAACTTTGTGGGCCAATCAGGGCACTCTACATGCCTGGTGGGTGGGATGATGCAACAGAGTGAAACAAGAGTATGTCACATTCATTGTCCAGTGGAATGCGGAGATCATTTGAAAGACAACGGTAGAACCCGCCCCACAAACGAGAGCCGTCAATGGAGCGTTGCCAGACTAAATAATACATTTATTTTTTCTGGCTTGCCAGGCTAAAAGTATACAGTACAACAGAGTGCATGACCTGCATGTCATTAGGCTGTTATTGAGCTGCAGAATTGAGAATCAGGAGCTGGACAACTCAGGACAGCAGAGGGCGTAGCGCTGTTCTGGGGTATTCTGTCATGTATTCGGTCCAGGATAGTGTATTTACTATTGTGTTTTTTGTATTTAAGAGACGTTTTAACAGACACATTTGTCTCTCATTCTCCTCCACCTCTTCGTGTGCTCACCACCTCTAAGCCGACGTTTACCATCATTTCCGTCCACGGATTAAATGCTTGCTGTGTACATTTTCACTCCTCCAGTCACAGGTGAGTAACATTTATATATTTCGTTTTTATGCGAGGATTCTTCGAGCTGCTCCGTGTCTGTCGCTAGATATCCTTGGCTCTCTGTGTTTTTGAGGGCACAATGGTGGCGCTGTTGACGACAGCAGCGTGCTGACCAGTCACAAGAATGCGATCCCGGTCTCTTTCAATGGATAGTTAAAATTTGGGGCATGTCTCCATCTTACTCCGTAAGCCTGTTGCGTTGACGCATAATAGCGTTGCGTCTGTCCATCCCGACGCAGACGGAGAAGTATAAAATAGGCTTTAGTTACGGTACTGGAGCCAGATGTCAGCCATATGTGTGCCTTTATTAAATCACGCAAAAAAATAAATGCACATAATTTATATGAAAAACACAACAGTGACACCTGAAACAGCACAGGATTCTACCCCCACAAGAACAAAGACAGGTCACTCTGAAGGACTTTAGCAAACGACCGTTTTTGTTCTGTAAAAAGGGCCGTTACTGGCGCGTCACAGGAGGGGCACACTGGTTTTACCTAACTGGCACATTTGCATCAAAGATCTTCATCAACCCGGTCTGTGACAAGATGGCGCCTGTGCTTGGCTTAGCCGCAGTCATGGGCCACTTTTTCTAACTTTTCTCCACTAACCTCCTCTTTTCCACCTTGCTCCTGTCTCAGCTCCTCTTCAGTCAACACATTCTCACACCCAACGTGTCAAAATATGACGCGTGTGACCAAGTGTCAATATTTGACGATTCGGGGTGCCCTAGCGCGTCAGGAGACAACGATCAGGGACACGTGGCTCCGCTGGCGTCAGTGTTTGACGCCCGCGGTCACACGGACATTATTCGACTATTTAACCTTTCCCTCACCCCAATCCTAACCTTAAGGTCAGTAACTGTGACCTTAAGGTTAGGATCGGGGTGAGGGGAAGGTTAAGTAGTTCACAAGTCGTTCAAATGTCCGTCTCACCACCGGCGTCGGATACCGATGCTCTGGGACGGTGCATCATCAGTGTGTCCCTGATCGTCGTCTCCTGCGCACTAGGGCATGCCAAATCATCATATATTGACGCTTTGGTTGTGAGAATGTATTGCTTCAGTAGTGTCCCTGCTACCATCTCCTATGATCGCCAGACTCTTTTGTCCTTCCATTCGTTCACGATCACCCAAGATGCACGGAGGACGTACCTCCCTGTTAGTTTATCTGAGTGGCGCACTGGCACGGAGCCAAACGACGATTCCAACCAGCGCACCTCCCCAAGGTGTTCCCTGGCCAGGTGAGAGACATAGTCCCTCCAGCGTGTCCTGGGTCTACCTTTACCCCCAAATTCCACTACCTCCGCTCCGCTGCGCTCCGCTCCGACACGAACGCCGGAGCAAAATCGGTCCCGTTCTAGTCAATCAGAGCAATTCCACTACTGCGGTCGTACTGCGGCCGTGCTCCGGCAGTGCGGCGCCGTACGCCGCCCTCTGTTCTGGCGTCCGGCAAAAATACAATCGATCCTATTTTCGCCGGACGCCGGAGCACCTCCGCAGTAAATGGACAGAAATCACAAACGCCCAACAGGAAAAGGAGCGAGCACAACTTCCGTTTTTCACAATAAATCGATAAACAAAAGGCGTTTTTTGTTTCATATGCACAGGTTTAACAACTTTTAACAACTATCAGTGGCGGCTGAAGTTTAAATGCACAAAAGTAAGCCATAAATACAGTTTCTACTATCAAAGTAGTCACACTTTGTTGATCCAAACACTGCTGATCTCTCAACACACATGATGGGCAGATTAAACAGTTCATGCCGATGCTTCTCCCACACAACGGGTGTTTGGATCTAACTTCCGCGTTTATTGCTCGGACTGTATCGCAAGATCTCGAAAATCCCGCGCATGCTTGTTTGCCCACCTCAGGTCTCCACACCGGAGCGGAGCCGTTGTAGAGCGGGTACCAGTAAAAATTGAGTTCGGAAGCGAGCGGCTGCGGAAGGCGGGGGCGGAGCGGAGCGGAGCGGAGGTAGTGGAATTTGGGGGTTAGGTCTCCTCCCGGTTAGACGTGCCCGGAAAACCTCACCTGGGAGGCATCCTGACCAGATGTCCAAGCCACCTCAACTGGCTCCTCTGTGGAGGAGCAGCGAATATACTCCGAGCCCCTCCCGGATGACCGAGCTTCTCACCCTATCTCTAAGGGAGGGCCCAGCCACCCTGCGGAGAAAACTTTTTTCAGCTGCTTGTATCCGTGATCTCAATCTTTAGTCACTAGCCAAAGCTCGGGGGCGTGGTCAACTTCTGCACTTGAGAAATAGGACACTCTATGCACTCGTACTCCTGGCCAGGAACGCACAAATGAAGGGCACAAGGGTACAAGTGCGAGTCTCCAACAACAAGAAGTCTCCAACACAGAAGTCTCCAACAACAGAAAGTCTCCATAAACTCAGGAAGTCTCAATAAACAGGAAGTATCCAACAACAGGAAGTCTCCATAAACCCAGGAAGTCTGCATAAACTCAGGAAGTCTCCAACAACAGGAAGCCTCCATAAACACAGGAAGTCTCCATCAACAAGGAAGTCTCCATAAACACAGGAAGTCTCCATAAACTCAAGAAGTCTCCAACAACAGGAAGTCTTCATAAACTCAGGAAGCCTCCAACAACAGGAAGTCCCCAACAACAGGAAGCCTCCATAAACGCAGGAAGTCTCCATCAACAAGGAAGTCTCCATGAACACAGGAATTCTCCATAAACTCAGGAAGCCTCCAACAACAGGAAGCCCCCAATAACAGGAAGTCTCCAACAACAGGAAATCTCCAACAACAGGAAGCCTCCAACAACAGGAAGTCTCCATAAACACAGGAAGCCTCCAACAACAGGAAGTCTCCAACAACAGGAAACCTCCAAAAACAGGAAGTCTCCATAAATGTCTTAAATACAGAGAGTCTCTATAAACACAGGAAGGAAACACAAAGACAGGAGACACCACACAGACAAGAAGATGGGTGAAGGGCAGAGAAAAGGTCAAATAAAGCTCCTGATCTTAATTATTTTGTGGGGGAGTTATATGTGAGCTGAGTAAGATCACATTACTGATGCAGAAGGTTAGAGGATGGCACTTCTCTTCGCTCTGAGACAGATAACCACAGATACCTTTAGTACCAGAACCAATGACGTCAACACATCTAGAAACTCGGCCACAAAGATTTACCACTTTCATTTTGAATAAGTGCTGTTGTAGAACCTGAATGTCCCTGGTCTCAACTCCTCTGGAGGTTTCTTCCTATTAAAAGGGAGTTTTCCTCTCCACTGTTGCTGCATGCTTGCTTAGTATGAGGATTGCTGTAAAGACTCTGACACTAGTCAGTGACTCGATGCAACCTGCTGGGTTCCTTATATAGGAAACTTGTTACTGATTGGTTTAATGACCTGACCTGTACTGGAAAGTTTTACTATGTGAAGTGCCTTGAGACGACTTTTCGTGGTTTGGCGCTTTATAAATAAACTGAATTGAATTGAATCTTAACTCTAGTTGGGTTAGAGCTGATGTGGACTTGTTTCTAACCGCTCTTATGTGGGAGCAGGTGACGCTGCTGCTGGCCCAGCAAGCTACTCCGAGCTCAAACATACGCTTAGCCGTGCTATGAGCTTCTCACAGGGAGGGACACACTGGCCACCTGTTCAGTAAATCAGACTGATGGTTTCCAGATTTACATTTGGGTCGTTATTCTGCTCTGAGTGGAGAACACTAACCTGTGAAGGAGGAGGCAGATGCAAACCTTCACCCTCTGCAGTCATGCAGTGGGTCCTTCAGTCCTAAAGGGGCTCCCTTTAGGCACCCATGAGTCTGTAATGTCTTACAAGAAACTCCTGGAGTCCCAGCTCTTCAGAGAGCATCTTCTAAACTAGCACCCTCCCTGCACCCATCCCCCACTCTGTTGTCCTTTCCTTGTTCACTCCCCTCTATCAGTGCGTTTACATGCAGCCAGTAACCCTTTTAAAACCCGAATATTCACAATAACCCGGTTCCGCAGGTCCTTGTAAACACCGCCAAAAACCCGGATATGCTCATAACCGGGTTTTTAAAAACCCGGTTACTACACCTGGGGTAACCCTTGTCTAACCCGAATGTTTGGTCGTGTAAACGCATATCGGGATGTCCCCATCAAAGCGTGTGTTCTGCACATGCTCTGTTCACAAGGAATCTTGGTCTTTTGAGTAGCGAGACGTCTTGTATGCACCAGAACACCGGAAGTAAACAACAAGTTGGGGGCAAAATGGCGAGTCACGGCACACCACACTTTGAGTGATGAGGAAACTAAAGCGCAAACAAACGCGGTCACTATCTCTTCCGAACTGGGAAACATGTTGTTGTTTTCACGGATACCGGAAAAAGAAGATCCGGAAATGAGGCATATTGCGTCTGGACGTAGTCCACACGTCCTGACGCTACCCCAACGTCCGCATTTAAATCGGGTTATGCAAGTTAGAGGTAACTCTTTCTATTTATGCTTGTAAACGGGTTATTCTGATCAACTCAGAAACCCGAATACCGACCTTAACCTGATCATAACCCGGATATTGGCTGCATGTAAACGTAGTCTATGATTGATTCTGCTGCCTCACTTCAACCTAGGATTGACTGAATAGTGTTTGGTGTTAGCCTCAAGGGCAACCTGCTGCTTCTTCATCACCTGTAAGTCTCTTTGGACAACAGTGTCTGCTAAACACATAAACCTTTAGTGAACTGACTTGTGCCGGCTAAAAGGAGAAGATCAGAGTTAGAGGTTAGCTTAGTGATCCCAGGGGGAACCCTGCCCAGTGGAGGAGGGACTCCTGTTCCAGCTCAGGTGGGGAGAAAGAACAGCTGCTGCTGTTCTGACACCTCACAGGTAAGAAGCTAACGAGTGAGCAGCTCCAGATGAATGGTACACTGATACAAAATGACAGCAATGACCAGAGACAAGAGACAGGAAGTACTGGGACACGATGGACCGGGACAGGCACAAGGAAAAGAACGAGATGTCAGGGCTCTTACCAGTGACGGTGAGCCTAGCGTTGGAGATGTGAGGACCACACACCACGCGGTAGTTGCCCTGATCTTTAACCTGGCAGCTCTTGATCTTCAGATAGTGTCGGTCGCCCACGCTGCTGATTTCGTACTTATCTCCAGTGTCCAGTTTCTGTGTGCCCTTGTACCAGGTCAGCGTGATCTCTGGGTAGTTGATCTGGACCTGGCACTCAAATGTAGCTGTCTGGTTCTCCGTGATTACCTGGTCAACGATGTCCTCCATCACAGAGACAGGCTGAGGACAAAACAATCCAGTTAAAGGGTGTCTGGTTTCCAGGTCATGTGGTTTTGGTGTTTACCTCAGCAGCAACACGTCCCTCCAGCTGCTCAATGAGTTTGGCCATGTCCTCCTCCTCCACTCTGCCACCATGTTCAACCTCCTGCAGCAGGACAGACAGCTTTCAGATGGACAGAACCCAACTCCCTGCTCTGGAGCCCAGAAGGTTTGCCACCAGAACCCTGGAACTGGTCTGTCCTCCTTACCACTTTTCCGGTTTCCATCTCCTTCTCCTTCTTCAGAAACTCCACGGCCTGCAGGATGGCTCTGTAGTCATAGATACCATGTTCTGTCAGGATCCGTTCATAGTCCTTAGGGTCATGACCTCTGAGCAAATCTACAATACTGATCTCTTCGACTTTCTTTGGACTTTTCTGCTTGGAAGGAGTCCTGAAAAACAAGAGAAGCATGAAGAAAAAGGACGTTCTCCTGCCCGGCTTTGTTTAGGATCCATTAAAATAAGTCACTTTTTGAGTCTTGATCTGATGTCTCCAAATCCTTCAGCTTCATCCTTTTTGGTGACTTCCATCTCAGCACCACATTCGATTTCACCATGCTTGTTGGAGGCCACGCACCTGTAGAGACCTGAGTCTGACTTGGTCACCTCTCTGATCTCCAGCTTGGCATCTTGTCCCTTGTGTTCGATGGAGATACGACCACCAGGGGTGACCTGTCTCCATTTACCCTTCATCCACTTGACACTGGGGATGGGATCTCCACCAATCTTAGCTATGAAGGTGGCGGTTCCCTCTGGAAAACGGACAGGTGAAAACCCCTTAGAGCCTTTACCCTACCACAGCAAGTTCACTTGTAGAGCATATTTAAAAGCAACAGTCAGCCGATAAAACACAGACACAATACAGCAAACATTCAGTCTCAGAGGAGGCTGGTCCTCTTACTCTCTGTGACGGAGATGTTTTTGGGTTCCTCGATGAAGAACAGGTTGTCTAGTCTTTTGACTGGGACAGCTGGGGAAGCAGCCTCAGTGGGGACTGCCTTCACTTCTCCATCTGGAAGTGAGAAGCAGGGGATTCAGTGGTTGCAGTGAGTTGCTGATTCTGTGTGCAGGTCCTGCTAAACACCAACTTGTAACCCAACAAGCAGCTGTCACAGTTCAACCTGCTTACCTTTCACCGTGACCTTTGACTTGCAGAAGTCACTGCCTGTGGCATTGCTGGCCTTGCACAGATAATCTCCAGCATCGCTTTTGGACACTGAGCTGATGTCCAGGGTTGCTGCTCCACCCACAAGTGTGATCTTGGTGCTGTCGCTAGACTTCAGCTCCCTCCTGTCCTTCATCCACTGGATGTTGAGAGGGGCAGAGCCTCTGACGTGGCATCTAAGACTCAGCTTCTCCCCCTCGGTTACCGTCACCGGCTCCAGAGGGAGGTCAAACTTAGGAGCCTGGCCAGTTTCTGAGGAGGTGGTGAGAAACAGCAGCTGATACACAGGACCACTCTGGAAAAATCTGCCTGAAAACTGATACATTTGCTAATAGATTTAATCCTCAAAGCTGCGTGTAATCCTAATCAGATTACATCAAGGTGATGAAATAATAATCATCTTTGTTTTTAACAGAACTGAGATTCTAGATCTACATAAAAGTCAACTGGTTCCTGGCTGATGGGACACCTACCTGACACTGAGAGAGACACCTGATATGAAGCCTTGCCAGCTTCGTTGGACGCCTCGCAGACGTAGACTCCGCTGTCTGAAGGGGTGGAGTCCCGCACCCCAAGAGAAGCCATGTTGTTCTTGAAGGCCATCTGATATTTGTCGGAGGCATGGAGCTCCACATTGTCCTTGTACCAGGTGATAGTCAGCGGCTGGGAGCCCGACACCCGACCCTCCATCTTCACTACTTTACCCACCGAGTCCACCATGGTGTCAGATGGCCTCTTGGTGAAATTTGGAGGGACTTTCCGTTCTGTTAGAGGGAGAAGATATGTCTACATTTATCCTTATGTTCACAAGTATTTTGGCCCTTGAATCTGAAGCAGCATTCAACTCATTTATGTTCAGATGCATGTGGTGGCTGCACTCCAGACCACTGACCAGACCAGCATCCTCTCTCTCTCTTGTTCTAGAGCGTCGTATCAACACTGATGTCCACCTGACTGACCTACGACCAGCAGTAACTTTGAGATTCAGATACCAGCGAACCTTGAACTGTGAGGGTGGTGCTGCAGCTTGCCCTGCCAGCATCATTACGAAGCTCACAAGTGTAGACTCCTTCGTCCTCACACGTCACAGAGCCGATTTGGAGGTATACTGCTGAACCCACTGACATAATTCTACAGTTGCCCCCGTCAGTTATCTGCTGGCTGTTTTTGTACCAGCACACTTTTAAGCCGTGGGCGCTGGTGGCCTTGCATTCAAAACGATGTTCCTCAAACTGCTTCACAAAGGTGGTAGGAGGCAGCTTCAGGACAAACCGAGGAGGCTCTGTGAAGTTTAAAAAGATTACATTACTGTCGCCAGCAGAAAAGCCCAGGATGGAGACAGCATGCTGTGGTGACCCAAACACAAACATAAATATCCGATGGGAAATGAAGACAGACAACTTAAAGATGGGGTTAAGGAGAAGTGATGGACAGAAGATGAGTCCAACCTTTCACCAGCAACCCTGCTGTGGTTTTCACGGAGCCTGCTGCGTTGCTCACTTGGCACCAATAAAGTCCACTCTGCAGAGAGCAGACTGAGCGGAGCTCCACAGAAGAAGAGTATTTCTGTAGGATAATAATACACGATGGTCCAGAAACAAGCTCCAGGTTGTCCTTGAACCACTTCACCATAAATGGAGGGGTCCCTTCGAAGGCACTTGTGAAGAGCACATTCGAATTAGGAGCAACAGTCTGAGAGCTGAGCTCAGCTGTGAACGTTGGTGGCACTGGAACCCACACAGAGACACCGTCACCATACACAACTCACAGCTTGGGTCTTCAACCGTTGGTGAAACGCTAACCTTTAGCTGTAAGAACGCCACTGCACACACAGCTGCCTGCTGCGTTTGCAACCCTGCAGGAATACTGTCCGGTGTCAGCGCCTTCCATCAGGAGGAACTCCAGGGAAACGCTACTTCCCATCTGCAGAGGGCTGTACTTTAAACTCTTGTTGAGTTTTTGCCTCCCCTTGTACCATTCAACGAAGAATGGAGGGGGACCGTCCACAATGCAGTCCATTGTGACCTTTGAACCCATCACTGCCTGGATATTGGTTAATTTTTTGATGAATCTGGGAGGAGCCATCTCACCTGTTTTACACAACATTGCGGTTAGATGTCTGCTGACTCTGAAGCGTGACCGGTGGCTGGGCGTTGTGGAGAGATCTCGTTGTCTAATCATCAGCCAGCCAGATCAGGACGGGTGGTTTTAGGTCAGTGGTGTGCACTCACGGACCTTCAGCATGTTCTAATTGTTTCCCTGCTCCAACACACCTGATTCACAGGTTGAATCGCCGGTTCAGCAGGCCACTAGTCTCAGTTGCAGTCTGATTAAAACAGCTGCTTGAAGCAGAAAACCCACTAAGCATCCCGAATGGTGGCACTGGAGGATCAGTTCTGAAAAGCACTGAACCCAATCTTCTGACCCACCTCTTTCACAGCCTGACAGGTGAGTTCAGGAACTGCGAGGGTCTGGATGTGAGCACAGCAGGTGATAACAGAAAGGGTTTCTGTGACACCAAATGGACAGGCTGCCCAAGGTTCTGTAAGAGGACGAAGGCCTGAACAACAGAACATTCACAGCTCCAGCTTCAGCAGCCCTCAACTTAGGAAAAAGGATAAACGACTCTTGTTTGCTTCAGACGACTCCAAAGTGCTTTACACTTCAGTGAATCATTCATCCATTCACACAGCGATGGTGACGAGGCCCATCGCAGCCACAGCTGCCCGGCCCCGAGCCTCACCTCCAGGATCATTGAACCCTGGCTGGATTAGACGGCCTATCTCGTCTGAATCCTGTCATCAGAAAACACGTTTTCTATTCTGAAATCAAACAACCAGATGTCCGTCCCTACTCATCTGTGGTCTAAAGCTGGTCAGATAACAACAGGACGAGAGTGGAAACCCGTACTGATCTCTGACTGAAGGGTCCTTGGCCTGTGTCTTTAAAACCAGCAGTCAGCATTTATCAGTAAACCAGCGGCGGTCTACCTGGAGGATCTGAGCCAAAGGACATATTCACTAACATTCAGGATTAGTTTAATAAAACTTTCATTAAGTTGACTCGTGTCCAAAGTTTCAGCAGGAGTTCTGTTTCAGAGGCAACATGACAAAGAACAAAAACATGGAACAAACCTGAGACTGCGACCACCGCGGCACATCTCTGAGTACCAGCTCTGTTGCGAGCCTCACAAGCGTATCGCCCACTGTGTGACACCTGAGCGTCGGTCACAATCAGCTCAGCAGCGTTACAGTCACACAGCATCTTAATGTGCTCGTCTTCTGAGAGCTCATGATCATCCTTGGTCCAGAGAAAGGTCATGGGGACTGATCCAGACAACATGCACTTCAGAGACATATCAGAGCCCACCATGCAGGACATGTCCTCTAGTCTCTGAACAAATGATGGCGGTTCTAGTGAAAGAAAACCACAGATAAGAGTGCAGGGTCCAAAATGAAAGTAACCATGGTGTCTCCCTGACTCCATGGTCTGTTGTGGACGTCGGGACACACTAAAACAAAATCACCTGGATAGCTTTAAAAACTGATAAAAAGATGTAAAACTACTGAAAATGTTTAGGTGAAACCATCATGCAGGCAGGAACCAGCTAGGATAACTCAGGTTAGGTGGGTGTTTGGTTACCTTTCAAAGAAACGAGGCAAGAACAAGAGGTCTCTCCCACATCGTTAGAAACGGTGCATCGGTAAGTCCCAGCATCCCTCGTGTCACAGGCGGACACCTGGAGAGCCACCGTGTCTCCGTCCACACACACCTTACGCTTTGGGTCACTTCGAATCAGTTTCTCGTTTAGGAAACAAGTTATTTCAAAGGGAGGAGAACCTGCAATGGTTCCTTCCAGGAAAATGGGAGATCCCTTCATGATCTCAGCTGACTCAAACGGCCTCAGAAAGACCGGAGGCTCTACAAACAGACAAGAGTCCAGTTAAGAGAACTGAAAGGCAGCTTGAGGTCTGCTCAGGCACACGTCCCCATTTGTTTGACCTCTTTCAGTTTACTTCACACCTGGGTTGGGTAGATCACCTGTAACCTCTGAGCCTTGACCCTGAGGGTAACCCCAGTTCCACTCAGCTGACTGAAGGGACAATGCTAAAAGGATACAGACGTGGGAACCGAGCCAGTCTTATGTGGACCTGACTTTAAACCTGGACATCACGGTTGAAGTGAAACAGTAAAACTGACCTTTGACCGTTACGGAGCAGCTGCACTGGTCTCTGCCGGCCTCGCTGGACGCCACACACACAAACTCTCCACTGTCCTCTACACAACAGTCCTCCACCTCCAGAGAGGCCACGGAGCTGTCGTAGGACATGGTGTGTCTACGGTCAGCTCTGACTTCTGAGCCGTTCTTAAACCATGAGACGTTAATGACTGGAGTCCCCTGAACTTTGCAGGACAACCTCAAAGGCTGCTGAGCTTTTAACAGCCGTGAAGGCTCAAGTTTCATTGAAAAGGTGGGAGCTTCTGTAAACGAACAAGAAGATTCATAGTAAACATGAGCAGGCAGGTGCTGGGAGGACAGTTCTACCAAGGACACACAGGACGGCACCTTTCACAAAGAGGACCATGGTACAGTCCACCTTTCCGGCATCGTTGGACACCTGGCAGGTGTACTTAGCAGAGTCACTGGGTTTCACTGTGTGAAGCTCCAAAGAGCTGGAATATGGTTCCTTTTTTATGACACTCCTTCCTCCACAGAAAATCTCTTTTTCCTCTCTGAACCATTTAATCGCCATGGGAGGCGATCCAGTGAAATCTGCTTTAATCAGAACTGTTGATCCTGGTGAAACGTCCTGGGACTCGGGTTTCATGGTGAAAGTGGGACGTTCTGAAAAATAACATGCAGGTTCAAATCCCCTCTGTGTGAACTACTGATGTAAGGCAGTGGAACCGGTCTGACCTTTGACCATCAGGGCGCCGCTGGTCTGGGCAAGTCCGGCCTCATTAGAAACCCGGCACTCATAAACTCCTGCGTGGCTCTGGTCCAGGCCCGTGATGGTCACCGAGGCTGCGCTGTCACTGAACTCCAGCCTGTATTTATCATCGCTGTGGATTTCTTTATCATCTTTGAACCAAGAGACGAGCATGGGCTGAGATCCAGCCACTCTGCACTCCAAGCTAACATCTCCACCCACACTCGCGTCGGTTTTCTTTAGAGTTTTGGTGAAGGTTGGAGGAACGGCACGATCTGTGTAGGAGAGCAGAGCCAACACCAGGTGGTCACCACAGTTCAGGGTTTAGTCCGTGGTAATGGTGACTTCCTGTCTGGAACTAACCTATAACAGTGACCGAGCACGTGCACTCATCTTTCCCAACTTTATTGGACACCTCCATGCGGTACTCTGAGGTGTCTCCTTTTTCTGCTGACAGGATCTTCAGAACAGCGGTGTTCTCCTTCATTGTCATCTTATATTTACGCCCACTGACCATCACCTTGTCATCTTTGAACCACTTCACTTGGAGATCAGGGCTTCCTGAAACCGTGCACTGCAGCGTGGCTGAGTCGCCAGCCATTACGCTGATGGACGCTGCCTTCTCAATGACCAGAGCAGGTTCTAAAAGACAACAGCAGCTTTAACGTTCATCAGCCCGACGCGTAAATCTGAAAACACTCGGACAGAACGAGAAGATGTTAACCTTGAATGGTGAGAACAGCCTCACACTTCTGCTGTCCTGCCTCATTCACTGCAAGGCAGGTGTATTTGCCACCGTGTTTAATCTCAGGAGAAGAGAAGGTGATACTTGGAACATTGTTCACAAAGGACATGGTGACAGTTGGATCATCATCTCTTAGCAGCTCACAGTCTTTCAACCATTTGACAGAGATGGGGGCGGAGCCTTTCAACACTCCCTGGAGCTTCACTGCGTTTCCCAGAACAGCTGTCGCACTCTCAATCCTCTTGGAGAAGGTGGGCGGCTCTACAATAACAGCACGAGTGATGATTACAGCGACCAGCTGGACTAAACACACCCCAAACCGTCCCTGCTCTACTAACCTTTCTGTTTAACCAAAGACTTTGTGGTCACTGAACCCACTTCGTTTGAAACAGCACATTCATATTCACCAGAGTCTGCACTCTCAAAGGTGTGGATCTCCAGGGAGGTCAGCGACCCCTGGGACACTACTCTGTACTTTCTGTCTGTGGTCAGGCTCTTCTTGTTCTTTTTCCACGACACGTCAAACGGAGCAGAGCCTGTGATTTCACACTCCAGCACGGCTACGGACCCCCTCACTGCCTCAACAGGTGATAAGTCCTTCAAGAAACATGGCGGCTCTAATGGGAACAAACAGTTCAGTTACAAAAAAAAAATAAAAATTATATGCACGTGGATTTTTTTCTAGAAGCAGGTCCGGGCACCTTTCACTGCAACTTTGGTGCTGCAGCTCTCACAGCCAGATTCATTCAGAACCTCACAGCTGTAATTCCCAGCATCGCTCAACATGACGCCACTGATCTCCAGCGTGGCCACACCGTCCTTAAGACAGGCCGCGTACCTGCCCCCTGCAGGCAGCTCAGTGTTATTGAAGAACCAGGTAGAGTGCAGCTCAGGAGATCCTTTGACGGAGCACTGCAGGCGAGCTGTGCCGCCCTGCCTCCAAACCGTGGTGGCTTCCAGCCTCTTTAGAAAGACTGGAGGTTCTGGAGGGGCGGGGTTGACCAGAACCACCATTGGAGAACAGGTCAGCAGTTAAAGAGAAATACTTGATACGCCAGGAAGAGTGGGGCAAAAACATGAATACAGAATCAAGTTTCACACACGGCCTTACCTTGAACCTTCACCAGAGTGGAGCAAGAAGCACTTCCGGCTTCATTTGTTAACGTGCACACGTAGTTTCCACAATCTTTCTGTGTGGTTTTCAGAATATCCAGATTTACTGTCTTTTTCTCAAACGACAGTTTACAGTCTGGAGACTGGTGGACTTTTCTACCGTCTCTGGTCCAGGTGACACTTACTCCAGTGTCCTCGTCCACCTGACACTCCAGGTGCAGCGCTGCTCCCACCACAGCAGCAACTGGACTCAAGGGCTTTATAAAGTGGGGCTTATCAACAACACGCAGCTCCATGCTGCACTCAGCCGCTCCGACATCATTAGACGCTCTGCACACATATCGCCCCCGGTCTCTCGCCTCCAGCCGGGGCACCTCGAGACAGGGCTTGTTGTTGTCACAAGAGATCTGGTAGTGATCCGGTGACAACGTCTGGTGGTCTTTAAGCCACACAACACTCAGAGGGGCCGAGCCCGTTAGCACACACTGCATCACAGCCCTCTTTCCAACATACACTGTCTGAGTGTCCGGCTTACTGAGAAAGGCTGGAGGACATTTCTCTGAAGGATTAAGAAAGACAAAGACGTTATTATTGTCTGTCACCACGGACAAAACACAACCGGGTGGCTCCAGAACCCATCCTTAAAGAAACCAAGAACACAGAAGATTATCTGACTTCCTGTGGAAGCAACAAGGAAGACGCTGAGCTTCACTCTTACCTGTCATGCTGAGGGAGGCGGAGCATTCATCACTGCCATGCTGATTGGACGCTTTGCAGGTATAATCTCCACTGTCATCTTTGATGGTGCACAGCACCTCCAGAGAGGAGGCAGTGAAGCGACTGATGATCCTGTACTTATTCCCCTCTTTGATGGGATGGCCATCTTTAAACCACTTGAAGGTGACATTCGGAGCATCTTCAGTGTCACACTCGAACCTGGCAGGGTTCCCCACGTTCACCTCCAGAGGAACGATCCTGTGTTTGAACACTGGTTTCACTGCGTGTCAGAGAGGGAGAGAGAGAGGGAGGGAGACAGTTAGTGGACCACCAGGAGCAGCTGAGCCTGCTAGTGATGGACAGGTCCTAGGATGAAGAGGGACTGATACAAGCTCATCCCGTGATGACTGTGGAGAAGGAAACGAGTGTGAGATTAGATGGGAGGCATGCACAGGATGGAGGAAGAAGGACAGATGATGGGATGTGAAAGGCGGTTCCTTGGAGGGGAGCAGGGATGAACATGAGGCAGAGTGGATGGATTAAAAACCTCCAGATGCAGCAGAAGGATGGAACACTGCAACGGAGCTTTAGTGCTGGAGTCCATGAGGGGTGTTTGAGTTGGGATGAATGAGAGGAGTTAGCTGATGATAATATCATCAAACCTTGTGAGACCACAGTGAGACGTGAAGACACGGTGGTCCTGCCGGCTCGGTTCTCAGCCTCACAGACATACTCTCCTTGGTGCGTCTTCCTGACTCTGGTGATGATCAGCGTGTGTGTGTCGTGGTCTGAGGAACACTTGAACTCTTTGCCAGATTTGACCAGCTGACCATTGAAAAACCAGCTAACGCTTGTGGCGTGTCTGATGGTGGCAGCTAGAGCCACAGTGCTGTTTGCTTCAGCGCAAACATCCTGCAGAGAGTCCTCAACAACCGGACCATCCAGCAGGCTCTCGGAGGACTCACTAATCAGGACAGCCTCAGACAGAAACTCCTCTCCGGTGTTTCTGAGGACAGCCTGAGCAGGAACCTGTCCAGCAGCATCTCCAAACTCCATTAGACTCAAATGAACTGACTCGTGGGCTTCAGTGTGACTCTGAACTACCTTGCACTCGCTTCTGACTGCTGCAGCCTGAGACACTTCAGCAGGAAGCCCCACTACAGTCTCAGCCACCAACACAGACTCCACCACAGAGGAGAGCATCTCTTTGGAGGATGCAGAGCTGACCTGAGCCTTCTGAGGCCTCTCGCTCTGCAGTGTTCTCTGTTCGGCAGTGAGACTTTGCTGCTCCTGGAAGACAAATGTGTGCAAAGCTACCTGCAGTTCAGACCTGAGGTCAGCGGTCTGAGGGTAGTCCCCTTCAAAGGACAGCGTGATCTCCAGAAGGACATGAGGTGATGTGATTAGATATGTAAACGCGGCCCACCTGGGTTCTATCTGAACATCTACCTCCAGAACCTGTGTGGCCTTCAGCCTTCCTACGACTTCAGCCAGAAGCACAGGCTGATCCGTGGCCACAGCCGACCGCAGAGCACCCTGGAGCTGCTGCTGTATGTTCACACTTGATGGTCTGGGGATGTTAACAGTGAAGCTGAGTTCCTTAGCTAAGGGCTGAGCATGCTGACACTCATGGACAGACACCACCCCTTTAGGTTGGGTCTGAATTTTGACTGTCCAACTCTCAGCCTGACGAATCTCATCTGAACGTTCTCCCATGATGACCTGCTTCTCCTCCAGCAGCACCAGCTGCCGGACTGACTGTCCCTGCTGGATCTGGACTGCAGAGTCCTGCTCAGCAGCTTCAAGGAGGGTGCAGCTTTCAGCAGCGGTGGCCTGTTCCTCTATGAAAACTGGCCTTTTGGGAATCCTCGGCTCTGTTCTGACTTCAGGCTGAAATGTTTCATCAGCATCTAGCTGTGTGGTGTGACCTTCCTCTAAGATGGGAGTGTCTGTAACATTTATGGCCCGCGTGATGTTCCAGTAATCCTCTCTTTGTACTGACGCTCGCTGCTGCCTGCTGGCTGCTACAAGAGGAGTCTCCTTTGACAGCAGCACGGGCTGGGAGGACACCCCCAGGGTGTTTGGAGCTCTGGTTTCTGTGAGAAGCTGCAGCTTGATCCCACCTACAGACAGGTCCATGTCTTGGTGATACTCAGCAGTGATCTCCTGTGTCATCTCTGAGGTAGCGGTGTGGCTCGTGGCCAGGTCCTTTCTCATTGCTGCCACCTGGTGGTCAGGCTTGGTAAAGGTCAGGCTGTCTTCCTTCAGTAAAACGGGTACGGACTTGACTACTTGAAGGTATTTGGGAGGTGGTTGCTCTTTCTTTGGCTGAACTGAGGTAGAAGCAGTCTTTGCTGTGAACTCTGAAGTTGACTCCCACACCACAGCCTTCTGCTCTTCCTGAGTGACTGAATGCAGGAACGACGGACCCTTTTTGACCTCTGCCTGCTGGACAAAGGGCTTCTCCATGCTGAGTTTTCCCTCAGACTGTAAAACATCTTGATCACTGATCGTCTGCAGATTAAGGACTAGGCTGTGTTCACAAAGAGGCTGTAGACTCACTGGAGGCTCTAAAGGTACCACCTGCCCCAGATGTTCAGCCTGAATCTTATACTTGTCCTCACTAGCAATAGCTGATTTACAAACCTGGTCTTTGCTTGGCCTGATGCGTTGCTCCTCAGGCCTGTTCAGGTCAAACATCTGCTCTTTAGACAAAGCTACTGTAGTCTGACTGACAGGTGCTAGTGTTGGTGTGGATTGTTGTTTTTCACTCACAGGTTTGGAGGCAGAGATCACAGCTGGCAGAGGTCCACACTGCATTTCCGAGAGCAGCAGATGCCCTGCACACTGCGCTGAGTATAAAACCTTGACCCCTTCACTGACTCTGAAGCTCTGTTCCTCCTCTGGTTGATGCACAGGACCCAGAGATTCATCTTGAATGGCTAGAAGTGACAGGACTTGGTGGCTGCTAACCAGCTGCCTAGGTTGGGTGGCAGACTGCAGGTGTTCTGGACTCTGACGTGTCAAAGGCTCAGCTTGCACCGTGGTGAGGGTCAGGACTTCCTCAGACATGGCTGACATGAGCTTTGATGGCTGCTCTTTGGACAACTCCAGTTGGAGCACCTCAGGGCTGAGGACTCTCTCTAAGTGCTGCTCTATGATCTTCGGTCTCTCCTGGACTGAAGATAAAAAAGCTGCATGGTGAAGCTGCTTGGTGGGAACAGCTGAGACCTGAGGTGGATGGGTTGGAGCCAGTGAGACCCTCTCCTGGACCTCATGGGACTGTAGCACTGCTGCTTGGTGGGTGTACTGCTCTAGATGAAGAGTAGCAGCAGAAATATTGAGCTCCTTGAAGGTCTCCACCTCCTCACTGGGAATTATCTGCCGATCTTCTGTACTAATGGTGTAAATCATCTGATCAGACCGGCTTCTCTCGTAGGATCTGGATTCGATGCTCTGCTCAGTCAGAGAGATCTTCAGACCTTTGGACTTCTGGACCAGTTTGTGTTCTTCTTGAACTTTCTGACTGAACACAAGCAGCTCAGCGCTACATGAGACCTCCCCGTACTGGTTGGAGGCCTTACAGGTGTAGGCACCACCATGCTCCTGTTTGACTTTCTTAATGTTTAAAAAGCCTGATCCATCTGGGTTGGTCACTAGGACCCAGAGCCCCGTAGGATCGATGTGGATGTGCCCTTTGAACCACTGAACCTGAGGAAGGGGATCGCCAGTGACAGAGTACCTGAAGAAGCACTGATCCCCCTCCAACACCTGGACAGACTCTACAACTTGTAGGAACTCTGGAGGCTTGCCAGTGGTGGCTCCTTCATCAGCTCTGTGTGGTTCCTCAGACTGAATGTGGAGATAGGAGGAGCAGGAGGACTGTCCATATCTGTTACTAATGGTGCAGGAGTACTCGCCCTCAGACTCCCTCTGAGCTTCAGTCACAACTAAACTAAACTCATCTCCTTCCTGAACAAACACATACATGGATGAACTGGTTATGTTCTGGCTGTTGTAGAACCACTGGATGGTCGGCTTAGGGAACCCTGACACCTTCACGGTGAACCTCACTGTTTCTCCAACAGCCACAGCTGCTGGAGAAAGCCTGCTGATGAAATCTGGCTTTTTTCTCATCTCTAAAGATCTGGAGAAGCGTTTGGTCACTGGCTGGAGTTCAAGTGTTCTGGCTGTGTGAAGTAACTTTGGGCCGGAGTCGTCCTGGGCCGTGTCCTCCACCGCCACAACTGAAGAGGCTGAGTGACACAACCACGATATAAGATGAACCACTTGTCCCAAACTGGTCCGATCAGGTCTAACTAGTCTGCAGAGGTCTAACTGGTCTGATCTGGTCTAACTGGTCTGATCTGGTCTAACTGGTCCGATCAGGTCTAACTACTCAGATCAGGTCTATCTAGTCTGCAGAGGTCTAACTGGTCTGATCTGGTCTAACTGGTCTGTTCAGGTCTAACTGGTCTGATCAGGTCTAACTGGTCTGTTCAGGTCTAACTGGTCCAATCAGGTCTAACTGGTCCGATCATGTCTAACTAGTCTGCAGAGGTCTAACTGGTCCGATCAGGTCTAACTACTCAGATCAGGTCTATCTAGTCTGCAGAGGTCTAACTACTCAGATCAGGTCTAACTGGTCTGATCCGGTCTAACTGGTCTGATCAGGTCTAACTGGTCTGTTCAGGTCTAACTGGTCCAATCAGGTCTAACTGGTACGATCATGTCTAACTAGTCTGCAGAGGTCTAACTGGTCTGATCAGGTCTAACTAGTCTGCAGAGGTCTAACTGGTCTGATCAGGTCTAGCTGGTCTATTCAGGTCTAACTAGTCCAATCAGGTCTAACTGGTCTGATCAGGTCTAACTAGTCCAATCAGGTCTAACTGGTCCGATCTGGTCTAACTGGTACTATCATGTCTAACTGGTCTGATCAGTCTATTGATCAGGTCTAACTGGTCTGACCCGGTATAACTGGTCTGATCAGGCCTAAGTAGTGGAATCGGGTCTAACTTGTCTGATCTGGTCTAACTGGTATGATCAGGCCTAAATAGTCCAATCAGGTCTAACTGGTCTGATCAGGCCTAACTAGTGGAATCAGGTCTAACTTGTCTGATCTGGTCTAACTGGTCTGATCAGGCCTAAATAGTCCAATCAGGTCTAACTGGTCTGATCAGATCTAAATAGTCCAATCAGGTCTAACTGGTCTGATCAGGCCTAACTAGTGGAATCAGGTCTAACTTGTCTGATCTGGTCTAACTGGTATGATCAGGCCTAAATAGTCCAATCAGGTCTAACTGGTCCGATCAGGCCTAAATAGTCCAATCAGGTCTAACTTGTCTGATATGGTCTAACTGGTCTGATCAGGCCTAAATAGTCCAATCAGGTCTAACTTGTCTGATCTGGTCTAACTGGTCTGATCAGGCCTAAATAGTCCAATCAGGTCTAACTTGTCTGATCTGGTCTAACTGGTCTGATCAGGCCTAAATAGTCCAATCAGGTCTAACTGGTCTGATCAGATCTAAATAGTCCAATCAGGTCTAACTGGTCTGATCAGGCCTAACTAGTGGAATCAGGTCTAACTTGTCTGATCTGGTCTAACTGGTATGATCAGGCCTAAATAGTCCAATCAGGTCTAACTTGTCTGATCTGGTCTAACTGGTCTGATCAGGTCTAAATAGTCCGATCTGGTCTAACTGGTACTATCATGTCAAACTGGTCTGATCAGGTCTACCTGGTTTGATCAGGTCTAACTGGTCTGACCAGATATAACTAGTGTGATCAGGTCTAAGTAGTCCAATCATGTCTAACTGGTCTGATCAGGTCTAACTAGTCCAATCAGGTCTAACTAGTCCAATCAGGTCTAACTGGTCCAATCTAGTCCAACTGGTTTGATCAGGTCTAACTGGTCTGACCAGGTATAACTAGTGTGATCAGGTCTAAGTAGTCCAATCAGGTCTAACTAGTGTGATCAGGTCTAACTGGTCTACAGAGGTCTAACTGGTCTGATCAGGCCTAATTAGTGGAATCAGGTCTAACTTGTCTGATCTGGTCTAACTGGTCTGATCAGGTCTAAATAGTCCAATCAGGTCTAACTGGTCTGCAGAGGTCTAACTGGTCTCTGGTCTGATCAGGTCTAACTTGTCCGATCAGGTCTAAATAGTGGAATCAGGTCTAACTGATCTGAACAGGTCTAACTAGTAGAATCAGGTCTAACTGGTCTGATCAGGTCTAACACTAAGGTTATTACCCAAGTCTGACCATAGGCCCAGGGTCTAAAGTGGACTCTGTGCATAAAGGGTAGCTAGGGCCAGGACTACACCATTCTTAGGGTCTAGCATTAGACTCAGGTCCAGAGCAGGTCTGGTCTAGAGTACGTGTCCTAGCTGATATTTACCTTTCACTTCCTGCTGGATCGCCGGTTCCTTTTCCACTTCTGGAACTGTGAAAACAAAAAACATTCCCAGTTAAAGACCATCCTGAACTGGCTTCTCAGCTCCAGCTGGTTAGAGTCAGAACCGATCCGTGTTTGGGCTTCACTGGTAGCCCTCTTCCTACAGGTCTAAGTGTGGTCAGTAAACAAGACTAGGTCCTGGTAAAACCCGAGAAGACTGGTGTGACCTTATGAAGACATATCAGTGGAGACAGTGTGCATGAGTGGGGACACAAAGCCAGAGTGAGGACAAAAGCATGCAGAAGATGCCAACCTTTCATCCCTGAGCTGAACTCAGCTCCTTCAGCTGAGCCTATTTGATTAAAAGAGTAAGGGCCGGCTGGCCTGGGCCCCGCTTTGTTAGCACCGATACAGCAGAGAGCACCGTCGTGTTTCAGGGACAGGGGAACGGAGTCCTGGACATTCAGACGGTTGTAAAGCCACATGACACAAAGTCTGGGGAGCCTTTTCAAAGTGCTGGACAGGGAGCTGCTGTCTTTGGTTCCGATCAGCAGCTCAGGGGGAAGTTTGATCAGAAACTCATTCTGCTCATCATCAAGCACAACATCTGGAAAGTGCAGATGGCTGATCAGGCTGTACACTCTCTGAGAAGACTTAGCCAGAGGTCCCATCTTCTCCCTGGACTCTTGCTGCTCCTGGTCAGAGCAGTTGTTAGGGCTCTCCCTGTCTGCCTGAGACGCTTTAGGAAGAGAACCGGTGGGGATGGGGGTCCCTGCTTTGAGGTTTGCTTCTTCAGCTGGGTGAGAATAAAGTTAGGGAGAGCGATTAGGGGTCAGAGAGGAGAAGGTTACGACTCTGATCAATAGTTAGTAGGATGGAGAATGAGATTAGCAGGGAAGCGGGGGGGGGGGGGGGGGGACTATGTCACCAGGGTTGTTATTGCATTACATCCTATCAGGTTACAGACTGGAGGGGGGGTCCGAAGCAGGGAGAGCAAATGGAAAGGTGGGATGGATCAGGAATTAAAAAAAAGATTAACCACCTTCTACGGTGAGCCTGGCAGAAGAACTGTTCTGACCGTGTTGGTTGGTGGCTGTGCAGCAGTAAAGTCCCTGATCCGCCACATCAACACTACAGATGAGCAGGGACAAAAGTTCCCCGCTCTGAGAGCTCCTCACCCGCTCCGTGTTCACCAGCTTCTGACCGTTACGATCCCACACCACAGCAGAGAAGGGCTGGCCATCAAATGAGCAGCAGAACTTGGCCATCTCACCTCTGCTCACGCGGACATCGCTCATCTCCACCAACAGCCGGGGTCTGCTGTAAGAGCTGGTCTCCATCTGAACTTCTACTGTCCTCCAGGACACAGAGGAACTCTCAGAGCGCAGCTCAGAAAACTCAACACTGCGGGCTGTGTGTCCCACAGACACCTGGGTCTCCCGACTCTGGGTTAGTTTGGGCTCAGCGCTCCTCTCTCTATCTAAGGTTCTTACATCTGGGCAGCAAGAAAGAATAGAAGCATTAGATCAACACAGCACATTCCATGACCTTTCCAGTTTATTTGCCAGAGTGCAGTTGGGTTGAAGATCTGAAGATTAGTGAAGAAACGGACCGAGGCTGATTTCTACACTCAGCCATGCAAGCTTGGCTGGGCCAGAGCATTGAAACCAGCTATTGACTTTGTCCATGAGTGTGCAGGATCCAGAGCTTCCAGTAAGCAGATGTTTTGAGCTTGCTGGTTTACTGGGAAAAGAGAGTGACATCTTACAGAAAGACTACATAGAAACAAGTGGAGAAGAGAAGGCTTCATGCATCAGAAGACGAACCAGCAGTACCAAAACCAGGTCTCTGGGAAGACTGACCAGAGTAAGTCAACAACTACAGCAGAACTGGATTCTGTCTCGTCTCTGACTTCAAACATTTAATCTGAATGGACACTACAGAGCTGTCCTACAAGGAGCCCAAAGGCCTATCAGGGTTTTCTAACAGTAAACCTCTGCGTGACTCGGACAGGTGTGCCACAGTCCAGCTGTTCCAGAGCTCTCTGCCTGCTGCTGTAGGCTAGAGTCTACACCTACATGTCGGTCTGGGCATCTCCATTAGAACATGCCAAGCCAGGCCAGTGTTGTGGCTGACCAATCACAGCATGTTTATTTAGAAGAAGCATGTATTGTTCTATGTTTCCTTTATTTGTAAGTAGTTCTTCAACAACGTAACAACAGACTGACATCGTAGGGGTCCAATCATAAGTGGGCGGGACGTTACTGCAACTGAGCAAAACTAAGATGGCCACAGCTCCAAGGTGGTCCAATCGCAGCACTCTATTGGTGTAGTGGGCCAATTACACCACTCAGTGGGTGGGATGTAACTGAAAAAACAAAGATGGCGACGGCTTAGGCTTCATCTTTGGACTTTTCTGACTTGGGCTTTTCTTTGAGCCAAGAGCAGGTAGAGGTACTGGAGTTCATCCCTGCTATCCCACAGCATTTGGGGACCATTTGAAAGACAACCGTAGATCCCGCCTCTCCACTGGGAGCCGTTAAGGGATCGTGGCCAAACCATATATTCACCTATAACGGACGGCTTGCAAGGCCAGCTTCTTCTGAGTTCAGAGGCTGACGTTCACCACCACGGTTGGGTTTCTGTGTGGTCCACAGCTCACCTTTCACTATTTTTGTGTCAACTTAAGACTCCGACTGCCAACCTCCACCCTGACTGTTCGTCACAGAGTTGGTAGGGAAAACCATCTACACTGAAGTGAGCCGTTTTACATCAGTAGTGCTGTTAGAGCCCCTTGTTACTTCCAGCATTCTGCTTTGAAACCCCAAAACAGGAAGAGAGACCTCCTTTCATGATGACCAAGCAGTAAGTTTTGACTCTTGCAGAACATACGATGTGTGACAGAACTCACCATCCAGGATCAAGGTGGCAGAACATGTGACCATTCCTGCAGAGTTAGTAGCGATACAGGAGTACTCTCCCTCATGGGACGGAAGGACTCTGGAGATCTCCAGCAGGCAGGTTTCATCTAAATGGGACATCCTGAAGATGTCAGACTGTCGAATCTCCCTGTCCTTACAGAACCACGAAACCTGCAGGTCTGAGAACACAACGGTCAATGAGTTAAAGCTCACCTGAAAGGTGTATTTCACTTAAATTAACCAAAATCCTGTGTAATAGTTTTAAAAAGTTTAGTTTATTAGTTCTGTCCCTGGGCTGCCACCGTATGGTGGTGGACGGGTTTAAGTGACCCTAGGAGGCATCATGCCTCTGGTGGGGTCACCCATAGCAAGCAGGTCCTAGGTGAGGGACCAGACAAAGTGCAGCTCAAAACCCCTTATGAAGAAAAATATAAATGGAAACAGTGTTCCCTCGTGCAGACGTGGGTCACCGGGGCCCCCCGGGCCCCCCTCTGGAGCCAGGCCTGGATGTGGGGATTTCGACTGGGAGGGGGGCTACTCAGGGAGTATGGGGTTGGCGTCAGAGCTCGGTCCACACCTTAAATGGTTACCTAAAACTGTTTTGATTGTAGTTTTAGTTTGGAGAGCGTAAACAATTATTGATGTTTGGGACATGAATTCTGCTGCTAAACTTCAAAGTCCCCCATTTGGGGGCGTTAGGGCCCAAAGGGTTGGGGGGCCGGGTGGAAAGGTTCAACAGGCTGGAAATGGCCTGTGGGCTGCCAGTTCAGGTTCACTGGGCTAGAGGGTACCAACGCTTTGGCAAGCCATTTTAACATTTTATCACCAAGCAGACCCCTCTGTAATCCCTATTTTATATAACAATAATTTAATGTATCGAGCCCTGACGAAGGCCCTGTGGGCTGAAAAGTGTCAGCATTTATGTTTTTAACTACTTAAGCCATGCACCAATAAAGGCTTTTCATTTTGTATCTCCTGAGTGCCTCAGGTCTCATTTTGCCCTAAGGGTATCCATAATAACAACGGCACTAGTAGGTAGAACGTTTGAGATGTCTCAGAATCCCTAAAACCTACGGTGGCCTTTTACCATTTATTAGTCACACTGGATATGTGTTCCAGATACCTGTACTCCTGTAGTTCCTGCTAGAGTACTGATATCCATGAGTACGTTCTGACTGATAGTAACAATCATTCAGCTACAAAGTCTTTGACATTACAGATATTATAGAGCATAAAAGTAACATCAGTTACTTTGCTAGGTAACTACTTACTTTTACTAAGTGATAACTGAGTTACTAACTCAATTACCTTTTGGAAAAGTAATATGTAACTGTAACCTATTACCTTTTCAATGGAAGATGCCGAACACTGTCCCTGTTTTTGACGTTTTTAAACGACACCACCCGAGTACACCCCCTAGAGCCTGGAAAAGCAGGCCGAGCCGAGCCATGGCAAATGTTACAGGGCTGATCCGGCACTGGACAGTAAACATCAGCACCTTTTTGTTCCTCAGCCAGTAGGAGAGTCGTACCTTCTCCAGAGACACTGCACTTGAGCTGTGCAGGATGTCCCTCTGAGACCAGGACGTCCCTCATGGGGGTGACCAGAACCGGGGCAGACACCTGACTCGATACCACCTCAGGAACTGAAACACAAAAGGTTTCCCAGGTGAATTATCTTAGCTGTCGTGCTCTGCTCTCCAGTTAAGACCAGCTGCTTTATGAACACTAACAAAAATCACACAGCTCACCTTCCACTGTGAGGGCGGCGGAGGTTGCTGCCTCTCCGTAGTCGTTTTTGGCCTCACAGCGGTAAACAGCAGCATCCTCTGGGAAGACCTCGAGCAGCAGCAGTGTGTGCTCCTCTCCGTCATGAAGGAACTTACATTTGTAGCTGGTGGAGAGGAGCTGGGAGTCCTTGTACCAGAGCACATGTGGCTGAGGGAGTCCGCTCACCTGAGTGGAAAAGCGAACCAACCGACCCGACATCACCGTCTGGGGCTCCATGGGGTGCACAATCTGAGGTGGCTCAGGCACTGCACAACAAGCACAGGGACAGCTGATTGCTTCGGACTTCCAGAGAAAAGTCTCCATTCGTAAACTAACATTCACGTTGATGCTTCTGTAGCGCTAATTAAACAGCTAACAACACAGAACCAATCAGAACATCCGACTCATGGACCTCTGACTGCTAGAGCTCTTACATCTCACATGGAGGTTCATGGTGCTCCGGTTCTTGCCGGCGATGAAGGTGTACTCCCCAGCGTCACTCCTGTAGGTCTCAGAGATGGTGAGACGGTGCAGCCTCCTGATGGCCACGTAGCTGACCCTCTCCTCCTCTGAGAACTGGATCTCCACACCGTTCCTCAGCCAATGACCCTCCACATCATCCTCGTTCACCTCAAACTCAAAGTTCGCTCTTTGTTTCTCCACAACCTGCAGGCAAATGCAGGGTCAGGGTCGAGGTCAGAGACTTTGAAACTCAACCTGAGCTCCTGGACTCACCGTGATGTCTCTGCTCTCAGGCTCTGAGATTCTAACATCCCGTCCTTCCACACCCAGGCTACCCTTTGACATGCTGGACCCAGCCACGGCGGTGTATTCACCAGCATCTGACATACGCACCGATGGCAAGACCAGACGGTGCAGAAACTTGTCAGAGGTCATTTTGTACCTGCAGGAAGCACAGAAGGCATCATCATCTTCATCATCATCATCATCATCATCATCATCAACCTTTATTTATAAAGCACATTTAAACGGCAACAACGCCAACCAAAGTGCTGTACAAGACAATACATCACCAAAATGGAAAAAACAAATAAAAACTATTAAAAAAAATAAATAAAGAAATTAAAAAACAGGAAAGCACAAGGGGCAGAGCAGGTGAGTCATGATGCTGGAATCAGTTCTTCCACTGGGACAGGGCCATTACCTATCAGACATCTCCAGCTCCTGGCCGTCCTTCATCCACATCACCTGGACGTTGGGCTCAGAAACTTCACACTCAAACGTAGCTCTCTTCTTCTCAGTGATCTTCAGGTCCCTGAGGTGTTTGGTGAATTCAACGACACGAGCTGCAGGCAGACAAACATTAAAAACGTCAACAAGGACTGTAAAGGTTAAAGGGAGCTTCATTCAGAAGATTGCTGGCTCCGTGAGGAGACGGCCACAGTAACAGAGAACGGAGAGCTTACCCTCTACATAAAGCTTAGCAGTGGTCACTGCAGACCCGGCCATGAAGGTGTAATCGGCGCTGTCTCCAAAGTGCACGCTCCTGATGCTCAGACTGTGAGTCAGCTGTTTGCAGCGAGCCTGACACCTGTCTGTGGACTTGATTTCCACGCCGTTCTTCAGCCATTTGTATGTAATCCCTTCATAGTTAACATTCACCTCGAACGTGACTGAGTCCTTCTCCTGAGCGTTCAGGTCCTCGAGCATGCTGGTGATCAGAACCGCTGCAGAGAAGAGGAGAATGAAGCTACTGAGGCTGTCTCTCCGCCTTTTGTACTAAATACAGAAAATCTCGTGAAGAAACTCAGACTGGGTTTCTCTTTCTAAATCAACTGTTTTTCTTTTGCGACAACAAACGGATCAGTCACTGCAACATTTCTGTCTGTTCTGGATCATGGAGACCGTTTGTACATGAAGGCCTCAGCACAGTGTCTTGGTTAGATTCATGTCGTCATGCCTTGATGAGGTTGATCACTAACTGTAATAATAATAATAATAATAATAATAATAATAATAATACATTTTATTTGAGGGCGCCTTTCTCAAACCCAAGGTCACCTTACAATTAAACAAAGATAAAAACAATAAAAACAACAGAGGTTGAAAGAGCAATAACGACAAATAAGATACATAAAAATTGGAAACATTCTAAAGTCTAGGTCTAAAGGGAATAAGCTTGTCTGAATAAGTGGAATTTGAGGTGTGCCTTGAATAATAAAAGAGTCCGTATTTCTAATGGCGGAGGGAAGCAAGTTCCATGATGGGTCAGTGTAGACCACAGACCCATCATGGTGAATTGTGTTCTCCAGTGGGATGACCTTCTTTGTCCACCGGGAGGTTGGGACATTGGTACACCTTCCTTTATAAGGCCATGCTTGGATTACTGCCACCTACATCTGTAACTTCTCAGTCTGCATTCAACGATCAGCTGTTGCTCTAAAGGTCCGTTTGCTGGCACCGATCTGGGCTGAAGGGCTTTGGTTCACTCTGCTCCTTCTGCATGGAGCAGGCTGCAGGAACGCTGGAGATGAACCCGGTTTGTCTCCTTGACTACATTTAAAACCCGCCTGAGAGCCCTTGAGACAAATTCCCTGTGTTGTAACTGCCTTCTGTAATCTAGTACATGTCTGTGTAACTAAAAACAGTAACTGTAACTTTTGCTGCCTCTTGGCCCAGACTCCCTTGATAATGAGCTTTTTAATCTCAGTAGGAGCTTCCTGGTTAAATAAAGAATAAAACTATGGAGATATCTTCAACTCCAACGGTATGGACTGATCTCAGATCTGCTGCTTCCACGGTAAACAGAGACAGACAGCCCAGTGGCCTAGTGGTAAAGTGCCCAGACTGGGAGATCGGAGTTTAAATCCCGGCGGGTCAAACCAAAGACTTTATAAAAACGGACCGGATGCCTCTCTTCTTGCCACCCCGCTGTGAGGGGCTGGATCGGGGGGTTAAACCAGTAAATGGATCCCGGGCGCGGCCATGTCTACAGCTCACCGCTCCCCACGGGGATGGGTTTGTCACCACACCACACCACACCAGCGTGTGAGACTACCACGGGACTTTAGGTTTCTGAAGGCTGAGGGCCTCTTACCATTGACGGTGAGTGTGGCCGACACGCGGTCATTCCCACAGATGAAGGTGTACTCTGCAGAGTCGTCCCTGCTGGTGTTCATGATCTTCAGCTGGTGGACTTTCCCCTGCACCACGATCCGGAACTTCTCACTCATCTCGATCTCCACGCCGTTCTTCAGCCAGGTGGACGGCACGTTGAAGTGAGAAACTTCACACTCAAAAGAGGCCACCTGAGTCTCAGGAACCTCCACGCTCTTCATGGGTTTGGTGACTCTCAGAGCTGTGGGAATGACACACACTCACAAGATTAGTGGATTGAAAAGAACACAGGAGGAGGGTTCCTGCTGGTTCTGGGGGCTTACATTCGACGGTGAGGTGGGCGCTACACTGCAGGTGGCCAATCACAGCCGTGAACTCTCCCTGTCTGCTGTTGTCCACGTTGTGGACTATCAGTTTGTGGGTCCTCTTCTCAGACAGCATAGTGTAGTGATCACTGGGCCTCAACTCTGTGTTGTTGAACATCCATCTGACTGGTATGTTGTCCTCAGAGATCCCCACTTCAAACACAGCTGTTGCACCCAGCAGTGACGTAACATCTTTAGGCTTCTTCAGGATCTTGATGGCTGAGAGAAAACAGTTCAGTTAGAGAATGTTCTCAGAGGGATGTGAGCCAAACGCTGGTGGAAGAGCTCTTACTCTCAACATTAAGCCTGGCGTTTGCAGACAGCTTTCCCAGTTTGAACGAGTAGACAGACTCGTCTTGGGTGTTACAGTTCTTGATCTTTAAGGTGTGGACCGTTCCCTCTGTTGTCATTTCAAACTTCTCACTAGGCTGGATCTCCACACCATTCTTGATCCACTGGGCTCCTCTAACATTCTCGTGGGTCAGCTCCAAGCTGAAAGCAGCCTCCTGGGTCTCAACCACGTTCAGGTTCTTCAAAGTCTTCTTGATCTTCACAGCTGTGAACACAATGGCCTCCATCAGTTCATCGTTTAGGTATTTATGTAAAAGGAGACATGCAGCTGATCTGGAGAAGTCTGGGACACTGAGACGTTTCGTAAAAACGTATGTTTAACTGCCCGATTCTAACCCTGGACTGACCTTCCACCTTGAGAGAAGCTGTAGTCCTGGAGGCGGCCACCTGGTAGGTGTACTCTCCCACATCAGTGGTTTTGGTGATGATGATGATGAGACGTCTGACAGCGCCATCTGACTCACTCAGCACGTTTTCACCAAAGTCAACGAGCTGGCCGTCTTTCAGCCACTTGCCTTCAGCAGACGGGTTGGCTACCTGACACTCCAGAACCGCCGTCTGAGAGTCGGCTACCACCAGGTCCCTCAGAGGCTTCTTGATGGCTCCACCTGGTTGCAGAGGAGAGGATGAATTTTCTTTGGCTTCCCAACCCACTCCCATTGTAAGAAAACCCTCTTGTCTCAATCCCAGAAAGCAAGGAAAAATGCTACTGAAGCACAAGCAAACCAGAAAAGGAACAAGGTGCAGAGGTGGGCCGACAGCAGTAGTACAATACGGGTGGAAGAAGAAATGAGTTTAAAAAAAGGAGCTGCACATAAATCAATCTAAATGTGACGTTGTTGAAAACCCCAAATCTTCTTTCTGAGTGAGCGTGTGCTGCGGGGCCGGCAGCTACGTGTAAACACAGTGCCAGCCTCTACTGCAGAGCACAGTCACTACCTTAATCACCTTGACTGAGCATGCTCAGAACATGAATGTTACAACATGGCTGACTTACCTGTGACGGTGAGTGAAGCTCTGCATGTCTTCTCACCAGCTGCAAACATGTACTCGCCTTCCTCATCCTTCATGGCATTGATGACTGTCAGGGTGTGTAGCTTATTCTTGGTCTCCATCTTGTGAGTGGCGCCAGCTTTTAGTGGCTGGTCCTTGAAGGTCCAATAAGGATCGATTCCCAGGTGAGAAACCTCCACCTCAAACGTGACGTTCTCAGACTCGGAGCACTCTGTGTCCACCATCGGCTTCACAATCTGAACAGCTGATCAGCAGGAACAAGAACATTTCACCAACCCAATCACCACTAGACAATGGTGTCCTTTCTACTCAGTGTAACAACAATCAAGCAGAATCCAGGTAGACCGGCTTCAGACGTTTTCACCAGAAACCCTTTCCAACCCCACCTAACCCTTAACCTGTCTACAACAGACCATCTCCTCCTTCCACTGAGCTATTAGTTTGTGTGAAGCTTGGTGGACTCATCTGATCTCATGTCACTTACGTTCAATGGTCAATTTACAGCTGGTGTCCACTCGGCCTACTACCATCCTGTAGTGTCCTTCGTCAGAAGCGTAGGTCCTGCTGAAGACCAGGCGCTGTTTGGCTCCCTTTGCCACCATGTTGACCCGCTCACTGGGTTCCAGCAGCATGTCGTTGTGGTACCATTTGACAGAGCTGACGTCCTGAGCAGAGATCTTGGCTTCAAGGACAGCCTTGGTTCCTTCAATGGAGGACACGTCCTTCAAGGAGATCAGGACGCCAATAGCTGCAACACAAAGAAAGCATTTCTTAGTAAAACTTCCTTCTGCACAAGTACCTGGTTCGACAAACACGCGTGGCTGAGAGACCTACTCTGAATGACCAGCTTAGCAGAGGTTGAAATGTCATGATCGGGATTCACAAAGGAGTACATCCCAAAGTCATCCTTGATGGCATCTTCAATCAGGAGTTTGTGGATCTGTTTATCAACAACAATGTGAACACGGTTTGAAGCCGTGACTGGTTGTCCATTCTTCATCCAGCTGCCTTCAACGTTCTCTTGAGAGAACTTGACCTCGAGCAGAGCGATGTCGCCCTCACAAACAGTCAAGTCAGTCAAAGGCTGTATCAGGGTCACTGGACGCACTGAAAGACAACAACAAGAACACATCTAGGTCACCTGCGCCCTGTAGGCACTACAGAGAATACACAGAGGTCTGAATAAGTAGAACATCTGCAAAAGCTCACATTTCATCTTCAGTGAGGCACTGGTCTTGAATTCTCCCACGGTGAAAGTGTACTTTCCTTGGTCCTCCTTCTTGACATCTTTCACGGTCAGAGAATGTCTCCCACGGCGCGAGGACATGGTGTATTTACCACTGGCAGAAAGCAACTTGCCCTCAAAGAACCAGCTACCTTCAGCATCCTCACGGGACACCACACATTCGAATTCGCCACTATAGGTCTCGGGCACCTCTGTGTTCTCCAGCTGCTTCAGGATCTCCAGAGGGGCTCCTGTTAGTTATACAGACCATAAACCAGTAACCACAGCACTTAAAGGTAGGAATGGCTCCAGCTAAGACTCACTGGACCTATTTACATTGTTCAAAGACACGGAGGAGGTTGAATGTTCACCAGATGAAATGATTGAAACCCGCTGCCATTGCTTTGAAGCGTGTATTCCATGTGTCAGCGGTGCTTTGTCCTAACGTAGTCCCAAGTCTAAATCTGTGAACCTGGACTTATGTTAATTTACACTGAGGTCGCCAAGAAAAATGTGTCATTTTCATGACTAGCTGTCACCAGTGTTTATGCTAAGCTTAAGCTAACAGATTACTGCCAGATCAGGAGAATGACTGGGCTGGTTACAAAATGCCTGGGGTGGAAAATCTCTTTAAACATTTCACACTGGACCGACCGCCTGACCCACCTTCAACATTGAGTTTGGCAGAGGTCTGAATGTTGTCATCGTCGATGACCACGCAGGAATATTCTGCATCATCCCTCATCTCAATCACCAGCACCGACAAGAAGTGGACCTTTCTGTCTGAGTGCATTCTATACTTGTCTCCTGAGAAGATCTCCACATTGTTCTTCAACCATTTGACCTTGACAAAAGGCTCATTGGTTTCACACTCAAAGGTCGCCATTGTGTCCTTCTCCTTGGCGTTGACCTCCTCCAGCTTCTGTGTGAAGGTGATCACTTGTTTTGCTGCAAAGATTTCAGAAAGACATTCCTGAGCAGCAGAAGGGTTAGACAGAGTTTAGACAACGGTGTGTTCTGTTACCTTGAACCAGCAGGAAAGCATGGCTGGAAGTCTCTCCAGCTTTGCTGGAGGCCTTAACCATGATGCTGGCAGAATCCTCTGCTGTCACATCTCTGATCACCAGTTCACACACCTGGTCTTCAGGCCAGTACCAGTAAACACGGTCAGACTTCTCCAGCTGAACACCGTTTTTGAACCACTGGCATTCAGGTTCTGGTCTACCAATGACCCGGACTCTGAACTTGACTTCATCACCCTGAGCAACGGTCTGGCTGGTGATCCGCTCCAGGATCTTAGGAGCTTCCATGCTGGCTGAGAGCTTGACTCTCTCTGGTTTCAAAGGTTTAGCAGTAAGTTTGCGTTGTTGCTCCTCCTTTTTCTTCTCAGCCTCCTCTTTTTCTTTGGCATGGTGAAGTAGGTCCTCTTTTGTCTTCTTCAGGAGATCTTCATAAGAATCATCCCTCTTGCGAGACTTGAGTTCAACAGCTGTGATGGACTCATAGTAGCCTTCTTCTGTCCTGCGCTTGAATTTGCTCCTCAGCTCCTCTGACTCCTCAATGGCCTTCTTGTGGACTATTCTCTGTACCTTCTTTAGTTTGACCACCTCCTTCTGCTGGGTATCCTCCACAGGTTCCTCAGCCTTCACCACCTCAAATGGAGTTTTTCCAGGCTCATGGGCAGCTTCAGCTCCCTTAACTTCAGGGGTACGGCGGAGATGGGTTCTGAAGTCCTCTTTCTGCTGAATTTCCAGCTTCACAGTGTGCTCAACTGAACCCAGGTTGCTGTCTGCTACGACTTTCACCTCACCTGAGTCATAAGACTTGATATCTGTAATCTCCAGATAGTAAATACCATCGTAACGAAGTCTGTATCTCTTGCTTTTTCGGATGAGTTGTCCGTTCAGGTACCAGTTAACCTTTGGAGCCGGATAACCAGTCACTCTGCAGCGAAATCGAGCTGTGTCACCTTCCATGACCATAACTGGTTCTGGGAGAAGGACTATTTCGGGTTTCATTTTTTCCGTCTCTTCTTCAGCAGTTACTCCATACGGTCCACCTTCATGAGCCATCCGCTCAATCTCATCCATTCGATACACTCCCTTCCTGCCTTCAGGAAGCTGCGTTTCCTCAACCAGGCCCTTCTCATCCTTGACGATCAGGGTGGCCGAGGTCTGGTCCACTCCAAACTTGTTGGTAGCTCTGCAGGTGATGACGCCGCTGTCTCTGGCGTAAGCTACTTCATAGTCAAGGCTGCAGTAGCCAAACTCGTTGACCATACGCAGCCTGTTGGCGGCTGCCAGAGGTTTGCCGTCATGCAGCCACTCCACCGTCATGGTGGGGTCCCCGATCGGAGTCAGTCTGCATTCAAAATGAGCCGGACCAAAACATTTCATGCGGACAGAAGTAAGTTTCTTCTTGAAAAGAGGTTTCTGCTGCTTCTCTTTGTCGTAGAGGTCTCCCTCCTCCCACTGCTCCTGGCCGTATCGCAGGTGTAAGGGCTCCAGCTCAGGGGGGTTGATCTCTTTGGCTTTGTAAGTTCCTTTGGGAATAATCAGCTTCTTCTCTGGCTCAGGTTCAACATGGTCCATCTCCACGTTGACTCTGCAGCGGGTGGTGTCTCTGCCAGCCCTGTTGATGGCTGTAGCAGTGTACCAGGCGCTATCTGAGCCTCCAGCAGAGGGGATCTGAAACTTGGCTTCTCCTTTGGTTCCTTCGATTCTGCAACATTAGATTATTTTATTTTAGGGTGGCTCTATATCTAAAACACATCTAAATTCAGATTACTGAATCAAAATATTTATTTTTGTTATTAACGTAAAAATATGTGTAACATTAGTGCTGGGCAATAAATCAAAAATGTATAGTGATCGAGGTAAACTCCTCAGTATAGCGTGATATTGATTTTAGGCCATATCGCCCAGCCCCATGTAACATACTGTTGAACATTAGATCCTGGAGGTAACAGGTCCAAGTCACGTTTGCAAATGTTACCGTACATTATGAATATTGTGCAGCACCCTGCCAACGGGGAGCTACCCTAGTGACCTCTGTACAAGCAGTACCCTCAGTTACCCCCAAATTCCACTACCTCCGCTCCGGTCCGCCCCCGCCTTCCGCAGCTGCTCGCTTCTGAACTCAATTTTTACTGGTACCCGCTCTACAACGGCTCCGCTCCGGTGCGGAGACCTGAGGGGGGCAAACAAGCATGCGCGGGATTTTCGAGATCTTGCGATACAGTCCGAGCAATAAACGCGGAAGTTAGATCCAAACACCCGTTGTGTGGGAGAAGCATCGAAATGAACTGTTTAATCTGCCCATCATTTGTGTTGAGAGATCAGCAGTGTTTGGATCAACAAAGTGTGACTACTTTGATAGTAGAAACTGTATTTATGGCTTACTTATGTGCATTTAAACTTCAGCCGCCATTGATAGTTGTTAAAAGTTGTTAAACCTGTGCATATGAAACAAAAAACGCTTTTTGTTTATCGATTTATTGTGAAATAACGGAAGTTGTGCTTGCTCCCTTTCCTGTTGGGCGGTTGTGATTTCTGTCCATTGACTGCGGAGGTGCTCCGGCGTCCGGCAAAAATAGGATCGATTCTATTTTTGCCGGACGCCGGAACAGAGGGCGGCGCACTGCGCCGAACTGCCGGAGCTCGGCCGCAGTAGTGGAATTGCTCTGATTGACTACAACGGGACCGATTTTGCTCCGGAGTTCGTGCTGGAGTGGAGCGGAGGTTGTGGAATTTGGGGGTTAGGGTCAGCAGTTCCCAAATGAAACTAGAGACAGGCTCTGAATCAAACACAGGTGTGGTTAAACCAGGCGCTCAGCTGGATCTTACTTCATCTGTAGTCTGATTTTCAGTAAACATACAGGTGAACGTCAATATCTACTTTGAATGAGACGTACTTAATGTTTGGGTGTTTGTGTGCGGTGATGATGTCACTGTTCTTCAGCCAGACGATGTCAGGCAGGGGGTTTCCAATGGCTCTGACAGCCAGTTCAACCAGAGTGCCCTGCTTCACGCTAATGTTCTTCAGCTTCTCCGTAAACTGTGGACGCACCAGGGTCTCTTTAGCTGAAACAAACAAAATCCAGATGTGAAGTCATTTGATGTGTCAACACAGAGGAGGCATCTAGCAAGAGAGCTGAAGCTGACCATCAACAGTGAGCGTGACAGAGACAGAAGAGCGGCCAGCTCTGTTCTGAGCCACCACCGTCCACTCTCCAGAGTCGTGAGGCATGGCTGGGACAATGATCAGGGACTGCGTACCGTCCTCTTTAACCACGATTTTATGGGTGTGGTCACTTACTATTTGTTGTCCTGAGAAGAGAAAACATGTTTTAATTTAATGAACAACACTTGATGATGAGAAACAACTTTTACGAGGGTGTTTAGTCCCACTCACCATTGTGGAACCAGTAAGTGTCAGGCATCGGTCTACCGACAACTTTGAGGTCAAATCTGGCCGTTTGTCCCTCAGAGCATTTACATGAGGATGGTTTCACAACAAAGACGGGTTTGTAAAGTCTTTCCAACTGAGCCTCATCAGTCTCATCAAGGCGGCGAGCAGGTGAACGGCTAGGCGAACGGCTAGGCGACCGGCCAGGAGAGCGGCTGAGTGAGCGAGGAGATGCCGACCTGAGAAAACCATCCGTATTTTTCATGAGTTCTGGTTGAAGCTGCGTTTGGACTCCGGACCTGTAAAGTGTTTTCTGAGTGGCCCTTTACCTGATTCTCTGTACTGCAGGCTGTGGCGTGTATCTCTGAGGAGCAGCTCCGGTCGACTCCACGTAGAGCTTCCCTGAGCTCACGGCGTTTCCCTTCATGTTGGAGGCGAAGGCTGTGTACACACCCTCATCTTCTGGTTGGACCACAGGCAGACGGAGGCTGGCCCGTCCATCCTGAAGAACCTCCATCTGGTAGCGGCCTCCAGGTCTGATGCGCTGCCCGTCTTTATACCAAACAATCTGCCACGAGTGAAAACATCAGTTGAAACGAGCTGTGCCCCTCTGGACTCAACAGAACACAAAACCCTTCCTCACCTTGGGCAGCGGCATGCCTGACATCCTGCAGTGGAAGGTGACACTCATTCCCTCCATTATCCTGTAGTTTTTGACGGGTGTGTCGAAGGCTGGCTGCACCGCCTCAGTGACGGCAGCGGTTACCATCAGCTCTCCATCCTCTGTAACAATCTCTTTGTAGGTGATTTTCATGATGCTCAGCTCGATCTCCTGAATAATTCTTTGCTCCATGGCAGACAGGTGAAACTCCTGCAGACGTGACCCAGAATGATCTTCTGTTACAACAAGGTCACCAGTTCCCCATGTTACTGGCAGGCTGTTGCTCCCTCGCCCAATCATACCTGTCCAGAGATGATGGTAATCTGCTCCTTTAGAGTAACTGAGGTTGGAGGAACATCTCCCACTTTGGGTTCCTGTACTGGAATGGTCACTTCAGTTTTAAAGGCTAGTTCCTGTTTCTTCACATAGGCTTCATATTCCTCTGCAGGAAAACAAAGATGTGATCTGACTGTGTCCCACCGACTGAGGTGGAACGTGTCCGACTGGAGCGGGGCTACAACGACATCTTCATGTGAAGTAAATAAGTTCATGAGCAGATTCAAAGCATCACAAATGGTCAAACATGAACCTCAATGCCATTGGCTGTTAGTGTGGACTTTGGAAACACTGGAACAGCTGTCTGCAGGTCTATCCGTCTAAATGCAGCTAAGAGTTAGCGCCACACAGAAACTTTGACTTATAAATCACGTAAGGCTATTTAAATCTCGTCTATTGTGTCATTCGCAATATAATCAGTTAATATTTGTTGCTTTAGAAAAATGCAGAGGAACACGCTCGAGCGGGTCATGCAGCACGGAGTTATTAATGGCCAAGTTCACTTGTTTCTGCAGTGCTCTGTAGTATAAATGAGTGCTTTGTGAGTCTCTCTGGGAAAAAAAAGCTCTGGTGCTCCTGTTTCAGGGACTAGAAGGGAGCCAGATCAGAGTTAAGCAGAACACGACAGGATCTGGAGTTTTACTTCCTGATATGTGGGCATCTCTCCTCTGACTGGCTAACAGCAGCATGACTCTACCACTGACTCTGCTTGCTCTGCAACGTTGGTGTTTTATCTCCACAAATAACACAAGGCAGGAGGAGTTCTGCTGTGTGGTGCAGTTGCTAATGCTAACAGTTAGCTTCTACTAGCAGAGACGTTCTCTGCTGTTTTCTGGACGCTAAACCAACAACAGCCTTCCCCGTCGTGAGTCCAGACGGGTGAGTCCATGAATGTTAGTGACAGCGTGACGTAGATCTGTCAGGCTTTTCTAATCCTAAAGTTTCACCGTCTGTTTTCTATCAGAAGCTAATGCAGGAGATAGATGTAGGAGACTATTTTCATGTTCAGCCTGCATGAAACACTCAGGGTTGCCCGTTAGGATCAGAAATAACAAGTAAAAACAGTTTATTCTCTGAATTTGGCCTTTAAAGAAATGTGGCCGGCATCTCAGTTTTCCCTCATATCAGCGAGTCAGGAAAGACACGCCTCTGAGCGGCTGCTGCCGCCCGCCATGCTAGTTACTTCTCCCCTCACAAACAGGACAACAACATGGTGGGAAGGCTCGCTGAAACATGAAGAAAGGTCCTCAAAAACGAATGCCTGCGAAGTTGAGTGTAAATTTGAATAAAGAAAACAACTTTTCTGTAAGTTTTGTCAGCACACCATCAGCTGGATGTATAAGTTTAGATGACAGAGAAGCAGCAGTATCGACGCCCTGTCCTACAACCTACTGGTTGTGCAGCACCAGGCTAAAGGTCAAAGGTGACAGATCGTCTGCTGCTGTGGCCCCCAGACTCTGGACCTCTCTCCCCCTGAGCCTGAGCTCAGTGGACTCAGTGATCTCCTTTAAACTCACCTGTTCAGGTATGGTGGGACCATCATCATCACCCTCTCCTGGTTCTGTTCTTATCCTGCCTTTCCCAGGATCCACTGATTTTCCTCTTTCCTGCTCACTTTCTCTCTACACTTTTTTTAATCACAATATTTTTTTCTCATTTTAAACATCTTCTTAATAATTTTTTGAAATCTCTTTAATATTCTAATTTTTGTGTTTGTTTACGTGAAGCACCTCGTGACTTTTATCTTGAGAGGCGCGCCATAAAACACTGTTTTCTTTCTTCCTGGAGTTCAGACTAGAGCTCTGCGTGGGACAACATTTTAAATCCTGCTCCCAGGGTGTTCTTGACCATCATCCCTGCGAGGCTCACTTTAGACTCTCATCGTGGATTTAGACGCCATCAACATACCTTCCTCCAGAAGGCTGGTGGAAGCAAAGACCTCTCCCAGCTGATTCTTTGCAAAGACAGAGTATTCTCCAGCATCATCAGCGAAGGTCATGGAGATCTCCAACCTGCACTCTCCCGTCTCCTTCTTGTAGGTATCATTGTATCTAAAGATGTGAGAGACACCTGTCTGTTAAAGCCTCTGTACAAACAACATCCTGGCATTTAAACCGGCTTTAGACTCTTAGAAGTCACTAAACCTCCACACTGAAGTATTGTAGAGGTTTAGACTTCTGTTGGTGATGTAGGCCTTCTAATACCTGTATCCACTGGTTAGCGGCACGCCATTTTTCTTCCACACGACGTGAGGTTTGGGGTTTCCTCCCACCTGACACTCAAACACAACACTTCCACCCTCCACCAGCTTCTGAGCGGTTGGTTTCTTGATGATGACTGGCGCAGCTGTAGGAGTATCGGGCTCAGGCAGACTCGCCTCTTCGGTCGTTTCCTCTGTAACTCTGAAACAGATCATTCTGGCTTCAGTATCAGCTGAGCTCTACTAGCTTATCTGTGGAGGAGAACTCACAGTTTCTGAGCAGCCTCCTGTTCCAGGGACACTTCCTGTCTGCTCTCAACATCTTCGGACACTAAAAGCGAAACAACAAGGACAACTTGAGGTGTTTGTGCAACAAGGAAGTTTAGCTTCAAGTTTAAAGCAGTTGAACTTATTTTTTTAAGCGCTCATTTACGGCCCAAGTCATGTCAAAGCATTTGAAAAGGAAACAAGTTCATCTCAAGGTAGGCTTCACGCTAACTGAACATAAAGTCAGATTCATTATAAAACTGGTGACACCAAGTGTCCACCAGAAAGGAGGCTCACAACTGAAAGCTCAGCCTCCTGTGCTACTTGTAGTGAGGAAGCAGAGTCTGGGGACTTTGGGTTGGACTCTCCAAACTCTGGTGCTGAGGTCACTGGGGTGGTCAAAAAGCTCCTCTGTGGCAAGGCTCCGGGGATGGATGAGATCCACCTGGAGTTTCTTAAGGCCCTGTTTATACAGGGGGACCGCAGGATGTGTTCCAGCTACAGGGGGCTCACGCTCCTGAGCCTCCCTGGTAAGGTCTATTCAGGAGTTTTGGAGAGGAGGGTCCGGCGGATTGTTGAACCTCAGATTCTGGAGGAACAATGTGGTTTTCCTGCTGGCCGTGGAACACTGGACCAGCTCTACACCCTTAGGGGGGTCCTGGAGGGTGCGTTGGGAGTTCGCCCAACCAATCTTGACCGTGTCCCTCAGGAGGCCCTGTGGGGGGTACTTTGGGAGTATGGGGTACCAGGAACTCTGACATGGACAATCCCGGCCCCCAACCAGAGAATGCTGCTGTTGTGTCCTTGGGCAAGACACTTAACCTAACGTACCTGTCGGTGGTGGTCAGAGGGACCGGTGGCGCCTGTGCTCAGCAGCCTCGCCTCTGTCAGTGTGCCCCAGGGCAGCTGTGGCTACATCGTAGCTCATCGCTACCAGCGTGTGACTGGGTGAATGATACACTGTAGTGTAATGAGCTTTGGAGCCCTCTGGCTCTGAAAGGTGCTGTACAAGTGTGGGTCGTTTATCATTAAAAACCAGTACCAACACCGTCCCCCTGTCAAAAGCCAGTGTAGATACCTGTCTACTGCATAAGGCCAGTACGGACAGCAGCCCAACAGTCGGATGAGATCAGTTATTTATAAAGATCTTGACAATAATGTAAGGTGTTATGGTAACAGAGGATGTTTTCGGATGTATGATCTGTATTTCAAGATCAATGATATGGTGCCATCTGTACCCTGGACCAGGAGGTAGCAGGTAGTGCTGATGGTTCCCGCCTCATTAGTTGCTGTGCAGGTGAACCGGCCACTGTCTTCAGCAAATGCTTCACGGATCATCAAGCGAGCATGGCCCTTCTCGTAGCTGATCTGGAAGTCGATGGAGCTCTCGATCTTGTAGTCCTCTCTGAACCATATGATGACTGGGGTGGGCTGACCACTAATCTGACACTCCAGGGTCACCGACTCACCCTCTGTAACCGTCACATTCTTCAGACCCTGAAAAGAAACAAGTCACCTCCTTTACAAGACAAGAAGATGGACTGTGATAGAACATTCAAGAATAATGGAGGGTCGTATAATCCTAGAAGGCCATTTTACTGAGAAAATTTCACTTACAGACATAAGTGTGGGTGGAGCCACAGCGCCTCCTGGAGATGGGACAGCTGCTGCCTCCTCTACCTGTCATAATCACACCTGTTAGATCAGTAATGCTAAACCTGTAAACTGAGCAGAAAATGCAGAACTTTAAACACATTTACAGCCAACGTGTGGTGAAAAGGAATTCACACACACACACACACACACACACACACACACACACACACACACACACACACACACACACACACACACACACACACACACACAGAGGGGCTAGATGGACTCAAGAGGTGAGAAGGATGTCAGCAGCTCTGACAAGCTGATGAAAATTTAATTTGAGGAACATTTGATCTGGATTTTCACAGAAATCTAGAAAACCAGACGTGGATCTTCCCAGAGGTCCATCTCTGGTGGTTCTAAGGGTCTGATTCTTCCAACAAGACTAAAACAAGTTATTTTGTCTGTTTGTCCCGAGAAAGGATTAAATGATTTACCTGTTAATGAAATAAGACTGAAATTTGCAGGAGGGTAAACATCTACCTGTGCAAACACACTTTTGGTGCTGTGGGGAACGTCTGAGAGTCAGAAATGATTCTGATTGGATATTTGGTTGTTCTCGTATTGGATGGACTTTAGACTTCAGGGTTTCTTTCCCTGTTCAGATCCAGCTCACAGACCTTTGTTTCCCAGTGCTCATACACTCCGTCTCGACCCCCCAGGTACACCACCCCTGTCTGTAACTGGGGACCAAGGACACATTTCCCAGTAGATTGTTTTAGCGGTGGGGGAGTGGACTCCTGAGGCTCCCCAGACCTGGTCACTTTATAACATGGACTGGGAGACTTGATGGGCTGGATGACCCTTTTAGCAGTGGTAGAAGATGAAGTGAGCGATTCATTTTCATGCTGTTGAGTAAACTTCTGTCTGTAGCACGGAGCTGCCGCTCAGTGGGAACAGGAGAACATAGCTCTGTGTGTGTGTGTGTGTGTGTGTGTGTGTGTGTGTGTGTGTGTGTGTGTGTGTGTGTCAGCCTGTGTACATCCTGATCTCTTTGGAATTGATCCTCATGAGAAAATAAAGACTCCTCCTATGAAAATACCTCCAGTGTAATATGCTAATGGATGCTAAAATCAAAAACCTAGTCTATTCACCTGGAAATGAGGAGAACCTAGGCAGAACTTGAGTCTAAAGTAGACCGAGGAGCATTCCAAACATTGTTTGGTCCAGTGTCCCCTATTCATGCCATGGAGCTCTTCATAATGAAAACCATAATAATAATAATACCTAGATAAATTGCATTTCTTGCAGAAATGCTGTTTGAATGCTGGATAGCTTAAACCAGGGGTTGGCAACCTGTTCCCATCAAAGAGCCATTATTACCCGTTTCCCACAGTAAAGAAAACACTGGGAGCCACAGCAGCCGCGGCGTTGTGGGCGGGGCCTACCCTCAGACAGCAGAGAGCTGCTTACAACAGGTGACAGCAGCCGGTATCGGTCGCTCGTGTACATCAAAGTTATCTTTCATAAGAAGATAATCAATAAAACGATTTATATAAAGTGGATCCAGAAGTTGTAGCTCGTCTCTGCTACAATATTTTGATATTTTTCACCCTGTTGGTGGTTTTACTGAGCAGGTGCCACTTTTGTCATACGTTTCTTTTTAAAACATGTTTAGACTGTTCAGAATACAAATCCAGACTCTGTCATGTTTGATAGTTGTAATTAAACTTTGTAGGTGTGGAAGGTCAGAAAAGGATCCGATCATTTTGTTTTTCCCTCATTTACAGCGACGGAGACAACGGCGCAGTGCGCCTGGCTCTGGTGTTAATCAAGTTTAATTTGATCTATTTTCACAAGAAAACAGAACAGTTAAAAGCAGGGCTTGTGTTGTGTTGACCAGATAGTTCCCGTATTTGACCGTTTATTTTGATGGAGAAAGAATAGAAAGAATTACCCCGACGCATGCAGACGTACTGACATTTTATTCTACGCACATCGCAGATGTAGCTAAATCACTCAAGAAAAGATTCCCATCTGAACATCTGAGATGGACACTGATCAGTGCAGCTCACTGTCAGCGCGTGCATATGGTGCACAGCGAGCTGAAGATGTGGAGAGGGGCTTGGAGCGCGTTGCAGAACCAGAACCATGCAGGAAGGTTCCTCCCACTGAAGCGAGTGTTTTACAATCCCGGTCTCTCAGAGAGACTTGTCACTTAGAAAATGTTCCCTGATTATGAAACTTTGGCTGAATAGTGCTTGTTCCTGTCTCCAATGTGGCGACGCATCCAGGAGCCGTCTGAGGAGAAGCCCAGAATCTCACATCCTCTTCAGCTCAGGAAGCGCCGATATGATTACGCACAAGCGTGACCCGTCAACCCGGTCTCACAGTAAGACTGGGTTGGGCCTGTTCAGGTTTACGCAGACAATCTTTACTAGAATTGACTTACAGATATAAAATTAATGCAGTAAAATATAAAGCTTTTTATTTAAATATCCATTCATTATTTTACAAGCATAGAGAGCCGCATCAGATGGATGGAAGAGCCACGGGTTGTGACATGTTTTCTCCAGGACCAGAGAGGACGCAAACTCAGTACATCTCTTTTATTGTGAGGTAATATTTCTCCGAGTTTTGCGGTTGCGGGCGGGAGTAGACATGCACGCTACGGGTGCGGGCGGGAGTGTAACACACACGTTGCAATTGCAGCCGGTAATGGTCAGAAATTCAGTGGGAGCGGGCAGGAGTGGGATGAAGAAAACAGTCCCGCGCAGGGCTCTACTGTTGCGTTTGTGTTTCTTTTTTTTTTATGAATTCGATTAAAAATAAAGGAGCCCGGCCCGGCCCGTGTCCGAGGTGTCCGAGCTTTATAAATAAAACTTTGATTGATTGATTGATTGATTACACAGTCGTTGGCCCGAAGCCCGGCCTGAGGGCCTAGGGCTTCAGTGCAGGGCTCTAGTCAGAATGATGACCTGGACCAGGACTTGATCGGTCTGAGACCTGGACCAGAACTTCAGCAGTCTGAGTCCTGGACCAGGACTTGAGCGGTCTGAGACCTGGGCCAGGACTTGATCAGTCTGAGACCTGGACCAGGACTTGATCGGTCAGAATGATGACCTGGACCGAGATTTGATCAGTCAGAATGATGGCATGGACCAGGACTTGATTGGTCTGAGACCTGGACCAGGACTTGATCGGTCTGAGACCTGGACCAGGACTTGATGAAAAGAATGGAATGTATTTATTTACTCGACTAAAAGCCGATGGAATTGATTGTGTGTGAAATGTGTTTCATAAATAAAGCTGCCTTGTCTAAAAAGTCAAAAGTTGTATCAAGGACACACAAAGACCCTGATAAGGGTCTAGCCCAAACCTGGGCATTTTACGGCCCGCGGGCCACATCAGTTACGCGGCCCGCGTAAGGTTAACTGGAAATTACAAAATAAATGTATTTTCTCATTTTACCTCATGCATGGACTAAGGCTGCATTGCATTTATTTTGAAGTTGTTTTTTACGTACACAATGACGCAATACGTATAGCAACAGGTGCCCATTGACGTGATCGTAGCCCCCAGAAATTTCCGCTCATGCAAAAAAAAAAAAAAAAAGAAAGATGCCGAATGCAGGATTTTCAACAAAAATTGGACTGCTAAGTATTTTTTTACTGAAGTCGAAGGTAAAGCTGTGTGTTTGGTTTGCGGGGAGGAGATTGCCGTGTTTAAGGACTACAATTTGAGTCGGCATTACGACAAGAAACACTCGGAAAAATACAAGAACTTGTCTGATGCTGAGAGGGCACGGACATCCGAAGCTTTGCTAGCAAAGTTGCAAAAGCAGCAAGGCTTTTTTTTACTAAGCTTCACACATCCAGGGATGCAGCAACCAGGACCAGCTTTGTGATATCCCACAAAATAGCTAAAAGCAGCAAGCCGTTTTCGGAGGGAGAGTTCGTCAAAGAGTGCATGGTGGACTCTGCCGCACTAATATGCCCTGAAAAAAAGGCGCATTTGAACAAATCCCGCTGTCCAGCCGAACCATGACCAGGAGGATCGAGGACATCGCGGGGAACCTGGAGCTTCAGCTGCAACGTGAAGTGGCAAGTTTAGACTTTTTCTCATTGGCCTTAGACGAGAGCTGAGATGTCCGCGACACAGCCCAGCTGCTCGTATTCGTCCGGAGGATAACGGACTTCAAGCTCACAGAGGAGCTGGCAGCAATGCGGTCGATGAAAGGGACAACGACAGGGAGGGATCTTTTTACAGAGGTAAATGTGTGCATGGACACTCTGGGATTGAAATGGGAGAGACTGTCAGGTGTCACAACAGACGGTTGTCCAAATCTTACGGGGAAAAATGTCGGACTTTTGAAACGCATGCAAGATAAAGTGACAGAAATCGATCCAGATCAAAAATAGGTGTTTTTGCATTGCATTATACACCAACATGTGTTGTGCAAGTCAGTGCTAAAAATCAACCGTGTTACTGATGTTGTTACTAAAATAATAAACTTCATCAGGGCATGGGCAAAGAATCACAGACAGTTTGTGGCTCTTGTGGAGGACTCCACACAGCTGTCAGATGGCTCAGCCTGGGGAAAGTGCTGACGAGGGTTTGGGACTTGAAAGCAGAGATTCGAGAGTTTTGCGAGAGGAAAGGCAAAGACATTCCAGAGCTCTCAGATGAGGATTGGATGGCAGATTTTGCATTTGCTGTCGATGTGACTGCACTGATGAATGAACTGAACACCAAACTGCAAGGCAAGGGCCTTTTTGTTCATGAAATGCACAGCCTCGTGAAGGCCTTCATGAGAAAGCTGCAGTTTCTTTCAAGTCAACTGGAGAGCAACACTCTCACTCACATGCACACCCTGAACGAAGTCACACCATCAGCTGATCACCTCAGCAGGTACTCATCCATGTTAGGAGCATCACATGGTGAGTTTTCAAGGTGTTTTGAAGATCTCAGAACAATCGAGGATGAAATGCACATGGCGACGGTGGCACAGGAGTTAAGTGCTCGCCCCGTAATCAGAAGGTTGCAGGTTTGAGCCCCGCTCAGTCTGTCGCTGTCGTTGTGTCCTTGGGCAAGACACTTAACCCACCTTGCCTGCTGGTGGTGGTCGGAGGGACTGGTGGCGCCAGTGCTCGGCAGCCTCGCCTCTGTCAGTGCGCCCCAGGGCAGCTGTGGCTACATTGTAGCTCATCCCCACCAGTGTGTGAATGTGTGTGTGAATGGGTGAATGACTGATTGTGTTGTAAAGCGCCATGGGGGGTTCCAGGACTCTAGAAGGCGCTATATCAAATACAGGCCATTTACCATTTCCTCTCCCTTTACCTGCAGTGTGGATAATGCACCCAGTGATGTGCAGCTGGAGCTCATTGACCTGCAGTCTGATGCAGTACTGGCAGACAATGTTGGGCAAGTTACTTCAAAACTGTAATGCATTATTTATTACTTGTTACCCTCATTTTAAAGTAATTCATTACATTACAATATTACTGATTTTAAAATGTAAGGCATTACACTACTTTTGCATTACTCTAAGTTACTTTCAACAAAACAACTTCAGTATGAGTTTGGTAATCTGATGCCTGGTGAACTCATGACACATCCGGTGGAAGGTGATGTGGTGTCTGAGCTAGGACTGCTGTTAAAAACAGTTCTTTAGAAGGATTGTTTATGTAATAAATGCAACAACAAACTGTACTCTCAGCACGCTGCCATCTTAGATTAACTGAGCGGCGAGTGAGGTGGTGGGGGCTCCAAGCCTATTTGCCTTGGTCCCCAAATGCCTTGATACGGCCCTGGATGTGGGACTGACTTCTGGGGTGATCTGATTCTATCACATGTATAAATATTAAGTGCTTATATATTATTGCTTTTCACTGGTAAAAATGAGTATTGGGGATAAATCTACCTGCATTTTTTCTTTTCAAGCACTTTGTTTTGTTTTCTTGATTTTATTTGAATAATTTCTTGCCCTTTCTCTCTCTAACCTTCCTGCATGCTGCATGTTTTCTCCGTCTTCCAGAAAAAACTGTTTCCTAGACTTCCTACTTTCTAACTAATCAGCCAAAGGGATATTCACATGCGCGGCGCTCCAGCAGCAATGAGTTGAAATCACCGGAGCCCAGATTAACTCAGCTGAGGCAAAGCACGTCAGAAAAGTACAGAATACCAGAGAACATGCGCTGATATGAACGATCGCAGGTGAATTATTTTTGTTTTAGTGGAGCAATTTTGTGAATGTTACAGTGGCCACGCGCATGATGCAGCTGAGCCGTTACCGCGGCGTCCTCTCTGCCCGCAAAGCTGAGTCCATAAATGACGTAATATATGCAGATACTGGAACTTTTTTCGGGTTTCCCGCAATTTGAATTTTTAAGAAACGCAGCTTGATTCTGGGTTTAAAAATGCATTGTAATTACCGCGTTACTGACAATTGTACCGAGTAAATATTACCAATTTCTTTCCCTGTAATGCCTTACATTACCACATTACAGCAAAAATCAATGCATTACAGTAATTAATTACTTTTGTACCACGTTACTCCCAACACTGCTGGCAGAGCACTTTAAGTCAGGATCTCTGCTGGATTTCTACTCTTCTCTTAAGGAGAACTTTCCAAACCTGAGGAGACATGCTCAGAAGATGTTGGTTCTCTTCGGCTCTACCTACATTTGTGAACAAACATTTTCAATGATGAAGTTTACAAAATCCAGGTAAAGATCCTCTCTCACTGATGATCATTTGTCAGCTGTGCTTCGCATCTCCACCTCAGACATTCAACCTGACTTTGATGCACTCGTTAAAGCCCAGCAGAGACTAGATTTCTCTCACTGAATAAGAAAAAAATCGCTTAAAAACACAAAATAAGGTGTTTGAACCACAAATGTAGGCAACTAGCAGTGAACTGGTACACTTTTTTTAAACCTCTTTCTCAAGATCACAGTTCAGTGATTTTATTTTACAGACAATACTGTGTGTCTGTAGAATGCTAAGAACCTCTTTCCAACAATATTTGAAACTCAAAATGTGTTTTGGAGTGAATGTGACTGAAACTGTTAACTAATATAAGTCACAAATGTTTAACAAAAACCAAATGTGCGCACTTTGTTTACCATTGCCTTGGGAAATTTGAATAAATCACATTTTTGTAAGCCAACCTCACTTTTTCCTTTTTGCTTATTTATAACATATAGTCTACTCTTACCAGCTTGAAAAAACAATGGTATTTACTGCTTTTTATAAAGAAATACCATTAATATTATGCATAATTGACTTCAGCCTTTTGGCCTGGCCCTCCACAATATTTTCTGTTTCTCATGTGGCCCCATGGAAAAAGTAATTGCCCACCCCTGATCTAGCCAAAGAAGGGCGGGATCAACCGTATAGTTTCTGTAGAAAAATCAACCATGAGTCCGTAAACCAAGAGGTTAGTGGAACAGATCGGGGAGAACAAAGCCGCCTGGGGTCCAGGTCTGGACCCAGACTTTGATCCTGAGCAATGTGAGTCCAAGTTCTGGTGTTGGGTCCTACATAACACCAGCTTCAGGTCCAGATTCAATTCACTCCAGCCCTTACCCGTTTGGAGTCTGTGATTGGCTGATATCCTGGTTTGACAGGATGACCTTCCTGTTTCCATGGTGGGGGGACTTCTGCAGCAGGGGGGGCCTGTTTGCGAGTGGTGATGGGGGACTTCACTGGCCTGGTGTCAGACAGAAAGAGCTACAGTTTGAGCTTCTTCTAGTACTTGTTGTGGTTCTGGTCTGCTAGGTTTGCTGACATAAACAACAAGATGATTCTCCCACCTAACAGGTGTGGCCATGGGCCCCTTCACGTGTCTGACAGGGGATGGCGACTGCTGGCGTGCTCCAGTCACCTTGGGAACCAGTGAGGGCTGGGTGGGAGACTTGGACGAAGGCTTAGGTGGAACTCTGGGTGGAGTCTTGTAACCCAGCATCTGAGTGACCTCAACACCCTCCATCTGGGTCTCCATCATGGTGGTCGCCACCTTCTGAGGAGAACATAACCAAGTAACTAAAACATAACCGAAGCAGATGAGGGTTTGACTGAGGTCTTCTGAGACAGAGAGTAGGTCAGGTGAGCCGGGACTAAACCCAACACCTTTGCATCAGAATGAACTAAAACCATCTTATTTTGTGGTTCCAGTTCTCAGCACATGTACCTTTTCCACTCGGGTCTGTCTGGTCTGGGAAATGTGTGCGGTTGAAATGACTGTTTTAGTTTTCTTTGCAGGAACAGCTTCTTCACCTGGACACATGTTTAGCTTGTGGTTAGTTCAACTCAGAGCAGCCCTTCAACACAGGAACCTTTGGTTTACAAATGGGAGCTCACCTTGAACCTGCAGTTCAGCTGTGGACGTGGCCCGCCCGCTGCTGTTGGAGGCCGTCACAGAATATGTCCCAGAATCCTCTGGGAACGCCTCGGCAATCAGCAGACTGTACAGGTCTCCGTCCTGCAGGATCCTGAAGTCGGTAGAGCTCTGGATCTCAGCTCCCTCCCTGTAGAACTTCACTACAGGTGTGGGGATTCCTGTGACTCTGGCGCTCAGCCTCACCTGGCTGCCCTGTCTCACTGTGGAGCTTTGCAGTCTCTGAAGGAAGGTAGGGGGCGCTGTCTCTGCTTCTCAGACACAAAAAAAAAGAGTTAAAGATCTGACAAGGTCTGATGATTGGAAAGTAGTATCTCAGGAGTTTCAGCTGGTCCACCTGTCTCTAAACCTTCTGTAACCCATACCCAACCCATCTCTGACCCATCTCCTAGTCTCACCTGTAACGAGGAGCTCAGCAGTGCTCGTGGCTTGTCCGGCACCATTGGTGGCTCTGACAGAAAAGCGTCCACTGTGTGCGGCGGTCACAGCGGGGATCCTCAGAACAGCGCGGCCGTCGCTGAACGAGATCTGAACGCCGGGCAGAGCGGTGGTGGAAAGAACCTGGCCATCACGAAACCAGCTCACCTCAGGAACTGGAGAACCTGCAGAGGATACAAGAACCAGGCGGTTTGTTATGACAGAACCCTCGGATGGACCATCCTTTGGAGGTCTGATGGTTCTTTCTTACCACTAACTTGAGCCTCGAACGTCGCAGCACTACCCTCTAGTGCTACGACGCTCTGCAGCGGCTGAGTGAACGTCGGCGCCTGTGTTGACATGTTGGTTGGCACCCTGCAACAGAGATTGAGGGATGTTGGCGCAAAATGGCAGCTTCTGTCTGGCAGCTGTGGCTACATAGTAGTTTACCATCACCAGCAGTGTGTAAATGAATGAGTGAGTGAATAACGGAAAGCAATTTATAGATCTAACTCATCATTGTCATTGCCATAATTATTATTTTTATTATTATTCTAATCGTTTTATTATTATTATTATTATTATAAAATATTTTAACACAAAATATATACTATACTATAGTATAATATACTATACTATGGTATAATATACTATACTATGGTATAATATACTGTACAAACTATACTGTAATATACTATACTACGCTATAATATAATATACTATACTATGCTATGATACACTATACTATGGTATAATATATTATACCATGCTATAATACTATACTATGGTATAATATATTATACCATGCTATAATACTATACTATGGTATAATATACAATACCATGCTATAATATACTATACCATGCTATATTACATTATGCTATAGTATGCTATACTATACTATTCTATAGTATACTATACTATGGTATGATATACTATACTATGGTATGATATACTTTACTAACTATAGTATAGTATGCTATAGTATATTCATTCATTCATTCATTCATTCATAGAGCACCTTCCTGCTGCCAACCAAGGCAGCCCAAAGTGCTGAACACAGCAGTGTAAGATTAACAAGCATTAAAATAATAAAAGACACATCATAAGGAGTAAAAAGTACTATACATGAATTCATGTTAAGTACCAAAAACTATAAAATCATAGATCAAATTTTAATTTAGCTAAAAACTACATGCAACAAATACTAAAATATAAGTATACTATACTATGTTATAATAAACTATGCTATGCTGTACTATACTATAATGATGTTTTCTGAGCAGCTGAACAGATGTGTTTGAGCAGGAAACAACTATAACATGCTGGCTGCTGGACCTCTAGGACCAGAGTTGGTCACCTCTGATTTAAACGTTCTCAGCTCCTCACCCACATCCTACCTGACTTGCATTTCTGGGTTAGTTGGAGACACTTATTGGACATGCTGGGAAACTGGTGAGAACATAACTCCTGTCCCCAGCAGAGACCTGTGATGAAGCATTAATATGTCCATGTGTGTGGACATTAAAGCAGGGGCAAAGTGGAGCAGAAACATCTCAAGAGGAGATTCCAGATGGTCTTCAGGACCACCATGAGATAGAACCATTAGCAGTCAAGGACAGTCCTGGTGGAGCTGCTGACCACACTGGGGTTACAGGTCCTTAGTCTGACTGATACCAGTTAGTCTTAAGGCTTAAAGTCATACCAGGTTCTGACCCAGATAACACTGGCTGTGTCCTACTCCCATCCAAACAATTAATTTATTTGTTTATATCAATGGGTTAAATGGATTGATCAGAGTTCAAACTAACAGAGCTGTGCTGCCTTTATACATGATTGACAGTTAATGCTCTATCCTCCAGTCCAGGACCATGTTGTCCTTTATTGGTACCAGTAGTCCAGGGCAAGATGGGGACACTTGTCAAGCATGAAAATCCAAAGAGAATCTGGTACTGCCTGGTTCCTGCGCTTTGACTAGAACCATAAACGCCTCATCAGGACTCAGCTGATCTAAGCTCAATAATCAATAAACACAGATCTCCTCCCAAGTGGTCCTGAAGGACCAAACTGGACCACTCCAGCACAGATCAGCACCTGAGCAACAGATATGGTTGTGACTAAAAATAGCCCCCACCCCCGCCCTGACACCAGGGCTGAGATTGACAGCTCCATGTGGAACATAGCTGGGGGTGTAAGTGATATCTGTGCTGCTGAAAACCCTTCCCTTAAAAAGCCATGGGCCCGGCTGACCCACAGCTATTCTTGGCTCAACACAGCCTGCTGCTGCCTCTAGTACAGAAAAAAACCAAAACCTTCAGAAAGTCACCCAAACCCAGTTCCTAGAGCCGACGCGTGTACCTCGGGTCCAGCTGGACCTACTCACTTGTGTCCACAAGAGTGCCTGGGACTGATGGGACGAAGCCCAGCTGACTGACAGCCCCCGTATCCTCAAAGGTCCGAAGAGGAAAGATCCAGATGAGAAAGTTGAGCCTCCAAATCCGCCAGAAAAAAAACAAAACTACACAGAGAGAAACCGTGTAGTCCTGTCTGCCTCCACCCGAGGCCAGGCTGGGAAGGCTCCAACTGCTCAGGAGGGCCCAGATGGTGCTGTTGGGTTTTATACTGGGGGGGCAGCCCACATCATCAACACACAGAGCCTCCTCATTGGCCACTGGGACACCCATGGAGGCATGCTGGGAGATGGCAGCCATTTCTAACTCATAGAAGAGTCAGTCATCCTGGACCTGATTATAGACCATCAGAACCTGTCTGAGACCACCAGAGTCCAGAGAAGATCAGCGAGTTTAACACCGAAGAAGTCTGTGAATACCACACACACACACACACACACACACACACACACACACACACACACACACACACACTCACACACACACACACACACACACACACACACACACACACACACACACACACACACACACACACACACACACACACACACACACACACACACACACACACACACACACACACACACACACACACACACACACACACACACACACACACACACACACACACACACACACACACACACACACACACACACAATCAGGCTGGCAAAGGGAAGACGGAGGCTGTTCCTGTCACTCAACACCCCCACCCCCAGCAGGTGTTATGGAACCGGGTCTCTGATCAAGGTTCAGTTTTAGATTTTACATCCCTTCACCTCCTCACTGCACTTTGTCCTAAAGCACTGGACAGATCTGATCTACCAGCACCTTTGAGATTCAGAGTTTGGACATTCCCATAATAGAAAGAATGGAATGCAGAAGTAACGCCAGCCACGGAGTTTCATCCTCTGTGTTTCGGAGGTTTGTTCCTCCAGTAAGTTGATGAAATTTCAACATGTTGGTGTTGTGAAGCATAAGCTGATGGCCTCAAACCTAAATAAGTCAATAGTGATTTTTCACATTGCCAGTCTTTGTCAGTTAATCGTGTTAACAGGCTAACTGCAGTTAGCGGCCGGTTTGTGGGTTTAAACAACCCGATTTCTGTCCAATTCAGCATTTTATTTTATTCAGCGCAGTTTTAAATTTCTGCTTAGTTTTGCAGTTTCTTTGGAGATTTCTGAGTTAAGGATGGTAAATGGTCTTATTTTATAAGGTGCCTTCTACAGTCCTAGAACCCCCCAAGCACTTTACAACACAATCAGTCATTCACACACACATTCACACCCTGGTCGCGATGAGCTACGATAGAGCCACAGCTGCCCTGTGGCAAAATGACAGAGGCAACGCTGATGAGCACAGGCGCCACCGGTCCCTCTGACCACCACAAGCAAGCAAGGCGAGTTAAGTGTCTTGCCCAAAGACACAACAACATCGACAGACTGACCGGGGCTCAAACCTGCAACCTTTCGATTACAGGTGAGCACTAAACTCCTGTAGCACAGTCGCCCCTGCATTCTTGGGACACAACAGTTTTTGTGTGTAAAGAGGAAGCTCACACTCAGAGTGGTAGAGGACAGATTAGTACAATCATTAGACAGCATGGAATAAACTTCCACAGTTTTGCTGACGATACTCAGTTAAATTCAATTCAGTTTATTTATAAAATGTCAAATCAAGACCTGAGTCGTCTCAAGGACCTTCACACAGTAAACATTCCAATACAGGTCAGGTCATTAAGCCAATCAGTAACAACTTTCGTATATACGGAACCCGGCAGGTTGCATCGAGTCACTGGCTAGTTTCAGAGTCTTTACAGCAATACTCATACTAAGCAAGCATGCAGCGACAATGGAGAGGAAAACTCCCTTTTAACAGGAAGAGACCTCCAGAGGATCCTGGCTCAGTATGAGCAGCCATCCTCCACGACTCACTGGGGATGGAGAAGACAGAGCAGACACACACACACACACACACAAACACACACAAACGCACACACACACACCACATATATACCAAGTAGTGTTCCTTTGGTTACATTGTGATTTCTTAGTAAATATTCTAGTAAGAGATAAACTTTATTGTATTTGTCCTACTGAATCTATAATTAAACGGGTAAACTAGTAGTAGCACATTCAGTGTCAAAGAAAGTAAAATGTTATTATCAGGAGAGGGAGAATGTTTAAGTGGTTAGCAGCAGTGTGCTAGACGATGGCCCCCTCCATGAGGCCACCACAGCTCAGCAGAACATCATTGTAGCTTCTTCTGGGGAGAAAAACACTTAGAGAAAAAATAAAGTTAACAGCTGAAATTGCAGGAAATAATATGGTTAAAGAGCAGATTGTAGAAGAAAGTAGTCGAGTGTGGAAAGTGGTCAGTGTATCCTCCAGCAGTCTAAGCCTATAGCAGCATAACTACAGAGATAACTCTGGATAATCTATCCTATTTAGATGGAGGCATGTTGGAGGCAGGGCAAGGGAGAGCCGTCTTTACCGACTGTACACTCCACCTCCCTCTACTCCCCCACTTGTCCAGATCTGAGCTAACATCAGATTTTAACCATAGGTCCAATCAAATAAAAATGTTTTAAGCCTAGTCTTAAAAGTAGACAAGGTGTCTGCCTCACGGACTAAAGCTGAGAGTTGGTTCCACAAAAGAGGAGCCTGATAGCTAAAAGATCTGCCTCCCACCCTATTTTTAGATATTCTGGAAACCACCAGTAAACCTGCATTCTGAGAGCGAAGTGTTCTGTTAGGAACATATGGAACTATTATACCACGTCCAGCGTTGTTTGGTTTGTTGTCAGTTTCAGCCATCCAACCCCGCACACAGAGCTCCCCTACAGAGAAAGGGACCGTCCACGCCGTGGTCAGACTTGCAATTCGATTGGGTGGGGCCTCTGACCAGGTCCAGCAGGGGTAATAAATACATCTTGACCGTGACCTGTGCATTCACCAAGTGGGTTGAATGTCTACCAGCACCTAATGACACGGTGAAAACAACAGCTATTCTCTTCATGAATCACATCTTCGCACGGTTCGGTCGTCCCACTCGAGTTGACTCGGACAGGGGTACTCAATGCACCTCTGAAGTGATGGCACATCTTTGGAAACTGTTGGGTGTGAAGGCCAATTTCCACATTAGCCATCGCCCCCAGTCTTCTGGCCAGGTCGAAAGGATGAACCGGATGGTTGTCGGCATGTTGAGGAAGTACGTGTCCTCTAATCACCGAGACCGGGATGTGAAGCTTCCGTTGGTCCTCATGGCCGTACGGGCCACCCCTCATGAGTCTACTGGTGTCTCCCCGTTTGAAATGATGACGGGTAGACAAATGACCCTGCCACTTCACCTGCTGTACCAGCCTGTTCAGCCAGAGGCGGACCCGGCTTACACGATTGAACAATATTTGCTGGACCTGAAGAAACATCTGCCTGCAGCGTTCTTGTTTGCACAGATAAATCTGGAGAAATCAGCTGAGGGCAGGAAGGCTTATTATGATCAGAAGGCCTCACTTTCTGAACTCAACATAGGTGACGAGGCCTGGTTCTACATTTTCGCTCCTAAAAGTGGTAACACCAAGAACACCTCTGGGAAGCTGGCTAAGAAACTTCTGCCGAAGTGGTCAGGCCCACACCTGATAACTGATAAGCTCTCTCCAGTCGTGTATCAGATCAAGATTACCCAAACAAACAAGGAGCCCGTCAACAAATGGGTCCACAGGGACCAAATCAAACCCCACAAGCATTCCACTAATTTGGTCAATGCTGCCACCAACAACTTACCGACTTCGACAGGGGGGTGATTTCGTGCCTTGTCGGTTCCATAGCTCTCTATCTCGAGTTACACAAGCTTGTCTATGTTTGTGTGTGTGCATGGTTGTCTTTCCTGTTTATACATGACGTGCAGACTTGGGTGATTTGAGATGAACATGCGGTGGGTTCCTGAAGTCAGGTAATCAGGTAGTTAACAGTAGATGGGTTTAGTCCACATATTACTGTTATCCAATTTTTTTTTTTTTCTCGTCTCTCGTCTCGTCTCGTCTCGTCTTCCTCCGCTTATCCGGGTCCGGGTCGCGGGGGCAGCATCCCAACTAGGGAGCTCCAGGCCGTCCTCTCCCCGGCCTTGTCCACCAGCTCCTCCGGCAGGACCCCAAGGCGTTCCCGGACCAGATTGGAGATGTAACTTCTCCAACTAATCGTAATTCCTTATGGGTACATTCACATGTAGGTTGATTACTAACTTCACTGATTTACATTTTAGTGCTCTTTGACACTCATATCTATCTTTTTATAGAACTTTACAACAGTGATTAAGTTTGAAATCTTTATGATTAACTTTGTTAATTTACCATTATGGGCTACAACCAATTTTGCCCTTACATTTTGAAGACATTTTCACTTAGTGCAGTGATTTCTCCCATATGCAGTATAGGGTTTTGTTAATTTTATTCTTTTTGCACCACTTTTTGCATTACACGTATTGTATTGCACCCATTTCTTCGCTTAAATGCTAATTCACATAACTGCCTACACATAGTACATGCAGGTGCTCACAGTGCTAGGTTTCTTTTTGTTTGTTAATTTGCATTAGACGCCATTTTGTTGTGTCTACATTGAGGTGCCCTGTGCTGTGCTCTGTCTCTCCTCTCCTGAGTTTCGCTGATGATCCTCGCTTCCCTGGGGGTGGACCTATGACTCGTCATCGGATTCCACTCCTCCTGATGGGTGTTCTGGCTCATAGGACCTGCACGTCCGTTTGTTCCGGCATGGCTGCTGGGATACTTCGCTCGCTGGGACCTGACCTGCCTGCTGCTCTTTCCCGCACCGAATCACGATAAGTGCTATTACAAAGATCAATATACTATTTTGGAAGTATTCCCTACCCGTGGATATATAAAATTTTGCTCCTGCTTCAAATTATTACCTCCACATGGATGCCTTAATAATCTGATGACTTGTGTGCTTCCAAAGGGATTATGTGAGACCGTTGAAACTTCTTTCCAGCTCAACAGAAGAATGAAGAAAGGACTCTCTCCTTTTAAAAAATCAAATAACTCTATTTTAATAAAGCTAATCAAACAAAGTGTTAGTCAATAAATAAGATGTGACCAATCTGTGAAATCAAAATATGAATTACTTTATTATAATCCTATAGAATATAATAAGTAATATGACTTTAAATGTTTCCACTAGGACTGATCT